GTGAATGGGTGATTGTGGCTCAGTGTTTCAAATTATGTGGAGAAAACAAATGAAGATAATTCAAAGTCTCGGTTTTTACTTGAGAATTCAGTATTATGGGTGTCATCTTGGTGGTCTCTTGGGTCTTCATCCTCTCTTAGTCCCTCTTCTTCAGAACCAGGATTTCGTTCTCTGGTATTGTGAATACATCTCATGTTTTCACGATACTTGTGTCACCATTGATAAAGTTTCTTGCTTGCTCATGCCCCTTCTTGTGGCGCTACTTTGTAGGTATCATCCAGCATGTGTGGGAATGACAATTGAAGAAGCTAAGAAATTGGATCACTTTGTTTGCTCTGAATGTTCTCCTGATGACGACGTCAAAAGACCGCAAAATGGGTTTTCAACATCACCAACAGCTGATGTCAAGGTGAGGTTTCTTTAACTATCCAGTTCTGGACCATGTTAGGCGAGCTTCACTGGTCTCACTTGCAACATTCTTCTAGTGTGTCACTCTTGGCGTTCGCAGTGCGTGCTAGTTTGTGGCTGCATGTTGACGTACATCATTCAGTTCTTGATTGAGGTGTTTCCCCAAGAATATCTACTCCTTCTGCATTTCTTATGTTTCATTCAATGCTGGAAGTGTTCAGAATTTCATATCCATGCTTTTCAGTCTTTCCAACTTGGTACAGCTCTAAAGAAATCTGGGTCTTCTCGAGTTCCTGTTTCCTGGTCTGGGTCTACCCATCCACAGCTCTCTCTATATGTGGAGCTGATGTGGCATATTCAGCCACCTTTTCTTTTAGCAATGAATGTTCCGTGAGCGATACAAATCAGTATGGATATCTAGACGATATGGCTGAATGTGATTGGCAGGAACATATTCTGCATTGCCGGTTTAGGATATAACAGATGCGTACTTAACATATATCCACAGCAACACTCCATCAGATGCTTTTCGCTTATTGTCGAATTTGTTTCCTGTATGCATCTTCGACGATTATTCATTGGCATATTTTTCAATATGTTGAGGTATTTTTAATAAGACATGGCTTCTCTATCTTAAACAGCTGCCTTTCCTTTTGAAGCTTCACTTGAGTATAGCATTTGGTTAGTTACTTTCGGTAGATTAACCTTACTCATGACTCAGTTTCAGGGGTTCGAGGTCATTTTGGATGAGGCAATTTTTTACAATTGCCTTATAGCAAGGTATTTGGGGCTGAATTGTCTTTGGCAGTGAACGAAAAAATGCAGTGGCAACTTGAGATTGTCTCATTTTGTGGCAATTTGAATGGCCTCATTTTTTTTTTTTCTAAAACTACTCATTTGGCCCAAAATGCCCCATTTTAGAAAAACCTCATCCAAATGACCAGTGCAAGACGGTTAGATAGTTAGGTAGGGATTCTCATTTCAGTGATAGGCTTAGTCTGCATGCTTGATATGTGTGCTTTCTTCTGCTTGAAGATGGGGCCTAAAACATTTCTTGTACACGATAAATCTGCACATGTCGTAAGGGTTTGGAGGATTTTGGCAATATGAACCAGGCTTTATTGCATTTCCTTGCTAACAGGTTGTTTTAGGCTTCTAGCATTTCATGTCTAAGAACTTAAAACAGCTTATGTTTTGGGTTTTCTGGTAGTTTTGAGCTCTATGAGCAGTAGAAGAAACTCTAAGGTTTGTATTCTTTTTAGAATTTGGCTGGGAAAGAATCTTCTGGTTTCTTATGATCAAGTGATGATTGTTTAAAGCTAGGATGAACATTTTGCAGGTGGAGACTAAGCGGCGAAAGAGATGAAAATGACGAGCAGTGTGCTATGCCTGATTTTAGCTTTGATAGAAGAACGAAGACTGTTGTTTTCTGTGAGGCTTGGAGGAGCAGCACAGAGAAAACTTCGCTGTGCTTTGCTCGATTATGCTAGCTGACTGGTTTCTTGTTTGTAATATATTAACCCTGTCTGTCTGTATGTGGAACTAACTAGAGCTTCAGACATACAGTTCTCTTCTTCTAAATTTATCTTCCTTTGGCCCTTTACAATCTCCATCCCAACTGTTAATCAAATCTGTCGAGGGAACAGTTCTCTTGCCAACTGTCACTGTGACTGTCTTCTTTGGAAACACCAAATGCACATACTGTAAGGGACCTGTTTAATGTGGGTTCGGAATGGAAGCTACCAAGTTCCAGTGATGTGCCTAGGATGCTCATCCTCAATGAGAATAAAATTGCAAGGGTTGCTATAAATTGAAAGAAATTGGGATCTTTAAAGTTTTTGGTTGGTGAGATGGAGGAAGAACCTACACTAGTAGGTGATAAGGTTCGGGGCTAGGTGTACGATCAATGATAGTGATGGCAATTTGAACCTGCTTCATTGAGTATTATTCGACTTGGTCTGTGATGGGGGCAGTAATACCCGACTTGCCATTGCCATTTTGTATACTTTTCGGTTTTTGCAATACAATTTTATCACCATTATAAAAAAAAAAAATACTCGACTTGCAATAGCATGGGGCGGGACATAGTATATAAATATAAGATCAATTAATCACATGTATCAAACATGACATACAATATTAGTATTTTTAATTTGTATATTATTTTAGAATTTACGTTATGCCTTTAAGGATCAAGTGTTTATTATAAATTAGTCGTACTCGAGCCAAACTCGTGATCTTAATGACGAGTCAAGATTTTAATAAATGAGCCGACTCGACCCAACTCGTTGACAAACAAGTCGAAATTGAATTCACCTCGTTTATTAACGAACCAAGCCTGAAGAAAGCGAAACTAAAATCCTTAGCACTTACATGACACTTGTAAAGTTCAACTCGATTCAGCTCATTTTCACTTACATTCACCACTTACCTTCGTTTTATCTTCCCACAAACTCTATTCCTCCGTGTGAAAAGCCACTTCTTGTATTTTTTAGCGAGCTTGCCTAATGTGTTGTTTACCCGTAATTCGATCAACGACGAATCAAAATCATATCAGCCGTTGAAAGTTTTCTATCGCGTGTCCTGGTTTGGATAATTGTCATGAGGACTGCGAGGACAAGGACAAAGACTCTTTTCACCACCCTGATCCACCCACGAGAACGGAGAAGATGATCTCATGTAAAACCCCTCCTCTATAATGGGTGACTCTCAACTCTGACGACTCTGTTCCTCTTAATACAGATCTGGCTATTGCGTGTTGCCTAATCAGAGATTACTTTTGACGTTGCTTGGCAACATTCGTTTTAAACCTGAGAATTTGTTTTATCATTTGAGCTAAGTTGAGAAACGCTCTAGAATGACTTCAACTGGTTTGAGACATGGGTTATAAACGTGTTCATATGGAGCTCGACTCCATATGTGACATTCAGCTCATCTAAAGCTCGTCATACTTGGATCACCAACACGCTGTTGTGGTTGATCGCTTTCGAAGCTTGCTTCATAATGATTAGGATGTTGTTATCTCTCATGTTTATAGAAAGGGAATAAGTGTGATGACTTTCTAATTACGAGAGGCTTTTTTTTTTTTGGTCGAAAAGTTGGCGCAAAGGCACCTAATTCGTATTAATAATAGAACGACTTTGGGAAATCCCCATTACATCGTAAAAGAGCCGTTGTCTAAGACCGGCATCGTACACATCGAAAGAATGTGTACCAAAAGGAAAGCGGTGACCCACATTAGCAAGGTAGTCCGCCGCAACATTCATTTCTCTAAAAACATGAGAAACTTTAACCTCCCAATCGAGGTTCAAAAAGAATCTAATGGATGCAGCAAGCAATCCATGTCTATGATCATCATTCTCCAACAGGTGATAATGGATATAGCAGTTTTGGAGTCAAGATTCAGCTCCACTTTACGGTGCCCCTCTTCCCACGCAATCTTGAGGCCAATTGCGGCAGCTTTCAGCTCAGCACAGGTGATCGAGCAGGTTCCCAAGTTACACACAAAGGCTCTGCTGCAGTTTCCAAGGTGGTCACGCAGGAGTCCCCCAGCAGCAGCTTCCCCTGTAGAGGTGTACACTGAGCCATCAGTTTGAATTTGAGTCCAGCCCTCCCTAGGTGGTTTCCAAGAAACCTGTTTCACTGAACGTCCAGGGGAGTTTCCATTTGAAGTTTTCCTGATGCATTCCTGAGCTTGCTGAACAATGTTGAACCAAGCTTGTATTCTGCAACAGAGCCCTTGAAAGTTGAAAGGTTTCCCTTCCATGACAAACTCATTCCGCTGCTTCCAAAGATTCCAACACACAATACCAAAATTGATACCACACTCCATATCAGCAAGGTTAGCCATAAGCCAATCCTCGAAATCAATGGTAGGAGAGTTCGTTTTCATCTTGTTCTTGAATTTGGCCCATGTCTGCTTTGCAACAGGACATTCCTTAAGAATGTGTTCAATGGATTCTTCCCTGTCCTTGCAATGGCAGCAGTACTTGTTGTCCGTCATCTTTCTCTTCTCACGTTCCTTGTTGGTCATCAGGCGGTTATGCAACACCAGCCACAGGAAATGCTTAATTCTGCTCGGCCCTTTCCATCTCCAGAGTTTGATCCATTTGTGTTCCTCATCAGTCTCTTCCAATCCTGCAGCAAGTGCATAGGCTGATTTAAGCCTGAATCTTCCATCACGTTCCAATGCCCATATCATCTTATCCTCACCAGTCTGTGCAACTGGAGCTTCCATGCCTGCAATCAGATGGAGGATATCATCAGGAAAAAGGGGGTTCAGTTTGCCCCAGTCCCACTCACCTTCTTCATTCACCCAGTCAGCAACAGAGGAGTCTTCCTCCTGAATAGATTGTCCCTCCAGCAGGAAGTCCTCAAGCTTGATGTCACAATCGATCCAGGGGTGTGACCAAAAGCTGGTAGTAGCACCATTCCTTATGCTCCAGCAACATCCACTTCTCATCAAAGGCATTGCTTTCACAATTGACTTCCATAAACTCGAGTGGTTGCTCTTCTTCATAGAGGTAATGGCACCCTCCTTGTGCTTGAAGTATTTCCCTTGGAGAACCTGCACCCAAAGCTCATTTTCATTGTTAAGGATTTGCCACGCCAGCTTGATCATGTATGCCATGTTCAAGTTGCGGGGCAGAGCGGAGTCTAAGACCTCCCTGGCTTTTGGGCTTGCACACAGTATTCCATGATAAGAGGTGGGTTTTCTTCTTCCCTGCCTGTCCTCCCCAAACAAACATCCTTATTTTCCTGTCAATTTCATCACACACAGCAGCAGGAAGGGGTGAAGTTTGCATTGCATAATTAGGTATAGCATTTAAAACAGCCAAAGCTAGAGTAACTCTCCCAGCAAGGGAGAGTGTCCTAGCCTTCCAAGCAGTGAGCTTGTTGTCAATTTTCTCCAGGATGAATCTGTAGGTGCTTTTGGTAACTCTGCCATGGATGACAGGCATGCCAAGGTACCTCCCAAGGTCTTGTGTTTCTTGAATCCCAAGTCTGGAACACACTTCACCCCTTGTAGCTCTAGTTGTGTTCTTTGAGAAAAACACTCTTGATTTCTCCTTACTAATGAGCTCCCCAGATGCCAGGCAAAACCTCTCCATACAAGACATGACAACCTCAGCATGCTTAGGATTGGCTTCAGCAAACAGCACCAGGTCATCTGCAAAAAACAAATGGGAAAGAGGAGGGCCATCTGCAGACAGTTTCATAGGTTTCCAGTTTCCATTCTTAACCTCACTAAGGATACAATGGCTAAGTCTTTCAATGCACAAGGTAAACAAGTAGGGAGAGAGAGGGCAGCCTTGTCTAAGGCCTCTAGAGGGCTTGAAGCTCTCAGTAGCCCCTCCATTCCAAAGAACCTGGAAACTGGTGGAGGTGACACAAGCCATAATGAGGGAGATGCAGTCATTGGGCAAGTGAGCTTCCTTCAGTGTGTTTTCCAGAAAATGCCAATCTATCCTATCATAGGCTTTGGCCAAGTCAATTTTGAGCAGCATATTCCCTTTCTTTCCTGACTTCTTGGACATAGAGTGGACAGCCTCCTGCAGAATAATAATGTTGTCAGTGATGTGGCGTTTGGGAACAAAACTTGACTGGTTAGGGTGGACGAGGTCAGGCATAAGGGTCTTCAGCTTGTTGGCAATCCTCTTAGCCACCACCTTGTACCCCACGTTACATAGGCTAATAGGTCTGAATTGATTCATAGAGCAAGGTCCTTCCACTTTTGGAATCAAAGCCAAGAGGGTTTCGTTGACCAGCTCAATACTTTTATGCTCTCTAAAGCACATTTGGATGAAGAGGGTGAACTCCTTTTTGATTTGAGTCCAGCATTTTTGGTAGAAAAGCGCCTGATATCCATCTTTGCCAGGTGCTTTTAGACCGTTCATCTCCATAACCGTGGCCCTGATCTCCTCCACTGTAGGCATGCTTCCAATACAAAGCAGCCTATGAGCATCCAGACGAGGGAAATCAGCAGGGAGAGGGATTTCTTCTGTTCTTTCTTCTCTTGAGTAGAGTTTGACATAGTGGGTTCTAGCCATCAGCTCAAGGGCTTCAGGATCAGTCACCCACTGTCCATTGTCATCTTTCAGGCTCAGTATTCTGTTATGCTTTCTTCTACTGAGAGTTGAGTTGTGGAAGAAGCTTGTGTTCATATCCCCAAACACAACCCAGTTGGCTCTAGACTTCTGAATCCAGAGTAGCTCTTCCTGCCATAAGGTATTTTCCAGTTCCTCCCTTGTTTCCTGTTCTTTTGCAGTTGAGTTCCTGGTGGGATTCTTGCAGTTGATCAGCTCCAATGATTTAAGGCAATTAAGCAGCTCTCTTTTTCTCTTGAAGATGTTACCAAAGACATTTTGGTTCCAGTCTTTCAGGTCTTCAGTCAGGCCCTGCAAAGCACAATGAAAATCAGAATTTCTCTTCCAAACAGATTGAAGGAAAGGGAAGAAGTCATCATGAGTAAGCCAGGGTGCAAGAAACTGGAATCTCCTCACCGGTTTCTTCTCTCCTTTATCAGTGGAGCTGCATGTCAGGATCGGGCGATGATCAGACTTAATCTTTGGGAGGTGAGTGACAAAGGAGGAGGGGAATTCCTTGTGCCAATCCAGGTTGCAGATACTTCTGTCGAGTCTTTCCTTTAGGTTAGACTTGCTTGTGAACCACGTAAACCTAGGACCTGTGAATCCTAGGTCCATAAGCCTACAGTCCTCCATACAATCTCTGAATGCTTTGGTCTTGGCCATGTTAAGGGGAGCACCACCTTGCTTCTCTGACGATTTGAGGATAGAGTTCCAATCACCTGTGAGAAGCCATGGCCTGTCAACCTGCTGTTCCATTAATCTGATTCCCTCCCATAAGGCACCTCTCTCATACTCATTTGGGTTGGCATACACAACCGAGAGAAAGAACCTGATCCTTCAATTTTCCACACACTTCATATGTATAAACTGCTTGTGTTTATCAACCAGTTCCAGGTTGATGTTTTTGCTGTTCCACATCACCCAGATACCACCACTGAAACCAGTAGCATCAGACACCTCATTAGAATTATAACCCATGGCTTTGATTACTTCTTTGGCGTCTGTACCACTGATTCTTGGTTCCAGAATACAAACAACATCAGGCAAGTGTAAAGACTTGAAAAAGGCAAAGGTAGACTGAAATTTGGGGTGTCTAGCACCCCTGCAGTTCCAGGAAAGCACTTTAACCATAAGAAAGGTTAAGAGACGTTTCCCTAGACTTTCTGAGACTAGGTCAGCAATTATCGATGGCCATGGCCACCTCTTCCCTCCCTTGATCTTTTGCATTAGCTTTGATCACGGATGGAAATGCACATTCTGGCAACAGAGGAGCTTCTACCTGGATCTGGTCGAAGTTGATCTTTTTTGGGCACCCAAGTTCACCATCAGGGGATCCCAATTTCTTCTTGGCTTTCTCTTTACTTCCAATGCAAGGATCTTCAACCTTCATTTTTGGTTGGTGTCCTGCTCTAGCTCCTGAGGCCTGTCCTCTTTCATTTCCACAACCAGGGGATCCAGAGTTGTTTGTGACCACTCCACTTTTTGGTTTGGCCAGCTTCTGATGGGGCGGTTGCTTGACTACATTCGCTTGTTTAGTGCTCAGGGCACTCTTGGGGGTTCCTTTGGCAGGGCGATCACCACTGCTTCTAACTTGCTTGGGTGTGCTGGCAGGCCTGCCACTGAGGGGTGGGTTACTTGATCCAGCCTTCTCCATCTTCTCTTTGTTCCCTTCTCTAGTTTGCACGTCCTTCTTTGCCTTCCTCTCCTTCCCATTTGATGCTCCATTGACTCCTTCCTTGATTTTCTCATTCGATTTTCCCTCGGGTTGACTTGCAGAGTTAGATGTCTCCAGATTAGTCTGTGGTCCCTCTTCTTCATTGATTGTTGTCCCAATATTCTCCTCTGCGTCTATTTCCATTTCCCCATCCAGAACACTAAATCGAGATCCCTGTACCCCTGGCTCTTCTCTCTTTTTTTCCTGGTTGTTATTCTTTTGGTTGCTCTGTTGCCTTGGTTTTCTTTTGACCCTCGTCGCCAACATCCAGGGCCCAAAATCTTCAAGAATTTCTGGTCTAATCTTCTGCTCCTGCCCTGCCTCCTGTGTGGTTTTCGTTCTTTCTTCCGGGTTTGCTTCTGGGGAGTGGGCAAGGGGGCAAGAATCCTCCAAATGGCCATAGCAACCGCACCCAAAGCACACAGTGTGGAGCCCTTCATACTCCACTCGTCGCACCCTTCTTTTGATTCTGTATTTTGAGACCAGTCTTTTCCTCAGGTCGATCTCAACACAAATTCTTGCGTAGTTTCCTCTTGACCCATTAGCCGTATTGTAGTCAATCTTCTCAACCCTTCCAATTCTGTCCCCAATGTCCTGAAGAATTTCCTCATCAAAATAGGCCAGGGGAAGTCGAGGAAGCCTTACCCAAACAGAGGCTCTGGTGATGGTGTCGAAGTCAGGGTCGAAATCCAGCCTCCATGGTTCCGCCGCGATGTAGTGGTCATCGATAGTCCATGGCCCTCCATACAATGCTCGATCATGATCTAATTGAGAATCAAAGGAGGCCTGGAAGAACCCTTTGCCTATGTCTCCAATTCGGACTCCTCCTGTTCTTGCCCACATTTTCTGGATGCGCCGGTGAACGAATGCAAAGGCGAGAGATTTTCCTAGCACACAGAAGGTAATTGCACGCCGCCATCTGTTTCTGATGCGAGCATCAGTGCTTTTCTTGATGCGAGCATCAGTGCTTTTCTTGATGCGAATGGTGGGACAATCAGGATCGTCTTCAGTTGATTCATCTTCCGATTCATCTGACATGAGCTCATCGCCCTCTGGTATATCGATTGGCGGACTATTCCCCAAGAAGGAGTCCTTGTAGGAGATTCTGGGGATCTCAGTCTCCTGTACTGGCTCCATTGGGTGATCGAGGTTCCCCCCCACCCCTTGGTTCTCCATTGCAACCTCATCGACGTTCTGGTAATGGGCTGTAGTGACAGAGATTACCATTTCTTCCCCTCCTGAGAATCCCTCACTCATGCTTGCTTTCGCCTTTTTGGTAGGCTGCGGCGGCGTGAACGGCGGCGTTCCGTCCGGCGGCGTCTCATCCGGCGGCTTCAGGCAGTGGTCCGGTTCCGCCACAGGCGGAGCAGGCCCAACGGTCATTTCCCCAGAGGGGGGAACTCAACGTTCGAAAAACTCTTAGGAGAGAGGGGAGAGCGATCTTCTCTCTACTTTTTCACAACAACTCCTTGATTGAGCAATAAATGCCTTTGTTCTGGCTACGAGAGGCTATTTGATGGGCCTGGGTTTTCAAATTGTTCCTAGTTCTGATCCTACTTTGATGTACTGATTACTCTATGACGTTTAGGAAATCTCCGAATTCGGACTAATTTTGAAGAAAAATTCAAATGCGTTACATTCATTTATAAAATAAATAAATAAAATTAATTGTTGATAGAGTTTTGAATTAAAATCCACACGATCCACCAAGTACCCATAATCTAAGCCTTTTCAGAAGCATACAGAAAGGTCCAGTAGCCCAGGCCCATGAATTGGGTTGCTGAGTCCATCCATATCCGCCCTCCGCGCCTGAAAGAAAAGTGAAGGAGAGAGTGCGGAGATTTAGCTCGTACGAACCTGTTCGCGCAGGGTTTAAGGCTTCTGCCCCAATCGTCTCCGTCCGGCTGCTTCTCTTCTCCCGCCGCACCGGCAACGTGACTTGCATCAGTCTCAGTGTGACCGTCGGGCCCCTCGATTTGATTTCTAACACTGCCTTTCGCTTGCCGGAGGATTTCACGATCCTAGGGTTTTGTATGCCACCCTCAAGATAAATCTTGCGCAGTAGGTTAGTCCTGTAGCGCTCTGGGCCGGATGGCAGCTTCAATCTCGAAAGGAATACTGCGTTCTTTTGGTTCCTTGTCTGCTCTTCGCCGTTGCCAGGGTAAGCTTTCTTTGCCCATTGCCCAAAATAATTGCAAGTTGGTGACTGCTCTCTCTCTTTCACTGCTATTCATTTTTTCCACTTCCCATCCTTTGATGTAGATGTAAGCATTCGAGCTTCAGGGGACAGTTTATTCTCTCGGGCATCCTCTTTTCATTTGGTAAATCTCTCTTCTTTTTGCTTTCCCGGATTGCAGTACAGTGGCTGACTATCTCCTCGTTGCTTTTGCTACAATGTAGGGGTCGGCCACTACCCTTTCGCATCAGAGGTGGTTTACATCTGTATTGACCCCTGAATCAAGCGATGATCCATTTCCCGCTGATTTGTTATCATCAAGGGCTGTGATAACCCCAGATCGTAAAATAGGCATGGAAGCTGTTCTCTGAGCCATGATACTTGAATTTTGCGGAGTCATTTCATCTTATGGCTGTTTGGTTCCCTATATCTGTTGAGCAGATTAGCTTCTATTTTGTTGTCAGTGGGCTTCAGGTAGCTTGTAATTGCGTTAATGAACAATGCTTCTTATCTTAGGGCTTTATCAGGACCTGGCAATTCCTTTGACAAATTTCCAAAATGAGGACAAAGGGTTTATGGTTCTAGCTGGTGATGTGTTTGATGTACCCATTAGAAAAGACATTGTTCATCGAGTCGTGAGGTGGCAACTCGCCAAAAGGCAGCAAGTAATTCTCTCAGTCCTGCTTCAGGTCTATCAGTTTTATTGTTATTGAAAATTCAGGGGTATTGATGTTTCGAAAATAAATATTTGATTCTTAGGGAACACATTCGACAAAAACTATCAGTGAGGTTAGCGGGACTGGGAGAAAGCCATGGAATCAGAAGGGAACTGGCAGAGCTAGGCATGGAACGCTGCGTGGGCCTCAGGTAAAGTTTATGACTTTTGAGTGCTTTTGATATGCATTTGATCATGTCTATTTCTAATTCAAATTGATTTCCATGTGCAGTTCAGAGGTGGTTGTGTTATGCATGGCCCCAAGCCACGAAGCCACGCCTTCAAACTAAATAAGCAGGTCAGGCGTTTAGGTTTGAAGATTGCGCTGACAGCACGTGCGGCAGAAGGAAAGGTATGGTTCTTCTTAATTTCTAAACTTTTTCTATGTGACGAGTAATTCGGTTGTGTAAGTATGTAACTTTATTGTTCTTCCTTCCTCACTTGAGCTGGATTCCATTGTTGTGACACGACCACAATGTGTTGTTGTATTGGTGACCAGTTTCTTGTTGCTTCTCTTTGATCTTAGTCCACAGTTTTTTTAGTCTGTTGGTTAGTATCTTAAAAGATGTATAAAATGTGCAGCTTTTCGTGTTTGAGGATTTGGAGGTTCCTACGCACAAAACCAAGAACATGGTCAACTATGTCCAGCAGATGGAGGATGCCAAGAAACTGCTGTTGGTTGATGGTGGTCCCATCAGTGAAAGACTGAAGCTGGCTACACAAAATCTACATTATGTCAATGTTATACCTTCAATTGTAAGTGAGATTGAATCACAATTGAAGGAAAACAGTGGTTCCAGTGGTTCCTGTAGTTTGTTTAGCTTATGGAGTTAGTTTCAGTTATATTGATTTCTTCTCATGCGTGTCAGTAGTTCTGTGGTTGCAACCTATATTAGATTAATGGTTTTTGTTAAATGCTTTTCTTGCAGGGATTGAATGTCTACAGCATACTGCAACATGACACATTGGTGATGTCCCGTGCTGCTGTGAACGGAATTGTGGATCGAATGCACACGCCAATCAACCGCTAACTGACTGCAATGCTGTTTGAGGAGGAAACCTGTTCTTCCTTGTCCTTTTAGGCGAAATCATAGGCCAAAGCAAATAAGATGTGTCCGTCAAAGATTTATTTTGCTTTGTTCCTCTCCCCCTCTGTTTGGAGTGCCTCTACGACTTGGCACTATGTTAGCTACCTTGATTTTGTGATCCCTATGGATGTGGTTTTGATGTAAGCAAAAGGTGCTTCACTCGTTTTAGATCAATGTGGTTGAAACTTGAAGAAACCAATGGTCTTTTCTTAAACCTGTGGCTTTGTCTGTTTGTCTCTGTTCTTGATCGCCTTGCAAGATTATAATGATGAATGTAACGAGCCTCTTCTTGTTATACAGCGGCAGAAATGCTTTTGAGGTCAAATTGTTCAAAATCCAATAGCTGCAAGAAACATGTGTTGTAGATTTGAGTTATATGCATGGATGGCAAGTTTCTGGCACGCAGAAAATGCCTTTGGGAGGACCCCTTTCCATCCTCGCTGATATATGCCTATATTTTGGTGGGGAAAAGAAAACGTTCTCCCAAGAGACTGAGAAGGGCAAAAAGGCCATGGGAGGAAAAGTTGCCGTTGAGAGTTCATCAGCAAGAAAAGCTGTTGCTGCTGTTGCAGTAGTAGCTTTGGTTTATGTGGGCTGCTTTTGGAGCTGTTCTGCAGAAGAGCAATCCTTATACTTAGTGTTAATGGAAGGAGAGATGGGTGGAGCAAGGAGTGAATCTTCTCATGATCTGCTTCTGCAGGACACCCTTGGAATTGGAAGCTACAACAAGCTCTACAGCTTCAAACACCTTGTCAATGGATTTGCCGTGCACACCACTGCTTCTCAGGTTCGAATGATCATTTTGCACTTATGGAACATACGTACCTTAAGAAGGAAACGGAAATCAAACCCAGGAAAGAAAGAAAGAAATGTGTGTAACTATATGTTCTGCTGCAGGTTAAAAAACTGAAGGATCATCCAGGAGTGAAGATGGTGGAGAGGGATAGAGGGGCCAAACTGATGACTACCTACACTCCGCGCTTCCTCGGTTTAACTGCTGACAATGACAATGACAATGACGGTGACGAAGATTTGGCAATTAAGACAAGGAGAGGGGCAGGGGAGGAGATGGTGATTGGTGTTGTGGATTCAGGGATCGATCCAAGGCATCCCAGTTTCGCTTACCATCATCCTAAGTTACCCTTACCATCTCCTTCTCAGCGCCGATTTCCCGGGGTATGTGAGGCAGGCCCTCATTTCCCGTCCAGCTCTTGCAATGGCAAGATTGTGTCAGCTAGATTCTTCTCTGCTGGGGCTCGCTCCATCGCTACTCTCAACACTTCTCTCGATTTTCTGTCACCTTTCGACGCTGTTGGACATGGCACGTACGTACCTCCTCTGCCTGTTACTAACTGCTTCATACACGTATAATGTAACTGTCTGTTTCTTGTTTTTACGCTCCTCAGGCACGTTGCATCAACTGCTGCTGGGAATGCTGGGGTTCCGGTGGTGGTGAACGGCTTCCATTACGGACGAGCCAGTGGAATGGCACCTTGCGCCAGAATCGCCGTTTACAAGGCTGTGTACCCAACTGTGGGTACTCTCGCCGATGTTATTGCTGCAATGGATCAAGTACGTACCTACTGATAAAACACACCTGCATGCACTGTGTGTGTTATATGAATGAATGAATGAATGCATGTGCAGGCCATCCACGATGAAGTAGACGTATTGGTGGTGTCGGTTGGACCAGACACTCCGCCAGAGGACACCGACGTGACATTCCTAAGTGTGTTCGATGTGACCATGCTATTTGCACGACGTGCTGGTGTGTTTGTTGTTCAGGCTGCCGGAAACCTTGGACCTGATCCTTTCACAGTAGTCTCCTACAGCCCTTGGGCTGTGAGTGTGGCTGCTTGCCGCACTGACCGAACTTACCCCGCCTTTCTCGTCCTAGGAGACACTGTCGATGTGCACCAATTTGTTAGCGGTGTCGGCCTATCAGCACCCACGTTAGGATCGTCTCTGCTGGTGTTGGCTAGGGATGCAGTGAAGCCCAATGGATCTTTCCCAAGGACACCACCCTACGTTGATGAATGCCAGCATCCTGAGGCCTTGGACCCGTCCCTCGTCCAAGGACGCATTGTTTTATGCACCTTCTCGGCTGGCTTCTATGACCAAACCTCCACCCTGGCCGCCATAACTCAAACTGCTGCACACCTGGGATTCATGGGGTTTGTTCTTGTTGCGAATCCTGCTTATGGAGATTACATTGCACAACCTATCCCATTTGATGCTCCAGCCGGCATCATCATCCCAAAACTCGCCGACACCCAGGTATGTATATGTTCTTCCAAATCATAAGCTATGTTAGTGAACTAGTTAACTTGATTTGTGCATGATTAAGATGCAGACCGTGTTAAGGTACTACGAGCAGCACATCAGCAGAGATGAGATGGGACACGTGACCGAGTTCCATGGACGAGCGAGTATAGGAGAAGGCAGAGTTGCGAAGTTCGGAGGGAGAGCTCCAATTGTGAGCAGGTTCTCCTCGAGGGGACCTGATTATGCTGATGCCCAGAGCCAGAGCCGTCAAGCTACTGATGTGCTGAAGCCAGACATTCTTGCGCCAGGAGATCAAGTATGGGCTGCATGGAGCCCCCTCAGCGTGTTGGAGCCGTTACTAGTTGGGTACAGTTTCGCCCTGCTGTCTGGGACAAGCATGGCGACTCCTCATGTTGGAGGAATAGCAGCGCTCATCAAGCAACGCCATCCTTCCTGGAATCCTTCCATGATCGCATCTGCCATTTCCACCACGGCCTCCAAGTATGACTCCCAGGGGGACCTCATTTCGGCAGAAGGGCCCGACCTTTATGGTGTTCATCCTTCCACCTTCTTCGGATTTGGTGCAGGCCTCATTAATCCTGCTCGGGCGCTCGACCCAGGCCTCGTCTTGTCGTCGAAGTTTGAAGATTACATCGACTTCCTGTGCTCCCTGTCCAATGTCGATTGGGTCAAGGTCAGGGCTGCTACTGGAGCGTCGTGCAGTCGACCATTGGCTCACCCAGCTGACCTCAACCTCCCATCGGTGACCATCTCTGCGTTGCGAGTTGGACAGTCTGTACAAATACAGCGGAGTTTCACGAGCGTAGGCAGCAAACCTGAGACATATCTCTGCTCCGTCTTGTCCCCAAATGGAACATCAGTAACCCTCTCTCCGACTTGGTTCAGAATCGCTCCAATGGAAACTCAAGCGATTCACATGGAGTTCAATGCCACACAAGCACTGAATGCATTCAGCTTCGGCGAAATTGTTTTAACTGGAAGTTTGGATCACATCGTCCGACTTCCACTGTCGATTCATCCCATTCCTCCAACGTTGTAACTCCTGCGATGACAGGGAAATTAAGGGTTGTGAAACCGTACATACTGAAAATCAAACCAGTTGGGTTAACCTATGAGAGATGCAATAACAAAACCGAGTGAGTAGTTTCCCTGTATCATACTGTTTACCTGCTCATTGTTAAATAATATAAAGATACTATTTACCTGCCAGTAAAATAGAGAATAAATCTTTCTTCATATCACAAAACTTGGAGATTGGGTATGTGTTTAATGGACAAAGAATGAATACAACAAGAATAACAACAATTACAGCAAGGTATATTAATGCCTTCTCTTTCTTTTTGTTTTTGTTACAACATCTGCTGCTGCTGCTTCTTCAGCAACACACATGCACTCCTTGCACCTTGGAAATCTGTACATGCTCCGACCCTTGGGCCTCTCAAACACGTGTTTCGTCTGTCTAACTGCTTTCCTAACTCTTTGCTCAAACACTTTCCATTCTATGGTCGAGTTCTTCATGAATATACCAGCCAGTCTCCTCTTATTTGGCCGTATCGTTGGCATCCTGCCTCCCCCATAATATACTCTGTATCCAGACACCAAAGATGACAACTGGCTTCCTGAGTCTGTCATTGCGAAAGCATCTGCAGCCGTGCATCCTATGAAGTCCAGCGCTGCCAACTGATATCAAATCCACAAATTACTAGCCTATAACAAATGACCAGCAACAATTAAAAACAATGAAGCACAGCGCTGAGTGCATAGATTGCTTTTACCTGAGATGAGAAGTTGGCGAATGGCTCAATTTCAGATGCTGAGAGCAATTTCTCTTTGGTGACCAAATTGGGGAACAAACTGGTTAAAGCAGCTAATCGTGAAGGCCCTCCATAAATATTTGCCCCTGCCACAAAGACACGGGTTCTCCGATTGAAACCAAGAGCAGACAGCATGAGCACTGCTTCTTCAGGAGTTAAAGGGCACAGACCCTCTGATCTCAGTGCAGCAGGAGAAGGCAGCCTAGAAAAGGCGCAGAATGTCCAAAGGCCATTAGGGGAAAAAGAACAGTACAATTGCACACAATATAATTGGAAATGGTAAAAGTCACTTCAAATTATTATAGGGGTCGTTTGGATGGATCAATTGTAAAACGAGACAACTTGACCAATTGTTTCATTTTACAAAACGAGTCATTTAAAACGAGTCAATTCAGATTACCTGCCCCCACCCCAGACAACTGTAATTGGCTCAAAATGAGTCAATTCAGAATTCCCCAGCCCAAATTGCTTCATCCAAAATTTATGCTGCCAAACGGATCAATCTAGCACAATTGACTCAAAACGAGACAATTGTGTCAGATTGATCCATTAGAATTCCTCATCCAAACGACCCCATAAACAACCTCTTGCATTTTTCAACAAGTGAGGCTGTTATGGTCGCGGGAAAATGGGAAACATGGGTGCTCTAAGATGTTTGGAATATTGAAAAAAGATGATAAGCAAGAAGGTATGCCTGTTCACTGAGTACAAAAAGGAACTAAGGGGCAAACTGGAAAACTGGAGTTCAATGAGCAAATATAATGTAAGTTCCTTCTCTGATGGACAGCTAGGTACTAGACGAAGCAACTGGATCTGAAGCTAGAAGTGTAGAAGATATACAATGAAGATAGTGAGAAAATTTTAAGAGGCATACTTCCTTGTCTTCTTAAGAAGTGTTAGCGCAGGAAAATGGATCTTGCGGTATGCTTCCAATTCTTCTGCTTCTTCTTGGCCTCCACCATATTCACACAATGAATGTGCGACCATATCAATTTCAAATCTCAGGTGCAATGCTAGATACCTCGAAGATTTTACAGCATTGCCACCACCCATTTTCGGTTCTGCATAATAAGGACCAACAAGAGAGTGATCCAGCCGTCCATGATAAGGTGCATGATTCCGCAACCTCCGAAGCAGCAGAGCACCTGCTTCTTGTATTTTGGGAACAAATAATAGCGCATGAAAATTACATCTGCAGCGAAGTCTCTAGATGAAGTCACCCATATTAGGAAGAAAAAAGAGAAAAGGAGTGAATGCTTGCAATCTCGCATACCATTGGTTACAACTGTCCATAAAATTGAAGGAAATAGAGGAAGTAACAAAAAAACAAGAGATTTACCTGCAGATCAAATGGTATTGGATCAAATGCCAAGCGATTCCCAAATCCAACAAAATGCACAACTTTATTCTTATGCAGTAAAGGAAGTATATTTTTCAAATAAAAACTCGGCTTGGCTTCTTTCATAATATCAACATCCGTAACCTGCAAAGGGGTCGCAATTGTCACTTCCATGACTATTGAAGACCAAAAGGCAAGTTTATTGACACAGAAATCAAAGTTGATTGACAAAATGGACTCACAATACTACCAATTGCCTCTAGATCAAGAGACTGCAGCTCCTCAGGAAGTTCCTTCACTATCCGAATATCAGGACTCAGGTACTCTATGAAATGCTCTTCCTGATAGATATCCCCGAATTGACTGGAAAACATTGAAGTTCTTGCCATTGTCAAATCTGATAACTAATACCTTCATTCACAAGAAACAACTTAACGCAAGAACATTGCTCGAGAATCAGAAGGACCACAGAACCAATGTGCTGAGCCAGTCAGTATATGCAACTGAAAACAAATGCTGAAAGGACTAGTTGAACCCTCCTATTATCATAGAACTATTCTCATAAATGCACCACGCAACTTCCTCAAGCATAGTGCAGAAACCAACTTCAACAAAGCATCAAATGAGTAACCAGTAGCTATGCTCTTATTGCAGGGGAAAAAGGATGATTCACCTTACGTCCTTCCAGACACTGCTGTACATGAAGCTAGGAATTACAAGAGTGGAATTCAGCAACCGGGCAACAACAACAGCATTGCAGACCTGTTTCCATAGAAGATTGCTGCACTGTGAGACAGGTGGCGCAGGAGCTATTATAACAAATGCTTATAGAAAAAAGATAGCACTCACAGCTACTCGCTGCTGATTTATCCCACCATTTGCAGTGATCATAATGTAACCGTTGTTTCCCTCTAGTGAACCACAAGAGAAACAAATGTGTCAGAGCCAACCGCTTAACTCGCTGGACTTTGCTATTTTCACAATGCATCCACGGACGCTGTGATACGATAACGAAAAAGGGAGAGCAGAAAGAGAGAAACTCACCACTGCGTGTCCAGTTACGCTGATCAGCACAGGGTGTCCAAGCAGAGGCAGGGATGAATGGCTCTTCCCACAAATCTTTTGGCTCATGCTTATTCTGCATGAAAATGACCTAACATATCAGCCACAAAGCAATTGCGGCGATCAACAATTAAAAGTGCGGAAGAAAGCCAGAGACTTGGATACCTCTGCAAGCGCATGGGCAGCCAAAGCTAACATCCTTGCGTAGATACCATGTTTCCATTTTTTTCCTTTGCCCATTTTTCTCAACTCTTCCTACAATCACCAGAGAGCAAAAAGATGAACAATAGGCACACAGAGGAGCACTAAATGGTAGGTCTGACATTATGCCAATTTCAAAGATCAGCAAGAATTTTTTGAGCCAACAAAGAGATTTGAGCAGATATCGGAGAAGAATTGGGAACACAAATGGAACCCTGAAAATGTAGCTCCGCATTGCATCGGGCAAGAATTTATAGTGGGCATGCCCACTTGGGTAAAAAGAGAAAGGAATTACCTTGAATGAGGAGGGAAGATGGCGAGAAGGATTGATGGAGGAGAGGAGATGAAGAGGTCCACCGCCACCATCATCATCACCAGGATCCTGGAGGCGAAAAAGCATAAACCAATTGAGGAGGAAGAATGAGGCTAGCAACCCAAGTAGGGCGAGCATAACATGGACTCGTCGTCTCCGCTGGGACTTCTTGCGGTGGGACTTGCTAGGAACGCCATGGCCGCGAATTGGAAACGCCCAAGAAATTGCAGAAGCGATGAGGGAGGAAGCGGGTCTGGAGAGGGAAGCGGAAGAGGAAGAAGAGGAGCGGGAGGGAGAATGGAGCAGATCAGGGACCGAAATCTCAGGGGCTCGCCATTGCTCTGCATGGCCGCGAGGAGGTGAGGATGAAGAAGGCATGGTAAGACCCACCAAGGTGATGATGATGGTGGTGAAGAAGAAGAAGATAATGATGGAAGTTTGACTTCCAATTGGATCCTGTTATGATATGGCGGGAGTAGATCTGGTGGGGGTTGTTTGTTCTTCGCTAATTTCAGGCAGAGGAGAATTGAGGGAGACCGAGAAAGAAGCGGTAGCTTGTTCTTTCATCTCCCTTTCGGTGTTGGTCGAGTGTGGGGGTAATTGTTCAACATTCGACATGGTCACTTAATTTTTGACTGGGAACAAAATGGTGACGTAACTTTAAGAAGTGGCAGAACGATCACTTAAGTTCTGTATTATTACAAAATGGTGCCATAGATAGTTGATAGTTCGCTCATTATGTTATGTGACTAACTGAATTCATAACACGACCCAATTCACAGACAATAGAATTTTAACACGACTCATTTGCCATACTCGAAAAACCTTCTCAGTATGTTACTACGCTAACACACATCTCATTTCTCAAGTCAAAGTAGTTTTACAAGATTTGAAGCATTGAAAAATGGTTCTGCCACCATGTCTCTAGTTAGCATAAGAAAAATTCTGCATCAAAGAGGGCCTGAAATGAAATGGAGCAAGCAGAAGAGCACTAGTATTCTGAGACCATCCCACATCATAGTGCAACAAGCGAATAGGCTAGTTCTTTTCGGTTTTACAGAAGGCTAATGCTACTGCTGAGCTGAACATGAAACACAAGTCAGCGAGCTTAATAAAATGGAACTCAGGAGACTTGAGTTGGTTACTCTCTGGTCTGGTCTAAGCTGAGCACAATGATCTCTCCCTCTCCCAAAACTGCCTTCATCTTCCCTTCGTTGTGGACCTCCGCAGCAGCGCAGAAATAATGGTCACCTAGCCTCGCATGTTTAGTCCGAAACACTCTCTTACATATCTCTATCTATAGACTTCTCTACATAATCTCTCGTTGGTTCCTAATCCAATCCGTACCTCTGTTTCAGCTTTCACGCCGTGAGTCAGTTACTACCGGTTAATAGCTACCTCTCTTTCCTGTGCACATTCTCCCAGCAGCTGCAGTGCTGACATGGTCCGATGCATGAAATGCTGCACTAGTAAGCAAGGGGATCCAGCGGAAAAGAAAGAAAAGCTCGTCTTGCCCTCGATTTCATCTCCTTTAAGGATGTGTCATGGTCGACAACAGAAGCGCAGAGGCATCGAAGGGACCCACCACACCCTCGCTCAAAATCCGCATTGCTGCTCCCCTGGAAAACTTTCTCCCGAACAGAAAGCAGGGGACCAGTGTGGCATTGGTGTGGCACCACTCGTTCCGATACTCCGTCTCGTAATAAACATGATTTATCTCCTGCAGAATGAAAGAGATTCTCATAATGAAATACTCATACCAGATTAGATAGAAATGGTAATTGGAATTCTTCATCTCCTTACCTTGATCGCTTTAATCTTTTTTGGGCCAGCACTAGCATAAGTGAACGTAGTAGGATGCCAACCAGTATTCTCCATCTTGTTTGCTGGCTGATTCCACTCTGTGTAAGTCACTGTTCTTCTTTCAAGCTCTTGTTCCAGGTCCTTCATCTGATGATGCAAATAAACAACATTCAACCAACAACTTACATCCTTCACCACCCCCAAGACAATCACCACCACAACCACTGCATATGATGATACGGCTTACCGCAAGCAATGTCTGAACATAATGCTCGTCTGGAATGCAATTATGCTGCTGCTGAAGTTTCTGCAAATGACAAGTAGACGGTTAATCAACAAAGCATGTTCAAAGATAGAATAGACACTTCATCTGGAAAAAGAAGCATCACCAATGTGGAACTTGGTCCGTGACATTCCCCAAGTGATAAGCCAACTCTTCCGTAGTAATACTTATGAAAGTCTACCAATTCCCAACATCAACTTACCCAATTAAGCTTTCCCTTACTGGCATCTACTGGTGGGCGTCGCTGCACAGAATAAACAAGCTTGTAATTAAAGCATTACCCAAGAAGGGCTTAAATAGTCGGGCTTGAACCACAATTCGAGCTACTAGCTCATAACAAGCTTACTCAAGGTAACAAAGAAGATGCATATATAGGATAGAGCCCACACGCAAAGATTCAGAAAGGTAAAACTGCTAGATGTCTGTGGTGGAATAAGGTTGTTTAGAGCTGGAACATCAACATGCTGCACTGCACATCAGAAATTCATTTTATCTACGATACCACCGCGACATTGAATGAGTGCCTTCTTCAGAGGATCCATATAAAAGACAGGAGGAAATACAAACAAAACAAGCAAAGGGGCAAATCATGGTAAACTGAGCAGAGCAACAGAAGACTGCCAGAGCCACCAACCACTTGGCCATCAAACAGGAAAAGAACACTAATAAAAAAAGAGAAACACACGGCAAACAGTGTGGAATGAAAACAACTTCGATAAAACCAATCAAGCACGGAATTCCTAATCATGAAGTCAATCAAGCAGGAAGTCATAATCAGCAATAAGTCAATCAAGAGGCAGTACCTTGCAAAACTTCTTAAAAGCTGCCAGTACACCATCATCATCTACAACCACTTCGGCATGACTCCGGACCAAGGTTATCCACTGCAATCAAAAGAGACGTCATTGTTTGTAAACGGTCCAGACAGCCATATTGTTCATAACTAGGATGACAGCATTCTGTGAGCAGTAAGCTACCAATAAGTGCAAGGTTGCCTATGGTTTGCAACAACTGCTAGGAGCAGGTGGGCAGAGTTGGATAGATTGCTACAACGCATAAGGCGTTTATGCTCCATTACTCAAGTTCAAGTGCATAAATTGAGAAGTGAGAACTACACAACGAATAGACTATTTGGGCAGATAACACAGTTTCTAGCGCAACAGATAACCACATCAAGGTCCGAGGTAACTGCTTGTATATCCATTATTATTCATCAAGGGATGTGAAAGATACCTGTGATCCTTTTCGCCATTTCTCCATGGGTATAACAGGTGACATCTTTTGGTTGTAGCGGCCTTCCTTTGTGTCAAGGAAACTAGAACACAAAGCAAACATGTGAAAGATAAAAGTTAGTTGAGGCACATTATAGTAATATAAGGAAGTGAAACAACCGGATTGATTAAAAATCAACAGTGCGTGGGCACCTCAAGAATCAAAGGCCTTCCATCTACCTGTCCACGAAACTCCTGGGGGAAGCCATCAAGTAGTTGTATATGTAACTAAAGTTGTACAATGGCACACAACTGCAGCATTAGGGAGGAGATTAGAAAGTTGATAGCTAAAAGAGGCCATGATTGTTAGCAATGGATGCAGAAAGTAGACAACTTTAGATCCCAGGAGGGAAGTAGAAGAAAGATGGGTTGTGGGTCCACGAGGCTTGGAGCTCAAATGATGAGGAAGAGAAGGATGAGACGAACCTGTCGGAGAGGAGAACAAAACGTTGATTAGCAGGATCATCCAATGCAGCTGAAAGTAGCAACTTCTCTGCCTCAAGCATACTCGATTCTCCCCATGCCACCTGAGAAAAACATCAAACGATTGAGTCCCAGCAATTCTACGTAGTAACTTCCTACCATCATTTATCCAATTCACTCTACTCTGCCTTCTGATGGTGGAAAAAAAATCGGACCCTTTCAGCCATTTGAGAGAGAATGAGAATGACCCACCTGAATAGAAGCGTTGAGTTGCCGACCGTATAAGTGACGGGATTTGGAGGTGGATTCGTCGAATTGGAACCCAGGGGTGGAACTGTGCACGAAGACGGAGAATTTAGCCACGTCAGCACCCTGCAAACACACCCACAAACAAATTCAGCCAAAAACACAAGACCCATACCAATCAATTGGATTTGAGCAGGGATGGGGAAGTGGGTACGTCGAAGAAAGCTCCCCAGAGAAAATCGAGGGGGACATCACGGCGGACGAGGAAGAGGAAAACAATCTTCGGCGGTCCTCGGAAGCTGAGAGGGAAGGGAGACATCCTCCTCCTGGCGGCGGAGATTCTTACGGTGTCGGCGGCGGAGGAAGAGTAGTACAAGTGGAGGTTGAAGATGGCGAGGAGAGAGAGGCAGAGGGAGAGGAGGACGGGGAGCTTCCAGCACATGGAAAAGCGGCGGTGGGGAGGGACCGCTTGAGCTTGGAAGATTTTCCTGGTCATGATTCTTAGTCTTCCGCCGCCGCCGAGAGGAGGGAGCGACATCAATCAACCAACGGCGGATTGACTGATTCTTTCTCCCACCGCAATAATTTGCGGGTGGGGACAAACAGTGAGAAAAGACAAAATCTGTGAATCTGAGGAATGAAAACAACGGGGAAAATTGAGAAGGAACACAAGGGAAGAAGAAGAAGACGAACAGAAAGCAAAACAAAAATGGCGAACCAGCAGATAGAGAGAGAAGGAGAGTGACGTCTGGTTCAAGGTGTCCAGCTAGCAGAGCAGCACACAGCTCACATGCCCACGCTATCAGGCAGACAACCCGCAGTAAATCTTCTTCATCACTTTCCCGCCGTCTACGAAAAAGGAAAATCGTTACGCATCATTTTCTTTTTCATAAAGAATTGAAATAGATAGATGAATGAACAATCAACAAAATTAAACATGGTCGGTGGGCGCGTGCACGTGTACGCCCCTCGCCAGTCGGGTCAAACCAACCCGCCGACTTCGTTGATGGATCCCGGCCAGCCCAGCCCAGATCCGACAGCCCGCCGACCAGGCCCATTAATACTAGCTGAACCAGAAAAAAGATAATTACAGGAAGAAAAAAAATGGAAGGACAAGAAGGTTCGTTTTATAACGATTTTGGTAAAATTAGGACGATAAATAACAACCCAATGTTAAACAGATCGACTAACATAATACATAATAGTACACAAAGATTTCGTCATCGGACAGTAGTCCGTGAAGCATCAGGATTGGGCTTGGACTTGGGCTTGGGCCCCTTCCCGCCCAAGATCACGTTCAGTATCTTTCCTGGAACGTATATCGTCTTGATGATGGGTTTCCCCTCAAGGAACCTCGAAAGCTTGCTGTCCTGGGATGCAAGCATGAAAGCTTCCTCCTCCGAGCAACCTTCGTCTACCTCCACGGTTCCTCTCGTCTTTCCGTTCACCTGAACTGGAAGGACTTTCTTTGCATCCTTCAGGTACTCCGTCCTCGCCTGTGTCGAGCATTGCATGTTAAACCATGCATACAAGGATAAAAGTGAATTTCTTTTTCTCTGTTTTTGTTTACCTCTGGAAATGGTTCGTAAGCTAGTGTGCTGGAATGCCCCAGACGAAACCAAAGCTCCTCGGCTATGTGGGGCGCATATGGTGCCAAGACGAGCACGAATGCTTCGGCTATGCTTCTTGGGAGGTTGTCCCACTGCCAAACATAAGTACTTGTGTTACTGAATCTTCACTGCCAAAACCATGAGAAGAAGAAGACGATGATAACAGAGAGGATGCTGAGTTTTACTAAACCTTGTTGGCTGCATTTACGAACTCCATCATTGCAGAAATCCCAGTATTGAATCGCGTGGCTTCAATTTCCTCGGTTACCTGTTACCCAAAAAGAAAAGTTACTTCAATTCAGCAACCAAAAGATAAATATTCACACAGAACAATCTCCTTCCCTATGTCTCTCTCCAAATTTCTCACCTTGGCTATGCATCTATGCAGAGAACGGAGCTGCTCAAAGCTAGGTTCGACATCAACCGCCAAGCTCCCATCTTGGAAACTGCCATCAGCTAGAGGCGAGCCAACAATCAACCTCCAAGTTCTCCCCAAAAAACGATACACACCTTCGATGCCACTGGTGTTCCATGTTTTTGTATCCCTACAACCACCACCACACTCCATCTGTCTCAGCATTTGTTTATTCAAATCATCCACTTTCTTATCCTAAACCTTATACAGGGAGGGAGTTAAAAGGTACCTGAAAGGCCCCATGAACATTTCATATAATCTCAAAGCATCAGCACCGTACTCCCCAACAACATCGTCAGGGTTCACAACGTTGCCCCTGCTTTTGCTCATCTTGTGTGCTCGTGCCAACACCTGGACTCCAGGATTATCATCCAGGACAAACCCATCTCCAGATTTCTTCACCTGCACGTCCAATAGAAGGAAAAGCTAACCCCTTACTAGTAATTCCACCAGAGTCTATCCAAAAATAGAAAAGGGAATGCAATGCAGCACCTTTTCCTCAGGGATTACTTCCTGATAAAGTTCATCAGATGCATCAACTGAGTCCGCGGACACATAGTTGCCATCTTGGTCTTTGAAAGCTGTGTATTGAACCTGCAAGTTCCAGCGTTTTTAATTATTCTATTTTAGGACTACTACTTGCTCACAGAACCAGTTGCCAGAACTTACTTCCCCAAGGATGATTCCCTGGTTTATCACGCACTTGAAGGGCTCTTTGGTTGATACAATACCAATGTCGTAAAGGACCTGAAATATAACAGAAAAGGGTTTCATTCATAGAGCTTAAACTGCCTAGATGTTTGGGTTAATGTACATATGCTTAGGTTTTATTTTACTATATTTCAGAATGGGAGTATAGAGTGCTTATAAATATATGTATTCATGAGACATAATCATCCTAAATTAACTAACTCTTCTTAGCCTCATGCATGTGTGAGTTTAGATGCAGACCTTGTGCCAGAATCTTGAATAAAGTAAGTGGAGAACAGCATGTTCAGCACCACCAACATAGACATCAACAGGGCTCCAATAACTACAGGGGGAAAAAACATCCATATCCATTTATATTAGCTAAGTGGTACCAAGACGGCCTAAAGAAAATAATTAACTTCAAAAATGATTGATCATATAATAAAAAATACTGACTTACATTTCTTTCCTCTTGTCAACTAATTCTTTGGAGTTTCTTGGGTCCATGTATCTCAAATAGTACCTGTACATGGTCTCTGAACAATCAAGGAAAGCACGCAGAATTTTATGGCTTAAAGACAGAAGCTTGAAATTATATAACTTTATAGGACAAGGAATTGACACTTTACATGATAAAATACAAAGAACTCGAACTTGGCCGAGTTTTAAACTTTACCAGCAAGAACCTGCCCACTGCGGCATGGTACTTGTTTCTCTTCTGGCAGCTTTTCCGGACAAAGGATCAACAGTGTTAACCTGGACAGAATTCCCCAATCTACAGTCATTAAGTGGGGGAAATGGATTCCAAGTAAATATGACAAAGACAAATGACAAGCAGCAAGTCATCCTATACAATTACTGGTACTGCCAAATTATTTACTGCCTATACATCTCTATACGAGACTAGGGAGTAACATAAGCCATGCAGCCATTCCAGATATTTTCAAGAATTGAACAAACACCTTCCTTCTTCATTGTCGTTTCCCTCTATTTACCAATGCATATCATGATTCTAATTTTCCAGACAAACTTGAAAGAACCAAGGAAGATAAAATGCACATTTCGAACAAGACTAACATACCCAAGAAACAGCTTTTGTTAGGGGTGGCTCTCCAGTCCCGGTGGGAGTAAAATCATCCAATTCTGGAAGCGTAAGAGGAAGGTCACTTTCTGGAAGGGGGATGCTTTCACCAGTATCTTCCAAGAAAACAACTGGAATAGGTTCCCCCCAATAACGCTGCCTTGCAAAAAGCCAATCCCTCAACTTGTAGTTCACCTGAAGAAAAAATGACTCAGCGAGTCAGCTGCACTGTACACAAAACACATAATATACTATCTCTATCTAGCAAGAATACTGATGTTCTGCTAATTAACAGTAACAAAACCTTTCTCGTCCCACTTCCATATTTCTCAGCCCATTCAATGACTTTGGCAGCTGCTGCTTTGCTAGGTAAGCCATTGATGTCAAGACCAGACGTCGAATTTGCTGAGTTCACAGCAGTGCCTTCGCCTGCAAAAGCCTTACTTGAATCTATACAATGGTCACCATCTGGCTTTACAACCACGCACACTGATATGCTGTATTTGGCAGCAAATTCATGGTCACGAGTGTCATGTGCAGGCACAGCCATGATTGCTCCTGTTCCATAACTGTAAAGAACACTAGTTACTACACTGTACCATTGCCAGCACTCTAGCTAGCTAATGATAACACATGCCAATAAAGTCCGGAGATAAAAAGAAAATGCCAACAACGGGATACTTATACTTCATAACACATATCAGAGTACGAAAACAAAAGTAAGAATACGACCAATCATACCTCCCCAAAACATAATCGGCAACCCAGATTGGGATTGCTTCCCCATTAGCTGGATTTCTAGCATAACAACCACTGAAAACCCCAGTTTTTTCCTTGTGGAGCTCAGTCCTCTCCAGGTCACTTTTCCTAGAAGCAAGGTCTGTATATTCCTCCACCTGTGATTGGTGACCAGTCTGTCAGAGGTGATAAACAAGTGAGAATGAGTATTACAAGGAAGTGATTACATACCATTTTGCTTTGGCCAACAGAAACTGTTGTTGAAAGCAGGGAATGTTCTGGTGCCACAACCAAATATCTGCATAAAAGTAAGCAAAGAGAGACATAAAAAAGAATCCAGCAATTGGGACTGTCCACAAAGTTTACATCAGAAACAGAAACAAATGAGTAAGAAAAGTACGTCACTCCGAAAATGGTATCAGGCCTCGTGGTATAGACAGTGATTTTTACATCTCTTTCATTGGCATCTTCATCAAGAACACAAAATTCCAGTTCAGCCCCTTCAGATCTCCCAATCCAGTTTCTTTGCATCTCTTTTATGCTTTCAGGCCAGTCAAGTTCGTCTAGGTCTCGGAGAAGGCGATCAGCATAGGCAGTAATCTTGAGCATCCATTGCCTCATTGGCTGCTTGGTAATAAACAATGACACTGTAGAATTATAAAACAATTCAACAAAATGGAAGAAGAGAACTGAATAGAATCATATAAGTGACGTAACAAGTGTTTGTTTCACAAAACCTTTCTTATAACCGGATGACCCCCACGTTCACTAACTCCATCCACCACCTCCTCATTTGCCAAAACTGTTCCAAGAGCAGGGCACCAATTGACAGGCACTTCTGCCTGGTATGCCAGTCCTCTTTTCAGGAGCTGAAGAAAAATCCACTGTGTCCATTTATAATAATCAGGTTCCGTGGTAGAAATTTCCCGGTCCCAGTCATAGGAAAATCCCAAGGATTTGAGCTGCAACACAACATCAAAAGCAACAAACTCCAACTCTCAGTTATATAAAAGGCTGTAGCCATAAGCTGTAAAGCTAAAGATCGATTACAAGGAAGAAATTAGGAACAATCGGAAGAAATAAGCAACTAGAAATAAGAAAACAGAGACATGGACCTGCGAACGAAATCGGTTGATGTTCTTTAACGTTGTGAGTTTGGGATGTGTCCCTGTCTGCAAGGAATATGACGAGAAGCACCTAATCAAACAAAACGGTAGACTTTTTCGCTTCTCTTAGAATGTGGTATAGCCAGAATGATCAGGTACCAAGAAAACAACTGGGGTGATTCAATGGCTTACATCAATGGCATACTGCTCAGCGGGCAAACCAAATGCATCCCAACCCATTGGGTGCAAAACGTTATAACCCTGCATTCTCTTGTACCTAGCAAGAATGTCGGTAGCAGTATAACCGAGTGGATGGCCAACATGTAAACCTGCTCCACTGCAACAATAAACCAACCCACATCAATATATTGGTTGGTTAACATCAGAACATCATCCATCAAGCAGATAGACTTAAACGTAGTACAAATTCAAACACATTCTCGCACAGTTTAGGGCAACAATCAACCAACTCAAATGCTGAATCATAAAGAAATGATCAAATTGGTGAAAAGGGAACGAAGTTAGCAGAGAGACAGAGGGTAAAGACCTGGGATAAGGGAACATGTCGAGCACATAAAACTTGGGCATGGAGGTATCCACTTCATCGGGGGTCCGGAAAATGGAATTCTCTTCCCAGTAGAGCTGCCATTTGGGCTCAATTTCATGGAAAGGGTAAGCTCGATTGGGCGCTTGCTTCTGCCGCTGATGTTGCTTTTCTTCACTCAATTGTCGACTCACTCCGGCGCTGCAATTGCAACTCAGAACTTCCGTCCGCGAAGTTTGAAACGTCCATCGACGAGACCGAGACCGAGACCTCCGGCGTGACGAAGAAGGGAAGGGAAGGGAAGGGAGGAAGAAGGTTGGAACTTGGAGCTGGAAGGAAGTGAACCTAGAACCTATCATTACTTCTCTTCTAGTGTGCGCCCCCCGCGAGAAGAATTCAGATTGCCGGGAAAGCACTCCAGTCACTGCCGCCGATTCGCCGCCTCTGCGGCAGTTTCTGTTCTGCTCCGGTTTTGCGTTGTTGATAACGTCTCCCTTCTCTTTCTCCCTCTCCCCGCCTTCACTCTTTTTCCCTTTGGTTGGCGCTTTGCTAACAGAATTTTTTCCTAATTAAGCGTCCCAGTATGGGCCTACATGGTCCTTAAATCTATGGCCTATCATTGGACCCGTCCTCGATAAATGAATCTGGGCTTATCTTCTGAACGGCTCGGCCCGCAAAAGATTACGAGATATGAATGGGCCCTGGGTCTGGCATTGGAAGGAAGGTTAGGGGTGTGCAATAGTTCATACAAAACCAAATTCATGGAAATTTTGATCCAATAGTAAAAGAGATTATAGGATCAAGGGTCGAATCATTATTGCATTCAATCTGATTTGATCCAGTTCGATCTCATTCCAAATATCAATTCAATTCATTTATATTGAATATTTATATAATTTATAGGACCAACAATCCGACCGTATTATACTCGATTCGACATGTTTGGTCCGGTACAATCTGGTATGGACTAATCCGTTTGCACACCACTAATTGGCAGAGACCGTTAAGCACTCTTATAGTGCGTTTAAATCACCCACTCTAATACTAAGAATCGTCCTCGTGCTACGATGTTTTCCGTATTAAACACGAGTGTCATGTCAAGATGCATATCGATTATAGAGGGAAGAAGCGATCCAGCCTGCATACAGTAGTTGGAAAAACACGAATACGAGTTATCAAAGAGCACTAGTGATACGACGTCGCAGAGCTGCAATGGGCTTGGTGGTCTTGACGCCCACCCAAGTGACCAGATCCCCGACGCCGTACTGAGAAAGCCGCGCTCCAGGATCGCCACACTTGACGCCGCCGCAAAACAGCTCCATATCCTCGGCTCCAATGTCGTCCACCCCGGTCCCACGCAGCTGCTCGACGACGAGCCTCCTCAAATCCGCCACGGAGTCGAACTCGTAGCAAGGGATGGGATACCCCAAATTGTCGTAGTCGGTGAACCGCGCCATGACGTTGATCTTCGCGATGTCCACCGTCAGCCACGTCATCTCTCCTCCGGCCGGGATCCGGTAAGAAGCCAGCGTCCGGTGGCCGGGCTGCATCGTCGTCTGGTAGGGCATCAGCTTGAGGGTGATCCGCTCCGGCGCGATCCCGAAGTCCTGCGAGTAGAGGTGGCAAAATGTACATGAATCAGGTCTTGGATCAATATGTAAAATTTTAGAAAGTTTAGTTACTAAAATTTCATAATAAAAAAATTATATATCTAAATGGTTTGATTATAACCTGCAGGATCATCTGCTTCAGCTGCGCCACCGTGGTCGACGGAGGGAGGGAGTAGCGGTGCTTCCATCTTGCCTCGAAGTCCAGTTCCATGAGGCAGTTGTTGTTGTTGTTGCTGCTGCCAGCTGCCGCCGCCATCGTTGTTGTTGATGATCGATTAGAGAAGGAAAGCTGTATATTAATTGCGTTGTAGGGTTTTGGTGTTTTAATTTGGGTATATATTGCAGAGGATCATGGAAAATGAGAGTGTGTGATGATGATGTGATCGATCGATCTACGTACGTACACCCAAAACGTATGTGTGATCTAGTCTTCTTCTCCAGCCATGCATGCATGTAGCTTGCGCTTGTGTTTAGTGATGGCAATGGAGCGGGGCGGGTACCTCAATTCTCATGCCCCGTCCCACGCTATTACGGGTCGGGGCGGGTAAAACTCGCGTGGGTACGGGGCGGGGAGGGTCGACCCACTCTTACATGTTGTTAAAAAAAAAATACAAGTACATTTTACTTTTTACAATAAAACGTTGGGAAAAACACTTTAAGAATGAAAAATATTGATAATAGAATGGATAATTGAGCCTAACAAGTTGAAAGATCGACTCTAACTAGTTGAAGAAAAGTCAAAATAGGAGAAATATGTATAGATATTGTAAGAAATTGAGATAAAATGAGTATAGAACAGGGCGAGGTGAGGCAGGGCGGGTCGGAAGTAGATAAACATGCCCCGCCTCACGCTACTGCAGGTCGGATAATACCCGCCCCATCGCAAGTCAGATCAGATAATACCCACAGGGCGGGTTGAAATTGCCATCACTACTTGTGTTCGATGGCGATAGAAGGGTTGCATGATGATTTGCATGATGGCGAAAATGGCATCATTCATTCATCGTATTCTTGTTTTTCAACCGTATTCGTGTTTAATTAATACAAAAACATCAAATAAACGGGAGACATGAGGTGGCTAAATGTTTAATTCAACCGTATTCGTGTTTAATTCATCATTCATACAAATAAATGAAATGTTCATAAGGTGGCTAAACCATCTATGACAATTAGGAATGTGCAAAGAGTTTGGTCCATACCGGATTGCACGGGTATTATATTATGATACCGCTCTCGTATTGTTGGGGTCGGTTAGCTTGCTAACCCCATAAGGTTGAAAAATGACACTCCCTTAATATTAAATGCTAACTTATATAATTTAACACTCATATTAAATACATATAGAAACTAGCGTGGGCCCCGGCCATTTGGCCGGAGGAAGGTGAGGTATGAATAATGTAATGGTGTGTATAGCTTATTGTTGTATAGTTTTTTTTAACACGTGATAAAAATGGTGAATTTTAGTAGGAAAGAGACATGAATGATTCAACGAATAAAAAATCAGCCTTATGAACCAAAATCAAGTACTTGTTACCTTGTGAAACAATATTGTTTATGGTAATATGATGAGGTGGAGTAAGTTCTATGAAAACCGAATTCCAGAAAATTGAATAAAAAATCGCCTATCCCGCCGGTTTTCGGGAAATGAGCATCTCACAATCGTTGTTGGCCGATTAATTTGCTTTTTAAAACTTTCATCTTGTCATCATTGTACTTTCTGGTTTTTTGCCAAGCCATGATAAAATCTAAAGAAATCAAGAATGAACAGCACGATTTGGGATAGGAACCACCGTTCCTGTATCCCTAGAAAATGGTGGTAAACACGGACTCACCTCCCAAACTGGTTTGGATTGAGTTTTTTATCGGGTATCAGGGAACAATGTGATTATAAATTAGACTTGATTAAAACCGGCCAAAACTTGAAATTCAACCTGTTTGACTGACCCATGCCAAACTCTAATTATTCTTTACATTTAAACTTTCTATTTGAAAATAAAAAATAATAAAAGAAAAGAGATGACTGCAATTCGCCATTTTCACATCACTGATTCGGGAATAAAACTGTAGAATTTCGAAAGGAAACTGAAAATGTTTAGGATCGTTTTAATATTAAAAATAACCAAATAGATCTTTTTGTTTAATTTTTTACTAACAAATACCAAATGATTCCCTATAATATACACTATAATTTAATCATTATGATATCAAATAATTACATAATATATATTTGAAATGATAAAAATTGGACTAATTGGGTTGGTCGAGGTTGAACCATTGAATAACTTTTAAAATACATTATATTTTAGCCACTAAGATATAAAATAATAACATAATATATATTATGCTAAAGAAAATAGCTTGTTTTAGAATGACAAAGGCAAACCCAAGATGTTCATTTGTTTTACCTGATGGGCAAATCCCGTGTAGGTCAGGCCCATTCAACTCTTTTATTTTATGATTAGCGATTAGCCCATTAGAATCGGCATTAGTTTATTGTTAAATTTTTTTTCTTTTTAGCAATAAAAAGAGTTTTTTTTTGTCTTTTCATATATATTTTACCACCATGGAGAAATAAAAGGACTTAAAGAAAAAATTTGACACTCCTGGACCCGTTTAAATCCGCATGTGTACGGTAATTTGGCCCGTTCCACAGAGGAAAAATAAAATAATTGACACTCCCTATTCTACCCTTCCTACAAACACTCTTGGAGTAGGGAATTTGAAGGGGGAAGAGTTTTTTCCTCTCTGCGATTATATATTTTTAATTTAAAAAGATGCAACAAATGTACTTAGTGTGATTAGTTATGATCTTTGTTTTTTCTTTAAAGTGGTAATGGTTCGAATCCTAGTAAGTGTCTTTTTAATGAATAAAAAAAAGTAATTGTGAAGACCAAAATGTCCTTCCTACTTTCACTCTAGATGCAGGAAATTTGGAATGGGGCTTCAAGTTTTATCATTTGACTTTTATTTATTGTGTAGATTTAAATACACCATATTAATTACTTGTTTTTTTTAATTGAAACCTTCACTAAATACAATTCTCTCTCCCTATCTCTTATTCTTCATTTTCCACCAGTCTCCGACCGCCACACTTCTCAGGTGAAATCCCGCCGACAGACTCTCTCCGGTCACCTACAAAAATGTATCAGTGCAGTGATATGTTGAACCACTATACTGATATTTGTACCACTGCATTTAAACTCAAATCTGATATTTGTACTAGTGCATTGATATCGCTACCGGTGCATTGGTAACACTACTAGTGCACTGGTGCAAAATATCATATCTGAGTTTTAGTGCAGTGGTACAAAAATCATAACTGGAAATCGAAAATTCGGATCTGGAAATTTATACTTGCACGGAGAGGAGATGGGGAGAGGAAACGACGGCAACAGGATGAGAGGGAGGAGAGAAGTGGGATTACTAGCTTTTTTTAGAGAGAATTGTATTTAGTATAGGTTTAAATTTGAAAAAAGCAAGTAATTAATATGAGGTATTTAATTCCCAATGTGTATATAATGTGAGTGTTAAATTCTACAACTTTCATGAATACTTGCCAAATGATTGAGGGAAAATGGACCCAATGAGGAAGGGGGTGTCAAAAATCAATCTTTGAAGGTAGTCACTGTATCCTACCCCTGTATTGTTGTTATATTATGGTGCCTACCCCATGAATTTGGTGCCATATAAATGTCAATATTCTATAAATCGCTATGTTATATATGAGTTGGGCTACTGTGCTAACACTTTTTTTGTTAGTATGGTACTAACACTAGCTCCAACCAATAGAAACATCTCGTTTGGATGACTTTTTCATTTAAATGAGTTGACCACAATTAATGAAGTGGAAGGGACGGAGGGGCACGCTGGTCATTAAGAAAATATGGGGGAAGGGAAAGAGGGAGTCACGTGTGCAATTAAATGGGGAAGGGAAAATCCACCCAAAAAACCCTATAATCCTACTACGGGTTGGGTGAATTTTAGTTTCAAATAGATCCACCAGCTTACTATCCACCGACATTATTCTGCGGGTTGGATTGGGTGGGTGGCGGATGGGTGCTGTTGGATTGTGGGTTAACCAGCAAAAATAATTCTCCAATTAGCCATTTAGAAAGTTTACTGACATTTATAATAAGTTTCTTGTAAATTAGTAAGATTTTATCAATTCATACACCTCTCACTTTATCTCATGTGAATCCATGTAGTATTGGTATCAAAATTTTCAATACTACATCAACCAATGGTATAGAGAAATTGACAAAATGGATAAAAATAAATCATTTGTAATTTACATCCAATATCGAATGGATACAATAACCAATGATAGTAGCCCAAAAATATTCTTTATTCTCTATTTTTAGAAGTAGATGGTCAGTGTGTAGTGCAGTTAGGAAATATAATGAATATTCGATAGCAAAAGAAACAACATTTTGTCATGTGAAAAATATTGTGCGGGTCATTCGGTTGACCCCCAATCCACCCATCACCCACTAAGTGCGGTTCGGGTTATGTGCGGGTGGATCGATATCAACCCACGGATCAACCACCCATGTGCCCACCCCTAAATCCTATCTAGAAATCAGAGAATCCTCTCCACAAATAATCATCTCCACAAACCACATAATCCTCCCCACAAACCAATTCACCCCACAAACCGCAAAATCTTCCCCACAAACCACAAAATCCATCTCACAAACCACGAAATCCAGTCCACAAATTTCTTAAAGTGGCCCGGAAGTTCTTTAACAACGGACCTGTTTGTAAAATTTTATAAGTTCAGGTACCAAAATGTAATTTTTCATCAATATTTTTTTATGCGAAATAAAAAACTTGCATTAAGCTCAGGCAACCATCAGAAAAAAAAACTTGATGTGCACAACCAAACGTTCCAGTAGGGAAAAACACTACAATGGAGAAAACTATTTTCGCTATAACCTATCTATATGCTCCAATTCAGTCTGAAGAACAGGATCCCCAGACACTCTATACAAAACATCACTATGAATTACTTTCAATAACTCAATAGGAAGCTTAATTGTCTTCGTTCCATATAGCCTGGTACATCGCTCTCGCCAAACAGGACTTGGGGTCGGGCACCAAACCTGTACAAACTATAATTTTTCATCAATATTTTTAGGACTAAAATGTAAAAAAATTTAATTCTAAGCACGAAATATTAAGATTTATTAAATTTGGGGTAAATGCCACATTTGGCCACTGAGATTACTAAATCGTGTCATGTTTAGCCACTAGAAAAATTTAATATCAATTTTGGTCACTCGAATTAATAAAACAGGTCACATTTGGTCACTCTCCTGTAGCCTCCGTCCAACTACGGTCACTCGAATTATTGAAACATGTCACATTTAGTCACTCGAATTACTGAAACATGTCACATTTAGTCACTCTCCCGTTAGTTCCCGTCCAACTCCATTAAATTTTTCTAGTGACTAAACATGACACGATTTAGTAATCTCAGTGACCAAATGTGGCATTTACCCATTAAATTTGAGTATCAAAACTGTAATTTGTATGTATAAACATATGACGTGAGAAAGAAGAAGGGGTAATTACTATGGTACCCTTAATGAAAGTGTTAGTATGAAGGTTGTTAGCACCCTATCTCCTCCAATATATATTATTATTTTCTGTCGTTATAATTATGATTAGTTATAACTATGATTATGATTAGTAGGTCGGCGATATAATTTGCCGGGAATTAGTTTTTTAGGGAGATAGAGTTCGAGTAGGATTGGTAAGGGTTAGGCGGTGTCATTAGCATTAGGGTTTTGGATTGTTCTATATATGTGTTCTTCTATCTTTAGGTTTATAATCGACGGGTAAAGTAAAACCCTATTTTGTTCTTACTTTTCTTAGTTTCTTCGTAGAAATAGTTTAGAAGAGCTTTTGAGTTTTGTGAGTATATACAACAATTGGTATATAGCTGGTTGATTTTCAATCTGATTATCATAGTGATCACTATGAGAGATTGATAGTATTGAGATTTGATGCTAGATCTACACGAAGTAGGTTGCTGAAATAGTCATTCGATTTTCAGAGGAGTTCCGGGCATCGAAAGAAATCTTGTCCAACATATCGTCAACCATCAGCTCTGCCCATTGTTTTCGAGCAACCGACACTGGTTGTTGAATTCCCTCCTCTGCCGCTAGGCATGCTTCTTTGCTAGTTGTCGACGTTTCACCTTCCATCATCTAGGACCATTCCAACTGTTGTTCTTCTTATCGCTTTCAACGACTCTGCCAAGATTTCTCAGGAAGCCTGGATGTTTTTCTCTATGTCAAAGAAACTTCGATTCCAAGCTTCCAACGATGAGGGTTTGAGGTGATTGCACTCCGATTTCTTACGTCTTCGATTTCAGCTTTTTTTCTCAAAATATTGCATCTCAAACCCTTCTTTTGCCACATTCAGTTCATCACAGGAGCTAAAGTGAGAAGGGATATAAACAATGATCAATTAGCAATCCGGAAGTTTTGTATGAAGTCGTGCCACCATAAGATCTTTCATCACGCGTTACTAGTTCTAACCCTCGAGGACAAGGTTGGTGTTCGAGGGGAAAAGACTTTCTTACCACTGAAGACCGCCACATCACCACCAACCAATCGGTCCTTTCCTTGTTTCAGTAGGATCTCTTTCTTTGTTTAAAGCCTAATTTACATTGTTTCCTTCTTTGTTTCGCTATTATTATTCGTTGATAAGAATAAAATTAAACGTATAAACCATATTAATTCTTCAAATAAATTCATTTACTTGTTTTAGTGTGATTTCTTTCCTTGTTTAGCAGCCTTGGGCTATGGTAAGTCTTTATGGGTATTTAAGACTTTGATTGTCGTGTCACCACCATATTAAACGTATAAACCATATTAATTCTTCAAATAAATTCATTTACTTGTTTTAGTGTGATTTCTTTCCTTGTTTAGCAGCCTTGGCTATGGTAAGTCTTTATGGGTATTTAAACTATAATTTTTTATGTTTCCTTCTTTGTTTCATTATTATTATTCTTTGATAGGAATAAAATTAAACATATCAATCATATTAGTTCTTCAAATAAATTCATTTACTTGTTTTAGTGTGATTTCTTTATTTGGTTAGCAGCCTTGGGCTATGGTAAATCTTTGTGGTTATTTAAGACTTTGATCCTTCCTTGTTTAGGCTAAGATTCCATCCAAACCTTGTAAATACAAGGCTTAAAATGGAGAAAATTACCCTTTGATAAATGAAGCTTTGTTTTTGGTACTCAAGTCTTGAAAATTTGTCCTATCATCCCCCTTTGATGCGTTACTACATGCACTTAATATTCAGTTCTTTATATCTATATGTGTGGATGGAATTCCACCCTTAGCTCGTGCATTCAGTTTACTAACATTTGTCTTTTAGGGATTTTTCCTTTTTCGCACTCTGACTAACAAAATTTCATCGTGACTTTCTTTGTGCTTTAGATATTCCGGAAAGGAACAACCAAGAACGAGAGTTCATAAGATGGTTGTTGGTCAAATCACAAAAGAAAAAGAGAAGTATCTTAGTCAATAAGATGCTGAGCTAACAATAAAAAAGACATATTTTACCACGATATGAATGTCCCTTTCTACCTATGAGAATTGAAGAGCATAAAGAAGTGATGCTCTTTATGGCAAAGTAGAGAAGATCTAAACTTCACCTAACAGAGTACCACCCAAATTCAGCGTTCGAAGAACGACATTGAAAGACAAACAACCCACCCATGGCTCTAGATATTTCCTCGTCGAAAAATTGATCGAGGAGGTGGGATATCGTAGCAAAAGAAATAAAGCTCCAGGTATATATGTTTACTTCTCTTTTGATGATAGTGTCTAATACAGAGCATGTATGTTTCATTTTTCAATTTTTAAGTTAGAAAAAGCGTTGAAACAAACACAATTTTCCTTTTATAAAAAAAAATTGCCTCAAAACTCGCAAATTATCAAAATCTAAATTTTATATCTCTGTAATTAAGAAATTAATTAACAAATTTAGCGAATAAGAGTTTGGACTAGTAATATCACTAATTTTGTACTTGAAGGTCCCTAGTTCAAATCATTTCAATAGCACCTAACTATAAAAATCAACTCATGTCACTCTTATAAAAAAAATATTCATAAATTTATACTTATTTTAATATTTCTCATAGTCTACACTAGTTTATTGTTAAACAAATTATACACCCATACCCTCAACTATCTTTTCTAACAATAAGAAATAACGCACATCTCATTAATTTGGAACGGATTAGGTGTGTAACCTTTAGGTATAATAAATCAATCTATCATCATTAATTCCAAATCATTCTCAACGGTATGTTTTTTTTATTATATAAATAGAGCTGCAACCTTCTATTAAATGTTGGTGGATGCAAGTTACAGTTTGTCCTCAATTGGAAGAAAATAAAACTTTTGGGTCTCTCCAACCATTTTTCTTTCCCATCCTAATTACAAAGTGTGTGGGCAAGAATGTGTGTCGATTCAATTACTCGTCTTTCCCAAAATCTCCACTCTACCACATTCATTTCCTTCGCATTCTCTAATTTCTTCACAAACACCTCCAATTTCTAAAATTGAATCATCTTCTCGATTCAATTTTGCTAACATCGTGAGGCAGTCAGTTTCAATTATCACTGGTCAGAGATCATGTTGCTCGGCAAAGATTAAGGCCCAGAGGAACGTTTGAGCTTCCACGATCTCTGGGCTCCATCACCGGTGATCTCGTCTAACTGTCGCCACCGAGAAGTTCTCAGAGTAGTCTCATACCACAAAACCCATCCCCGTTTCTGCACCTCGAATGACCGTTGCATCAATATTCATCTTCAATGTCACCTGCGGTGGTGGCTCCTAGACATACATACGATGTTCCAGATATAGTGTCACTGGCGTGGTCTGGTGCTCGATGAATTTCTCCAAGTAATTTCTAGATCTACCATAAATCTCCCATTCTTCCAATTTTGCATTATTGAACAAGTGATTGTTGCGTTCTCTCCATATAAACCCTAAAAGTATAACAGATTGTTGGATCTGATTATCATCATAGGTTTCTAGTACTTCCATAGCCAGTCCTCACATGTTGCTTCTGCCCCAATCTCAAACATTTAGGTCAGCGATTTCGAACTTTATATTCTGCTTGTCCACACACAGTCACAAAAAATATGTTCATGTTTTTAGAAAGCCCACAAAACGGACACTCATTGGAGAAGTTCTTAAGAATTATACCCAAAGTTTCTCCAGTAGGTAGGACGTTTAGGCCCTATTTCCATACAATGATCTTGGTCTTCGTGGGGCTTTAGTTTCCACAATCGTTTCCATTGAATCGGAACATATAGTTCTCCCTCTTCTTCTTGCTCCAATTTCTGCCAAAGCTCATAGCTTGTTGTTGTACTGAATTTGCCTGTCTTTTCCATTCCCAGCAATGGGTATCAAGTGTCAATGGCGTATGATAGGAATTTGTAGGTTTCTATGCATATCCTCTACGTTTAAGGGTGCCTGCAATAGATCCATTTTTCATGTTCTTGTCTCATGATCAATTAATGAATCCATCGTTGCTTTTAGACTTAGACCTGTAATTTGGGTTTGTACCTTGTTTTCTTCAACTTCGGGAATCCATTTATCCCACCAGATTGGAATAGTGTTCCTATTTCCTACTCTCCATCTTGTTCCTGCAAGATCTAACTTTTTGCCGCCATTAATGCTCTCCAAACAGAACTTGGATTCTAACCTACTGTCACTTGTAGAATGTTGCTAATTGGATGATACTTGGTTTTAACGATTTGAGCCCGTAAAAAGTTAGGTTTATTGAGCAGATTCTAGACTTGGCGTCCCAGTAATGCCAAGATTAAAACCATGTAAATTCTAGAATCTCATACCACCTTCTTCTTTAGGCTTACAGAGTTTCACTCATTTTATCCAATGAATACGCTTCTTCATTCTTCTGTCCCCACCAGAGTCCTATAATGAGTCCCCTTGTTCATCCAAAACTCCTTCTGGTATTAGAAACACATACATGGCATTGAGGGCCTGAAATTGTGTTACAACCTTGATTAAAACCTCATTAGTAGCATTCGACAATAGCTTGTTTTTCTAAAAATTTACCTTCTTTCGTACTCTGTCAATAAGATAGCTGAAGACTTGGTTTTTTGTTCTTTCCTACTACTTTCGGCAACCCTAGATACTTTTCATGGGACTCCACATGTCTCTTCGCATGATTCTTGCAATCTCTTCTCGTGGATCTATTTTCACATTTGTACTAAAAGATAGTTTTGATTTCTGCACATTTACTATTTGACTAGATTCTTGTTCATATGCTAGAAGAATGTCTTTTAGAACTTTGCTTTCTTCCCCAGTAGCTCTTAGCGAAAAGATATTGTCATCTGCAAAGAGTATGTGGGAGACCATAGGTGCATGCCTCGAATCTCTATGCCATATATTTTCCTTCCATGAATGTGTTAGTAGTCAAAGCTGATAAGCCTTCTGCGCATAAAAGGAAAAGAAAAAGATAAAGTGGAATTGGAATTGGATCACTTTGCCTTAGGCCTCTAGTAGGATAAAAAAAAACCTTTGTTTGATGACCATTCACCATTCTTGCATAAGATATATTGGTAACACAATGCATTTTCGCAGTAACCCACCTTTCTCATAACGACCTTTAAAAAAGTCCATTCTACCATGTCATATGCTTTTCCTATATCCAGCTTAGTTGCTATGAAGTATTTTTTTTTCTTGTTTTCCATAGCTACAAAAGATTTGAAAGCCTCCATCACATTGTCTATTATGTATCAGCCTCACACAAAGTCACACTCTAGTTTTCCACAAGAACTTTACCCAAAATGGTTTTAAGCCGATTTGCTAAAATCTTTGAATAAGCTTATGGGTCTGAATTCCTTCATATTTCGTGGTTCTTTAACCTTAGGAATGACCTTTGTTTTATACATATACTTTTTCGTACAAATTCTTTTACGGTACAAACTGAACTATACTTCTAACATTCAATTTGTACCTATAGTTTTTCGTACAAATTAGTTTATGATACAAACTAAACTTGTATGTTAAACATTATGATTTACAAATTTAGTTTGTACCTATATCTTTTCGTACAAATTTCTTTATGGTATAAATTGAACTTGTACGGGACACAAAACTTTGTAGCATAGTTGAGCTATTTCAAAAAATATATAAAAACGAATATTATTAATGTGGATCACCATTGAATATTTTAAGATCAGAGTCATAATGGAAACTGAGTTTTTTTATCATTAATCATAGGAATAGTCATGACACATTAGCTTTTTGTAAACCCTTATATATCTTTCTTTGTTTTCCTCATAAACTTTAGGATCCTCAAACTTGGGAATAGGAGACACCTTTTTGGAATTCCTGCAGCCATGCCATTGATTTGAAGGCAGGCATCGTTTTATTCTGACAAGAAAGGAAGGGAAGAGACGGCAGTTATGAAACTGCTTCAGCTTCCCTCAGGGCTTCTCAGTTGTCACCCTAGCCATGGCTCTGTAGTTCAATGTATAAAAACAAAGAAGGCAGAGAAACACAGCCCAGCCTTGCAACGTTACACTCTTACTCTGTGCTCTGTCAAACAGACAAAGAAGGAGAGAAGAAGCCTAAGCTAAATCTAAGAACCCCTTGGGGGGAAAATAAAAAAAAATAAAAAAACAAATTTCATGAAGCTTTGTTTAAGCCTTCATCATCGTCAGCTCTTCCAAGTCGCGGACTGCTTCTTCCATCGCGTAAACCATCATTTTCTTGATCTGTTGATCAGTAAGTAATCATATGGAAGGACTGTTAACCAAGATTGCAATGCACACTTGATTAATCCCAACATACAACATCATCTAGGAATGCTTATGCTTTACCTCAAGTTTGTCTTCCCTAGCCCTGTGGTTCTTGGGAAGTTGCCGGAACTCCTCTGTCAGCCGGAGGCACTCGCTCACATTCTCAGGGGAAACAAAATCCACGGCGACTTTCGTGCACGACTTTACCCCACCCAACAAACAACAACAACAACGTTGTCATTCATTATTATCAGCTACTCTATCTATGCTGCTACAGCTAGATAGTGGACACATGATCATAAATGAATTGTACCAAAAGAAAGAAGTTACTACCTTTAGATTCCTGACTTGATGTGGGCATCCAGCAGGAATGAACACAGCTTCTCCAACTTTCTGTTCGAATGTCCAAGCCTCCACTCCTACAGTTATAATGCGTAAAGTCGGCTTAGGGAAAGCAGCAGTAACAGTTGGAAGGGGGGAAAAAGGCAGAGAAAATTATCGGGTTCTTTCCTCCTCTCTAGAACTCACCAAATTCCTCCTTCAATCTCTTCTTATGCTCCAACGTTAAATAAAAGCATTGGTCATGAATTGGATGGATAACCTGTATCTCAAATGTAGACATTAGAACATTTAATCATCATATCCTATAGTTGCAGACTTGCAGCTAACAAGAAGCATCCGTATCGGTTACCTGCTTCACAGGACAACAGTATGTATGCCTGAATTCTGTAGAGTGCTTCCAAAGATATTCCTCTAACTTGGGGACGTCTTCTCTCCTGAAGATATCCCAAAGAGCACCAATTGTGTCCTCTGGTTGTTCTGAATGCAAACCCATGCATCCAGACTCTTCAAGAATCTCAACTCTCCTTTCGGTCTCAGCAGAATGCTTCTCTGCTTCACAAGTAATTCCCCCACTGTTATGATTGCTCCTATTATTTTGTGCTACTTGCTCTTTTCTATCCTGCTCATTGTGCAACTTTTTCAAACGTTCAATGGCAAATGATTGCTCTTCGTTTACCTCTACCTCAGCCACATGAGTCAAAATATTCACCTACGATAAATGAAAGACCGACTTCACATTGATTGAAAATGAAAAAGAAGAAGAAATAAGTACATGTGATGTAAGCGACTTGAGAAAAAGAAAGGCACAAACAAGTGAAGTAGGAATCGTATTAGCATACCGCATCTGACATATCACAGTGAAGCTTGGTCACAGAGTCGCCTCTGCCAAGCTCTTCCTTCATTCCGTATGCAATATAAGTTTTGGGACCCAAGTCGGGTTTCAGGAGACCATGGGGAAACTTGACAGCAAGGTTTAGAATTCCAGCTTTTGGATCACTGTATTCTTGAAATGGAAGTGCACTGATGAACTCGTCACAGTGACGAGGCAAGAGATCTTCGAATTTATCAGAAGGGGGCCAATCCTTTAGCTTTAGCATCTCAGGCCAAAGATTGAAATATCTTCTCCCCTCAGTATATCCTTTGAAAAACATGCGGGTGTTGATTTCCACCTGCATGTTTTTGACAAAGTCAGCACAATAGCCATAGCCAATCACACTTTGACCAAGTTTACAAAAACATTTATCTGAAAAGTTATTGGCAGAAAATGCTTTTGATTAACCTCGCAAGCAGCCAGGCAATCAATGGCCTTTACTTCAGACATCTTCGAACTAATATCGGAATTAGCATTATCGCATAATGCACGCATCATCACCATTGGCTCCCAGCTTAAATGAGTGGTTGTATTAAGTACATCACGAACAATAACGGGCTCCCCTTTTGCCCAGTGCTTCTGGAAATGCAGAAGATCTTCCTCCTCTATAATGTCCTCTGAGACTGGGCAGTACAAGTAATCATCCTCATTTGCTTCTCTAGAGGCTGCTCTCCTGATCGGTTCTCTCCCGGTTTCACCACATTTGCAAGGCAGGCTCTGCTGTCTAGTGTTACAGCAACCAAGGAACTTCCTTGCCTTCTCAGTCAAATCAGAAATCCATCCCGTTGGGAAGATACGTTTGAGTTGCAATACCGAGTCTCCACAACCCCCAATCTCTTTGGGAGGACAAGGGATACTCCCATCATTGTTGGCATTCCACAACAATTCAGTCAAATGCTCAGTCATATCTTCAGGAAATTGAGAAGGAAAAGTTTTCAATGGATCTCCGCCATGCATGTAGTCGAGGCCACGATCTACATACTGGAACTTCATCTCAGCACGATTCAAGAAGCTGCCATTGCGGATGTCTTGACAACAACCGAGGCACAGTTCGAAGTTGCATTTGGGGCAGCATCGATGAAAGTCAACAATAGAGGTCGCACAGTAGTTGCTGCAAACCAAAAGGCAGCAGCAATAAGCATACAAGTTCTCTAACCCCACTTCTACACTACTCCAATAAGGGAATGAGAGAAGGGAATGTTACCAATAAACTCGCTCATCATTGTTACAGAAGTTCTCAGGTATGTCAGAAGGGGAAGCTGGGTTGACATACAAACCTTCAGTTGGGTTTACCAGTAAACAGTATGAACATTCTTAAGCCAGATTCATAGCAAAACGGCAGCAAAAGGGTTTACCAGAAAAGGCAGCATCTGTTAGTATTTCCTCTGCTTGTTGACGACATATTTGTTGAAGGAAGGGGAAGAGTGAGTTGACAAGATAACCCAAATGCCGGATCTTTTCACCCGGAGAGAGCTCCCTTTTGGAGGTCTAATAGTTTTGTGAACAATGCTGCTGTTAATTGGAATGTCCCAATGGTAATTGGGTAAAAGAGAAGAGACTTGAGAGTTACCTTGATCATGGTAGTGGAGTGAAGACAAGCATTGCAGTTGCAATTTTTCCGACAGAATGGGCACTGCTGTGCTATATCCACATCTGTCATCTCAGGGTACCTGCATCAATTGAATAAAACCTCCCCCATCACTTGCTGTCTACCACTGCCCTTTCAATTCAATTCATTTTATCAGTGTTCAAGTGTTTACCACATCTTGATGCATCTCAAGCAATAGAGCTTGGCACAGCTGAAGCAGCGAACATAGAGTTGCCTCTCAGCTTTCAAGCACTGATGGCATCTATTGCTCGCCGGCGCCACGGCAGCTCCTCCTCCTCCTCCTCCTCTAGGCCGCTTCATGAAATTAGACATGAAGAAGCACAGATTCACACGTTTGCATACATTTCATCGCAATCCCAAAAGCGAAGAGCAATTAACTTACGTGAAACAACAAAAAAAAGCACCTGAAGAAGCCTCACAGAGGAGGAGGCGGCGGCGATTAGCGGAGGCGTTTCTGGAGCTGCAGCAGCAGACGAAGACGACGATTTCGATGACGATGACGACGAATCTGAAGAAGAGGAAAGCGACCTGGTTGCTCTGCCTCTGACGCGGTCTCTGATGTTGGCGATGGAGAGCTGCTGGAGGAGCAAATCATCATCGGAGTCGGAATTATTCGAAACGGAATCTTCGTCGGAATCATGGATCAAAGCGATCCTGCGCCGCTTAGGAATTTCCGTCGGAGATTGGGAGCGAGACGCCGCCGCCCCATTTTTCTTCTTGTTTTTATTGTTATTGTCCTTCTTCGCCCTCTTCCCCCGCGATGAAGCCGGTTTAGCTCCGGCGGCAATCGGCACCCAATCGTCGTCGCCGTCGTCATCGTCGTCGAGAACAATGCGATTCCTGATGTTCGGGGAGGAGAACCCGATGCTTCTGCGGCGGTGGTGAGTCGGAGGATCAGTCCGATTCAGGCGATGATGCGGCTTGGCAACCTTCGCTGCCGACATTTATCTATCTTCTTCTCCCTCCTCTCTGCAAATCCGAAGAAATTCAGATTTAGAAAATGGGGAATGTAACAGTAGGTGGAATACTAAATACATGAATCCCCCCCCCCCCCCCCCTGAATTGGATTGGTGGAGGAGAAAGAATCGAGGTTGACTGGGAGAGAGAAAAAGTCAGCTGCGCAGGGGAAAGAGACCTGTGATTCAGTGATTGTGAAGCAGCTGACAGAGAACGGAAGGGGAAAATCGGATTGATCGCCGGTGGTGGGGGAAACGGTGGGCGGCGGCGGCCGCTGGTTTTTAGGTTCTTACTTCCTTCTGTTTGGATTCGTACCGGAGCCGGAGGAGGGCCCTTGAAGAAGATTTGTGACGTTTTTTTTTCGTTTTAATCAGTGGGAGGAAGCGAATATAAAAATAAATAAATAAAATAGACAAAAACCTACGCACCTTCTTTCTGACTGGCTGACTCGCACTCACTCCCTCGCACACGGCTCCGTTAATTATCGTACGGCCTGATCTGATTTCCTCGGTTTGTTCTTCTTTCTCCGTCAGAGTTCCTTCCGTTAACATACTGTTTGGTCACCCGTCTTCAAAATCATTTCAAAAAAGTACGTAATTCCCTAATTCCATACAATGCTCACAGATTACACGAATTTCCTTGGATTTATTTTATGTTGGGATCTTCTTCAAGAACTTACGTCGCATTTGGAGACAGATAGATAGGCAGGTAGAAAGTACAATAAATTTGAGAGTTCAGAGACTTGGTTGTGAGAAACGTGTGGAAAGCATGCTCGAATTACCCTAATCCTACTGACCTCTTCACAGTTAACGCACGCATAATTAACTAACTGCAGCTCACTGAGAAAGACGCCAATCAGGTAGCTCGTAGGTACAGTACTGTTAATTCCTCTTCTCTGTGCACACGTGGGAAGCCAAAGCCTCCATTATTAGTTAGGACTCACTCACTCGTGCGGCAAGAAAGCAAATTGCCAGGTGGCAGGCATACAAGGTACCATGTCAGTAACTGCCAACAACGTAAAATCTAACACTTGCACTCTCTGGATCAGGCAGAAGAAGACTGACGAATCAAAATGCACCCCGTCATCCATTTCTACGTTATCCACAGTGGAGGATATATCATATATGCCAATGCAATCAAACAACAGTTGTCGCGAGTTCAACAAGTACACTAAAACGCGGTTCCTCGAGGAAAACGCGGTCGTTTTACAGTGCTACTTACAAGTGGTTCTACTTACACATTCAGGGGCCTGCTTAATTATGGCTCAGGAGGAGGGCCGCCCTTGGCAGAATGACCTCTCTCCTCGGACATGGAGGGGGAGGACCCTGCACTGACTCTGCTGGGAGCTGGGGTGCTCCTCCTCGACTGCCGCTTCGTCGGAACCAGCACGGTGTCGCTGTGGTCAATCTTCCCGCTCAAGTAAGACATACCGCCGTCCTCGTCATCGTCTATGTCGTCGTCGTCGCGCTCGTCCGCACTCTTGAAAACTGGGTGAACGTAAGCTTGCTGAAGGTATCCCTTCAGGTTCAGGTTGGGTTCCCTGGCCCGCTCGAGAGTGTCCTTCATCATGGCTTCCTGCAGCGGGTACCTGACGAACGCTGGTTCGTACCGGCCCTGGCAGAATCTGTAGAACCAGAATGTGAGCACGGGCAGGGCGAGTAGGAATGGAGTTGCCAGAGCTGCTCCCTTGGTGCTCAGCAGCCCCATCATCAGCAGCTGCGAGATGACTAGCGCGATGAGTACGCGACCGTGCACTGCTGGCCAGAATGCTGCTGCGCTCTCGTACTCTTGGTTGTACACATTTATGATCTGAAGCAATAAGAGTTTGGACATTGTTAATGAAATAAACCAGACAGACACAACCAACCATCTGAACTACAATTGCCCTGGAAGATTAACTATTATGATTAGTTATTTACCTGGTGGCGGAAGACAACGTAAGCAAATGCAAAGAAGATGATGATGAAGGGCAGGAGGAAAGGAGTCACGGTTGAGTAGACAAGCCCCAATAGGAAATAGAACTGTATCCGGGGCTCTCCTGTGTTGAACCCGAGACTCCCCGGGTCCATGGCTTCTTCTCTATCCTTTTCAGTCTTCACCAGGAAGAAGTTCTTCAAGTGGTAAAATATCAACGGCTTCAACATCAAGATTTCTCCAGCAATTCCAGCCCAGCCATCGACCATTATGTAGGTTATGAAGAAAGTTGCTTTCATGGGGATCGCCACACCTATTATCTTCGGGATTCTGCAACAACATGCAAACAAGAGGGGCGTTTAAGATTACATGCAACAAACCAAAGTAATGAAAGAAAGAACAGCTTCTTGAAGTTCCCCGAATCACGTACTCGCCAGTGGACTTGTTCAGAAATGTATTCAGCTGCTCGAATGCAGTTCCGGCAATTATGCTCCCCAGGAAGACATTCACAATGTTGAATATATAAAACCGGGTAGCTGACCTCCTCTCCAGAGAGGACAGGGAGTTAAAGCCTTCAAATTTGGACATCATCATCAGTATTGATGGTAGGAAGATCAGGAATAGCTTGAGAGCGATACCAGGTAGGAAGCCCTGGATAAACGACTTAATAAAGTCACTGCAGAAGAAGGGGGAACGAAGTTAAAAATGGAGAGCAATGAATGAAAACAATAAATCTAAGATCTGACTGGAGGAAATGGAACTAACGCTTCGATTATAGGCTCCAGAAAAGGTGCTGCCTTCTCGATTCCTTCGATACTGGCCAGGGATTGCACCATTGCTATGGGGATCATGAAGAAGAAGGTAAGGAAGAAGAATGCAACTCCAATTATAAGCCGCCTGATCGTGAGGGAAACGTAAGGGATGGCCAGATTCTGCCAATATACATCCCGTGGTTCTGGAGCCCATTCAGTCAACCATAGAGTTGGGTTTCTTGATTGTTGAGTTTGTGCACAAACAGCTGCACCCCATCTAGTTTTGAACGAGACGAAAGCTACTGGCATGATTGACTTTGGATCCTTCGCCACCCTTGCCCTCTCCTCAGCTATCTGTATAGATAAAAAACAGTTTAAGTCCTCAATAAGGACAAGTCTCGTTGATACTTCCAAAGCAAGTTTTCCTTTTCAAGGTATGAAACAGCGTAAGATATCAATCTATCAATGTAAGATGGAAATAGATTGCTAAAACATCAATGTATCATAATCCCACTCGAAAATCCGGGAAACACAAAGATCAAGGTCAAAAGCTACATTTGGCCCTTTGTGCAAGCGAAAGAGTAGAAGGACGTGCAGCACATGTAAACTGACTACATCAATAATAGATGAAGTTACAAACTTACTTCCATAGATATCTTCTCAATCTTGGCAGTGTAAAGATCAATAGCATCGACTTTTTCTCCCCGACATCCCAGAAATCCGGTCTGCACAATGAAAACAATACTTATCAGTCATATTAACGCAAAAATTAAGTTGAAGACTAGAAGTACGGAAACGTATTACAGCTACCTTGATCGTGGGGCGCTGAGCTTGGTTCCTGGAATACTTAAGTTGGTAAAAGTCCAACCAATTTCTCAAGCTTTTCTTCTTCTTCACCAAGCTGGCTAGCTTGTTTGCGTTGTAAACCACCTGAAATAGATAGGATATCAAAATGAAACGTGGGTTTGTCTCAATAATTCTATAGGGAATAGAGGATACTCTACATCAGTGCGGCCATAGATGGTTCATAGTATAGTCATGAACAGATATAAGTCTACTTCGATACAAACAAACTTCACCACCAAAGATTTGAAGGTATGTCATTTAGTCAAGAGCAGAAGCCTACCTGATGCGTGAGGTAGTTATCTGGGTGATTGACCAGGAAAAAGTGCTCCACAAGCTCGCTCACGGATTCGTCAGCATCAGGCGGCACATTCTGAACAAGGACCTGTGAGAGAAAGTAACCAACAGCATTTGTCAAAACGAGAACCACTAGGTGCACAAATTTCCACTATGCTGGACTAATCAAAGTTTACCGAGTATTGATCTGGGCGGCGTTTCTCAGAGGCAAGGAACGCCAATCGCATCGAAGCAACTTTCTCATACTCCTTCATCAACACATAGAAGGTCCAAAACGTGAATGCATAAGCCATCACAATATGCGCCCAGAACCTGCAAGACATCAACCCCCACAATTCAGTGCTAAATATAGCAACCTAAGCTCGAATTAAACACAAGAGAGAGATGGGAGCAAGAGAAGCTAGCTGCAATAAGTACCGTTGAGATTCCCGCGGGATATTGGAGATGGAGAGCTTGTCGATGTCGCTGGCGGTGACATTGGCAGCCTTGTCAAGGGTGTGATTCGTCACGTTCACCGGGACGAGCACCGCAAACGCCAAGCAAGCGATAGGGATGAAAATCTTGAGCCTGCAATCGAATCTCAACAATACTAATCAGGACTACCGAGCCCGGCCAAGGAATCAAATCGATTGTAGCTTGTATTTACCCTAGGAGATAAATGCGGAGGTAGACGGCGGAGTCGAGCCCGGCGTGGTCGATGAGCTCCGGCTCGGGCATCTTGAGCGCCTCCGGCATCCAATTGAGGAAGCGGAGGTAGGACCGGAAGTCCAGATTGACGACGCGGGTGACCAACGCGCCGCCGGCGTTGGTGGGGCTGGTGCGGAGGCCCTTGAGGTACCATTTGGGGAAGTAGACCCGGTCGTTGAAGGGCTGGAGCCTCAAGATCGCGAATGCTATGAGGAAGATGAAGGCGCTGAGCAGATTGATCGCTGCTGAAACCGAGATATCCCCAAGCGTCGCCATCGATCCAAGCTAAAAATAGCTGTACAGCTTGTAGCTGCTTGCGTACGATTGCGACGGCGAGAGAAGCGGCCGGAGCTGAAGCAGTAGAAATGAGGAAGAGGAAGGAGGAGAAAAACCTAGCTCGTCGCCTTCTACTTCTAGTTTCTTCTGCTTGGCGTAGAGGAGAATCAAAGGTGGAAGAAGAAGAAATGTGGAGGTGAGGAAATCTGGAGATGGAAGACAGCAGCAGCTAGCTGAAGCTCAAAGCTAGCTACCACGCTTCGGTTGGCGGTTGGGGGAGAGAGGAATAGTTTCGGGAACACGCCAATGGTCCACACCGCTCACATGGCGGACGCGGAGGAGCGAGAGAGAGAGATAGAGACGGCAAAAGGAGTTAAACCAGGAGCTGGAGCTCGAGCTGCTTCTTCTTCCTTGTTCTGGTTCAGCGGCAGATGGAAGGGAGAAGGAGGGAGAGAATCAAACAAACTGGTTACTGTTTGGGGGAATAGCTTCTGTTCCCCGCTTGGATTTACCCAAAGCACTCTTTATCAGAGGAGAGAGATGCGGTGGTTCTGGAATCTGGACCCTTCCATTCCACCTCCCTTGTTGATAAATGAACCTTTTATCTTTCCTAATAATAATAACGTTACAGAAAGCCTAATGATCTGATCTAAGGTTATTTATTTAATTAGTAGAAATGAAAAATCTACGTGAGTGAACCTGCTCCATGAAGGGAACTTTTGCGGTTACACGTAAACACGATATGAAATGTAAACGACAAAGATGAGAAGCAGCTAAAGAGTCTAATTTCCCACTTGGGGAGGGGGAAAATATATAAATGATGAAACGTGGTGGTAGTATTATTATACATCATTGTCTAAAATTGGTATTATTGAGACTTTTTTGATTATTTATTAATTAAGAAAGGGGGATTATGATGAGAGAGAACTACTAATGAATGTCGGCAGACAGGGTTTGATTAGCAAGTGAGGCATCCAACAACGGCTACTTTTTCTTCTTATAATGTTGCCATCTGACCATCTCCCCTTCCCCTTTCCTCTTCTTCCGCCCAATTTTTTAATTGCAGGAATTCAAAAGGCATAATCTCGCTCGTATTTTAATTAGTGTTTTTCTTAATTGATTCGTATTTTACTAATTTTTATTAAGAAACCTTTATTAGAAGATTTTTCTTAGAGAGAGGAAGAATGTGGAAAGCAGAGCGCGCGTGAAAGAAGCGTTGCCCCCGCGGCCAGGCCACCTCCATTCATCTAACTAAATCTGATCCCCAAATGGCCGTTTCACAATCCCCACATTTTCATTACTACTACATGGAAATGAAAGCAACGGTAGCTGGGGCCGGCGATTTTTTGCATTTATTTTTACAATTCCCATGCCTGTTTATGAATGAACACACCGTCCCTACTCGACATTCAACAATAAATTATTTTAGGTAGAAAACAGCTCAACAAAATAATTTAGTGTTGAAAAGGAAGCATCCATTATTATGACTAAAAGGCTCAATCGTGGGTTTCTCAAACCCAGCTCTCACCTGCGTCTCATGATCCCATGGACTAAGGGCCATTTGAGGGGTTTAAATCTCTTTGCGGTCAAACGTAGAGAGAGAGAGAGAGAGAGAGAGAGAGAGAGAGAGAGAGAGAGAGTAATTCTAAAGGGTAAAATTATTCAATAATGCACTGTCAAAATACCATTATGGTCCGTTATATCAGGTCATCGAATTCGGTTGGGGCGACCTAATCAGCCGACTAAATATCCAACCTAAAGACAAATTGACACAGTGAAAAAGGCCGCAAGTGTCAACGCTATTCTGGGCCGGCGACATAGTTCAAAGCCCAAAAAATACAATGTTAAAAAGCCCAAAAATACCATACTAAAACAAGAGACTTTCATCTCAATTGAAACCTACAGTAAAAATACAATGCAGAATCTGGAAATCCATGGTGATCACAATTTCGCCGAAAAAAATATCTCCAAATGCACTCGAATCTGTTATGATAATGCCGAAACTTCACTGTAGATTTGCTAAATGCTGACTACTAGTGACCACCACAAAAGCGACTGGCTTTAACAACAAGCTATTACCCGATTGGACTTTGAATGAAAACAAAACTACGCATTCAGCAGCATAAAAATCTTTCCATAATACAACAAACAAGTGGGGACTTTGCCGAATCAAAACCAGAAACCGAGAGCAACAGCCCACCGTATATGTACCTGTACAGATGGCAGGAGCCCATTCGTACATATGTCGGCAGGCAATTGGCACACTCCATTTCCCATATTCGGCCCCCATTAATGAAACTATATACATACATAAGAAGAAGATGTAGCTGCTTGTTACCTTCCGGACATGAGATTAACGAGAGCTTGGTTTTCATAGAAGGACCCGAAGTCCCAATCCTCGCAAGAGGATGAAGAAAGCGTCATGAGGGCCACCACGATCGACCTCATGCTCGGTCTCAGTTGCGGGTTCTCCTGCGTGCAGGCTCTCCCCAGCTGTGCCATCTGCAATACAAACATGCCACACAAACACAATCACGCAAATGCTAACCAGTTACTGAAACTATAGAGTAAAAACCCTGCCAAACACCACAAGAACTCTCACCTTGAGGACTGAATCCAGAGGATAGTCATCACCGAGCCTCGAATCAACCAGTTTCCGGAGATGTTCTCTCGAAACACCACCACCATCATCTTGCTGGTGCTTTAACACATCCTCGAACTGCATGCAAACCCAGAATTTCAGCAGATGTTTTCGTACACAGACGAACTTATGTGTTTACTAATGCCAGAGACAGACGGAGAGACAGAAGGCAAAGCTAAATAACAAACCAAGGCTACCAGTCCCTTTGACTCGTTCACACCAGCATTCGTCTTCACCACAGCTTCCTTGGCAGATATGAGCTCGAACAGCACCACCCCGAATGCATACACATCAATCTTGGCCGAAACATCACCATACTTTGCATACCTGAACGACGTAGAAGGAAAAACAAAGACGATCACTGCAATACCAAATTACATATAGATCTTTGTTGTAGAAGTCTTTGAGTCACCAAACTCACTCTGGAGGCATGTATCCGAATGTACCCACAAGCCGTGTGTGCAACGACGAACTCCCACATTCGGTTAACCTTGTCAATCCAAAATCTGCAACCTGAAAGCACCACCCATTTGATGATTAGGAAGAAGGAATGGACAAACTTTCAGAAATGTCAAAGTAGATAGGATCAATGCTCCAAGAGTTGCACAACCTTTGCGCGGAAGTTCTTGTCTATCAAGATGTTTGCAGGTTTGATATCGCGGTGAATGTACACAGGAATGGTGTGCTCATGAATATACTCGAGCCCTCTAGCTGAATCCAGAGCGATTTCTACCCTTGTCGGCCATGGCAAAGGATCCCTCCCTAGTTGACCCGGCCAAGTACACATCATACTCAGGTTAAGACTGTTGATAGAATCTGAATCTCTACTCACTAGATGGATGCATCAGAGTTCACAAACATACCTGACCCTCGCAGATGCTGACATAGGTTGCCATTCTCAATGAACTCATAGACCAGGAATAGACAACCTTCAACACAGTACCCTATCAAGCGCACCTGCAAATAAGACTTAATGCATTAATTGGCTTATGGCGATACCATATCAGATTTACGGATATTCACTAATGGTATCCTCCTACAAGCAAATGATGGGGTGGAAGAGGATTTCGAGTACAAGTGTATCATGAACATGGAGTACAAAGAACACGTGAAGGGCAGGGGAAGTTGTTTCAGAAAATCATAGTATTACCAAGTTCAAGTGATGTACGTGCGTTAACACCTTCAGCTCTGCCAAAAATTCTTCTGATGCTTGCATGTCCATCTTCTTAATCGCAGCATTCTGCATAGTATACACAAGCGAACATAAATTATGCATCGACAGGCACAAGAGAAGCGGAGTAGATTAGAGTGAATTACAAGCTGCACACCTCTCCTCTTAGTTTAGCATAGTATACAACTCCAAAGCCACCTTGACCTATCTTATTGGCGGCACTAAAGTCATCAGTGGCCTTGGCAAGCTCCTCGTACGAGAATTCAACCGATTTGTCCACCGTAATGCCAGTAAGCTGTGAGGAGGCCACAAGTGCAGTTTCTTCTGAAATTTTCTCTGGGGCAATCGCAAGACCTAAAAGCCATACCATCAGGGAGATAGATGCATGACCCCGTTCACAATTCAGAAATTCACCAAGGAAAAGGCCTCCTCACCATTTCTCAAGTTGTCTGGGGTTGCAGGTGGGAGAAAGGATGATGCATCCACTTTCTTCCTCCGGTAAACCCCAGCATAGAGGCACAGGGCCAAGAGTAAAGCTCCAGCAACTCCAGCAACAGAAATGCCTGCAATGACTCTGCCGGAGATTCCTGTGAGGAAAGGACAAACATAATTAAGCTGCCTCAAAGCTTAGATTCACTACAGCTTAGATTCACTACAGCTTAGATTCACTACATTCATACAGGTGATTCTGGCATTAGATTTATCAATGGAAATTGAAGTAGGGTTTAAGGTGGAGAGAAGAAAATCGACACTTACCAGCTGTGCTGCAGAAAACACGGAAAAAACGGTAAATGCAGCAGTATTAGACCAGTGGCTATGGAGCTCCAGCAATTCAATTAATGGAACTAGAAAAGGTAGCTTACCTTATGTATAGAGGGGGATAGTTGCCATTTTCGTCTGCAAATAAAAACCAGCAAGTAGCCCAGCCAAACACCATCACTAAGCAACTTCACCACCATAAACCTAGAATTTACACATGGAAATTGTAAGTTGAGCAACAACCGACCTCTAGCCGGCAAGAAGACGAGGCCGGATCCGGCGGAGAAGTTAGACGAAGGATTGTAGCGTCGGATCAAGTCCGGCGGGAGGCCAGTGGAAGCGGAGAGGGAAGCGACAGAGTCGCCGGAGCGAAGAGGGAAGGTGGAGAAGACGCCGTAGCTGCGGGAGACGCCGGGATCGCCGCAGGAGCAGTTGAGAGTGACGTTGATGGCGGCGTAGTCGGGAATCCTGGTGGTGTCGTAGAGGTTGACGCGGTGGACCCAGTCGTCGGTGGTGAGATTGGCAAAAACGTCGGCGGCGATCTTGGAGTAGGTGTCCCCCGGCTGGGTGACGTAGGAGAACGTGTGGCCGAGGAAATCGGCGTTGAGGCACTCGCAAGGGAACGGGATGCGGATCTTGCCACCGGCGGCGACGGCGGCGCCGGAGTTATAGCGAAGGATTTGAGAAACCGGCTGGGAGAAGATCCCGCTGATGTAAGTTAGGTTGACTCCTTCCGAGACGTAGTAGGAGGCGAAGGCGAGATCGCAGCCGCTCCTGCATTTCGCCTCCACTGAGAGGAAGCAGACGAAGACGAAGGAGAAGAAGAAGAAGAGCGGGAGTTTTGGGGATGGGATTGAGACTGCCATTTTTGGGGGAGAATTGGAATTTCTGCAATTCCCTCTCCCGCCTCTTTTCCCTTCCCCGGGAATTCAGCGAGGAGGAAGAGCGACTGAGAGGAGGGAGGGGACGATTTTGGGCTTTTTCCGTTGGGCCCATTGGGTTTTTTGGAAGATGCTCTTCTCCTTCAACGTTATTGGTGGATGGATTATTTAATTGATTACTGGGCTGGCCTTGATTAGAAAGTGATTAATTTTTCTTCCCGAAACCCTAAACAAATTCGATTTGTTCATGTGGATTGTGGAGAGTATTAAAAAAATAGGACGACGCAGGATAATATCGAACATTTCAGAACCTTCGTCCGATCCAACGTAAGCCAAACCGGCGATCAGCCATTAGTTAATAATGCAGAGTAGTGTGGATTGGTTTGAGCAGGTTGAAGTTGGCCTGGTCTTTAACAGAAGGCGCCAAAACGATGACAAACCTCTTTGTTTCATTCTCTCTCTTTTATGCGAAGGAAGTCAAACTACAAGAAGCAAATGATGAGGGACTTGGGCCCCCGATGTTGATTTGAAGCCCATGTAATATAAATTTTTCTTATATAAGAAAGCCCATGCAATAGCGGCTGTGTGTTTTGAATGCAAACAGGAGGATCTGATGAAGATAACAGAGAATTTCCCCTCCCTAATAATCTTAGACCTGCAGCCAACTATGGCCATAGCATTACCTCGTTGAAGCCAACTTTTATTATACCTGCGCTACTGAATGTACATATTAAGTAATCAAAGGTTTCAACTACTAGGTCTTCCAATGATCAGCATTACAGTGGTTTTGCCCCATCATTCTCCTTCAAGCCTCTAACATCGTGTTCCTTCGATAGCCATAGAGAAAAATGGTTCAATGTCAGAGGACCTAAGGATCATAAAAGTCAATACACCCTGCAATTCATCAATTTTACCTTAATGTAGCGACTGACATCTTCAGAAGCCTGTATGTGACCAGCCCTGAAATATGCTTGAGCATTCTCTTCAATCTCCTCAACCCTGCAATTTTAGGGGCATGTCGAGCAAGACAGTTTAGTTTACGAGATTTGGGCCCAAGTTTAAGGCTTGAATCTTTAATTCTCGTTGGCACCATATGCAGCATTCTAAATTTACAGGAAAAGGGTTTTGCATATTTTATTACCTGTACACATAGTTTACCATAATCCCACCACTTTGACGAAGACCTTTCTCGGATCGGTCAGCCATCCAATTTATTCTTTCAATCATCTGATCCACGTTAGAATACCCATGGAATTAGCACATGACTATGTATTAGTACGTCCTTCCAGGCATATTATACAACATAATAAAGATGTACAATATACCGCTCCATTTTGCAAGTGAAAGTTTGCAACAGAGTCTAGGGCTTTGCCTCTCTTCTTCTCTTGCAAAAGGTACCTAAATACATTAACCCATCATATATCTTAATTCCGTTTCAGAGAAAGCAGCCAAACATTCTGCACACCAGAAGCTTGGAGAAAAGGTCCAATTCTACTAGCTATAATACCGTCGACTCCTTTGCACCACTCTCGATGAAGTAGGGTAGGAGGGGACAATTTATGTTGAAAGCGGACAGCTAGCTTGGCCAATGACTATGACATTTGTCACATCTCAAGTAATACCACAAACATGCAAAGAGTTCAAAACAATTTATATGCAAGTACCTGGCACAGAGTCTCATGAGTGGCGGTTTCAATGCTGAAAGCATTTCAGCATTGGAAGCCCAATCATAGTTGGTTGATGTCAGCATGCTCAACATCACTTCTGCGCCACTTTTTCCTGCATAAGTCTCTCTAGAAGCGGAAATGTCATGATGTGCCTCAACAAACAATATAGTCAAAAGTAACTTACAAGGTAGACGCTGCCCTACAGGGAACATTGAGCGTTATGAAACTCACCCAGAGGAGTTCATGAGGGCCCTTTCTTCATCTGGTTCAAGCACGCTCTCCATAAACGGGGAATCAGATACACCTGATGATGCCTGCGACAGAGATGCCAACTTACACAGCAGCCATTGCATGTACCCTGGGATAGGGCTCAGAGTAGCAAATGTCTGCCAAAAACAATGATGTTGTGAGGCTCCATAGCTGGATCGAAGTTTTCAGTTTTCATGGTAGCAAGCAATAGATTATGATTCAGACAAGGAACTGCCATGTTATGATGAAATAAATTAACATGTATGATAAATGTATAACTTGTCCAGATGACTAACACTCTCCATGTGTACTCCCTGACAGCCAATCTCCGCAAAGTATCATAATAAATAGCGTCAAACCTTAAGGAAATGTTATTCAACAGCCCCTCCCTCCTCTCTGATTGGCGAAGATAATAATACAACTTTAAGCAATAGATTGAATCAAAATTGGGAAGGTGCTACAGAATTGAAAGAAAATACGAAGAGAGCAAAAACTACTTACAGAAATGTGAGGCATGTCCCTTTTCACCAATGTGATCACACGTTTTATAAGAAACTTCCCTAAGTTTATCCCTGCCAAGCCAGACTGTCAAAATTCTGTAAGTACATTTCTGGCAAAGCAAGCAAAAAGAACAGAGTTCGGAATCCATCATTCTGTCCGAATATATCAAACCCAATGTTGATGTATACCATAAAGGAACTCTACAAGCATAAAAGAGTGCCTAAACGAATCTGAAAGGAATCTGAAAGAGATATATTACCTTGAAATATCCACGTAACAGAAAAAAGATGAGTGACTCACTAATGTAAGGAAATTCATAATTCACGTAAAAAAATCCTAGGATTTTGTTCTTAACTTCAACTTCTGATTTCTAAACTTAAACTGGGTGATCTAAGTCAATTGAAAGACAGCATATGAAACCCATTCATCAATAAGATTTCATTTGCTTAAATACTGAAGCAACTGCAAGATATTAATAGGGACTGGCTAACGTTAGTGACTAAGCAGTCAATTTCAATTAAAATTCGTAAGTCAAACCAAGAACAGAAGTTTTGAAGACCAGAAGATCAACCGTCACATTCTCCATCAACAAATGCATAAGATAGTACATGACACACCACCCCAAAAGAACACTAAGCTTGTAGGCATGAGACCAGAAACTCTTGATACGAGACATCGGATACTATAAGGACTGGTCTCTAAAGACTATAGATATGAGGGAACAGCTTCACCCAACTTCAACCATACAAGCATGTAACAACCACTATAGAAAAGCAGGTGATGATGGTACAGAGAACATTCACCAGTAACTAGTTTTACCTGGGTTGATGATATGGAATAAAATAATGCACATGTAGCCTCAGATTCTGGAATAGGAGGATCATCCCACAAAACTTCCTGTCATATTCAACAACTAAATATCAATGAAAAATCGGAAGAAAGCTAAGGGGTGCCCTAAAGGTAACGTGGATGATAATGTCCACCACGTACTAGGTTCAAATCTTGCAGCAAACACAGCCTATCTAGAAAACAATCAATTGAAAGTAAATAGCAATTGGATGCCTTGAACTAGCCTGAATTGTTTGAGCCACATTCTTCAAGAGTGCAACTTCAATGAAAATAAGGGGCTCGCCTGAAAGAACAACAAAGTTTTCACACAAGTTATTTACCTTGTCCTTGTATCTGCTAAAAGTCGCATAAACTTAACATTCTCTACTGACAGGTGTATGTATCAGAGCACGTTTGTTTGCAATATGTCTCTAGTTTCACAGCATCGTTAGCAAAATTACACGTTTTTGTTTATGATAACCTTAAAACCTTTATACAATATGAGGAGAAAGAAACGGATCATCAAATAAGGTTTTTTTTTGTCATTATTAGTTTTTACATAACTCAGCTTAGTGAATGGCTATCAGTCTTATCTTTTTTATGTTTTGTGGATGGAATAATAAAACTGGAACTGTCACTAACCAGGTATTGCAGGGTGTATATATCCAAAACAACGACGACCAACGCCCAGTCGTCTTTTGAGGTCTAAAAGATTGCTGATAGGATGTACAGCCTGCACAAAACTGAAGTATGATATGGAGAGGGAAAACAGAAATCGGTACATATATAAATAGGTGAATACAACAGGAAGATACCTCATAAGCCACGATTTTCTCAAGCAAAGAAGCAGGGTCGTCCCAAGTAATCTGGTAAAGCTCTAATGCGACAGGACTAAGCCAAGTTGTAAGTTTCTCCTTCAAACTGGTGTCTAAAGCCCGCAAGGATGCAATGTTTTCATCTCTGTAGTTTAAACCCGTGGTGAAGCAGGTTAAACACAGCCATAGATACAGAAGCAAGCAACAACCATTAAACCAACTGACTGATTGACTTACTGTAAAATGGACAAGATATCAGCACGAAGGGTGGATAGGAATCTCAACCCACCAGGGTGGGTGTTGAGTCTCTCAAAGAGGACCTCGTAGGCAGGCTTGAGAGCCTGTCTGAGGTTTCTTTCAATGCGATAGAAAGCAGAAAGCATAGCTTCATCTTTTGGGGAATCAGATTCACCTCCATCACCAGCTGAAGGGAGTGGAAGAATGTGAGGATTAAAATTAGCAGCAGGAATGAAAGAATCAAAGGAGGGAAGGTTGAGAAAGTGAATTAGACCAGGAAGCTGGAGACCCAGATGCTGTTTCATGAGTTCACGAGCCTGGTTGCGGTTGAGATCATACCCTTTAGCAAGGATGAGTAACAGCCTGCGGCGGTGATCACGAGAGAGGCCAAAGTAACCCTGCAGAAGTGTAGAGAAATGATTCGATAACAGGCAGAGTAAATCAGAACTGTAAAAATTCAAATTGAATTTAGCGGGACGGAACCTCGGAGAAATCACGAAGAACGGTATCGAGAAGTTCAGTTTTGTTCGACGATATGGCGGAGTGCATTGCATCTCGCACGACATCCAGATCTCTGAGAACACAAACAAGCAACATGCATTCTTAATTTAGAAGCAGTAAGGACTACGGAGTACCGCAATGACGACGAAGGGAACGAGAAGTGAAACCTCTGAGGAGGAAGTGAAGCAGCGGCAGCGTTTCCCTGTTGCTTACAGAGACGATCGCCATCTCCGTGGGATCGGATTGCTTCTCCTTCCCTCTGATTACAAAAATTGCAGTTTACCAGAAGAAGACGAAGAAGAAACTCGAAATCCGGAATAGAGAGGGAGGGGGTTAGGTTACTGACCGCCGTAGGGAGAGGCGCGGCAGCAAGGGCGAGCTTGCTGTTAGTGCTCGCCGGAAAAGAAGAACCGTCTGCAGCTGCTGCCCTCATTCTGGCTCGCATGAGGATGGCCAATCCTTTCTTGTTCATCTATCTAATTCGAACCCAAATTGAAGCAACAAAGAGGGAAAATGACAAGAATTGAGCACAAACGCTGTCTCTATCTCATTCTTTTCCCATGATTTTTCCCCCAAAAAACTCATCATCTGCCATAGCTGCAGAATAGTCCGTCCGCCATCTCCATCACAGTGTGCTTTACCAATCCTTCTTTGCTTCCCCCGCTCGCAACGCCACTGCACGCCAACATCAGTCGGTCTCGGTCCTCTTCAGTAATTTTGAGATTTTATGAAATCTCCCCTCCCCTCCAATTTCTTTGTTTGGCGCCGGGCTACTTTTCTTCTGGGCCTCAATATCCGTATGTCGCCTTCCGTCTTCGTGGGCTTGCTTCTGCCCATCTCTGGGCCCGAAACCCAATCGGGTAATTTCGCTAGTGAATTTATATTTTTGCTGTATTTTGTTCTCATACACTCTGTGATTAATTTAAGCTATATGATGTTCTTGCAACATTTTACCTCTAAAATAATAAAAATAATAATAACAATAAATTTTGGTCTAATATGTGATTGGGGATTATCCTCGAGTACCTGAAGACTACAAGAACGAGGATGACATCTTCCACCGACATAGGGTCGAGGAGAGTATAAGTTAAGAAATTTAAATGAGTAATGTGATCAGTTCATCCCAAACCCGAGCCATTGTCGTCCCTATTTATCAAATGTGGAAATGAACCCCTTTACAAGTTGTGGTTATGAATGAGTTTACTAATCACATATGAGTTATGGACTGACTAAGTCGTAGTATCATCATTCGAGACTCAAGAATCTAAATAACATTTCAGTAAGGATGGACATAAAGATGCACCCACAACCCCCTGTCATAATTAGTGTTTGTGAACTAACGGCCAAGAAAATTTCTTCCTGAAAGTTGAATTACTAATTGATTTTTAACAATACGAAACAATTGAGCAATAATTTCAACACAAATGTCATTTTACTAACTTTTCCAATACACCAACATTACAATCTTATTTATAACATATAATCCGAAACGTGGGATGACTTGGGAGTTGGGGATGTAAACAAAGCAATGGACTTAGTTAGGTGGAGTCTACAATAACAGGGAGAGATCAATAATTAACTCAAGACCCTGAAATGACGGCCGCCCCAAACTTTGATGCCTTCTTCGTGTTTCCTTGTTGTTGAAACACAAGTGGCCGGATCCTAATAACTTTGATGCCGACAAGTTGAAAATTGAATCCTGTCCTCTTGTGAAGGAACTCGACTTGGGCAAAGGGTGGAGTAGGAAGAAAGAGTGCTCATGATTACCAACTTTTGTAACTTTCTTTCTTCGACACATCCATCTCCAACAAACTTCACCACCAACCTACGAAGGAGGAAAGATGGACCGTAAAAGTTAGGGTTGATAATGGCTCCAACTTTACATTAATAGATTAACTTGATCTCTGGTTTTTTGAAATACTCGTAATTTATGATTGGTATTTCAGAAATCGTCTGTCAAATTAGTCTATCGGTGTGAATTCAGGGTCGTTTAATTTAAGGTATTAACAGATACACAAATGCATATATGCTTACTGGCGTCTGTATCGTTGGATCAACTGTTGCAGACGATTCACTATTTTTTGGATCAGATAATTTATTACAAATTGCTACTTTATGAATCCGACGGCGCGGACTGTATGCACCCCCCCCATCCAATATGTCATGTGCAAGTATGTGCTTGTAAAAATCGGCAGGTACAAATAACGGGAGTTATGGTGGGGAAATGTTTTAATATGGACCATATACCACATACCAACACGCCTCCTTAATAAAAATCACTTACATGGATTTTGAAGTTTTCCACGGGTCCGAAAATACCACTTTCTTAGCGAATGAGGTCGTCGATATTTGAGCAGAAGATCTCTCAATTACAGAATGCTCCGGTACAATGTAAAGAACCAATTGTTTCTAATAACTCGAACCGTTGGAACATGTTCAGCAATGAAATCTTGTACCACATACTAACGGTGTTCACCATACGCGCATGTGAGAGCACCGTACCCTAATTCAAAGATAAAACCTACCGCCAGCTATGCATAATACTTTCTCCATCATGCAAAGTATCTCTGTTGACTCGTGGTTGTTGATGGTTGTTGTTGCTGTGAGTTATTATCAAACATTGTTGTTTATTAATTTATTGTGTGTGTTTGGTTGATATTATCTTATTAATGTTTGGTTTGTGGAGCTGTCTATCATGTTATGGTACCACGTACGATATTACCCGGAAGAGGTAGACTAATATTCGCAATGTGCGTTCCTCCCCGGCCGGCCCCAAACTCCACCACCGACGACAGCCAAAAAGAAGAAGGGGGAAAAACAAAAAGCTACACAGCCGACAGAATAAGAGGGAAATAAAGCAGCAAAAAAAGAAAGAAGGGAATGGAATGATGCGGCGACTGTGATTGAGAATGAGTGGGATGATCGGTTGAGAAAGAAAAGTATCATTCTATTCTATTTGCAGAGAATTCATGTGTGCTATAGATTTCAGTTATCTATTTGTGTTCAAATTTGTGTGAACTAACGGTATAAAAATGAAGGGGGCATGTAGTAAATGGGAGAGAGATAATAGAATGAGTAATTTTGTATAATTATTTGAAAACACAAAAATACGAGTAAATAGTAAGACAAATTCAGAGTTAAAATAAATATTAAGGCAAATCAAGATGTGAAACACAGTATACGATGGAGTAGGGGGCAGATTTCGGATTTTTTCGAGAGATGTATTAGTCAATAAAAATAAAATAAGTTAAATAACTAAAACTTAGAATTTTATTCATAATGCATACAATTTCATTGTTTTCACAAATTATTTATAATTATAAATATTTATGAAATACATTTCACCAACCATATCTCCCCACTCTTATGTAACAAAAACTAAATCTCTCCGCACTCTTATGTCATTCACCAACCAAGAAAAAGAAAAAGGAATAAACAAAATAATCGACTCCCTTTTCTTCTATCAATATGGTGATTAGTTCGTGCGAGATTGTCTAATAAGATTTACTAACGGTAATTTACAACTTTCTCAAAAAGATTAAAAAAAAAATGTCGCTGGTATGTAATTGTAACTTGCACTAAACGGATATTTTCTTATTTAACAAAATTATATATATATATATATATATATAATTATTATCTTAATTTAAATTTGAAAATGAAACCCTCTAAATAAAATTCTCGTAACACCACTCCATGTCATATTTCGTACTAGAAGACAGTAATAACCATAAGTGTATAGAGGTCATTAGATTGAAAATTTCCATGTAATATACCTTTTTTTCCCGTCTCTGATAAAGTGGTAATCCATCACTAATACACCTAACGGCCATGGGGAGACACGCAGAAAATCCGCCATTGGCAAGTAGGGCTGCAAATGAGTTGAATTGTTCGCGAGCGACTCGGTGTTCGATTCGCGGAAAGTTTGTTCGAAACTCGGCTCGTTAATAAACGAGCCGAACATGATCTAAACTTTCTTGAGCTCGTGAAGCTCGCGAGCTAGCTTGACTCGGTGGCTTGTTGAGCTAAACTCGTGAGCTGGCTCGTTTAGAGCTCATGATATGTCTCAACATGTGGCTAGAGAGCCAACTCGATTGCCGACTTATGGACGAATCAATCTATATCTTATATTTTTAATTCATATGGTTGTTAAATTATATATTTCACCATATATAAAGTTTAAAACGATGAGTATGTGAGCAAATATATCTTATTTTCTACTTTAAAAAAAATTATGTATCATAAATAGCTTCGTTACTATGAAATAACATGATTTGGAGTACTTAAAATTTATTAACTAAATGATATACGATACCAACAAAGTATAATATGATATTAGCTAACAAAATAAATCATGTGTATAATGATATACAAAATGAAGTACCAAATAAAAGTTAAGATTTTAGTAAACAATCTAGCTCGAGCTCGACTCGGCTCGGCTCGTTAATAAACGAGCTGAGCTCGAGCTCAACTCGTTTATTAACGAGCCGAGCTCAAACTGGGGTAAAACTCGACTCGACTCGGCTCATTTGCAGCCAAGCCAAAGCCCGAGGTAAAATAAAAACATAGCAGGAAGTAGGGGTGGTAAACGGTAATCCGGTAAACGGTTTACCGTTTTACCGAACCGGTGGTATCGGCAGCCGAGCGGGAAGTTCGGGGAGTCGGTTTACCGGACACGGTATCGGTAAATACTGACGGTAAATCGGTATTACCGATACCGAATCCCCCATCCCTACTCCCTAGTGCTACGCTGCGTTTTGTTGCTTTACCCCAAAAATATAAAATATTACATACATGAATGTAAATATAGGCCTCAAAAATATTGTAAATAAGAGTTAATAATAAATTATTAATTACAAAAATGATGAAAAAACTCAAAAAAATCAAAATATTACATCATCACCCCACTTTCAGAAATTCAGTTCGGTAAATATTCGGTAAATCGATCGAAAAACCGCCCGAAATAGCTTCTCACGGTATTTCAGTAATACCGGTTTGTAACCGTTTACCGGTAATTCGGTAATCGGTAAACCGGTTACAAACCGGTATCGATAATCGGTAACCAGTTTGGCCAACTTCGGTATACCGAAACCAGTAAACGGTAAATTGTTTACCGACCGAATCCAACCCCTATCAGAACTCAGAAAGCAGTAACGTAAAAAAAAATGTCAAAACCCGAGACAAGGGTTTTATTGGTTAATGGTGCTTTGCTGGCTGTTTTCCATCTCATTCATTCCAATGCCATGCCCGGCGCTCCAATCCAGCTAGATCATTACATAGCGGCATCTCTCCTCTCCTTTCTCTCTGCCGTGAGTTTGGGCTTTTATTACTGCTCTTTCCCCCCCTCACTCCTTCTTCTTCCTCGGTCTCCTCTGCATCTTCATTTTCTTACAGTGGATATAATTTTCTTGATTTGGTCTCCTCTCTGTTCGCCGACACGTAAAATGTATTTTCTTTCTCTGTATTCTCGTTTTACAGCTTAATTAATTCAATTATAGAAAAAAGGAAGTTGTTGATTTGGAATCTTCTCTCCTCTGAGTCCTCTCCCTTCCATCACCCACTCTCACCTCCCTGTCTGCCATTTCTTTAATGACCGATGCTATTCCGCTAGTCCAACCAACTACTGACTCTTCTCCCTCCACCTCCTCATTCATTTGCACAGCAGCAAGCAACCCATTCCCCAATTTCACCATTACCCTTCTCTATCTCTCTCTGTCCTCCTCCTTCTTCCCCGGTGGTTTCCCACCGACAACCGCCATGCCGCTTCTCTGACCAATGCAATCGGCCGCCGACTGCTAAAATGGCTGGTTTCCAGCTTCTGATTTTCCTCCTCCCGTTTCTTCACCCGATTCTCGTCCACTCCACCACTGATTCCACCGACGGTAACTTCTATTCAGCAGTCTGGAGCTTTTTTTTTCTTCTTCTTCTTCCACAGTGTGCTCTGTAAATTTGATCCCCTGTTTTTTTTTTTTTTTTGGTTGCTTGTTGGGTTTTGGTGGCAGTTCAAGCTTTGCAAGTGGTGTACAGCTCAGTCAACAGCGCTTCGCAGCTGACAAACTGGAAGAGCAATGGCGGAGATCCGTGTGGGGAGTCATGGAAGGGGGTCGTTTGCCAGGGATCATCTGTTGTTTCACTGTACGGTTTTTTTGTGGCAAAAAGGAACAATCTTTTTTTGCTTGTGTTCTTTTGGGTTGATTTCACTTCATTCTGATCCCAGTCCTTTTCCTTTTTTTACATTTGCAGGGAGCTTTCCGGTTTGGGGCTTAGTGGGTCAATGGGATACTTGCTTAATGACCTTTCCTCTTTGAAAACTTTGTCAGTTTTTCTTCTTTCCCACCTTGCTTAACTTCGTTTTCTTTCTTTACCCCTGTCTGCAATTTCTGATTTTGGTGATCTCCACAGGGATCTGAGTAACAATAACTTCCATGATTCAATCCCTTACCAATTGCCCCCTAATCTCACCTCCCTGTAAGTAAAAACGCCTCTCCTCTTTTGCTCACTTTCTAACTTTGCTTCTCACTTGATGGGATTTCCAGCAATTTTAATGAATGTTCTATTCCGAAATGCAGAAATTTGGCGAGGAACAACTTGTCTGCAAGTCTTCCTTATTCCATTTCCACCATGGCTTCTCTGAGCTACTTGTGAGTTTTTGTACGATTCTGGTTTTGGGTTTGCGCAAGTGGCTCAAAAGAATTTGATCTTTAAGCCTAACGTCTGTGGGTTTATGGGTTCAGGAATGTAAGCGGTAATTCACTTTCCCAAGCTGTTGGAGATATGTTCTCTAATCTCCTTCTCCTAACAACCTTGTAAGTTAAGATAAAGATTAAACCACCATTAAAGTTCCTAGCTTTGGACATGATAATTCCTTGCGTGTAAATGTAATGTCCCTCTAATGTCTTATTCTTCCCTTGTAATATAAGTAACTCTGCAATTCCTCTGTTCATGGATGTAGGGATCTTTCTTTCAACAACTTCAGTGGAGATCTTCCCGCTTCTTTTAGCTCACTATCCAATTTATCTACGTTGTGAGTGTTTAATTTTCCTCATTGCTAGAACAATTATTAATCACATTCCAGGACAATGATCTTATCTCATTAGAATGCTACCATTAACGTTACAGAAATGTCCAGAACAATCAGCTCAATGGCTCTCTTAATGTCCTCACCGGTCTGCCTTTGACCACCCTGTAAGTTAGTTGTCATTTATCAGCCTGTTTACGTAGCTAGGCATTATCTTCATACGGTATCTTATTGCAGCGCTTTTCTTGAAACAGGAATGTTGCAAATAACCATTTCAATGGCTGGATCCCTCGTGAGCTTATTTCAATCCCAAATTTTAGGTCAGTTAGCTAGCCCATCTTGCTGTGCATACTAATTATGGTGATGACTGTAGGCAAATGCTGACATCTTAGTGAAAATGCAAACAGATCTGAGGGAAACTCCTTCAACAATGGCCCAGCTCCTCCTTCTCCACCTTCCACTTCTCCCCCCGGCAGGCCTCGTAACAATCGTGGTCGAACACCTGGATCTCCATCGTCAGACGGGCAATCATCACAGTCATCATCTAAGGGATTGGCAGTGGGTGCAATTGTAGGGATTAGTCTAGGTTCTGCCTTTCTCCTTGGCATTCTGTTAGTTATAGTGTTTTGCATCAGGAAGAGTAAAAAGAAAGAAGTTGGCTTCATTTCATCTTCCCATGGGGGAACTCATCCTGCCACCACGAATACCAGTATGTTCCTTTTACCCTTGCAGTTAATTGTTTGTTTTGATAACGCAAAGTCAATCTGAGTTGATTGTTATTGTTACTTCCACAGTTCAAATGGAGATGAATGAACAAAGGGTGAAGAACATGGCTGCTGTTACAGATGTGAAACCCCCTCCAGCCGAGCAGTCTGTGGTTAACAAGTTACAAGGGAACTCAGGATCCGTAAAGAGAATGAAATCGCCAATGACTGCTACTCCCTATTCTGTTGCTACCCTACAAACATCAACAAATAGCTTTAGTCAAGAGTTTCTGATTGGTGAAGGCTCTCTCGGTCGTGTTTACAGGGCAGAGTTTTCCAATGGAAAGGTAACAACACCTTAATCTTTTAGTAGGTTAGGTAGAATAACCAATATAAGGAACTCTGATTTAGTCAACTTGCCTTGTTTTTTTTCTTCTTCTTAGACAATGGCGGTGAAGAAGATAGACAATGCAGCACTATCTCTACAGGAAGAGGACAACTTTCTTGAAGCTGTCTCGAATATGTCACGGTTGAGGCATCCAAACATTGTCTCCCTGGTGGGATACTGTGCTGAGCATGGACAGCGGCTTTTGGTCTATGAATATATAGGGAATGGAAATCTGCATGATATACTGCATTTCGCCGATGAGGATGGGAAGAAGTTGTCGTGGAATGCACGAGTGAGAGTAGCACTTGGCACAGCCAGGGCTTTAGAGTATGTCATATTTGTACGAGAAGAGCTTAACTCTCTTATCACTCTCTGCCCCTCATCTTCATCAGAAGGTTTATGTCTAACACATGCTTTTGCCATGGCTCATCAGGTACTTGCACGAAGTCTGCTTGCCATCTGTTGTACATAGAAACTTCAAATCAGCAAACATTTTGCTTGACGAAGAGCTAAATCCTCACTTGTCCGACTGTGGTTTAGCTGCGTTAAATCCGAACACAGAGAGACAGGTACCCTGGAGGAATTCAAAGAAGTTATTTTCCCATCAGTTGGCATTAGCCAAGTTTTCATTTTTATCATCTCATTTGAAAAATCAAGCTTGATTGTTGAAACCATCAACAGGTTTCGACGCAAATGGTTGGCTCATTTGGTTACAGCGCTCCTGAGTTCGCCTTGTCAGGAGTGTATACTGTTAAAAGTGATGTCTACAGCTTTGGGGTGGCCATGTTGGAGCTGTTGACTGGTAGAAAGCCACTGGACAGGTACAAACAACATTCTTATTCTCTTCATAAACCAAAACTTGGAGCGCAAGTCACCAGAATATGGCTGATCATCTGATCATTTTGTTAACAGTTCAAGGCCTAGACCGGAGCAATCACTCGTGAGATGGGCAACTCCTCAACTGCATGATATCGATGCACTGGCGAAGATGGTTGATCCTACGCTGAACGGCATGTATCCTGCCAAGTCACTCTCTCGATTCGCTGACATAATCGCCCTGTGTGTCCAGGTCAGCATTCATGCTAATAACTAGCTATATAACTCACTCATCAAGTTGATTCTTCCTACTCCTACTGATACCAAAGCATTTCCACTTCTGTTGTTGCAGCCTGAACCCGAATTCAGGCCACCGATGTCTGAAGTTGTGCAAGCACTCGTGCGGTTGGTGCAAAGGGCGAGCGTGGTGAAGAGGCGGTCCAGTGATGATTCAGGGTTTTCGTACAGGACACCGGACCACGAGGCCATTGATCTCTCCTTTTAAGTGTCTGGCTGGCACTGCAATCTTTTGGAGGTTTTGCTGTTACAATCTTGGAGGTTTTCCCCAATCGAGAAATTCGAGAGTGAGGCATATTCTGTAAATGGACGTTGATCAAAATTGTATTTTTAAGATCGTCAATTCGTATCCTGCATTTGTAATCTTCATAAGGGATCCCATATCTATAAACCATGTTCACTGTGTAATGAAAATAAGATTAGTTTCTTTTTCGGCAATGCAGAATTGTTTGCATCTTGAACCCAAGATAATATTGTTTGCATACTTGAAAACATAGGAATGATCATATTCAACATACCATAAGCGAATTAAGTTTGCATTTGCTGCAGAGCTATGAGCAGCAAGATCAAGCAGAAGGGTAAGAAGCCTTTATGTAATAGTTATTAGGCCCATACGTAGTTAAAGCCCATGCAGCCCATACGGGTCAAGGGATGATTGTCGAATGCTTGACACCTAGGGGGCTCGGCCGTTGATTTATAGCTGTTCTGCAGCAGCTGTACAACTCAACAAAACATATCATCATCAGTAATATCAGTAGACCTTGCGCTCTGCCGTGGATTAGTCATGTAATTCATTTTTAGAGACATCATGTAAAATTTCGATAGTTCAATTTACAGTTTTCATTATTGAATTGTTATCATGGTATTAGAGCTTCTGATGATTAAATCTTGAAAAGACGCTGGTTCGCCTCACGTCGACGAACTATTCTCCGTGGAAGTTTCAATTCTACCCGGAAGACTGTTCACCAACCTGTCGGCGCTGGTGCTACAGATCATGACGATCTCCATGTGGAACCAAAATGATGCCAAGGTTCGTTCGTGGTTGCTGGATTGTGTTGATGCATACACTTGTTTGAGTCTCCAATTGTTTCCCACCGCCAATCCTATGTGGCGGCATTTGTCTTCAACATATCATAAATAAATAAATGAATGAATAAAGAGCTCGTCTATTATGCTTCGAAGTATTGGTGAGTTCATATACAATATGAACTTTTACTATAACGCTAAAGGTACGATTTCAGTTTGTAACATGAAGGAATTTGTACAAAAATGTATATGTACAAACTTAACTTGTACCATAACCTTAAATATACAAGTCGAGTTTCTTCCATAAAGAAATTTGTACAAAAATGTGTAAGTACAAACTGAATTTTTACCCAGCGGCGGATCCAGAATAGGGTAGAGCACTGGGCCAAATTTGAAAAGAGATGGAGAGGACTAGGTTGTAACCCGACGAGCACTGAAACTAACACCAATGGATCCAGGGGAGGGATAGGCCGAGACCCGGGGGCGGCCCCCTGAATCCGCCGCTATTCATACCAAAACATTAAACATACAAGTTCAGTTTGTACCGCAGATGAATTCGCACGAAAATGTATAAGTACAAACTAAATGTGGTCTATGACATTAAAGGTATACATTTAGTTTGTATCTTTAATAAACAAAAAATATACAATAATGTATGCCAATGTGTCGGCACTATGCTAGTTTGATTTGCTGTATTTTTAATCCAAACATGCCTTAGCAACATCCTCATCTTTAAAAACACACAAAGATTCTTATTTAGCTTACTTCTAGAGAGAAAATCTCAATTATCTAAACATAAATATGGTTACAAATGAATCTACACATAATATAATACACCGAAGGGAAAAACGGGAGCCCCATTTCAAATTTCCTGCAACGAGAGTGAAAGTAGGAAGGACATTTTGGTCTTCACAATTACTTTTTTTTATTCATTAAAAAGGCATGTACTGGGATTCGAACCATGACCATTTTAAAGAAAAGCAAGGATCATAGCCAATCACACTAAGTACATTTGTTGTATCTTTTTAAATTAAAAACATACAATTGCAAAGAGGAAAAAACTCTTTCCCCATTCCAAATCCAATGCTCCATGAGCGTTTGTAGGAAGGGTAGAATAGGAGTGTCAATTTTTTTTCTCTTTCCTCTGTGGAACGGGCCAACTTACCGTACACATGCGCATTTAAATGGGTCCTGGAGTGTCAATTTTTTTCTTTAAGCCCTTTTATTTGTCTGTGGTGATAAAGTATATATGAAAAGGTAAAAACAATACTCCTTTTTATTGCTAAAAAAAATTTAACAATAAACTAATGCATGGTATCTGATGGGCTAACCGCTAACCATAAAATAAAAGAGTTGAATGGGCCTGACCTACACGGGATTTGGCCATCAAGTAAAACAAATGAACATCATTGGTTTGTCATTCTAAAACAAGTTATTTTCTCTGGTATAATATATATCATGCTATTATTTTATATCTTAGTGGCTAAAATATAATATATTTTAAAGTTATTCAATGGTTCAACCTCGACCAACCCAATTAGTCCAATTTTTATCATTTCAAATATATATAATATAATTATTTGATATCATAATGACAAAATTATAGTGTATTTTATAGGGACTCGTTTGGTATTTGTAAGTAAAAAACTAAACAGAAAGATCTATTTGGTTATTTTAAACATTAAAAAGATCCTAAACATTTTCAGTTCCTTTTGAATTTCTATGGTTTTATTCTCGAATAAGTGATGTGCAAATGGCGAATTGCAGTCATCTCTTTTCTTTCACTATTTTTTATTTTAAAATAGAAATTTTAAAAGTAAAGAATAATTAGAATTTGGCATGGGTCGGTCAAACAGGCTGAATTTCAAGTTTTGGCCCGTTTTGATCAAGTCTAATTTATAATCACATGGTTCCCTGATACCCGATAAAAATCTCAATCCAAACCAGTTTGGCAGGTGAGTCCGTGTTTACCACAATTTTCTAGGGATACAACAACTATGGTTCTCCCAAATCGTGTTGTTCGTTCTTGATTTTCTTAGATTTTATCATGGCTTGCCAAAAACTGGAAAGCACAATGACGACAAGATGAAAGTTTTATAAAGCAGAGTAATCGGCCAACGGGCCGAATAAAAGCTAGCAACGATTGTGAGATGCTCATTTCCCGAAAACCGACGGGATAGGAGATTTTTTATTCGATTTTCTGGAATTTGGTTTCTATAAAACTTACTCCACCTCATCATATTACCAGAAACAATATTGTTTCACAAGGTAACAAGTACTTGATTTTGGTTCAGAAGGCCGATTTTTTATTCGTTGCATCATTCATGTCTCTTTCCTGCTAAAATTCACTATTTTTATTCGGTGTTTCCCAAAAAATAATAGTGTATTTTATAGGGAATCGTTTGGTATTTGTAAGTAAAAAACTAAACAGATCTATTTGGTTATTTTAAACATTAAAACGATCCTAAATATTTTCAGTTCCTTTTGAATTTCTATGGTTTTATTCCCGAATAAGTGATGTGCAAATGGCGAATTGCAGTCATCTCTTTTCTTTCACTATTTTTTATTTTCAAATAGAAAGTTTAAAAGTAAAGACTAATTAGAATTTGGCATGGGTCGGTCAAACATGTTGAATTTCAAGTTTTGAGCCGTTTTGATCAAGTGTAATTTATAATCACATGGTTCCCTGATACCCGATAAAAATCTCAATCCAAACCAGTTTGGCAAGTGAGAATGTGTTTACCACCATTTTCTAGGGATACAACAACTGCGGTTCCTATCCCAAATCGTGTTGTTCGTTCTTGATTTTCTTAGATATTATCATGGCCTGAAAAAAATTGGAAAGCACAATGACGACAAGATGAAAGTTTCATAAAGCAAATTAATCTGCCAACGGGTCGAGTAAAAGCTAGCAACGATTGTGAGATGCTCATTTCCCGAAAACCGACGGGATAGGCGATTTTTTATTCGATTTTCTGGTTTCTATAAAACTTACTCCACCTCATCATATTACCATAAATAATATTGTTTCACAAGGTAACAAGTACTTGATTTTGGTTCATAAGGCCGATTTTTGATTCGTTGCATCATTCATGTCTCTTTCCTGCTAAAATTCACTATTTTTATCACGTGTTTCCCAAAAAATTATAGTGTATTTTATAGAGAATCGTTTGGTATTTGTAAGTAAAAAACTAAACAGAAAGATCTATTTGGTTATTTTAAACATTAAAACGATCCTAAACATTTTCAGTTCCTTTTGAATTTCTATGGTTTTATTCCCAAATAAGTGATGTGCAAATGGCGAATTGCAGTCATCTCTTTTCTTTCAATATTTTTTATTTTCAAATAGAAAGTTTAAAAGTAAAGACTAATTAGAATTTGGCATGGGTCGGTCAAACAGACTGAATTTCAAGTTTTGGCCTGTTTTGATAAAGTTTAATTTATAATCACATGGTTCCCTGATGCCCGATAAAAATCTCAATGCAAACGAGTTTGGCAGGTGAGTATGTGTTTACCACCATTTTCTAGGGATACAACAACTGCGGTTCTTATCCCAAATCGTGTTGTTCGTTCTTGATTTTTTTAGATTTTATCATGGTCTGACAAAAACTGGAAAGCACAATGACGACAAGATGAATGTTTTATAAAGCAAATTAATCGGCCAACGGGCCGATTAAAAGCTAGCAACGATTGTGAGATGCTCATTTCCCGAAAACTGACGGGATAGGCGATTTTTTATTCGATTTTCTGGAATTTGGTTTCTATAAAACTTACTCCACCTCATCATATTACCAGAAACAATATTGTTTCACAAGGTAACAGGTACTTGATTTTGGTTCATAAGGCCGATTTTTTATTCGTTGCATCATTCATGTTTCTTTCCTGCTAAAATTCACTATTTTTATCACGTGTTTCCCAAAAAAAAACTATACAACAATAAGTTATACACCCCATTACATTATCAAATTTCATACCTCACCTTCCTCCGGCCAACTGGCCGGGGCCCACGCTAGTTTATATAACTAAACACAATCAGATTAGATATCCCGAGAATCCAACTCCCTGATCCATCCCCTAATAATCACAAATCATTCCCTAAAATCAGCCGAAGCTAACCCTAATCCCCCTCTGACTTCGCCCCCAAAAAGTCAGCCCTAATAACCCTCCGTGCAAACACGTCTCACTAGCAGTGTGTCTCGCCACTCTTTTCTTACCGTCACAACTCACAATCGTGTGACCCACCTCCCCCAAATCCCAACCACCATACTCTATAAATCCCTTCTCCATTTTCATATTCAAATCCCATCACAACCTTTCCCTGTGCCCTAATTTTCTAACCACCCAACTAACCCAAAGTAGTTACCTCCTTCATTCCATAACCCCAAACCCAACCATCGCCCACAAACCATGGCGTTAACGTCTTCCTTGTCACCATTGTCATCCTCCCTTCTTCTCTCTGCCGCATTACTCATCTTCTACGCCAACGTCGCGGCCGCGGTAGACTACTACAACTACAAGCCGTCCACCTCCGTCTCCCCTTACCTCCCTTCCTACTCCAAATCCACGCCGACGAAGTCGAGAATCCTCAACCCGATCGACTCGTGCTGGCGGTCCGACCGGAACTGGTCACGCAACCGGCAGGCCCTGGCCGACTGCTCGGTCGGGTTCGGGAAGGCCACAATGGGCGGGAAACACGGCCCGATCTACGTGGTCACGACCGATTCGGACGACCCGGCCGACCCGAAACCCGGTACGCTGCGGTACGGCGTCGTGCAGAGCAAGCCGCTGTGGATCGTGTTTCAGAAGGACATGGTGATCACGCTGAAGAACGAGCTGATCGTGAACAGCTACAAGACGATCGACGGGCGGGGGGCCAAAGTGGAGATCGCGTACGGGCCGTGTTTGACGATCCAAGGGGTGACCCACGTGATTGTTCATGGGCTTAGTATCCATCACTGCAGGCCCGGGAAGTCTGGGCTGGTGAGGAGCAGCCCGGGGCATGTGGGCCGAAGGCAGGGGTCGGATGGGGATGGGATTGCGGTGTTTGGGTCGTCGAATGTTTGGATCGATCATTGTTATCTGGCCCGGTGTACGGATGGGCTTATTGATATCATTCATGCTTCTACTGGGATCACCATCTCCAACAACTATTTTACCCAGCATGATAAGGTAAGCACTAAGCACTAAGCACTAAGCACATGATTTACATTTCTTTTTCACCTACCTTAAAGAAAGATTTTCAGTTAGTCGCCTAGCGGTTATAAGAAAACAGTGTAGTTATCGATAGATCGATGGCTTTTGATAAAACGATAACCGAATAGCTAGTTAACGGTTAATCAACAACTAACTAAGTATAAACACATACCTATGTTTTTCTCCTTCAAAATGGTCATATCTCTTAAAAAAACTCTCAAATTTCAAATAAACAACGTTCTCTCGCGTCGTCCCTCTTCTTTCTCTAATTTCCTTCTACTGTGAACCTTAAAATTACAAGAGACAAAGACTATCGTCGATTTTGTGGTTGAAATGTATGCATCAAAATTGAAAAAAAGAGGATAACCTTCTGTTGGTTCGATTATAGTTTCAAATTACCTGCTAACGGTTAGTTGGTTAACCAACATGATAACAGATAACCAACTATTCGGTTACAGCTAACGATTAATATAAAAATTGACTAACGATTCCGACTATACCGAAACATCTAACAACCCAAGATCTATAGCTTCGATTGGATTTAAGCACTGCAGCATAAACTGACGTAAAATTGCTGTGCAGGTGATGCTATTGGGACACAACGACAAGTACAAGGAAGACAAAATCATGAAGATAACCATAGCCTTCAACCATTTCGGCGTTGGCTGCATCGAGAGAATGCCCAGGTTGGTTCTCTAGCTTAACGCCATTATACCCACTACACAAGGGCTTTTAACTGTCTAGCTCTGTACGAATTAGTTATGTAACTTGGCTTTCATTTTTCGCAGGGTGAGATTCGGCTACGCCCACGTCGTAAACAACAGGTACGACGAGTGGCAAATGTATGCAATCGGAGGCAGCGCCAACCCGACCATATTCAGCCAGGGGAACTACTTCATAGCACCTGACCAGCCCTACGCGAAGCAGGTGACCAAGCGCGAGGTGAAGAGCGGATGGAAGCAGTGGAAGTGGAGGTCGTCTGGAGACGTTTTCCAGAACGGAGCTTACTTCGTGCAGTCGGGCTATGGAACTTGCGCTCCGCCCTATACAGGCTCGCAATCGTTCAAGGTCGCTCCTGGTTCGATGACTCCTGCTCTAACTGCCTCCGCCGGTCCACTTTCCTGCTCTTCAGGCAAACCCTGTTAATTAAGACAAACACATATGTAGGTCTCTCCAGTTTGGCAAGAGACCCTTTTGAGTTTTGATTCCCCATCATTTTGTACAATGTTCTGCTCATTTGTACATGTATACACAGTGTTACCAAAACAAAGTCTAACTTCCACTGTATTACCTTCTTCTTCCTTTTTGTATCCCATTAAAATGGAGACAAGATGAGAAAATCTATAACTAACGATATCATCTGTGGTTCCATGGTATTGATGACTAGTAGTACATTGTTCAAGTTGCATTTGTACATGTACAAACCAAAGAAGGTTTGATTGCAGAACACTTAAGAGTAGAGATCACAGGCGACAGAAGCAACCTGCAGCTGCAAATCGACTACACCCTTGGCCATTGTGGACAAACAACCTGCAAATGAACCATGTATCATCTAATTATCAACGAAATATACAACGAAATCAACGCCACAACATCATCCGGAAGTGAAAGATAGCTCAGTTGATGGAACAATACCAACCTCCAGTGTGCTGAAGACTAATCGCATTCGACTGGCAACAACTGATGGCTCCTCAGCACGTCCAGCCACTGCCATTTGCTCCAGCTGAAGAGTCTTTACTGGAAGCCTTCCAAATGACAGAAGAATCAAGAAACAAGAAAAGCGAAAAGGGTGAGTCTCATCTCATCTCATCAATGCTTTAAAAAGTTATTCTACAGATGTAACCTCACCATGCCATTCCCCTCACGAAATATGCGTTTGCAATTAGAGCACAGAATCCCTTCCAGTAAAGAAGCATTTCGTCCGAAGCTGGAGGCACAGACGACCACCTAACTATGGTGGGTTGTGGAGTGCACAAGATAGTGATGAACACAATGCTCACCCACAACATACACTCATCAACCTACAAACAACATCATCACACCCACACTAACTTCAAAAGTTCCCACACACTTTAAACACTCCAAGAAAGGGCACAAAAAGACCAGACCTCGTGGGCAGAAATCCTGGACTGAACACTAGTGATGCCACCGTAGTTCTCCATTGCTTGGATCTCAGCACCAGATTCTCTAATGGCAGTGAGTTCCTGAAGCAATCCTTGGTCGGTACAGCCGAGTGCATAGGCATTCACCCCTGCGCCAATGAACTCCTGATCACGAGAAGCAAAAAAAAAATTGAATATTTATCCGCGCTTGATCATGTTCAATTGCCTGATTGAATCAAACCCCAGAAAAGAGCACATAAAAATACATACTTTCAGAGTGTCACCTCCTCCCCGCTCAATCACATTCCTGTAGCGGCGGAACAAGCTGATTGCGATGTTGCGGGAGGAGCGAAATTCGTCATCTCCGTCAGGTGGGATTGAAACGGAATGGCGCGATCGGCACTGAATGAACCAGCGCAGGGGTTAAGTCCGTTAATCAAGTGAAACCCTCAAACTAATTCGTTTTACACTTCAGTACTAATCATTCCATCAAGAAACATAAAAAGGAAAAGGATTGAAGATGGGGAACGACGAGTGACTTGATTAATCGACTTACCAGCCATCGAGTAGTAGAAGGCGAGATCTGCGGCAAGCCGAGGGGATGGCGTTGCTTCCGAGAGAAAACAGCAGCCGGAGAAGCAGAATTACGACGGCGAACAAAAGGGGCGGCGGCAGCGGGAAGAAGTGCGTCTTCAGGAGATGGTCCGATGGAAGCAAGCAGGCGTGCAGTAATTCCAGGAATCGGTGCTCGATACACAGTGGCAGCCATGGTTAAACCATCATAAATCGCCCGCCAACAGCTTAAAAAGAGTAACAGGATTACAGAGGAAAGATCACTGAGTCAAGGCGACGATGGATTGTGATGGTGACTTTTATTCTCGATCACTAACTACTGCAACAACAACAACAACCCACTTCACCTACTACAAGAACAGAGCTCTGCAGCAAAATCAGCAAAATCGGAATCCTCTCCCTCAAAGCTGAAAGGAAGGAGAAAGAATCTGGTTGTGGGGCAGAGGTGGGAAGTCGCCATTTTGCCACCAGTTTCACGAATGGCTGCAAAGTGGCCCACGCCCAGATTCCGCTTGTGGTTGTGGTTGCTCTGTTTTTCAGGATGGGCTTTTTCAGCCCAAATGCGATATGACAGGGCCCCAGAATAGAACAGCTGAGCCCAAATCAGTTGATTGGGTCAATGGGCCTAACTATCCACTATGGTTTCCACAGGAATAAAAGAGAAAGAAGTGGATTCTGACTCAGATCACCACTACCTTATCGACTTATGACGTCATACCGGCGACTGAGTGGCGCACATACCAACTCCCGCGCCGCCGACCGGCGATTGGTGTCCGTCAGTGTAGTGCAGTCGTTCGTCTGTCCAACAAAAGTGAGTAAAAAGGGAAATTAGGAAATAAATAAAAGCCACTCAGTCTCGATTGGGCAGAGAGAAGCCTCCTCCACCCGCTACATACTGCCAAAAATCCGCCATCACAGCGAAGCTAAATCTCAATCTCAATCTTCCCCCCCTTCTCCTTCTCCTCCGTCTCCGTTCACCCACTCTCTATCTTACGGCGGGTAAGAATCTTACCCACATCTCTCCGCCGCCGCGCTTTGCTCCACCGTAAGCGCTCCCACTCCCTGTATTCCGCTCGGCATTCCGCCATTAAAGACACAGATCCCCTATTCCCGCGCTTTCCTTTTTCTGTATTACACCCTTTTCATCTTCTGCGTTATTGCTGTTTATTCTTGCTTTCCTGTTGTTATTGATGTGTTGAATGTTGATTGATTCAATTTCATAAGTTGGGTTTCGATGAAATTGTGATTGAATGAGTATTTTGAGTGATTCGAATTGGTTTTTGACCAGCCACAATGAGAGGGGGAGGTTTGTGGCAGTTGGGTCAATCAATCGCCCGCCGCCAACTCGCACGCCCTGATCACAAGAAGTCACCGTCGGCAGCCGCCGCCGCCGCCCGCCGCTACTTCGCATCGGAGGGCGACCTCAAGAAGACGGTCCTGTACGACTTCCACGTCGCCAATGGCGGCAAGATGGTACCTTTCGCCGGCTGGAGCATGCCAATCCAGTACAAGGACTCAATCATGGACTCCACCGTCAACTGCAGGGAGAACGGCAGCCTCTTCGACGTGTCCCACATGTGTGGGCTCAGCCTCAAGGGGAAAGACGCCATTGCTTTCCTCGAGAAGCTTGTGATTGCTGATGTGGCTAGCCTTGCCCCCGGGACGGGCAGCCTCACCGTGTTCACAAATGAAAAGGGTGGAGCCATTGATGATTCGGTTATCACCAAGGTCACTGACGATCACATTTACTTGGTGGTCAATGCTGGCTGTAGGGATAAGGATTTGGCTCACATTGAGGAGCATATGAAGGCTTTCAAGGCTAAAGGTGGAGATGTCGCTTGGCATATCCATGATGAGAGATCCCTGCTTGCTCTCCAGGTCCATTCCCTTTCCCTTTCAAATTTCAGCTCCCTTAGATTTTGTTACTAGGACTTGGGAAATATGAGCACTGTTAGACTGTCTTGACATAATCCTGATTTGAGAAAGAACTGTGGAAGCATTGTAGCTTATTCATTTATCTGTGGATACTATTGTTATGTTTTTGCTTCTGGATGATGTGAAGTGGAGGAAATCTGTGGCTTGGATAACTGCTAGAGGAGGAACCTTTCTTCTGTTTGAAAATCTTGTTTCCTCAGTTAACTTTGGTGACTGAGTGCTAACTTTTCACCCTGATTTCTGATTCTGTAATTGACAGATAGTCTTGCTTGTGTGATCTGCAGGGCCCTCTTGCTGCTCCAACTCTTCAGCACTTGACAAAGGACGATTTGAGCAAGTTTTACTTTGGCGAGTTCCGCATTCTGGAAATCAATGGAGCTACCTGCTTCCTCACTCGAACAGGGTACACACTTTTTTCTCTCATCTTCATCATCATCTATTCAGCTTCAAACCAGCAATGTGCCCTTCATATATGATGCAATTCACTGCGATTGTTGGTGGTGCATATTCGTTGTTGTGTGTTCTTATCTCAGTTCAGGCAATTAGTCCAACCTCTGGACTTGCATAGTGCTTACTACGTGGTTCCTTGATAATTACTTATTTTGTTCATGGATTCACTCAGGAATTCATAACTACTTACATACTACTCACCTACATTCTCCAGGTACACAGGCGAAGATGGGTTCGAGATCTCGGTCCCTTCAGAAAACGCACTAGACCTGGCCAAAGCCCTCCTGGAAAAATCCGAGGGCAAGATAAGACTAACAGGTCTCGGCGCTCGCGACAGCCTGCGCCTCGAAGCTGGCCTCTGCCTCTACGGCAACGACATGGAGCAGCACATAACGCCCGTCGAAGCAGGCCTGACTTGGGCCATAGGGAAGCGCAGGAGGGCCGAGGGCGGCTTCCTGGGCGCCGAGGTGATCCTGAAGCAGCTCGCCGACGGGCCCACGATCAGGCGAGTCGGGTTCACTTCCTCAGGCCCTCCGCCGCGATCTCACAGCGAGATTCAGGACGCGAGCGGTGCCAACATTGGAGAAGTGACCAGCGGAGGGTTCAGCCCTTGCCTGAAGAAGAACATATCCATGGGGTACGTGAAATCTGGGCTGCACAAGGCCGGCACCAATGTGAAGTTGGTGGTAAGAGGGAAGGCTTATGATGGTGTTGTCACGAAGATGCCGTTCGTGCCCACCAAGTACTACAAGCCGTCATAAGTCATAGCTTCTTCGTTTTAACTCGTTTCTTTTCTCGTCACGTTTGTTTTTAATTTGCTACTCTTTCTGCTTTTTTTTCTTCTTACCATTGTGAATTACTGCATTTGTTGCTGCACTTTTACTTTGTAACCATCGGAATTCTTGATGGAACTCTTCTGCATAAAAGTGAGATGCTTCGACTGAGCAGAAAAAAGCGCGGGAAGCTTTCTTATTACTGGTTCTGTTGTTAAGAATCAACTGTACTTGGAAGTGTTAGCTTCTTGATGATTTGTTGGAATGAAAAGTCAATCTCTGACTACTTTTAACCTGCAAAATGAGAACAATCAACTCGGAGTATTGTTTAGCCAAAGCCCAATACTCCGAGTGTTGCACTTCGGCCTTGTTATTGCCAATGCACCTGGTCGAGAGAAGAAAGTATGGTGGGCCTTAGGAATGCTGGCTCAATGGGCTTTTATTGTTACTACATGAAATATATTCTGATTTTGCTTAGAAACCATGAAATCATTCTTAATTTTTGTTCTTTTCATGGTTAAACAGTTTTCAGATTCTAGGAAGAAAACCAAAGAGTGAAAACTGTATCAGTATTCGATCAGAAAAACCTTCTATCGGTAGACGATATGAAATGGTTGAACCATGATTTTAGCGTAATATATCTTTGTAAAAAACTAATTTTACAATTTATACCAGCAAAATAATAGTGTCATTTAACGCATCTCTAAGTTCTAAACGCACCGAGTGAGAGCCCACCAATGGGATAGCTACAGATTTAAATTCTTAAAATATGGATAAAATCAATTTTCTATTTCTAATATGTCGATATCAAAAAAATGTTACAAGCACAATTACTATATTAATATATGTAGTCGCTTCGATAATCCTTGTTAGCTAGTAACTAAATCCAACGTATGAATGCGAACTAAAAAATGAGCTCTTCTAAAATACCCCCCTCAATTCCCCCTCTCCTATTTTATAACAACACATTAATTATAATGCATACCTGAGTGTGAAAATCTAATTGAGGTTTTAAACACTTACAAAGAGCTTAGTGAACAAAGGGTTAATCTGGGCAAATCGGCAGTTTGTTTCAGTAAAAATGTCTCGATGCCTAATCATGACTTCCTCGCCGCTCTATTGGGGGTTGGAGCAGTTGGGGTCCAGGATAAGTACCTGGGGCTACCAACGCTGATAGCGCGTTCTAAGATGCCCACTTTTCGATTTCTGGAGGAAGAGCTGTTAAACAGGCTTCAAGGGTGGAAGCAGAAGACTTTATCTTGGGCGGCTAAGGAGACTTTGATCAAATCAGTCGCCTTAGCCTTACCGCTTCACGTGATGTCCTGTTTTAAGCTTTCCATTTTCCTTGTGCCGGCTTTTGGATAGACACTTGGCTAGATTCTGGTGGGGAGTGGAAGGGGGACACTCCAAAATGAGATGGATATCCTGGCGTAATATGTGCACTAGTAAGCATGAGGGGGGCATGGGATTCCGCCGGTTTGAACAATTTAATCAGGCTTTGTTGGCTAAAATTGGGTGGCAAATCCTGTCTGAATCCCAGTCGCTGCTGGCGCAAGTCTATAAAGGGAAGTATTTCCCTCGCGGGACTTTTCTAACAGCTACGGCCAGGTCTCGTCCGTCGTGGGGGTGGCAGAGTATCCTTTATGGCCGTCAATTGCTTCAACGTGGTCTCCGTTGGCAGATTGGCAATGTGCGGACTGCTTCTTTCCTCTCTTCTAGTTGGATTCCTCTTCTTCATCCTGATGGCCCGATCTATAACCCGCAAGTTCTTCCAGTTGAGGGAGAACCAATAGTAGACTCAGTTATATGCCAAGGTGAGGGGAAATGGTGTGATGCGAAGCTTCAACAATGGTTTGACCCAACAGTATGTCGGGCAATTGAGGCTATCCCCCTACCTAGTGAGAATGTGGAGGATAGGTTAATTTGACATATGACCTCTGATGGGATCTTCATAGTTAAATCGGCCTACCACCTTGCGGTCTTGCTCGACAAACAAGATGGTAGGTGAAGGACGAAGGTTAGCTGGATGGATAAACCGAGTTGGATACGGCTGTGGGATGCTAATCTTCCCTAAAAGCTCAAAGTTTTTATGTGGCAAGTGGTCCTTCGCATCCTTCTGACAATATAGCCATTGATTGAGAAAGGTGTTCGGGTCCAGCCTCGTTGTCCTGTCTGCTGGGAGGAAAAGGAAACAATGGAGCACCCGTTCTTGGATTGTCCGGTAGCCAGGGCACTCTGGGATCAGGCGGGCCTTGAGCATCTTGGTCAGGGGTTGCCAAGGCATACCTTCCCTCTGTTTATGAAGAAGTTGATGAATGTCATTCACCATCCTCATTTATTCATGGCTGTTGTAGCTGTCCTGTGGCGGATTTGGAAGTCTCGTAATTGGGTGGTCTTTGAGGGCATATAATTCGGGATTCCATCACTTTTACGACAGTATTATCAATAGTATCAAGAATGGATGAGGCTCCTTGTTGACCAAGTTCAGCATCTGTGCATGCCTAGTGTTTCATTCGCCTCGACCGCTGTGTTGCAGACTGTTACCTGTCAGTGGGATGGCGCGACAAAGGCTGGTTTGCATGCGGCCGGAGGGATTGTGATTAATGATCTCTTCGGGAACGTGATTCTGGCTCGTGGAATTCAGTTTCCCTATATGGATGACCCTTTGGTGGCAGAGATGTTGGTTCTTCGGGAAGCGGTGGTGTGGTGTCTCGAATTGGGGTTTCCAGCAGCTTGCTTCCAAGGTGATGCCAAGGTCATTATTGATAAACTTAATCGGCGGGATGCGAGGGATGATCGGGTTGGGGTTGTTCTTGAAGAACTCATTTGGGTGTTTACATGTCATAGTGCGTTTAGTGTTCGCTTTGTAGGTCAGAGTAACAATAGGATAGCCCATTTGGTGGCTAGAAAGGCCCTTGCTTTGTACCCGACTGGTTGTCGATCTTTTGATTTCCAGACCTAATTGGTATCCAGGATATAATATCTTTTTCTCTATTATTATCTTTTGTTAAAAAAAAAATGCATATGTTGGAGACTAATCTGCCATCATGAATACCTGAAAACCATTAAAAAGAACAGGTGATTCAAACTTATAGCATCCACGATGGCTGGTTGTCTTTGACATCTCTTTTAAAGAATTGTATGGATATTGATTAAGAGCATTTTCTTTTTCCATCTCAGTTTTTCATTTAAAACAGGTGGAATGTAACTTCTCGATTTGTCCAAGACCTAGAAAAATAAACTAAGAACGAATCAATAGTAGCCAGTGGACAACAAGCAGTCAACTTTCTCCTCCGCCCTGGATAATAATCCGTTGTACTCTTTTCCCGATTGCTTTGTTTGGCACGGGCTGCTATATATGCAGAAATATTTGGATACCAATTCAACATGCATGGCACCATTCAGTCGTTTCCGACCTAAGCCGACTAGACATAAAGGATATCCAAAGACCAAAATATATAGAGGAATACATTGTTGACCATTAATTGTTAAGCTCGTCAGCTAATTAGACTGCTTAATTAAAATCATAAACACCACTGCCGAATCGTAGTATTAAAAGTTAAAACTACACCCAAGCACAACTTGTATCTCAACTAGTACATGTTCATATTTACGTATACCTACCTCTTTAATAATTCAAATTACATGGGCGTGATGTGAAACGTCGTAACGACAACTTATGCCACCACCATTATCTTATTTTTAATGGGCCAGTTGGTAAATACGATTTTGTTAACCGTCAATTGACTATTTACACAAACTAACAAATCCATGTACATAATGTTATGATGAGATTTAAGTACCAAAACGAAAATACACGGGAGAAATTATCTTTGTATATAATTAGCGTCAAATATAGCCTAATTAGTTAGTATGGGGTCTTTTGGGAGGACAGCCAATAGTAAATGTGTGTCCAAAATGGACTTTATCATACTGATAGAGCTATATTCTGTTTGAACATATATCAATATGTTTGTTTGTTGAATGCATGTATGCGTGCATGCTTTCTACATACAGATTTAAGATTCGCGTTAATTACACACGTTACAAATGACGAGTAAAATTATTTATATATACGCGCGCGTGTATACAGATTATTGTTTTCAGAAATCAAATATCAAAAGAAATGAATAAAATATGAAAAAAAAAACAAATTAATCAAAGAATATTTTTTGGGATGATGATGGGTTATAATTTCTCAATCCCCTCCTAGTATGTATACCCTACCCTAGTAGTCACAAATAAACTACGTTACAACGAACATTTATCTATCTTATCAGAAGAGCTTGCTAGCAAACTCCTCCAATGGCGTCGTCCCTTCCTCCCTACAGTACGCAACTTTGCCAGCCAACTCCTTCACCTCCGCCGGACTCCTCCCCAGCGCCAACCCAACCTTCATCGCAAACACCTCCCCATTCTCCCTCTCCTCCACTTCCTCCTCCCGGAGATTCCCCTCGATCGAATCCTCTAGCTCGTCGAAAAACCCGGCGCAGCTCCTGTACATCTCTACCACCATCCCAATCTGCCCGCCGTGCTCCAACGTGTTCACCGCCGCCGCCAACGCACCTGCCGCCACCGCCACCCACCCATTCTCATTACCGCCGACGACCAGCCCGACAGCAGAAGCGGCCGCCGCCACGCCGGACAGCACGGGCCCCGACACGGCCAGGGCCTTGTTCAGCTTCAGCACCACGCTTCCCAGCCTCTCGTAATCCTCCCGGTCTTTGCTCCTCATAGCGACGGCGACGGCTCTCATCTCCGCCTCCAGCTCCTCGCTCCATCCGTTGCTGCTGTTGTTCACTCTTCCGCTGCGACGTCGTTTCGGGGACTGCTGGCTGCCACGTGGAGGCCACCAGACTGCGGGGGAGAATTTTTTGGGGAACTTGGGGATCATTTTCCCGAGTAAAGGGAGAGGGTAGGCCCGGTCAATGGTCAGCACTTTTTCCACCGCGGCGTCCACCTGGGCTTTGGTGGGTTGGGATTGGGCCTGGCTTCCGGGCCCGTTTAGTTTGGACTGGAGCTGGCGGAACAAACGGGCCGCGTTGCGCTGCTCCTCGGCCAGCTGGGAGGGCTGGATGGTGTTCATGATCGCCAGCAGGCCCGTGGCGGCGGCGAAGAGGATCGTCGAGCCGAGGGTCAACGGCAGGGAATGGTCGGCGGCGGAGGGGGAGACGGCGGCCATGGTGGTGGCGGCGAGGATGGACATGTTGATGGAGGAGAGGAGCAGGGAGTTCCAGTTGTCCCGCTGGACCGCCACGTTGCTGTGCATCTCGATCCTGTCCGCGATGGACTCCAGGACAGCGTAATACAGCTCGGAAGTCGCCGCCGCCGGCGTGGCTGCTCCTTCGTCGGCCGGTGGTGATGTAGTAGTAGTACTGATAATAAGTGGGTGTTGGTGGGTGATCTCCGGGCGGAAAGATTGATCGGAGAGGTGGGTTTTGCTGGTGGAAGAGGTGGGGATTTTGGGGAGGGAGATTCGGATTGGGAGCTTAGGGAGAGATATTGCGGCGCGTGGAGCTGGATTAATGGATGAAATGGGGCGTAGGGTTTGTATGGAGCTATAGGAAGCCATTGATGGGATTAGTATAAGAGATTCTGAATGGTGAGAACTGAGAAAGGAGTATGAATGTAATGGTGTTGAGAGTGAATTGGTGGTGATATGGGTTAAGTTTTTGGTGAATGATATATATAATGGCGTAGCCGTAGCCAACTACCACATAAACCAGAAACAATAATAACGGGGAAGGGGCGACAAGTGGGAAGGAAGAGGTCAGATGTGGCGTTGAAGATCGGATAGATTTGACTGACCGGACTCGTTCCCTTCGATCACGCAGTCTTTTATAAACGCTTTGTCGTTTTGACGTTCTCAATAAATAATATTCTTATTCCAAATTGGGCTAATGAGGCTGGGTACACTTGTTTATTATATACTAGATTTGGGTCCGCCCGTTGGTCGGATAAATTATATCAATGATATAAATAATAGTTGTAATTGTCTCGACTAAGTTATTGAAATTCAAATTAATTTGTTACTGAAAATATAAAAAGGAACATATAATAAGTTTTCCAACACCTTGATCATTCACGAAAAAAAGTTTCTATCAAAATAAAAAACATAACTCATGTAAGGAAACCGGTTCCTAAAAAAAATCAATGGCACTTCAGTTGACTCTTTACTGTTAGAAATTCCTGCAAATTTTCTTTTGGACTTGCTTGTGATTGTCCTGCCATGAAAAACATTATCATCTCCATGCTACTTCATCTTCACTAATGAAAACTTTCTATTCACCATCAATGGTCTACTCCTTCTCATACATTTTATTGAAAACCAAACTTTATAAGAAAAATGTTCAGAAATGTGAGACATCATTTTTATGCTAGTAGAATTTTCCTTGTCAAAGTCATAAATATTATTGAATATTTGGTCTTTCCTCTCTTCGTTGAAATTTTATATCCACGATCAACAATCTCTTCCTTCTTCTCAACAATGTTATTTATCTCCATCACCGATTCCACTATCTCTAACATTAACATACTCTTTCTTCTTTTCCTACTACCAACTATAAGCAAAAATTTAGTGGTAAAATATGTAAGATTGCAAAACACCATTTTCAAAAAGTTAAATTTATCGAGTCCATGTCATGAAAATTTTCGAGATTGCTCTTGTTCGTCTTTTTCTTCCAAATTGTATAATAAGTTATGAGATTAGTGATGTTGTAATTGGTGAGCTTGATATGAAAGTTACTTCATTCCCTCAATTTGTAGGGAATGAGGAGGTGAATGTCCTTTCATTCTATCACTATCTTCAAATAGTTTTTGAGTAAACGTTCCAATGTACATAGCTCCATCGGGGAAACAATTAAGTAAGATTCACAATTTTGTACACAACTTGGCTTAATCTTGAATCTATAAAATGACACAAAGTGAGATACACTATTTGGTTGAAAGCTTTATGTCTTAGTGGGTGCGAATTTTTGTTGTTGTATTTGATGCATGAATTTGAAGTTAAAAAGAATTGAATCTTAGAGATTGTTGTCTAACTAATGTTGTCTTCATGTTGTATAATTACAGATTATATTGTAAATGAAATCACTATAATTTTGATCCATAGTTCAGTCTCTTGAACAAATTTCTTTTTAGGAAGCGTCTTTCTCCATTAACAATAATTCACAAAAGTTTTATGTTTTTAATAGTCGAGGGTTTGAGTTCAATTGTCAGGGGCTTTTATAATTAAAAATATAAAATTATTCCTTCTAAAATCACTCAAAATGTTGAAAATTTGAAATTAAATATGTTGTGGTTAAGAACCTTTTTATATTAGTGTTACTTTATATGGCATAGGTTATAAGCTTTGATGTTACTCTAGGTTCCGTTAAAGTTAAAAAAAACAATACAGAAGAAGCCAATTTCTTTTAATAAATTCCCTTTAGTTTGTAGCTGTTGGGTGAGTTAAAATTTTGGATTAAACTGCCCACCTATGTACATATACAGATATACTTATATACACTCGAACAACCCAAAAAGCCTCATTTGTCATTAATTAAAAAAAAAAAAAAAGCGAAAGACAAAGAGGCCCTTCCTAACTATGCGCAGGAGCCAGATAAAAGTGAATGAGAAGGGTGCGGATGGAGAACCTCCATATATAATTGGAGGATACTTTCCCACAATCTTATTAATTAATCAAATATGAAGCGAAAATTATCAACTATCAAAATAAAACGACTACTGCATGTTATAAAGTAATAATTAACAGGCTAGATAGGAATACCAACAAAATGTATTGTATTCAACAAAAGTAAAAATAAAAGGGGGAGGGAAGAAATTAAGGAGAGCTATATGTATATTTTAATATTAGTTTATAGCCCTACTCTCGGCTGGATTTGTATCTTTATTTTTGACTAATTTCTCAACAAGACTAGTGTATATATTATTTCGTGAAGGAGAACGAGGGTCTCGTTTGGCCATGCCAACCTCGAGGTTCCTCGACCTGGTGCTGCACATTAAAAAATTTACCGACATGCAAGCGCACTTTTTACCATTTTTCTGCATAATAAAAACACCGCTATAAAATAAAAAAAGTATACTAGTGTTGGTGCATAACGAATCTTTATTGTTTCCAGCTAAGTAGGGCTAGATGTTCGATGGAGAGGTTTACCCAAAACCGAAACCAAACGCATTGGTTATCGCCGAACCGAGAATAGAACGAAAAAAGTTCAAAACGGTATCAGTTTTGAATTAGGATTGTTTTTCGGGTTTCGAGGAAATCGTACTCGAACCCGAAACGGACCCAAACCCCACCCGAAGGATAGGCCCTGGCCTGCTATCCCCTAGCCCATCATGATACCCCAGTCAAATTCTCAACTCCGAACTCAATTCTTTTTTCACTCCTCTACTCGCCTCAGCGGCCTGTAATGGAACAAAAACGATAACGTGCTACCAGGGGCGGAGGCAACTTGTTAGGAGGGTGTGCCTTGGAAGAACAAAGTTAAAAGAGTATATTAGATTGTTTATAATGAAGTTTTGTACATGGAACCGCAATCTTATTGTCACAATATCACTAGGTGAACTTATTGTGGTAGTATTTAATTATGTTTTCCTTTTCAATTCCAATCAAAACTTTTCCTCTCAGACATGATCGCTAAGTCGCTCGACTCTACCTTTCCATTCAACCGACTTTTATCGGCTATCCATGAGCACTAGAAAGTCTTTACCGTAACCCATCATGGATTGGAATTATTTACAAAATTATGAAGCACTAGTCGATAGGATATATTGATAATAAGGTCTTTGATAGTTTAGATGAAAAATATATAATTTAAAAGTTTTATTAGAGAAGAAAAATGTTGTGAGTCATTGCAAAAATTAATAGTTTCTCATATAAAATATATTTATTTAATACAATTGGCACCCCCTTAATAGAAAATCCTAGCTACGCCATTGCGTGCTACCCTGCCACTACTGTGTTTGGCTTCCGCAACTCCGCCCTCCAGTCTTCATCCCTCTCCGCTGACCAGAGGAGATTCAGAGTTGTTCGTCTCCCCCCTTCGAAGAGAGCAACTTGTCGAAATCCCATACGGTGACATGGTCCATCTCGCTGGTAATCACATCAGACCCGATAGTCGTAACATTATCTTCTCGTGTAACCGAAAATCGCTAAGGTGTCGTTGTTGTTTTCTGTAATGGTGTTGTTTTGTGTTCGGTTAAACGACCGAAAGTCAACCCATACTCTAGCTTGGTAGCCAAGTACTACGTTATTAGGTTTGAATATCTCGGTTGGTTTTAATTTGATGTCATTCGTGGACATTGTAATAATGATTATATTGCATCTCATCACTAGAATCTAGTCGTTCATTCTATATTATCATGTTGTGCAGTATAATGCATAACAAAATTATATTATTTTATTAAGTGTGACAATATCACACAGTTTCGCAAGACCGTGAAGAATTGTCCATCTAGTTTGCAAGATTAATTTACATTAAAATTTTGGTACAACCTCCAGTACAATTTCACATTGAAGTTTACATCCTTTCTTCAAATATTATTGAACTCATTAAAATCATTTGTCTACCCATATTTGTGTAGTGCATGACCCTATTCTTGACCCAGAAAAACAGTAACAATAAATATGACCAATGACCATGCACATTTTATTTTAATGCACGAAGATACCCATTATATGCGTGAAGTAGACTACATGAGAGATAAGTAGGTAAGTTTCGCAAATAAGACTTGCATGAAAACACAACCATATATAGCTGGGCAGATCTTAACTTCAATAGACAAGGAATAATAACTCTCTTGAACTTTTCAGTTGATCCATAGAGAAATACGAGATATTGGAAGAAATTAAATACAACAAACGAACAAAGTGAGCTTTAGATGTGTGTGTATGTTTCTTTTTCAATAATGATGTCTCCAATTTCCCCTTCATTCAATTTAATTGAATTGTTTTCAGTTATTAGTCATTTGGTTTGATCAATAAACTACAGGAGGTGATATCCCTAGTTCCTTTACCTGAAAATTAATGATGATTTGCGAAGTATCTTAAGTTTTCACCAAAAAGAAAAGAAGTATCTTAAGTCATTCCTATTAGGTTAGAGTAATTTTGGTAGCTAATAAAAAGTTTGTGGTTAAGGGTAATTATAGTATTAGTATTGTTTTTAAATTAATCTACAAAACACTATAAGCCAATGTGCAAAAGCCGGCTTTGCCACGTAATCCCCAGCTAATTAACTCGCAGAGTTCGGAGGGTCACTTTAGTCAATTCCGCACCCTCGCTGTCTTGCTCGCCGTCTTCCAAATTGAAACCGGAAAGCGACGCTATTCTGTAGCCGTCTTCGCTCTTCCCCAACGAAATCCTTCTTCTCGTCCTTCTTTGGTGCTGAATCGGAAAATCATGGTTATGCTGGCCCTTTCTGTGCGCATCTTTTGAAGCTATAGGATGGGATTACTACTCCAAATCGCCCTCGATCTGCAAACGAAATTCTTTGCCCGTCTTCCCCAACGAAATCCTGCTTCCCGTCCTTCTTTTGCTCTGAATCGGAAAATCGAAGCTATGTTGGGCATTTCGTTGCTCATGTTTTGAAGCTACAGGGCGGGATTACTACTCCAAATTGCCCAGGTATTGCATTCAGAAACCTTTTTCCGAACTTGGGTGTGTTTGTTGGTGGAAAACGACGCAAAATTTGCCGCATTCTTCCCAACGAAATCCTTGGGACCGTCTTTCTTTGGTGCCGATTTGCAAATTCCAAGTTATTCCGACCCTTGGTGGCTTGGTCTGCTCATCTCTTCAAGCTACAGGTCGGGAAACATATCTTCAAATCGCACTTAATCTGCCTCTTTCACTTCTCCGAGCTGTGGTGTGTTTGTTGTTGGGTGCTCTGACTTGCAAGTGGGCTGGATATCGCTGTTGATTGTTTGGTGTATTTGAGTCTAGGACGGCTGTCTCCATCAAATCCTGCTCTCGGTGGTTGTCTGTCGGTGCATCTTGCTCCCACCGGCAATCTTTATTTGGGTATGCGTTCAAACTTTGAAACTGTTAAGCAATTAGTTGGAATCAGCTTCTTCCTTTCTTGGCTTTTCCATTTTGCATCAAATCATAGTGATCCTGTAATCTGTATTAGAGGAATAAAGTTCAATTTTAGTAAGGTCAAACTCATCTCCACATAAGTGCAGCTACTATCTTGAGGAAACCAGCAGGACTAAGCCAAGTCCCGAGGTTCTTTGAGGAAAAACCTTAACTAGACACAAAAGGAAGCATGGGGACAACTATGACCCTAAGGAAGTGAAGTAGTATTGTTGGAGCCTGGAAGTTTTGTGTAGTTAAGGGCCACGTTGTGAACTGTATTTTATTAATGTGATTTCCCATCTACGAGATGTTTGTGAATGGTTTGATTTTTACAGCATTTGAACTTTTAAATTGTATATGGTTTGCTTTATCATTTTCCAAAGACAATCGTTATTCAAGTTAAAATATCATTTATTTGTGAGTTTAATATATCACTATTTTAAAGCTCATGTGTTTATCACTGCTACAAGTTTGATTTTTTGTGTTTTTCTTGGCATCATGTAGAATTTGTGTTACTTTTGGATAGGGGCATACTGCATTTGTTGTTTGTGGCAGCAGGAACCTCAATTTTTTACTATTATGATGCTACAACCTGAAGCCTCATTCTTAGTCAGAGGTTATTTAGCATTGTTTTCACTTTTGCTTCTTATATCTATATTCCCTTCCTGATTTTTGTCTTACATGGATCCAATGAACTGGCCTCTGTGTTGGGACTCCATCTGGTCAAATTGTAAATGACATCAAGACTACTTCATGTTTATGAGATGGAGACAACGATGATGGTGCTTAGTAGAATGGTGCAGGCTGTTCACATCATGAGTAGTTGTGTTTTTCTGACTATGGGGTGTTTGTTAATGGTTTGGTTCTTATGAGTTTTAAAATTCATATTATATATAGTTTTATTTATCACAGCAACAAATTTGATTTTCTGTGATTTTCTTGGGAGCATGTAGTAGTTGTGTCGCCTTTGGATAGAAGCATATTGCGTTTGTGAATGGTTTGGTAATTATTAAATTCATACTTTTAAATTGTATAAAGTTTTGGCAGTCGATGTCCAATGAAAATGGGATTTGAAGTTCAAAATAGAAGGCTTTATGTGTGTTTATTACCACTGCACCTTGCATCTGTCTGTGTCCTTTATGCCAGCAACTTGCATTATTTGTGTAACTTAACACCAACTGCCAGCTTCAGCATGTTCAGGGCAGAAACATCTTGGAATTGATCGTGGTAATGATGTAGGCATGTAGCAGCCAAAACATTGCTTCCTTGCCAGGGGTCATCAAGTAGTAGTGTCTTCATTTTTATATGGTGTTTTATGTATAAGTAAGAGAACATTATAACAGCAATAGCAGTTAATCTGAATTGTCTAAAAAAGCTAATCCGGCAAACGGCCGGGCCCAATGCTAGTTAGTTATAATAAAAATGAGGGAACAGAAACGCAATTCATCTCCCTCGCTCTCGCCTACTGAAATACTTGTTTTTTGCTTTGGACAGAATCCTACCAAACTTCACCCTCATCCCTTTCAGCATTTGTTCCCCCTTACTGAAACTAGCCCACTTATTATACCTCACACCAAAGCCCAACACACCACTAACCTCAGTTCAAACATCTCCCTCCTCACTCCCCAGCCCACCCCGTTTACCGTCGATGATGATGGCTCGCCCATCGTAACTCACGCTGCTCGCGCAAACAACAACACAACAACTAACGAACAAGACCAAACTGAGAAGAGCCCCTTTTTGTATTTGCCTGCAGCTCGCCATCCTCATTTACGTGTTGCTACTCAAAACTGGACCAAATCTTTTTCCCTTTGTATTACTATATATACACACAACTAGTTAAGCTAGGGTTGAAGTCGATCGGTTATAGATATTGGATCGATGATTAATCCTACTGTACGTGGCTGCCAAATCCTTTCAGATTTTGTTACATGGATAGCAGATATTGTTAACTGATTTCTGGATATGTTGGCGAATGTGGCCAGAGAAACGGATGATGCATTGCATGAACAATTATCCCCAAAATTGACCACATTGTGTATTATATATATATCGTAATAGCAACTACTCTTCTTCGTTTTTTCCTTTTTCCAAAAACATATTTATCCGTTTTAATTAAGAATTTGTATTTCCATGTAAAAAAAAGTTTGATTTCACAGTAAAATATTTTACCATAATAAATCAATAATCTCCGATAGAGATCGCATCACCACACCATCCGCATTACACGTGAGTAGTTGAGATCCGGAGTTGGTTGGCTAGGCCATGGACAGTTCGCATAGATAATGTTTACCGTGAAGCTAATTACGTCGCAGATTATCTTGCTTCGATAGGTCACTCTTTTCCGATTGGGCACCATGTCTTTGATAGCCCGAGTAGTTCTCTAACTTACTGGTTGTACTATGATTCTGTAGGGATTCAAACGTCTCGTCTCATTCGTATGAAATAAAGGTTTGGGCGTCCGAAGCACCCTATTCTCGCAAAAAAAAAGTCCGATAGAGAAGCAACTCATTTTTGTACATCAATCAGAGCCATTTTGACAAGTGATACAAAATGATGACCCATGATATTGATGAGGTACAAAAAACTACATAAACTTCTTTCACTCATTCACATGCTACTCTAGTATCATCAATACGGCTAGCGTGCTATGGTCCATATATTTATGGCTTGGCTTAAGACCATTTTATGCTCCAAACCGAACAACCAAAAATCTACCCAACCAACATATTATACCTCACACCAAAGCCCAACTCACCATTGACCTCGGCCCAAACATCTCCCTCCTCACTCCCCAGCCCACACCGTTCCCAGGCCTTGAACCACCTCGTGCCCAAGGCTTTTACCAGTCACCATTACAACTTAATAACCCTAAGAAAATTGAAAAAAATGTGCACACCCCTCTCCTCTTCGTCGTCATCTCTCATCTCCAATAAGACACAACCGTTCACCCTCTCCCAACCACAAACCCAAGCTCCAAATCCTACCTCCCCTACAATCCAATCACGCCGCCGACAATCACATGCAGACGGCGGGGAGCGTAAGTGTCGCGTTGGAAGAGGGTCTTCGTCGTCGATTACCAATGATCAGTATGTTAGATCTTTCTTGATTTGATCATCCTCTATTTCGCCTCTTGATTTCGAGTGTTTCGACAAATCCTTGATACAATTTATGTTCAGTTTGCATTCGATGTATGGCAATAGCCACATTCTTCTCAAGATCAATTTATCGTTTTGTCTTAATTTCGTGTGTATATCTAGATCACATATACGATCCTTCCATACACTGATATAGTTTCGTTTCCCTCTCTTCAGCCCACTGTTGTTGTAAAACCATCACATCCCATTTTACTCTTCTTAGGATTCGCCGGTGAGAATGTGGGTGTTCTCCCCTTCTCTAACTATGGGACTCTATCCGTAGCTCACATATAATGTAACGCGTGAGAATTCGCATACAAAATTGAATGGAAATCGATAGAATGATTTAATAGTTAGTAATGAAAACGCATAGTTTATTAAAATGTAAATATTTATAACAATTTATTATTGACCTCAAGGACTAAAACATAAGTGAATTTTGTACTTATAATAATAAATTTAAAGAGGATATTCTAGGCAAAAAAAGAATTCCTCATATTGTTTCTTCATTTTTTTTGTACTTAAGCATTTAGCCATGTAGCTCTTAGCTAGTTATTGGGCTTTTATCTGACCGGCCTATGAATAATAGTTATAACTCGGAGTATATCCGTGGAAGAAATGCGGATTTGGGAATCTTCCCAATGGTTTTAGCCCTGGTTGGATCCGCCCTTGACCCAGTTCACCCACTAAAAGACAGGCAGACGCATAATATAGACAAAAGGCCCGGCCCTCCAAATGGCCCAAGAAGGGCCTTTTGGATCCGGATCCGGCCGTCCTGGTATTTATTTTTGGAATTTAAAACGAAAAGAGAAAATCAGAAAAATATTCCACTGTCAGTTAGTTGCTTTAAATAAGTGGAAGCTCGAGCGAAAACGTAACTTGACTCTCTCTCTCCTACCGAGTCACAGATACACAGACAGGCCAGAGAAGGGGAAGGGAAGGAGAGGATGGCTTCCATGGCGAAGAAAGGTCTGCAGCAATACCTTCTCCAGCTCCAGAATCATCCCTTGAGAACTAAGGTCCTAATTTCCGTTTGCCGCCATGCTTCGGTCCCTTTTTTGTTTTTTTTCCCCTTCTCTTCTTCTGCTGATTCAATTCGATTCTTGATGGTGATTGCTCTGGATTCTGCAGGCGATGACTGCTGCTGTTCTATCAGCTGTCAGCGACATAGTAGCCCAGAAGCTCTCCGGCATTCCCAGGCTCCAACTCAAGCGCCTTCTTCTCAAAGTGGTGAGTGCTTGATTGTTTTCATTTCCCCCATCGTTTGCTTTGCCTAGCTCCCTTAGTTTTTGGACAGTCTTGTTAGTGAAATGATAGATAAGGAAACCCAGAAAGCGATTGGAGTTAGCTTAGAGCTCGCTCGCTCGCAGGCGGCAGTTAAACTCACGCCATAGCTAACTGTTTTGCTTACTTGATTATGGAATTCTTGTAATCTATGGAACCCTTTGTTTATGGATCCAAGATTTTGCTAAAATGAATTTTCCAACAACCGACTAATCTGCTCCGACCTAACTTGAATGTTTATGCAGATTTTGGGGTTCGGGTATCTGGGTCCGTTCGGGCATTTCATGCATATAATCCTGGACAAGATCTTCAAGGGAAAGAAGGATACCAAAACTGTTGCCAAGAAGGTATATGCCTGGCTATCTCTTCAGTCCCCTCTTCTTCTGGTACTCGTTGTGTTCGGCTGTTTGTCTCAATCGATTTTGTGCTTGAAATCAATGTTTCAGGTGGCAGTGGAGCAGTTGACAGCTTCTCCTTGGAATAACTTGGTATTCATGATCTACTACGGGTTGGTTATAGAGGGTAAGGATTGTTTTTTCTCCTTCCTTTCTTCTTGTTCTGGCTGGAAGAGATAGTCATATGGGTGAAATCGGTTCTGACTAGCTGTGGACAAATTGCAGGGAGACCCTGGTTTCATGTAAAAACCAAGATCAAGAAAGAGTATCCGAAGGTTCAATTCACATCATGGACGGTTAGTCACTTTTTTTTCGAACTCTTAGAACAATTGAGAGAGTGAAAGAGGAGTAATTCTTATCAATGGAGCTGCGTCACCATACTCGAATCGACCTGAAAATAACTGATGATAACAGACTGAAACCTGGGTCTGACCTAAACTAAACCCTGACAAACTAACCACTACTAATTAACCTGAGCCAGTTTCATAACAGACTTCTGAGGCATTCTAACCCGATCAATCGACCAATCACCGTCACTGACATTAGTATTGCTCTTCCATCAACCCCTCCCCTCGTCTAAGGGTTCCAATGATGCGTGTATATAACAATGGTTGAAACAAAATTTTGCAGTTCTGGCCGGTGGTGGGATGGATAAATCACCAGTATGTACCGCTTCAGTTTCGTGTCATCTTCCACAGCGTTGTTGCTTGTTTCTGGTATGTTATTCAGAACCCTTTTGTCATGAGTGCTAGCTGGTTGTAGTAGAATCAGCAATGGTGGCATGATGTGGAATTCCTTTGTTCTTGTGGTATGTTTATTGCAGGGGAATATTTCTAAACCTGCAGGCGAGGTCTATGCCAATAACTAAAGGTTAAGAAATTGGGAGCTGCCGGCTGTGGGAATTAGCTAGGCTAAGTCAACAACATGTCTCCTGTTGCTGGCTGGAAGCATCAATGGGGAAGTGGAAAGAAAATTGGCTAGGAAGACCACTAAAAGCCCCCCTAAGAAAAGAGGGGGATGAAGATTCAGAGATGACACCATTGTTACAGGGTGTTACTGTGTTGTTTACAAGCGTGTTGTATTAGTTAGTCAAATGGTTGAAATTTATATGTGGAATTTCTATTGATTGGATAAATCAACGAACTTGTATTCTTATTCTCTAAAAAAATATTACATTTGGACTCTTGCAATCCAAGCAAGAAAAGTCTCATGTTGCTCGGCTCGCACAAAAGTTATTACTTCATATAATCGAGGTGATGGTCTAAGTTTCAAACGATAGACCTCGTACATTGAAAGGGAAGAAGAGAAAAATAACTTAAATATTCACGAACCGTTTTAAAAATCACCAGCTCGTCATTAATATTGGTGCATCAATTGTCCATCCAAGATGGTGACTGGTACGTAGCAGGAAATTGGTAAGCTCTTTGACTCTTCGGAATGTCATACAATGGTGTGTTCCGATAGAGACGTGCCGGAAGTGCACGCGAAGGACGTCTTGTATAACGTTCAAAACAAATTAATGAGCGACTATTTTTGAAAATATTTTTTCGACCAAAAATTTACTTTCTTTGCACCCTTGTTTAGTTGTTTAGGTAGGATTTTATTGTTGCTCTTGAATTCGCTTGAGGAATAGCCATCCAAGTTCCAAGGGAAGGGAGGCTACGCTTTCCGTTTCTTTCTAGAAGAAACGCGGCGGAGAAGTACAATTTCGACCGGCACAAAGAAAAAGAAAGAGACAGGATGCCTCCGATTCCCTTCCCCTCCTCTTCCATAAAAACCTTCAATTCCTTTCTCCTGGATTCCCCTCCTCGATTCCATTCATCGACAGAAACTTCTTCCTACTTCCGTCTTCCATCGTCGCCTTCCCACCCTTAATTCCGCAATCTCCGATTCTTCCAACCCCCTAACGACTAGGATTTCCTTGTTGGCGGCGGCGGCGGCCAGAATCAACATAAATCGCGGAAGATCGGGCGATCCGCCGGCGGGGCAAAACACGATGATTCAGCTTCTCTTCACCGTCCTCTTCTGCCAGATGGCGTTCATACTCCTCCTCGTCTTCAAAACCCCCTTGCGGAAACTGGTCATACTGGGGCTAGATCGGCTGAAGCGCGGCCGCGGACCCGTCGTCGTCAAGACCGTCGCCGGAACCGTGCTTCTCGTCTTCAGCTCCAGCGTTTACAGCATGGTCGGCATCCAGAACCGCTGGACCGAGGAAGGCGCCGTCATCAATCCCACCGATCAAGTCATCCTCGCTAATCACCTCCTCGAAGCCACTCTCATGGGTAAAATTCTGCAATTACCTTACTAGTTGAATCTCGATTTTGCGATGTTGCACATTGTCTCTGAGCTGTGGGGTAAATGGGTAAATTGAATCTTGCAGGAGGGCTGCTGTTCCTGGCGCTAATGATCGACAGGCTGCACCACTACATGAGGGAGCTTCGGATCCGGAGGAAGAGCCTGGAGGCGCTGAAGAAGCAGAGGGACTACAATGTGCTTGAAGATGAGGTGACCGAGCTTCGAGCGAAGCTGAAGCGGCTGGAGGCCGACGTTGAAGCGAAGAACAAAGAGGTGAGCTCCTCGAAAGCCAGTGCTGTAGCTCTGAAGAAGCAATCGGACGGGTTTGTGGTTGAGTTTGATCGTTTGCAGGGGGAGAATCAAACTCTGAAGAACAAGTTACAGTCGCTCGATTTCAAGCTGTCTCGTTCCGGTAGCAAGAAGGATTCTTGATCGTTTGTTGACTTCAAATTTAACAAAGCTTGAACGCTAATTTTGCTATTGGGTTCTTTCTGTGATGGGTCCTGATTAGATTCCCGCTAGGACTTTGCGAAAGTCTAGAACTTTTGAGTGTATGGGTATGGCTGGGTTGCTAAGGCTACTCATCTGGTTTTTGTAGGAACAGAGTAGTTTCGAGTTTGTGCACAAGCGGAACATAGACGGCTATTAATCATGGGATTCTGGTTTTTCCTTCTTCTGTTGCATACACTCTTAACAAACTACTGGGTTTTTCCCCCCAGCGGTCGTTTCAGCAAGCTGAGTTCGTCAACTCGTACGGTTTCAAACTTAATTTGAACCGAAACAATCTATTGGTATGCAGATTCATGTGCTTTCGTTAACGATAACAGGGCCTCGAGCTAACAGATTAGTCTGCATCCTTGGAAGTAGCACAGACATATATGAACATGATGATGAGCAACCGAAAGCTAAACCACAACATCATCTCTGTTTGTCGAACTATAGACACATAACTGTCACTATTTACATTGTACAGACTCAAACTCTCGGCCGAGGTCTTTCTTTGCACAGGGTTGGTTGAAAACCCTCCAACCTTATTACACACTCCAGCCAACACCAACTTCCGATATTACATAAACATGAACTCACAAGTTACGCCGACTACGCAGCTTCTGCAAATCCGACTTGCATGTTTCCGGAGTCGAAGACTGTGTGGTAGCGTCCCATGAAAACATCTCCCAGTATCCTGAACACAGAAGGAATCAATTAGTCAGCATGGAATCTGAAACGATATGCATGGCTAATTTACCATTCAGCATGTAGTGATAAAAGGAAGCATTCAGTACCAGAGAGGGCCTCGGGGAGGAGGAATGTCCAAAGCAGTAAACCCACTGATGCACTGAGCAGCTGAGCCCTCGCCCACCTTCAGAATGTACTGGTACGAGTACAAGCAAAGCCAGCAAATTTATGCATGCGCATCGTCATACATTCTCAATCGATGACACGATAAAATCGAACAAGGGGATGACGTTTACCTCTTCTGGCCGGAGGTCGAAAACTTTTCCTCCGATGGTGAAGGCAACATTTGGCATGGAAGAAAGGCTTCCACATTCGACAGCAGATTCTCCCATAGGACTCGGCATTCGATCACAGAGCTGAGCGCAATGTCAAAACAGATTAGATCGTAATAATCAGGAGGAAGCTACTGTAAAGTAGAAAGGACGTATATCTAGTAAGTAAACCTCATCAACGTATTTCAGAATGCGTTCTTGTGTCTGGTTCTGCATCAGCTGGTTCTGCATCCAAACAACTGCCATCTCACATGCAGAGCACATGGCATCACTGACAACTCCGGATGACCTCTGATTGCCTTCATCCACAACGCTCTGGATGCCCATGCTGCAGCAAAAATCCACGGACAACAAGCGTCAGGCGAAATCCTGTCCATGAACTATAGTATGGGATTTAAACTGTTATAGTCTTACCTAACACTTTGTGTTCCATCAAATGTGCAGAGCCCAACTTGAGAGCAGATCTTCTGTGGTCCAGCCTGTAAATATTGTTGAGGGACAATCATTAGATGCTGAAGTTATAGCAGAAGGCGCACAAAGAAGATGAGGTCTGGTATTCACCTCAGCCATGAGCATATCAAGGATGGTTTGTCCATATTGCGCGACAACAGCCTTGCATTGCTGGCTAACAACTCCAGAAGCTCCAATTGCTTTGTTTATCATGGCAACCACAGTCTGGAAGTGTAGCAGAGAGTTGGCCAAACTTCAGCATACTTTGCACACAAATTTTTATAGGTATAAAGCTATGCACATATATGTCATACCGTTGGACCAGCCAGCAAGGAAGTTCCTGAATCTGCTATTGCTGAACAACCACGTCCGCAATAACCTGAAAAAGAATCGATTCGAAGGTATGCATAACCCCACAAAACCAAAGATAGTTTCACATAAATTTAGTTCATGGATGCAGATCTTTGCTAACATCAAAAGACAAATACCAGTTGGTTTGCCGCCAATGATAACATCACCCATGTCAAACTGGCACAGAAAATGTGAGACAGTAAGGGCCAACTTGAGTAATAAAGAGATGCTATAAAAAAATTATGAGGGAACATGATCAAATAGGAAGATCCTATGGTAACTGTGACCAATTCACCTGCCAATAACCTTTCTTGGTCACTGGAACATAAGTGTGCTTTCCTTTGAAATGACTTGGATCAACACCGCCAAACACAATCTCACCTCCTTCCTCTTCATCCACATGGCGGTTTAGCCAGAACGAAAATACTGGCTCCTTGATGAGACCTTGTTTCATCATGTTGTCCCTGCACAAGAGAATCAACCAAGCACTTCAGTTATAGATGCTTAAGTCATAAACCGAAAACCTTCGATAACAGAAACAAATGATCTTATACCAGACGGGGACAGCATCTCCCACTGAGATCTCACGAAATCCAAGCCCCAAGATACCATCAAACTTCGCCACCAAAAAGGTAACACCAGGCTCCCTCGTTGCCTCAATAAACTCCTAATCAAGTTTACAAGGATGTTACACGAAATATATTCAATCGACAAGTATCTGCATAGGGTAATTGATCGAACAGAACGTTATTTACCTGCTCTTTGACCACAAGGTTACCAACTTTCACGTGGTCAACACTAAAGAACCCGGCAATAGCTCCAGTACCATACTGAATCTCAGCACTCTTGCCTGAGAAATACTGGAAACGTTTAGACGATAACAAATTCAAGCAAGTCTGAATCCGATGTATTAGTAAAAGGATGCTAAATAGAAGACCACGAACCATTTTTCTTGTAGGTACTCGACTGGCCAGACTTGTACTTCGAATGGAAAAAACACGAGACCTTATCGCAAGGATCAAACAACACCAATGTCAAACCAAAAACATAGAAAATACAACGGCTTTAGCAAAACCCATACCGAGTCAAGGGGAACTCACGGAGAAATAGCATTTGGCGGAAGGCACCCACAAGTTCGAGCTACCAGTGTCGAATATAACCGTGAACTTCTGGGGAGGACTGCCCACACCAATCTCACCATAATACTGAGCATCCAAGTAGTTCTTCAACGCCACGATGTCGGTGTCTCGTGGATCACCCTTGTCGCCCAGCAGGCCGCCATACTTCCTGTTAAGCGCAGCTCGCAGTCCCTCGCGAGCATGACCGGACTCCAGCCTAGCAGCCACTCGGTTGTTCTGATCAAGTTTCAGCTTCTTCAGCCCAATTCTGACCAGCTTTTCCTCTGATGCGCATGACACCATCGAAGAAAACAGGACAAGGGAGCAGAGTAACAGATGCAACAGCTCCATCGCTTTACCACGGTTCGTTCCCATGGCTACCCAACACGATCGAAACAACCTATTCATGAGAGGATCAATGGTCATCAATGGTCAACAATGGTAATATGAAGGTCAACTAATTACTAACCCCTATATGGCATGTTTGCTTTGTTCCACCAAGTAAAATATTCTGCAGGGTGCAGATGGGCTTCAGAGTGCATCCTTAGGTAAGAAGATGAAGGAATTAAACTAGTAAAAGAAGCCGTAAACCTCCAGAACTTTTCTACCTAACGTAAAAAAGCATCCTAATCCGAAAGATGGTGGAATTACTTTACTTTATCGACGAGGTCCTAATCAGCAAATCAGTGTTGTTTTCCACTCAAAACAGCAGCAAAAGCTGTTGCAAGCTCAGTAGACCAGTAAAAGCAAGTACCACCCACAAAAATCTATCTGAATCGGAATTTTATCGCCAAATTGAAAAGGTAGCAGCAGCAGCAGATTAAGCTTTATCCCAATCGCATCATATGAACAGTGAAAGTTGCTCTTTAATTAATTAATCCCACCATGAACAATTCATTCCTTCTGATCTTCCCCCATTTCAATTCTATCCTAAAGTTCATCTTGTTTCCACCATTGAACTCACTATCTACGAAAACCTGGCCAAAAATTCGAAGCAGAGCTATATACTACAGGAAAATGCCAAAAGAAAGCAGTACAGCAAAGACTGTGCATGCGCATACTAAAGGAATCGTCAACGTTCGCCCTAAACATTCAAGTGAATCCACGGAACGAACAATCTAATCCTCACCAACCAATCGTAGAATACTAAATTAGAAACGCATACAGAAGAAGAAGAGCCTCACTCACAGATTGATGAAGAAGGGAAAGCAACAATGCGGCAGGGTTTCCTCGACTCCGAAGCAACCTCCTCAACGGCGGAAAGAAAAAGGTGAAGGAAATGAGCAGAGGACGAATAATCTGGAGAGCATATATAGCAGTGAGTGAGAAAGGGAGAGACAGACTGAGAGGAAGGAAAGGAAAGGATCGGGACCGTTGATCGAGGATATGATCACGGGACTCACGAGTTCGTTTTGGTGGAAGGCATACAAATCCAAATGCGGCTTACGTGTTAGCGGCCGCATGGGATTCGTGGGATCGTATTTTTGGCGGTTGGAACTGACGATAGAAAAGATGGGGAAAGAGAGGGACCCGTTTTTAATGGTGAGAGGGTTTGACGTGTCGTTGCCGCATGCACCTGGCTGTTCTTTGCACGCCACACCTTCCTCGTAATTGTTGGCATTTCCGCCACCCAGGCAGAGGCTGCCAACCCGGGTTCTGCGCTCGTCGTCGTCGTTCGTTAACCAGCATGCATGTGGGCCCATTGAATTGCTATACGGGTTTCACGAGCCCATTCTCTCACGCTCAGAAGGGTTTTTCTAGCCCATTTGATACGAACTTTAATTAGGGTTATGTGGGCTGTAAAGTTTATAAGGGGAATAGTTTAGGGCTCTCGAGCCCAGTAATTACGTGGACCCAAGTAAGCTGCAGACGGCTTGAAATTCAGCCCATAATAAAAGCTTGGAATTGATGAAGAGTGAAGAGTGAAGACCGATGCTTTAGTCTAAGCCATGTCGTCGTCGAAACCGAACTAAAATATTAACCAAAGTTCAGGAACGCACTAGGCAGTCGCTCAATGTTTGTTCGATTCGAGCAATTAACATCTCGAACTGTTTTTTTTGTCAGTCGGTTCAAAGCAGACAACTATGTTATGTGAGTGTGTTGAAGTGGGCCGGTGGCCATGTCTTAATTTAACTGTTGGAACGATTAGTCTGGATTGATTTTTTTGTTGCATTGAGTCTATGTCCAAACCACTTGAGTGCACAGTGTCGATATGTCTCCTCTCTTCATCACATCACGCTCACGCATATGAGATTCAATTATTGATTGCGAAGAGAAACGAGTCTTATACATTAGTATTTGGTATATAATTCATAATTGAACCACTTAAAACAACTCGAGTAGTTGAGTTAATACGACCAAACTATTCTTTACGTGATTAGCCATTTAATATCTTGATTCATGATTGTTGATGTGACTTGAATCGGACTATCAGCCGCTACGACTGGTCACATGGAGAAGTACTATAAATATTTCTCATACTCCTCTGTAATCTGTAATCTCCTTGATATAGTGAAACTAGCTCTCTCTCGCCTATGGACGTAGCTAACACACATCGTGTTAGTGAACCACGTAAATCGTGTGTCTGTGTTTTCGATTCTCGCTTTCGTATTCTTGCTTTGTCGATTCCAACGATTTCCCGATCCGTAGCAGCGCGTTTATAACAATGATCACTCATGGTGAAGACTGAAGAGTGAGTCATTGTTGTTGGCATCAATTCCAGTTCATAATGATATGGTTATGTCCCCATACGAGAATATCGTTAAATTAAAGCAGAAGCGAAAAGGGCTTGGAGTAGTAGTATATAGCATGGGAAATTATAGACACATGGGATAGATAGTTTACTTGGATTACATGCAAGGCATCTGTGAGATCGGAGCCGAAAATCACATCTGAGCATGTGGTACTGCAATATACAGGGCCGTCCCATGATATTTGGAGGCCCAATTCGAAAATTTAAAATGTGGCCCTAATTTTTTCCCCCATAAATTTATCAAAATTAAAAATTAGTAAATAATTGTAAAAAATACTTAAGCTCAGGAAAAGATTACATCAGGAATAAACGATCTCGTTTCCAGTTTGACCAAGAAACCAAGACCGAATTCCCAGTCCTAGTAGAGAGGAAAGTAAATCTGGAAGGAAGAGAAAATGGATATAGCGCAAAAATTGAATGGGGAAATGAAAATAGTCTAAATTGATCGAGAGATGGGTGCAGGGTTGTCTACTAGATCGTGGAGGCCCTATTTCAAAATCTAGACGTGGTCCAAATCGACCTTTAACTATAATAAAACTAAAATGATTATAATAACATTATTCAAAAAGTAATATCTTTCTATATTGTTTAAATTAAAATAATCTATTATTTTTTAGATTTTCGTATTCTCCATGAGATCCTTTTCAATTGTTATTATAGCTAAAATTATCTATTAAACACATCATCATACTCATAATCAATCAATCATACACTAAAAATACAACCTACAATATACGATCGGTAACTAACGAATCTAAGTAGAGGCCCCTAATATTCTGAGGCCCTGTGCCGGAGGGCGGGCCAGCACACCCTCTTGGCCGACCCTGGCAATATATCATTCACAAGTCATAACTGGATAACCATCATAAATTATTGATTTGATAACAAGGGTTGTGAACTCGCGGCGCGGGTCAATCCACTTTGATCCTAACTCAGTGAGAAAAAACGGGTCGCACGCATTCGTAGGGTTGACCGCTACAAGGTATCGGGTTGGAAGTCAAATTGTGTCATTTTTTCTTTTGATTTGAGAAATGCGCTTAGTTTCCGATTTTTCTTTTCGCCTAACTCAATCTTTGGAATGCTAAGTTGAACATTTGAATATTGATGTTATATAAATGTGTGAATTTTCACTATATGTTGGATCTAAATACGACATGTTATTTTGGTGCAATGTTATATGTTATTACTCATACAGGGGCGGAGCCAGGATTGAAAGTTCGGGGGGGCCGGATTTATTTAGTAAATTATTGTGATAATCCAAAGATAAAAATAAATAATAACGACATATATTAATTAAAATAGAAAAAACTCAAAATATAAATAATTTAAAGTTTGCTAGTATGTTATACTCAAAATAAATGTTTATAGTGTGAGCAAAAATTATCATGCATTTTAACATGTAATTGTTTTATACCTTGAATATGAATTTATGATTATATTATTGTTTTTAAAAATTAATTAATTACATATCCAAAAACAACCTTTGAAAATATGAATGTAAAAGTTTAAGAACTTGACTGAATTTATTTGAAATTACAGAATTTATAAGACAAAATAGAAAAATTAGAGGATTAAACTGAAAAAAAAACTGTTAAAATTATAAAAGCAATGCTGTCTATCAGAATCGAACCCTGAACCTTCTAGCTAGAACTGCATGACTTCTCCGCTACACTACAAATCTGGGCTGTTAAAAATATTTCACTCGAATTTTATATCCTTGTTAGATTGAGTTTATACGTAATTCTCGGAATTTCCTAGGACTTTATACGTAAGTTTCAAAATTCTCGGGGAGGCCGGGGCCCCCCCGAGAGCCTACATAGCTCCGCCCCTGTACTCATACGTTATATGAGATTTGATATAATTTATCATAATAAGAACAATATAATGACTCTTTCCATATTTCCAGACTAAACCGAACTAAATCGGGTGACTCATTAATCCTTGACCCACTAAATCGACCGAGTACGGGTCAACCCGCGGGTTGACAACCTATTCCCATATCACAACAATTTATATCCCAACTAGCTAGGGTACGCGAGCGTACGGGTATAGATGCGGTACGGGGAGCTACTCCCTTCACCCACCAAGTTCCACGACTCCATTAATATTTTTACATTTTAATGACGATTTAATTATAATTATAATTATAATTTCTTCTCGAGCCCCACATAATCATCATAATGGAGACTTAATCAATTTTTTTTTTTTTTTATAATAGTACCCACGGCCACGACTGAATGAGAATGACCACATGTCAACCCACTGGTCCGCAATCCAAGCACTTGAAAATAATCCCCCCTCGAATTATTCATAATTAAGACAATACGAGAACTTGCTGAGAGATTGCTATAGCGAGGTCAACTACAGTATCCGACTACGTCCTGTAACCTAGCTAATAAACAGCTGCCACGTCGCCATCATTTTATATGTCTTGTTTGGCTCCTCTTTCTCTGAAATGGGTGAGAGAGATTAGAGGATTTGTTTGTTTCTTTCCTCTGGCTTCTGCCAAAGTTGACCACCGTCACGGGGAAAATGGGAAAGGCATCTCATCTCGAAATCAGACGAAATCTCCAGTTTCCATTCAATTCAATCCACCTTCCTTCCTGCAGCTTCGCTAGTCACTCACTTCATGTGGGGCAATTTAATTACACACGATTGATAATTGAACTTGTTGCCTTCCTAGAAGTCTCCTTATTAAGTCCATGCAATGCAACTCACATTATTCCTTTCCCTTTCTCCTAGTCAACTTTCTTTGCCTGTGTCAAACTGAGCTACCCGCTCGCTCGGCCGTATTACTTGACTTCCCATTCCCCCCCGCTCCCTTCCCTAATTCTAACGTGCCAAACATAGCTTTCTTGAGTGTTGTATGAGATAATTCAAGTACGATATCGGATATACAAGAAAATTGACTCGTGTATATTAGTGTTTAATTAAGTTAATTATAGTGTACGATCATCCAGACTTGTCTCAAAGCAGATATTATTGTACTAATTGAGTATTAACGGTTAAACATTATTCAATTTAATTAAACTGAAGAAGAAAATAACAAATTAATTAAAACTTTGGTACAAAGGATTGAAAGGTCTCATAATCTTTATCTAAAATTCTAACCCTAGGCCACTAAGGAAACTTAAACCGTATATGTCCAGAAATGATCATGGAGGGCACGTAATTAACATGATGAAAAGATAAAAAAAAAGAAAAAAATAACAGAGCGTGCATGTCTATCTACGAACCAAGAAAAATAAACATACTGTAACAAGATTTAATCAACACATTCGAAGATTCCTGCCTGCTGTCTTTCCATCGTCGTTTTTACCGTTGCTGTTGTTGTTGGCCGCTCATGATGGAAGAGATGGCAGCCGCCAGCGCCGCCGTGAAGTTAGGATCCGAGGTGATGGCAGCCGTGGCCGCACTCACCGACCGATCCACCACCGTCGTCGTAGAACCCTCCTGCCTCGCCGCCACCGGCGAGGCCACACGTGGCGGCAGCTGATGCTGCAACTGTAGCAGCTGGGACGATGACAGCTGGAGCCCCGAGAATTTCGACTGGTTGTTGTACACACCGGCAAACCCTTGCTGCTGACGTGGCAACTGCACCGAATTATTAATATTATTATTATTGTTTGGCGATGACGCGTGGGTGAGGTCCAACGTGACGGTGGGGAACGGCGCGGAAGCCGAGATCGAGGCCACGCTGTTACTACTGTGGGCCGCGCCGTTGGGAATCATAGCTCGGGCGAGCAAGTTATTGGTCGGGTGGTTGACCATCATCATGGCGCCGTCGGGGCTCGACGTCGAACCGGAGAGGAGCATGGTGGCGGCGGCGGTTGTAGTCGACGCCATGGCCATCGCCGCGGGAGGGAGAGGGTGGTTGTGGCTTCCTTCGTAGGTGGTTATTAATATCGTCTTGTCCTCCGCGCAGCGTTGCACCTGTTTCCGCACCGGGCAGCCCGCCGCCATCGTGCAGCGGTAGTACGCTCTCGGGCAGGGGTTTCCTTTAGCCATCTTCTGCCCGTATTTCCGCCACTGGCACCCGTCCGATATCATCGGGGCCTCGGAGCGGGCCCGCACGGAGACGCGGGCTTTTCGCATGGTCGCCTCGGCGTTGCTGTTGGGCTGCTGCTGCTCCTGTTGTTGTTGGGCCGTGATGGATTTACTGGGTCCAGTCGAATGAGCAGGAGGAGCAGACAATTTCTGGAGTTTGTTAGGATTGTTTGGACTATTCCACCCTTGAGTTTCCGATTCCGGACTCTCGGCTCTGCCACCGCTGACCGACGACCTTTTGCGCGGGGAAGATTCCGAGCGGGTTCGCTCGTCAGACGATGAGTTTGAGGTTTCTCCTGGTGGCATCAACGCCAAGAATCTTCTAGGAACCTGATAATTTGATGGGGGAAAAATTACTATTTTTATATTCGGGTACTTAATAATTAATATCGATTTATTAATCAACTAATTAAAGATTTGATTTTAATTAGAAGATCGGACGTACCACTTGTTCTTGGTTGGAGTTAGGCCGTTGATGCATGACTGAAGCAAGGTGCATTTGGAGGGAGGTGTAGTTGTTGCTGACTTGGCTAAGCATGTCCCTTAATCTCTGGTTCTCTACGTTCATCTTCTTAAGCTCAACTCGTAATTCAGCCAGCTGATCATGGAAAAGATATAATTAGCAGAATTAAATTTATTTGTTACAAGTAATTATATATCATGTTCGGTAATTAAGTAAGACCACCAAGTATTTAATATTAAAATAATAAAATATATACCTCGGGTTTGGATCGGCTATCATCATGGTTCGTCCGATGATCCGACGACGGAGGAATCCCTTCATCCACCGTCGATTGGTCGCTCCGCGTGTTGGCAAGATGCAATCCAGTCTATAATTAACCATAAATAGTAATTAGTAAGATTTACCAAACTCTAACAGGAGAAGAAACTAGATGAATTTATTTTGGGGGTTCTTACATTTACTTTGTCGTCATCCTCCTTCTTGACCGGGCTAGATTTCAGATCTTGCTCGTCGTCGTCGTCGTTGCGACTGCTATCATCACGATCAACAGAACGAGATGACGTCGTCTTGTCGTTGCTATGGCGGTGAGCAAAGAAGTCGACCTCGCCGACGGCGTGGAGGCGGTCGGCGGCGGCGTGGTGGAGGGATTCGACGTCAGGGAACTGAAACATCCTCATCATGGGGTTACCGGCGGCGGGCGGCGGGAAGAAGGGGAAAGGAGTACTATAAGCTGCTGGTGATGGACGGGGAGGAAGATCGGATTCAACGGCGAGACACCATCCTTTTTCCATATAAATCTCGGCCGGAGAAGAGGTCGATCAGAGGTAGATCGGAGAGGGAGAGTGAATGGGGAAGTTGGACACAGTCTAGAGGGAGGATAGAAATAGTGGGGGAAAGAGAGGAGAGGTCGGCTATAAAAAAGGGGTGGAAGCGAAGACGAAGACCAAAAAAAAGATTAGATTTGTGGACTTTTTTTTTACCGGGGATTTTTGGTTTAGTTTCCAAGTTTCGTCACAGTATGCGTCACGATCGCCAGCTGGCTAAGCTAATTAAGCGGCTGCCTCTGCCTGTTTTTTCGTCTCCGTTTTTCCTTCCCTTTTTCTCTAGTCCTTTTCTTTTAAAAAAAACAACTTCTCTAGTCTTTTGCTCAACCCGAGTCGGGCGTTGAATTGATTCTGTCTCTTCAGGCAATAAGAGACTAATCAAGACTTGGATTATTCTAACGAATCAGTCCACAAACTTTATTTTTTTTCCCCACTAGTTTCTCGATCGAGTTTGAAATCAACACGATAATTCGATATGTTCTACTGCATCTCGACACATTAAATTAAGTTCTTCGCAAATTACATACAGGTCGTTGATGGATCCAGCTAGGTGCGCCCGGCGGTGGTTGAAACTTGAAAACTGAACCACAAAAAGGAAGCCATTATTTTCTCCAAGAGGGGGAGGAGGTTTAATTTAGTCTACTTTTCTTGGTCAAGACAGTAGTATTCTTTGACTTGTTCTTCTATCAAAATGGAAACACAAAGAAAAAACACAAGAGGGAGGAAGGAAGGATCGAAGAGAGAGAGGGGTGTGTTGTTGGTGAATTATTAATAAAACAATAATAAAATTTCCACTCCACCGTTCCGATTGGTGCGGCGCATTCCACGTGAGAAAATCCCCTCATTTCTTCCCTCGGTGTTTTTTTAATATAGTAAACAATCACAAAATGTCAATACAAGCACTTTTTCAAATAATACCAATTTCTACCTCAATCAAAGTCACTCTTCCCCAAGTTAATATTTGACTATAACAATCTATTAGTCCCGTACATACGACGATGGTGGATGCAAAGCAACGAGGATTTATGCATTCTTTCGTTTATTTCGCGAGGATTTGAATTTGAGACTTTTTAGTCAAACCATGATATGATATTATGTAGCGAGCTAATTGATCCAAATTATTTAATTTGTTGGGCGAGAGAGATCCAAAAGTACGAATCTCATGTTACTTTCTCTCGGTAGTTGGTTTCTGGGTTTATCTCGTGCAATTGAATAGACCTAACCATTAGAAGTTCAATTATAGTAATGTATAAGAGCTCGGAATTATTTGATAAAGGAAGTATTATAAGTAACCACGCAACAACCCAACAAACGAGGTCTTTTTCCGAACGTGTGCTTGCTCTTTTAACCATAAAATCAAGCTGATCATAACTAACCATCTCATCAACAAACAAACTCTCAACACTCCGATAACAACTCACAGATTAAAATGACTTAATTGACGCAAAAAAACATAACTTTAGGAACAAAACGAAACGCTGCAGTGTGATGAAACTAAACAGACTTCTTATATCGTACTAACTTGTGATAACAAAGACCATAATATTTGTCTGTACAATATTCTCTGCAAGTTCTCGAGTCATGGACTGAATTTTTATTTTTTCTTTCTCCCCCCTTATCTCAAATGTGACGACGGTCCTCCCTTCCATCCGCCTTCCTATGTAGAAAATTTTTCTTCTTTCTTTTTTCCCGTCGGCGTTGTGGTGTTTGTTCCGATCTGTCTGCCAATAGTTTTGAGGTAATAATAATTTAGAAATAAGAATAGGGGGACCAATGACCAAATGGGCGCAGCCCAATTAGTCAACGAATTTGACGACCTGGCTGGCTACTAGAAGAGACCGGCGACCGGGTGGGGCAGAAGCGAAGACTAATTTTTACATTACAACAAGGACGGGAGTGGTGGACAACACATGCATGCACACGTTCACAACACTCAGATCTGCTCCCCCCTTATAACCCGCGCGCCTCGTTGACTGCTCAACGGTGGGACCGGCCGACTCCCTTCGCCTCTGAATGAAAAATTTGTTTTTTTTCCCCCCACGTTCAAAATTAATATTTCGGCTATTTCATTATAATTTCCGAGCATATGATAATAATAATAATAATAATAAGTTAATGACTGGTGTTAAAACATACGCGACCGCCTCTTGCTCCGGCTATCATGCTGTCCTTCTCTTTACGACTTCACGTCTTCACCCGTAGTCAATGAATAAGCATATGGTCTGAAACTATCGGGTAGCAGTTCGGTTATTTCGGTTATAACCGGTAATCGATCGGCTGGTTATTGGTTAACCGAAATAATCGTCTTTTATATCAAAAACCAACCGAAATAGGCTTTGGTTTCTCGGTTATCTCGGTTATCGGTTAACCGAACCACTTTTAAGACCAAAAACCATTTTGTCCAGCCTCCGATAACCGACCGAAGTTCGGTTATTTCGGTTACCGGTTAGTGGATAACCGGCCGATTGTCGGTTTAACCGGTCGTTTATTGGTTAACCGGCCACCGGTAACCGAACGGACACCCCTATATGAAACAATGGGCAATACTTTACACGAAATTTGAATAAGGTATGCAAGTAAAAATGACCAGTTGTCGAACTGTATAACGTTCGTTCGATATTTCATAACAATTAGAGTTATAAACGGAATCAATGAATTCTTTATTGTGTTTTTTTTATAAGGGTGATATAGGTTTCATTTTGTTGTCATTAAGGTATTACTTAAGGGATTCGAACCTGGAACCTCTAGGTTCTAGGCTAGTGGTATTACTACTAGGCCAAGCCCTTGTTCGTCAATGAATTCTTTATTGTTAGTGAATGGTATAAGATTCATTATTGAACCTCTCCCAACAACTCGGGTTGTTGGGACTAACTGGTTCTTAACATGATATCAGAGCCTGTTGTGGCCGGGAGGTCTTGTGTTCGAATCCCGGTGACCCCATTTGTGAAGCACATGTATTCTCGTGTTCAGGACATGTGCAAACGAAAGCCCTTATGATCCATTATTGAACCTCTCTCAACAACTTGAATTATTGGGAACTCACATGTTTTTGACATTTATACGATATTAAAGTTTAGAATGAACAAAAAATTTGTGTTTGGATAATCTTCTTGAACTACAATGCAATTTTATTTCATCGTTAAAAGTATGTTGAGTCTCAAATCTATAATTTTGTTTTCGTTTAAACATATAAAATTTTATAACATAAACAATAAATGGGTAGATAATAATAACCGATCGATCATCAAGAAAAAATGGACCAAGTCCCACCAAACAATGACAACAAACACGTGCGGTTGTTTTGAAAAGAGGGCAAAGACATAACAGTTTTAATTCTTGGAGTTGGTCCTAACTTGGACGTAAGAAAGTATGTAGGTCAGGTTATTATTATTTATGGTCCATTGAATAATTTGCATTAATGCGTTTGGGTTAGGTGATCAGTTGATTTCGATGACTTGCCCCGTTCAAATAACCGATGCGTTCTTTTTTTGTAATTTTCCGTTTTAGCGAAACCCATTTCGATCCTTATACATAAAAGATCCATATATTTTTTATCAATAAAATGCACGTTAGCTAGAAGAGTCGTCCGGGGAAATTAAATGTTCGGTCGTCGTGAGTTATTACAATTTGCACAAGTGGGATGAATTTTGCGGCATATGGATGACGGGACAGTTTGATGGCTAATTTTGTCTTTGTTCAAGTTTTGGATCGGATCCATGGAAGTAAACAAGGGAAATTAATAGGTAGTTGGTGGGTTTTGAATTTATGTGTGTGTGGAAATTTGAGGTCCAAGAAGGAAATACGTACTCTCGCGAAGCCGTCGTCGTCTCTCAAATTATCAACGGAAAAAGCCATCATTTTTTCTTCGCGGCAGACGTACGACGTCCATGCATTCACGATCACGACGACTGACTTTTGTGTGTTTGCGAGAAACTGAGGCGGGCCGGACACATGGGGTATTGATTGCTTTGCACAACGAATATGTAAATTGTCACTTACAAGCGAGAGAATGACGTAATTGGTGCTGAAAGACCTTTTCTTATTAAGTCGATAATCGGAACTAACGCCCAGCATACATATTTATAGAACGAACGAGTAAACCTAATGTTTGACCACTTACCCTGTTGAAAATTTGATTTAACCGGTTTTGATTTATACTAATCAGTTTGGTTCGGTTTGAATCATGAAGATGACGATGTTGCACTTTGTTGCTGAACATCCGAGGTTGGAGACAGGTGGTTTAATTTCTCGGGTTATTCGAGAATCAGTCGAGCTTGCTTTCGTCCGGTTTGATTTGAAAACAACAACGCATGAAGAAACAGCATCGACTTAAAAAAAAAGGATCTTTAGTTGTTTTAATTAGTATGAGTTTTGCCACTTGGCTTTCTGACATTAGATAAATTATTAGAGTTAGCCTCTTTAAATCCCGCTCCTCTTAATATAATCTAAACCAATCTAATAGTAAAAAGGCATTCTTTCATTTTCATCCAAAATTGCCTCTATACTCTGTTTAATACACGTATATGTACCCGTACGTATTTTATACATTTAAAACTTCCGTATCCGTATGATTATCAAGCCGTTTTATTTTTTCCGTTCATTTGATGACTTTCTTATTAAACACATATAAAACCTGTATAACACATTTAATTCCCGTATTTAATGAATTAAATTGTTAACTTTACAATTATTTATATTTTTAATTATTTTTAAAATAATTAATTTAACATATTTATGACTATTAACGTACTATTAAACGTAACATTAGCTTAGAAGTGAAGTAAAATACCCGTACGTATTTTATATGTAACTTTCCCGTACCGTATTTTAATAACTATGCTCAATATCTCTCCCCGAAACTCTAGTTGCTGTTAGGACGAAACATTTATCGAATTTGGATACAATGTGATCATGGAATATAATTTTAGACTTGTTATGTGGAGTTAACTGGTCGAATGACGGATCCAGTTCACTCATATATATGCCAACATGCTTTCCACGATTTGCAGGTAACTGGCTCAATGATATATAGCAAGTTCGTTTAGTTTATAGTATACATAAATATTAATAGAGCGATATATTTGTTGTTCTCGAAGTATAAACTGGTCCAACCCGTTTGATATGCTTGAGCTGATAATCCTCCGCCAAAATTTTACGTGACGAATAAAAATAAGTGGCGAATTATACTGTTAACATAGATAGTTTCAAATATACATGAGTAGTAAGTAAATACACTCTAATAAAAACAAAACAAGAATGCTAGTCGGAATAATTGATTTAAGCAATAATGTTAAAATACAAATTCGTCGTCTCTAGCCACCGTAATTTGATCTTAATTAATTACGTGATGGCGACCAACCTGGATTTTAGGTAGCTTCGTGACAAGCTCCCCACCTCGTCCTTCACAAATCTGAAACCTTTAACAATTAGCGTATTATTAAGTATATTAACGGATAGACTAGGCAATGTAGAAAACAATAAACAAATTGAAGAAATGGCCAAGACTAGTATTTTGCTGCATCGGCTACAATCGAGATGGATTGCAAAATTTTCAAACTTCCAAGGAACAAAATCAACATGGAAGACTAAGCCAAAGTTGACTAAAGATCAATTTACGTTAGACCAAAGCAATAGCTAGCTATCCACCCCCCACGTGGCTTACTCGATACGTCGTCTGAATATGATGAGGAAACTTGGGGTTATGGGTTAGGTTTTTTTAAAGCATACAGTGGTTACATGACTTACAAATATATATATGGGATGACTGGTGTACGTCAGGCGTATAGTATACGTCAGGTGATCTAGCCTTTAGATGTAATTAGATGAGCTCCGGCCGATCTCAACGGTCAATTTTTGTTTTTTAATAAATCAAACTTTGGGTTAGGGTTTAGAAAATCGGTACCCAGGGTTTATCCATTAGAAGTTAGGGAGGGTATCATATCATGCCACAAACTCGATTTAATTCATGGTCTGGATAGAGGTATCTCACTTGTAGTACCTGACATATAGTATACGACTGACGTACGCCAGTCTGAACCATATATATACTATGAATTACAAACCGAGTTCAATTAATTTCTATGTTCGTTCATATTTCATGGTTCAACCGGCCAGTTGGACGACATTGTTGAAAAGGTCCATCGTCGTCTCGCCGGTCCGCCGGCCTCCCACTCCACAAGGCAAGGAGCCGGCTTTTTTTCCCGGTCAATAATAGTTGTCGGTGCCTTTACGACTCGGGCTGCCACTTTGATCTGGAATTGGATCAGAAGGCCTTAATTTGGTTTTTGGTTTTGATCGGATATTGACCGACGTCGTTTTGGTCCACAATTTTCCATGATTGCTGAATAATCTGGTCTGGAGGCTTTTCACTAATGGCCCGCAGGGATAATAATTTGGTCTCGTATAGACTTCGGCTTGGAGGCGGCTTGGCTTTGGCTTGTTTACTAGCTGTCGACCCACACTTTTCATCTTAAATTACTCCTTTTTTTGCTGCACTAGTAATTCGGCGGAAATATCGCTTTTCCAATCGTGTGTGGGAAAAGGAAATAGTGAGGAAGCAGCTTGGATAGTTCTTCAGGAGCTAAGCTAGACATGGTAGGCCCGAAAAGCTAATTAGCTGGTTGGAAATTTGTCGCCATCGGCATACTTGCATGCATGTGTTGGGTGACATTGGGCTGCGATATAAACCTACACACGCGTCTAAACTGGGCTTATTGGGCCCGTTTTGTGGAGGTTGGACTTGTCCGCCAAACAATGGGCCCATGGATCCCACTCATTCCGCCGGAATGTCAATGAATACAATGAAACCCAATCCTACAAACCCCTTCCTCTTATAACAAGGAAACCCAATCCTAGAACAACAAGTGAGTAAATAATAACTTCCTAGACAAGACATAATAATAACAATTCTAGACACAAACTAATACGAATAACCCGAATAATAACTGAATATCCCAACAAATAATAATACGAAAACAACAACAACAACATTAATAATAATAACGGGATCGGCCCAAGATGCTTGTCACGCATCAATATTCCTCCTCCCTTTTAACAACCTCGTCCCCTGCTCCACCGCCATCTTCCTCCTTGAAATCGCCGATAATGACGAAAACATTCGTGTTGGCGCCAGCGATGCCCATACGTAAATCTCTCGTCGTAGTTATAGCACAATCCATCATGACGACGTCTAGCAGCTTCCTCCGCTGACAGGTTGCAGATGATGCGCCGTGGTGGAGGTGGCAGACCTCGTCCTGGTGCTGCCGCAGTCGGCGGTGGCGCCATAGATATTTCCGCGGCATCATCCAAACTGACACGGACGTTCCGTGATGTTGGAAAGTCCCCCGGACAAGTCCTCGAACGCATCATCCAAACTCTTTCAGAATGAATATTCATTGATTCAGGCGAGGTTGGGCTCACCTTCTTGTCTATTGTCTATGGGAATGCGCAAAGACCATCCCTCAACCATTAGTCCATTACTAAGCTATTCTAGAACATGTTGTTGTACTAGTAACAAAGACTGCTCTGTTTTTCTTTCAGCTGTATATTCCATTCCCTTCTGCCCATTCTGGAAATTTTGTCTTGAATATAATACTCTCAACTTATCAAAAAATAGTACATTAAAACGTCACTAGTTACTGTAAACAAAAAATAATTTTTAGATTTACCGTGAAAGATGCTATATATTTGTTCATAGGTCAAGTTGAGCTAGAACTAGAAGACTTTTTATTTTATTGTATTGTATAGACAAGTGGTGGTTACTGTTGTTGGCCTGTCCCATACATGTGATCAACTATATCCATGTATAAATTAATTGTCATTAGCGACATCTTAACCTTCTTGTTAAGTTAATTTGCTGTCTGTTTTGTTATCAGTCATTATAATTTTTTATTATCAGAACCTGTATTTCATTTATTCAGCCATTAGATTTGATAATGATATTTGAGGGAGAAATTTATTTTTCAGAATTATTATCACTTGGTTATATGAATTTGCTGATCACTATCACGAAAACCCAAAAGTTTATGCTAGAATCTCATCAAGCGGATGTGGCAAATGCGGCGGATGATGGTCGATTAATTCGAGCTTTTACGGTGAATCTTGGAGGAGGCTCCATAACCCGCGCTGAATTGGCGGGGATTATGGCCTAAAAATCGCTTGGGATGCTGGCGTTCGTCAGGTGGTACTACAAACTTACTCAAGTATAGCAATTCAGTTGTTGCAGTCAGCCACGGTAAGACACCCGCACTACTTATTGGTCGCGGCAGCTCGGAAGCTCCTTGCGCTGGAATGGCAGGTCAACATAGTTCATGTGTTTCGAGAAGGCAATGTAGTCGCGGATTATCTTGCATCGCTCGGCCATAGCCTACCGGTAGGAGAACATTCAATAGAGGCTCCCAATCCTGCTTTCAATTTTTGGCTATCATCGATTACGATATTTCTCGCCATTCACACAATATATATTGAGGCACAAACGGGTTTACAATAGACAATGTTCTCCAATCTTACGCAACAACATAGTAATTAGGAAACTAAGTACATAAATGTCAGACACATAGAAACGTAACTAACAGATTAATTAATTAAGAATTTAAACATTGAAATGAGTACGATGAACATGAATCTCTATCTTTTTTCAAGAAGTGTCTTCTGTTTTTGTCATCCTCTCAAAGCATGGCATCATATGCGACTGGAATCAAGTGCAGACTATGGTATCTTCTAAGTCCAACACCAGCACGCTCGGTCATGTCAAAATTCTCATGGGTAATTCCACTGGGGAGTTTCCAATTGAAATGATATAGCAGATTTGTCAACATCAGTTTCACGGTAGCTAATCCAAATGACATTCCGGGACACATCCTCCTTCCGAAACCGAAAGGGATGAATTCCAAATTATTTCCCTTAGAATCGTTTGGACGGTCGAGGAACCTTTCCGGAATGAATTTATCAGCTTCCTTCCAAGCACGGGGATCTCGCCCGATGGCCCAGGCATTAACGATGACTTTAGTTTGGGAAGGGATCTCGTAGCCAAGGATCTCCACCCTCTCCCGGGCTTCTCTGGGGAGAAGTAAAGGAAGCGGAGGGTGCAATCTTAAACTCTCTTGAATAACTAAATCCAAATAAGTAAGACTACCAACATCCTCCTCGCCGACGTTCACTCTGCCGCGAAACGTTCGTCTCACCTCGTCTTGTGCTTTCCGCATCACGCTTGGATGTCTCATCAATTCCGACATGATCCACTCCAGTGTTGTTGAGCCGGTTTCGATACCACCAATAAATATGTCCTAATTAAGAACAACAACAACGATAAACAAATCTAATTAGGAAATTGAATTCTAGCAAAAACCAAAAGAGGTATAGACGAGACACTTACCAAAATGACCGCTTTGATGGCTTCGGTGGTCAATGGGAAATTCAATTCATGACTTCCATCGTCCTGAAGATTAAGCAGAATATCCACAAGATCCTCGGAATAACAATTACGATCGGATGCAGCCTCGGAACCGGCACAAATGTTCCGGCGTCGGGCTTTGTGTTCGTTAATGATGGCCTCAAGCATCCCGTCCGCCGCTAAATGCAACTTGGTAAGGCACGATCGATACCCGGTCAACGCCGGAAGGAACTTAACAGAAGGGAACAGATTCGATACCGCGAAACCGCTCGAAACCCGGGAAATGATCTCCGTGAACTTCGCTTCCGTATCACTCGCCGCCATCCCGAACGCCGCCCTGAAGACAAGGCTGCTCGTCGACGACCGCAAAAGCTTGCCGACGTCTACACAGCCGGCGCCGGCGCTGACGACGGCGGCGACGAGCTTGGCGGCTTCGGATTCCCTGACGGGGCGGAAAGAGAGGACTCTCTTGGAGCTCAGCAGCTCGACCACGCAGATCTTGCGTAGCTGCCGCCAGTGGGAGCCGTAAGGCGCCAGGCCGATGTCCTTGGCGCCGTAGAATACGACGTCGGAGAGCAGGAGCCGCGGCCGCGTCGCGAAGCTCGGGTCGTGGGCTTTCATCACCTCGCCGGCGGCTTCCGGGCTCGAAATCACGATGTAGGGGAGCTCGCCGAGCTGGAGGCCCATGACGTGTGGGCCGTGTTTGTGGGCCAGATCGCGCAGCCCGCGGTGGGGAAGCTTGCCGATAAGCTGGTGGAGGTTTCCAATCACCGGCAGCTTCCGTGGGCCCGGTGGTAATTTCCTCGGCAAGTGGGATCTGCTGGTTGCGGCTGCTGGTTTGTTTCGGAGTAGTAATAATATGATTAGTGCAGTAATCATTGTGGTTGAGGCGATGGCGGAGAAATAATCCAGCAGTAGAGCCATTGATGATGGGAAATCAATGGATCTGTGGTGTAAGTCGATGGCAGGGTTCTAAATTATAGAGATGGTCTGCTAGCTGTACGTAATCACCTAATATAATTAGAACGTCATGAATCAATTTGTGTACTAGTTTATATATGTTTTTATCTATAATTAGAACATCATGAATCGCGATATTGGACATTCCAGCCCTATTATTTTTGCATCAGCTAATGTAATTCTTTAATGGATTATAGTAACTATAACTACCAATTCATAGGAGCAGGTTCCTTATTCGGGAAGGGTTAGGAGTGGTTGTTATAGAGAGGTCAACGCATTCTCTTGTGTATAATATTCATTGTATAATGTTCTTGTTAGTTAAGAAGTTTTGTACTGGTATTAGCCACCAAACTAGTGTATAATAATGCATATGATGAAAATGATTACTTTTCATAACTGGGATTAGCAGAGCTCACATGGAGACAAGACAACAAGACCCGCCCAAATGCAAGGGGGTAGCTGACAAATTAGCTTAGTCATAGGCCTGGTAATCAGTCGATATCGGTTATACCGGTCCTCGAATTATCGGTTATCGATATTACCGATATGCCCATTGCAACTTCTGGCTACTGGTATCGAGTAATTGGCGGTTAACCGGCTTGCCAGTAACGGTTACCGTTCTCGGTTATCCGAAAACCGGTAATGCATTCCTCTTTCTCCGTCTTCATCTTCTTTCCCATCCGACCCACTCTCTGCAGAGCACGGAGAACAGAAGCAGCAGGCGACTGGGACACTTCCGAGGCAAAGCACCATCTTCGGCGTGCGACGACCCTCTATCTCCCGCATGCAGTCATCCGCAGAATCTCCAAATCCACCGTCGGAGGTTGGGATCGAACTCGGGAATGAAGGTAGAAACTTTGAATCTCCCGAATGCAGTCATCCGCTGAATCTCCATTTACGACGGCGGATCTAATTTCAACAAATCGCGTGGAGCGCCTCTCCATTACGGTGGCAACAAATTGTGGGTTAGGGGAGATATGGAGATTGAATTCGGTTTGAGGCTGAGAAGGGAAAATCTAGAAGGGAGTGAGGGTGATTAGAGAGAAGGGAAGCTGTTGTAGCAAGGGTGGGGATTGGGAAGGGGTTGGCAGAGATATGTTATCAGTATGTCGGTATAATCGGCTAACCGTTGGTTATTAATCGGGTTGTATCAGGTATACCGATCCCCAAATTTCTTCTAACGCGTACCGATATCGTTGGTTATTGTATAACCGGAAAACCGATTCCCACCCCTACTTAGATTCAGTCGAGAAGTACTACATAATACAAAGTCAAGAGTCCAAGATTTTTTTGAAGCAATGTTTAGAAAACCGTACTGAAGATTATAAAAAAAGAGTGAGTGGAAGATTATTTTGTACTAAAACCCTGATTTAATCGTGATTGGACCGTTTTCTACCGGTAAAACTACGTACAATAGGGTTTCCTAAACCTTTGATTTGAAGTAATAAGTGTGTGCTTTTGCCACTACTTGTTCTATATTTCTGAAAATTGAGATTGACGACTTGGATGTTGATCGAAACATGGCGATGCACATCACATCATCTTCATTATATGCCACTATGTTTCTTATGCAGTCGAACATAAACCATTGTGCTAGATTGTGATTGGGCAGGAAGGATATGGCGCCCTAGTTTCCTAGCCAAGTTTTTCTCTATGGGGGAAGGAAAAAGATGCGAGGAATGGTTATGTGAACTTATAGACAGTACAAGTGAAGAGGAGCTTCCTCAAGTTCTGATTATCCTATGGTTTCTATGGAAGGAGCGTAACAATCACATGTTCAACAATCATAAACTAGAGGAATGAGAGATAGCAAAAAGAGCACAGGATTACCTGGAAGAGTACCAACGAGAACACGACAGGGGACAGGGAAGAGAAATCCCGCGACCGTGATACATATGGGAACCACCACCGTAGGGTTTCTTCAAGGTTCACACTGATGTTGCATGTCTGCCTGAGGGAGGAACGAGGTACGACCTCGTCATAAGGTATGAGCAGGGGGATTTCCACATGCGGGGCTCACCGGACCCGAACGACTTGGTCACCGGAGATGGCGGAAGCACAAGCGATGATGTGGGGTTTGAAACTGGCAATGTCGAATCATTTCGACCCGATGCTGATGGAGAGTGACTTTCAATCTCCAATTCAGAAGCTGGAGAGACCGGACACTACGAATTTGGAAATCCAGGGCATTTGTGAAGAAATCTGTGACTGGGCAAGAAGAAGAGGAGGTATTGAATTGCGTTTTTTTTGGAAGAAAGGGGAATGAAAGAGCCCATGTCATGGCCGGAACGAAATGTCGATGGGAGGATACAGAAGCCTAGCTATCTCGGCCTCTTGTCTTTTTAGTACCTCAACTTTTGCAAGATCTGTAACACCTGAAGTTTGATTTTAATAATATACAGGCGAATTGTCAAAAAAAGTGCAGTGGTATCGGAATATTTCTCCCGATGAAAAGCGAATAGAACTCTAAATTAAGTAAATTTTTTTATTTATGGAAAGATGAAAAGCGTGTAGGGTGTATTCCAAACATACTACATATACCATAAGTGTATTACTTATATATATACTAGGATTCAGCCCGCGCTCTGCTGCGGGATACTATTTCTGTCATAATTTAAATGGGATTTAATATAATCTATAACCATAACTGTTATGTCCCAAACATAGACATAAATGTTGTCATTGTCATAAACATAAAAACTGCGGTCATTATGCAAAAGATTGACTGGGTTTGCAGAATAAACATGAATGTAGTTAGGAGTGTAACCAAGTCTCCACGATATATCTACTAAACTAATAAAAGTTCCATGGCGGAGACTGAAGATTTGGAAAACAGTAGGACAAAATGCTTTCAGAAGTTTTGTGCCTTTGTTGTTTGCACGATATCAAAATGGCAAGCTTCGAAGGACAACATCATTTCTCGAATGCTGATCGGTCCCACAGGGTGAGCACTGTCGCTCTCGGATGCATGTCTGAATCACTGTCCCCCACTTTTTTCCATGCGACATTCAACTCCGCAGCATATTTTTTGTTACAATTCTTTGCGATCAATTCGATGATTTCGTCCTTCTTCAGAAACTGATAATCAGATGGTGACTTACGAATAAGTGACAAAGCTGCTTCATGCTTAAACACCACATCTATTTCAGATCCTCCTTGGCGACATTTCCCTTCCAGTTTGTATGTCAGTCTTGCAATAAAGTTTTTTTTGTTAGGTTATACAAAGAGTATTATTATGCCTTGTGTAAACATGGGAGAATGGTCAGAAGCTTACCCTGTGTTCTCTCCACGAACTTTGCAGATGCTTTTTCTGTATATAAACCTTGGAATGTTAATCAATGTCATGTAAGTAACCTGTTGCAAAAAATGTCAGATGTATTATACAGGTAAACAGATGGAAATGAACAGCTGTTGTTAATGTTGGTGTTTGTTCGTTTACCTCTGTGAAATCTGACAGGTCCTCCATCCTTTCTTTTATCTCTCTCAGCGATTTCTTTTGCAGTTGATTGCTCAGCAGGTGTCCAGTTTTTTTGCAAGTGGCATCATCGATGAAGTATACTGGTTTGCGACATGCAAGAAAGCTAGACGTTGAAAATAAATGTGTAAGTATCACTAACTCGATAGGAGTTGAACCAATCAGTTGGGTAAACCAATATACAGCAACTCACATGTTCATGACATCCTTGCAGCAGTCCTGATAAGAATGGATGATGAGCTTGCTTGCAATTGTGGATTGAAATTCATGCTGATACTTACTGTTATGTCTAGGGGTTACTCTACTAACTGATCTGATTGTCACAATCAGTGGTAACTTTGACTCAATTGCTGGAGCATTCTTTTGAAAATCATCAATGTCATGCCCACTGTATTCAACATAAGCCTTTGCCCCACTGATTGCAAACCAATGCGTTAACTATACATTTTGACAAAGTAAAAAAAAGTGTACAATCTTAAGTGCATACCAGACATCTTGTATGAGCAGGTCTAATTTCTGAATCCTTCCTTTAATTGTTTCTGGATGAGTTAGTCTTCTAACACATCCTGTAACATCTATAGATTTCATGTTTGTTATGCTTTGTTTAATGGTGTTCTTAATCATGGATAGAGAGACATATATTTACCTGAATGGCAGACAAAGTCCTCTGATAGTTGAGGCACAATGGAAAAATCGGCTGCTGTGTATGATCCTGCTGGGAATTGTTGGGGTCCATTTCCTTCTTCAATGTGTCTCCTAATTTGATCTGAAGTGAGGAGCAGGCGTAACTCTCGATGGACAACGCGTTGCACTGACCTTGCTGGACCTGCTACAATATCTTGTAGTTCATGCAGGCAACCAACCTTTATTTTCTGAAAAACCTCAGATGCATCTTCTTCTTCAACTTGTGCTTCGATCAATTTGTTCTTCAACTTGTGCTTCGAGTTTTTGTTCTTTTAGCATTTGGCAGTAGGTTAATTGATGTCCAGGGTTTGTATATTGGCAAGTTCTTTTGTCCTAACACTGAATCAAATGCTCTGACGAATATTTATGAATATGGTTTGGGTATCTGGAGTCATACCTTTTTGTCAAGCCAGAGCATGTGATGTGTCCTTTTCTTCCATGTGGATAAAGGCACTTCTCGGAACTCAGTCCATGTAACGACATGTCTTGCTATAACGGTTCGATTGTTTGTTCCCAAACGCAGTCCCCGAAAGCACATGCTTGATTCAATAGACTCTGCAATCCGATTAAAGAGGAATCGATAAATAATAAATGGGAAAAACTTGCATAGGAATCGAGATGCGCTTGTCAGATTTCTTTCCAGATTCAATGTATTTACCTTTCAGTTCGTTCGGGTCCATTTTGTGTGGGTCCACGGAATCTCACGTATCAGTCGTACTATACAACTGTAAATCTGTTGGGTAGAAGAATGCTTGCAGTTCTTCGAGATCTTGGTTTCCCTTTTTTGTCTTTAATCTTGACTGCGCGGTTGATTTTAGAAGGCATAAAAAACAATCGGTAGTTTATGTAAGCTAGGGTTAACTTAGGGTAAGTCCTTTTTGGATCGATTGTTTGGGCCTTGACATCGTGTTTGGGCTCTGTATGGTATGCAATGGGTTCTAACTATTGAATCGGGCCTTTTCTCGAAAAGGCTACAATACGCTCCTGCGATGAATGTCTGTCAAGTTGTATCAGTTGGGCTCATCGATTTTCTTAATAAGTTCTCTCTGGATAGTCCGAACCGATGTTAACTGATCATAACTCATGACTGCTTTCAAGCTTTGAGTTTCGAAATAATAAACACAAAACGTGTCTCTTGTTAAGAACAACGCAAGAACTGAAAGAACAAATTTCCCCAGGCGTAAAATTCAAAAAGTTGGGAGAGTTAATAATAATCACTTCGAGCTTCTTCGATGCTTTCAAAATTAACCAGGTGCAATATCTGTGAAGGCTTCTGAATATACAATGTTTCTCGTGTAATTGGCTGGAATGTCCTCTTCATTTTCAATCAAGAATCTCAAACCACTTGCAGATCTTACTCTTGATGCTGCCACATAAAGCTGTCCATGACTGAATACTGGTTTGGGCAAATAGACTCCAACCTTGTCCAGCGTCTGACCTTGGCTCTTATTTATAGTCATCCCATAACATAACCGTACTGGGAATTGCCTCCTCTTCAGTATAAAGGGCCAACGTATGTCTTCTACGTTGAGTACTATTCGTGGTATAACAACCTCTTTTGTGTCAAAAGATCCTCCCATGATGTTTCCAACAATGATATTTTCCCCCAATTTCGTAATCAATATCCTCGTACCGTTACACAGGCCGTTTGGTGGACTCAAATTTCTCAGCAACATGATCGGAGTGTGAACCTTAAGTCTTATTTCATGATCTGGAACACCATTGAACTGAAGAGCATTCAAAAATTCTGTTGGGTAAGTTTCAGCAAATAGTTGAGGTACCTCTGTATCAAGTTGCATAGAGTCTGATAGCCAGCGCTCCGCGGCGGGACTTGTTTTCATATGTGGAATATATGGTGATTAAATAGCAGGTTGGAGTTTAGCTCAAGTCTATAAACACTTCCATTGTATTGGTAGAGGCTTTTCCTTAGAATTTAATTTAGTATGGGAGACAACTTTTATAGCCGTCAACCTCCGTAAAAGCATTGTAATCTCATAAACTCAGCTGTATTTAATCAGTTGGTATTTAGCATTATCAAAGATACTAAAGGTCTAAAGCTTACATCCTGGAACACCCAATTCTGATTGGGATTGGGTGCATAAACACAGAAACAACAAAACTTGGTGTTCGACTTTGCATTTCACTAATGACAGATTACAAAATACTTAAAACACCCTTAGAAAATTGCACAACCTCAAGAACCATCAAATGCTAATGAGCAAAGAGGATTCTATGAGCAAACTACAGAATCCAAAAAATGAGAATGGCAGGGAAAAGAACATTATCTTAAGTCCCAAACAGAAGCTCGCCAACACCAGACTTGGTAGGCATTGCAATATCATTTGAGTATCAAAGAGAGCAGAGTCAATGAGATTGGGGAAATAACCTTTGTTGTATATGAGGTCAACATAAACCTCCTGAAACAAAAGATACAAAAAGAAATTGTTGTTAACTCCAAATCATTGAGGAATCTGACATTTATATATTAGAAGTAAAAACACGATCAATTAATGACGCACTCCAAGAGATTGTGAGCTAACCAAATCTTCTTGTGTCTATAAAACCAGCTTGAAAAGAGCAAAGTCAAATCCAGAACCGCCAAAATCAATCAAAAGCCGAGATTCAAGAAAGTTGGGCGAACCCATTAAAGCTAAAATTCACATATGCCCCCTAATCACCTTGCTCAAATCTAATTCTTGTGACATGGACGATGAATTGTAACCCATAACCAACCAAAGAACAATTGAAAACAGAAAGCGACTCTCTTAGGAAAGAGATTGACAAACTGAGGAAGCTAAGGAAACATAAGCACTGAAAGGTTGAGTTCATGGGCAATGAATCGGCTCATCGATTAATTTTCACCCTCAACAACACAGGGAAATCCTTAACTGCTCCCACATAAAGAAGAAAATGAATCCATAAGATGAATGAAAGAAAGAGAAAATCGTCAAGTAAGATAACTGAGAAAAAAAACTCGGTAAGAGCAATGATTACCTCAAATAAGCTCAAGTCTGTGGATCTGCCTCTTCTGTGATCACTCTCTGTGCCTCTCAAATCTATTGAGCAACCTAGAGCTCTACTCCTTATTGTGTGGCTGAAAGAAAAAAAATAGGACAAAACACAGAACCTTCAATTTCAATCTAGAGTGAGAAAGAAAGATGCAGAGAGAGAATGAAGAACCACCTGAAACCAGAACGGAACTTGTAGATTAGGGTCTCCAACTGAATCCTCTATTTACAACTTTGGGAGGTTCTAGAACTTGACGTTGAGGGCCTCATAGACAAAATACACTGCACAAAAAGTTCGAATCATAAAATATCGACAAATAAAAATAAAGAAACTGATATGGCTGGGGAATGAGAAAAGAGATTTCCATCGATTGGCGATTGGAGAATGTAGAAAGATCATAGTTATCGAAAGGTAACAATAGAATCTGCATGGAAGGCAAGGCTTCGCCAATAACAGAAACGCAAAAATACATAAAAGGGGATTAAGAAGCAAACCTCGCACGAATTCCACGACTCTTTCTGCAACTCCAAACCTCTGGTGTTGCCCACACCATCCTTAACAACTGCATATCGATCAACTCCCCACAGTTTGCCTCATCTTGAGGAATCTCAGCTGAAAAGTAATCAAAATAAACCCTTACTGTGAAGGAACCCATGAAAAAAATGACCAAAATCATGAACGACAGAAAGATGGAAGAAGCCAGAATATTACCCGAGTATCTGGGCATTCTTTAATTCTTCTTTCTCGTCCTCTCAAATCCACCATTTGATCGCTTCGAGATCGTCTCATCTTCCAAACTGAGATGTGAGAAACCATTGCAGATAAAGAAAGGTTGGATAGAAAGAGAGGGAAAAAAGTGAGAGAGAAAGAGAGGGGAACGGGCATTGCATCCGCCAGAACAAATTTACGGGAATGAAAGAAATAAGGAGAGGCCGATAAGACCACCACCACCACCTAAAACAGCGTGAGAATCTATCCCCTTTCTACCTCTCTATGAGGATGCACAGCTTCCCAAGAACCCCTTTAGAACACGAAAAGGCAAGGGAAAAATTAAATGCATAATATTGGATGCATTTAGTCTCCATTAGCAAATAGCAACCCTTCCTTTCCTTTCAGTCTTTGAAACGAAAGCAATCAATCAAAAACTGGTCTCCATCAGCAGGCCTCCGTCCCTCTTCCACTCTCCGCATTCTGACATGCAATCGAATCACTCAGAAAGCACCATATGGAGGAAAGTCTCCCAGTGACCAACGCGAGTGGAACTGAGTTTCAATTTGCAGCAACTTTTCCCCCCTTCTCTCAGCATCCTCCAATCCAGTCAAACTACTCATTACTGTTTCCGTGAATGGCCCACAATTCATTCATGGGTCTGTATCACCACAGAGAAACAAAGACAACCAGCCACTTCCTGCTTCTCTGACTCCGCACAGTAAACTATCAGGTGAATAGGAAAATTAAGTCTAAATGAATAGGAAAAACAGTCTGGATGTGCAGAGCTCAGTCACTTCAGTACTTTCCCCAAAACCCTCCAGCCTCTCTAAGCCTATCTCTGCATCGAACAACGCGAGCCCACAATATCTCTCTGTGTCCTGCAGAGCTCAGTCACTTCAGTACTTTCCCCAAAACCCTCCAGCCTCTCTAAGCCTCTCTCTGCATCGAACAACGCGAGCCCATCCCTCTCAATATATCTCTGTGTATCTGAAGAATCCTTTTGTCTCTCGAACGACTCATTTCTCCACTGAGCAGAACACCCAGAGCAACTGATTAAGCCTCGATCGGCGTGCCCGCTCGGGCCAAAGTAAAATATCGATCTCTGATGACCAACACGCGTCCGGGCCACCAAACGACCCCAACTAAGGCCAACCAGAAGGCAACGACCAGTCCCACCCCGACCGAGCCCCCAAACTCCGTCAGATCCCAATGAGGCCTCACCCAACAACAGCCCACACGCCAGCCCACGCCAGTTTGAAACAGTAATTCTCAGTCACGTTGTACAGTAAAAGGTGTCTGCATGTACAGTACCAGGGGCTGCGGTGGGTTTCTTTCTTTCAATATATATTCCTAATTGATAACTTGGTGTTCCCGTAAAGCAAAAGTTAAATAAATAAAACTCGTTAGCTCACCAACCTCCATAGGCGTGGTCATCAGAATTACCCTCAGGGTCGTTTGGATAGGTTATTTGCTTGCGTTATTTGGTCCAAATAACTCATATTGGGTTATTTGATTCAAAATAACTTGTCTGGGTATGCAAAAGTGTAATTGGTTATTTGGCATTGAGTTATTTACGAATAACTCAAAAATGAGTTATTGTAAATAACACCTATCCAGCAGTTATTTGATAATAACGCGTTCTGCGTCATTTCCCTTCCAACTTTGCTCCTTTCTCTTTCTTCCTTTTCAGTTCTTCCCCTCTCTCTCAAACGACTTCCATCTTCTCTCTGCTTCTCCTCTCTTCTATGTTATATAATCTCTTGCAGTCGATTAACCTCCCCTTCTCCAATAGATAATCTAACTATCTTCTCCACATTTTTGTTAATTCAATGACACCCATAATCCCCTCTCTTGTTGACGATTCAACAGAACCCCAAACCCTCACTGTTGACTACTGTATATAGTATGTGCGATGGAGAGCGAGGACGAGGTAGGCGAAGGTTTCTAGCGACAGTCGTGGTTGGAATCATTGTCGGCGACGGAGGTTTCGAGCGACAGTTCGTAGGCGGCGAGAATCAAGCATCTTTGGAGTTGGTTGCGAGTACTATTGTCCAAGCTAGGTTTTGATTTGGGACTGCATGCAGAGCTTGGGGCAGATTGACGAATTGAGAAGAGAAGAGAAGGTGCCCTTTTTGTTTGGCAGCAGGGGCAGATTGACGAATTTGGATTTGGCCTCCGTTCGTAGTAAGCATCCCTAATTGATTTTTTCTGTATTTATTTGTCAATTAAGTGGCTTTGGACACGTCTTTAACAAGAATAGAGAGGCTAAATTCTCGTTGGTGGGAATCTTTGGATTCGTGGGTTCTGATTTTCCTTATTCTAGGCTCAATTGAATAAGAACAGAGAAGTGGAGGATGAGAAGAATTCGATGCAAGGGAGGATGGGTGGTGGTTTCTGGTGTTTTCGTTGTTCTAATGGTTTGCTATGAATGAACGAATAAATGGGGTCAAGGTACATTTCTCGAAATGAATGAAAGCTATGGGAGAGTAGATGGTGCCCTCAATTGAGGGCAATATTGTTATTTAGCATCTTTTATAATCAAATACCATATCTAAATATTGGTTTAGCCAAACAAGATTATTTATCCCAACTTTCATAAAAATACCACACAAATACCACATCAACTACAAATACGTTATTTCACCTTACAAATACCAAAAAACAAACAATTCATCCAAACGACCCCGTTGGCTTGAAAAAACACTGCCAACCTTCCGTCTTGCCCTATATTTTTCTTCTCTCTTGCTCAAAACTCTTTCGTCTTCCCCTTCAATAAATAGGGTAGTCCCCTAATAAAGCTTGCCCCACGTTAACAAAAGAACTGTAACATTACACTCAACTCTTAACATAGTGGTGACTAAAGCCCAAAAAAGGGAGAGACCACACAAAAGCAAAAGCCATTAAAGCACAACCAAAGCAAAAGCAAAAGTTGGACCAAGAACAGAGTATGGAATAATAAACATCACTTCTTCATACTTTGCTCATCACTCACTCTACTTACTACCAACCCAACAAACACAAAATCAAACCTCAAAAACTCCCAAACCAATCCCCCCACTCCCAACTCTCCACTTCCCTTTCCACAAAACAATGGCCATTCATTTCCACTGGTCACTACACCTCTACCCCATCCTAATCTCACTCCTAACCATCCCCGCCGCCGCCGTCTCCGCCACCGCCCGCTGCCGGACCACCTGTGGCACGATCCCAATCCGCTACCCGTTCGGCATCGACGACGGCTGCGGCAGCCCCTACTACCGCCGCCTCCTCCTCTGCTCCTTCAACACCCTCCACCTCCGAACCCCCTCGGGCACCTACCAAATCAAATCCGTATCCTACACGGACTCCCCGCACCTAATCCTCACGGACCCATCCATGTGGGCCTGCAGCGACGGGCCCAACTTCCGGCCCACCAGACCCTTCAGCCTAGACTCCAGCACCCGCCTCACCCTCTCCCGCCACAACGACTACCTCTTCTTCAACTGCAGCCCGGCCCGCGTCATCATGGAGCCCAAGCCCGTGTTCTGCGAGCGCTTCCCCGACCGCTGCGACTCCACGTGCGACACCGCGGGGTACCTCTGCCGCCACCTGCCGGGGTGCGCCTACGCGCTGTCGTCACGCGCGGGGGGAGTTTCATGCTGCTCGTATTCCCCCAAGGCGACCGAGTCGCTGAGGCTGATGCTGGAGTATTGTGCCACGTATGCGAGTGTTTATTGGAGGAATAGTGACTCCGGGGCGAGTAATTACTACGGGGAGACGCCGGAGTATGGGGTGCGAGTGGATTTTGATATTCCGGTGACGTCGGGGTGTCTCCGGTGCCAGGATATGAGGAGAGGTGGCGGCGGGACTTGTGGGTTTGATACGGTGTCGCGGGAGTTTCTGTGTCTTTGTAGGCAGGGGAATGTCACTACTTCTTGCGAGCAAGGTAATTAATTAAGATCCATATTACTGAATATTGACCTTATGTTCATGAAAAGTAAAGAATAAAGTTGGCAAGTGTAACGATAAAAAAAATACTCTTTCATCGATAGTTTGGTTGTATATGGACTATCGGGTGTCGTCAATCGATTTTGCAATTTGGTCCTCTTTATGTGCGACTTCCTGATATTGGGCGGGGGAGGGGGGGAAATAGGCCATTTGCGACGTGACTTAACTATATATCTTGACAACATGAATGCTAAGCGTATTTACTCATAAGAAAAAAGTGTCACTATGTAGTCTCTCGTTTATTATTGGTATAATGTCGGTTCATTTGGTCAGTTTGCTAGTCGAGTCGTATTGGCTTGTCATATTTACCGAAATCAGCCAACCAATTTCATGCATTGATCACAGTTGTTTTGGTTATCATTTCGTTACAATTTTTGTGCGATTTTTTGTGTATATTTTACAAGCTACTTGTTTAGTTAGCATTTTGTTACAATTTCTATGCAGGTTGGTAATCGTATTTTACGCATTTAAAATCCTTTATTGCAGATCATGATCAACAAGGTTCTTCTAGGCACAGCAACGCCGGAGTGATCGTCGGGACGGTGGGCGCGGTTTCGGCGGCCGGAGCAGTTGGGATCGGAGCTGGGGTTTGGTATTTCAACAAGATAAGAGCTAAAGCGCCGGTTACTTGTGGAGTTCAGAGCAATGAGAACAGGCTTTTTTGAACCAGAATTAAAGTTGGTTGAGTGGGAATCAAACCTTTTTTTTTTAATTATCCATCACATTTTTTATTGGCTTGTTTTGCTATTACAGTCAAGTTTTGTATATTAAGATGGTTGTAGTATTGTTGCTGCCCATCCTTTTTTAGGACATATAGAATCCACTCTAAAAGAGACTTGTATTGCAAGTAATGATAATATTCTCATCAGTCATCACTACCCAAGAATGAAGAAAGCTAAAGTAATCTACATTATGGTTAAGAGTGCAACCACTCATTGTTGGGGCCAAAGCCCAAATGTAAAGTTGATATCACATTATGCCTTGGAGAAAGCAATGATCTAATAAGTCATTTCTATGGTGGCTGACTATGTAAGGGCATTTGGTTCTTCAATCAAATAATCTATAAGGATAAGATAAATTGATTTGGTTCTTTTATAGTCTATATAACCTAAAATCATTTTCATGTTATGACGGAGTGAGTAATCGACAAAATGGGGGGGGGGGGGGACTAGTACATATGAATAATTATGATGCACTAATACAAAGTGTGCTAAATGCAAATATACTGATATACAGGTCGTCTGGTTTTGATGATAGTTTAGGTGAAATTGTTACAATATTTGCATTGTCAATAATGCATCATTTTTCTGTTTGTTTTCTTCCACAATGCATTCACTGTTCCGTTGGTGTGATGGAAAGGGATCACTCAAAATGAGTGATATTAAATATCTCATGTAAAATTTGAGATTGTTGAGATAGTTTATTGGGATAGTTTGATTTTGCTTTTGTTCCAATTATATTCCTATACCCATGATACCCTTGAAATTTATCATCTAATCCGCTCTCACTTTTTTCTCGGGAACACCATGCTCAGTTCCCTTCCCTCCACTTTTTTCGTGGATGTCTCCACCACCCGCCCAATTTAACACCCATCGCCTTCAAAATTTCATAATCGGTCTAGCCTCCTCTGTCCCGTCATCGGTCTAACATCTGTAATTTCTGTATCTTCAAGTAGAATACATGTGTCTATATCCCTTGCTTAATGAGGGGTGTTCATCAATTGTGTGTTATAGCTTTTGCATTCAATTTTGCTCTTATTGATAACTTATAAAAACAAGGTCTTTGGTTTTGGTGATTGTTTGGTTGAGGTAGTTACAATACATGTATTTTCCACAATGCATCATTTTTCTGAAATTTCTACACAAACAATACATGCATTGTTTGCTTGATGTGACACAAATTATCACTCAAAATGAGTGATAGTTAAATCTCAAATTTTGGGTGAGATTGTTGAGATTGTTTGATTGAGATTGTTGTGTATTTTTTTCTTCCAATTTTGTCCCTAACTTTTTATGCGTCTTGCTTTTTTATATTGCAAACTAAGGGTAAAAGTGATATTTCACCCAAAAAGTAAGATAACTTATTTAAATAACACAATAACTATCACATAAACCAAACAATGCAAACTACAATACACCAATTTTCTTATATACATGTATATTATTATGCATACATTGATGACAATGCATCTATTTAACTATCACCAAAACCAAACGAAATATAAGTTTTTGAATGCTAAAAGTGATATTTCATGCTAAAAAGAAATATAAGTTTTTGAATGCTAAAATAACTATCACCAAAACCAAACAAGATAAACTACATTACACAATTACATCATTTTCCTTATTTGCATGTATATTACAATGCATTGATCACTGATTTAAGTATCAACAAAACCAAACTAACCCTTAATACAATAAAAAAATCAGTAAAAAAATACAATAAAACAAGTCTCAGGCCCACTCCAAATCCCGCGCTTCGGGCGAATACCCACAACGGCCCAGCCCAAATTGCTGAACATTCTGCGGCCCAGCTTGAAGGCGGAACCGTCTCCGCGAGTTTGAGTCAGTCTCATTGTCTCGGTGAGTGAGGGGAAAGGTCAAAAACGGATATTCCAGTTTTCAATCCTCTATTCTATTCCCAAAACGCGATTCAGGTGGAGGGAAACGTCAACTTGACGGCGAAGCAAAATTCGGTCCCATTTGTCTCTCTTCGCGGTATCCCTGCGCTGGGAGATCGATTCGATATACTCTTTCCGCCTTCCTATCTTCCCGTCGCCGACACCGATTCCGCCGCCGGCTTCGAAAAATCCAGGTGAAAACTCGCAGATCTAGTGCTCTTTTTACCCCTCTCGGAACCCCCTAAAATGGCTGCCCACGTACATATACCAATTAATTTCTTTCTTCCTTTTATTTTCTTTTAGTTGCAGAGAGAAGCGCCGGCAGAGCGACTTGGTAAGCTCTCTGAATTCCTCTGTGGTAATGCGTTTCCCGTGATTGATTTTCGTTCTGATTGCTTTCCCATCGAATGTACGGGCCCTTTTGAACGATCTCCTAATGGTTGTTGTGATCGCACTCTCCCAACTCTTCTCTTCCTCCCTTCTCCAGTTTCTTCGTCGGGTTTGTGATAATTCCGCAATCTAAGGTGTACGGTTTGGATAAAAGTTAATAATTTCGACCTGGGTATTCGCTTCACTGCTGGTACATGTTGGTACATAAGTCTTGGGCTGGGGTGTGCTTTGGATTCTTTGACATTGAATGCTTGTATTTGTCGGTTAGGTGCAGGTTCTGTATCTGGTTAAGTGTGTGTGTGTTTGATGTGCACAATAACATAATAGAAGAAAGCCGAGAAATTTCTGATTCTGCTTATGGGTTTTGGATCACATTTGCTATGGGGCACAGCGTGTATTTGTTTGTTCGCACAACATTTTGTTGCTGAATTGATGGATTGGCATTTTTGTTGGAGCAGATGCTTGCCTATTGCTCGGGATTGTAGGTAAATTTTTCAGAGGGTTGTTCTGTAAAGGGATATCTGTGGTTCTTCATCTTAAAGGGTACCGGTGATCCGCCAAGAGACGTTTACAGAGAAATGGCATCCACAGATGGCCTTGTGCCCATCACCAGGAAATTTTTGGCTTCTTATTACGACAAATACCCTTTCCCCCCATTATCTGATGATGTCTCTCGTCTGTGTTCGGAGATTCGCTCTATCATCCCTGATTTACTCAAGGAATCTCCACCTTCTTCAGGTTTTTTCATGTCTCCCTTTATCTGGAATTTACATGGACGATGCTTGGTTTTTCATTTGTTATGATGGTGATTTCTGCTTTGAGGTGCTCTCTAGATAAAATTATTTGACTTCACTGCAGAAGAGAGTTCATTGGTAGATGAAGCGGGTTGTCAGCCTCCTCGCAAAGTTGATGAGAATATGTGGAAGAATCGTGAACAACTGGAAGAAATTCTGTTCTTACTTGAGAAATCACGTTGGCCTCGTGCAGTATATATTCATTCCTCTTTTTCCTTACCACCTTCACAATAGTTTGCTTGCCTAGGTTTTTATATTTTATCGTTTCATGAAATAATATTAATGTTTTCACATTTTGGTCCGACAGCTTCAACAGCCCTCAACTTCCGATGACCGTGAACTTGCTATTGCATTTGTCAGCATTCATGACAAAGTTCAGAAGACTTTGAAGATGTTGGAGGCTTTCCAATCTAAGAATTCTGAACGTGTATTGAATATAGGTTAGCTCCTTATTCTCCATTTTTCCGCATCTTTTTAAACTTCTGTATCATTGTTGGAAATGTTATATTTATCTTCAGTTACTAGACACTTTATTTTCAAAATTCATGCTGTTTGACTAACCATTCATCATTGTGATTCCAGTGATGACATACCTACCTCAGGATTTTCGAGCGACACTTATTCTACAGCAAAGGGAGCGGTCAGAGAGGAATAAGAAAGCAGCCGTTGATGCGTTGGTTAGTTCAGGAGGAACCATACGTGAAAAATATGCTCTGCTTTGGCAACAACAAGTGGATAGGAGGCGGCAGTTGGCTCAGCTTGGTTCTGCTACTGGTGTATACAAAACTCTTGTGAAGTATTTGGTCGGAGTTCCAGAGGTACTAAGTCTAATGACATCTGTATCCCAAATTTGCATTGACCATGTCGATTAGCATTTCTGTTCTTTCCATTGGGTCATTTTGGACCCCTCAAAGCACACAGAGCTGAATGAGTTGATTGCTTTTATAATTCAATTTTGTCCGTCCAAGCCCTTATTCAGTGTTTTTAGTTACTGTTGAAATACTTTTTGAGCCCTTCGTGCACATGAGAATCTGATTCCTGCCTTACGTTTTCCCTTTTCTGTCTTGATTTCAGGTTTTACTAGATTTTGTTCGGCAGATAAATGATGATGATGGGTATGTTTGTTTTCTTTTTGGTATAGTTATTTGACCTACCAAAAATAAAGACCCTGAAGGTACCTGCTTGATGATAAAGCTCAATCTGTTTGTAGGCCAATGGAAGAGCAAAGACACCGATATGGACCCCCTTTATACAGCCTGACAACTATGATTCTTCTAGTTCGAGTTTTTGTTTTGCTGTCATGTAGGAGATTTGATGCTGGCCTAGTGTAAGTTTGGACCGTATTTTACATTCAACATCACATTTCTTGTTGTGTTTGAACTCTTCTTTGACCATCCTTCTACTTGGTGTTGCTCTGTTTGTCTGAGCAGAAAGAGACATCATATCACTGTATTGGAACAAGCTGTTGATGTCTACTCCAATGAGTTTATAAGGTTTATCACCTTCTTGAGGTATTGTTGTTTCCTAGATATCTCTTTGATATTGTTTGTGCTTCTTGTTGTAAGTCTGAAACATAGCATTCCATCTTTGCGATAAACCATCATGTTTATGGTAACAGAGTGTTAACTCAACCAAAAAAAAAAAAAAAAAACAACGTACTGTGTGTGTTGCAGTTGGATATTTCTTGTTAATGTTTCCTTCCTGTATAGTTACTTCTTTATGTAATACTGATTCATAGTTTTGAGTTTGACGAAATGAATGTCTCAATTTGGCGTGGGAATTGCATGGCTGTGTTATTACTCTGTAAACTAATCTGTTCTCGAAGTTCTTATATTGTTTCATATGTCGATTTGTCTCAGTGAGGTCTTAGCAAACTCTCCGTTCCTTATTTCGGCTAAGGATGCTGGTGCTTTGGACGGAAGGTAAGTTTTTTCCTGAAATTGTTATGACACATTAAGGTCTCGTCCTTTACAATTTGGAAGGGGCTGTTTTTTTCCTGCAATATTGTTTCCGATGCAGGAACAATGATGATTTCAAAGAAATCAGTGTTGCAGCTGGGAGTTCTCACGAGGTTAGTTTTCCCTTTGTTCATTAATGTTATATTGTTGCAATCACGAACAGTGTTTCCTGGAATTGATCCCATAGTTACCAAAGGTGCGTTGAGCATTAGACATGCCTCGGTTTCGGATGCCAGGAGCACCTTTGCTGCACCTCTCCCAGTCTGTTGGTGTTTTCTGTTAATCTAGCTGTTATTCTCTCTTATGCTAATTCAGTTGGTATTGCTTCCTATCTTTATGGAGCCTTGCTTAGTGTGAAACTGTGAATACACATGCGGAGTGATAATGTCAAAACTAAACCAAGAACGTCTTACACAATAGTAGTTTATTGATGAGGAAAGGCTAAACAACTCCTGCTTCCCGTAGCCATCTTTGTTGTGTCTTTTGGTTTAATGTCAGTAATCTGCCATGCTTCTTTCACTAGGAACTTGTATTATTTACTTAATTAGTCTCTAGTCTTCTTGCTCTAAACATGTGTTTAAACTTTAAAGGCCTTCATCTGGTTAGAAATTTGTCAAGTGCTTTCTGCTTGTGACCCGTTGGTTCAGATATCTTGCTTATGACAAATAATTATTGGATACTCCAGGTGTATAATCCCGTTCAATTAAAATAACATCTTCCCTCTTCTTTCTCCTTAATTAATAGTTTATTACATATTCTTATGACATAACATTTATTCATCAGAACAGTGTTCACTGCAATGTCTTGCGTGTTTGCTAGGAGATTTGTGTTTTTAGCATATTTGTTGAGTATGTGTTATTACAATATACATATGTTTCAGTGGCTTCTTTTCTAATTGCTGTGTCGTCCCCAGGTTTTGTTGTCAGTGGAATCGATTAACTCCTACATTGCTTGGGATTTCTCACTGATACAGGGCAAGATGAGCTTGGTACAATTCTCATTGGAATTTATCTAAAATATTTGCTTCCTAGTTTTCCTGAATTTTTTAACAGTCAATAATTTGTTGATAACATGCGAAACCTGAATTAGTTAGACTCGCATAATTTCAGTGGTTATTAATTTGTCACTGTTTACTGATCAGGACATTGGGTTCAGTGTGGAGTACATAAATCCTTCAGGCCAAAAGACCGTGAGTAGAACTACTGTGTTGGTGGTCCTGTCATGTTATTATCATCCTTGAAGCTATGAAATGCTTCCTTAGATGTATTTATCTGATTTCTGTTTTACTTGTTTTGCATGTTTGACTGCTGCTCAGCTAATTTTACCCTATAGACGTTGCGAGTCTGACCAAGTGAGTTTTTCAGTATCCTGATTTTAGCCAACCTTTGAATCGCCTCTTGCATTATACCTTTTAAAGAACAGAATGCCTATAGAGAGTTCACCAGTGACCCGTTTGCATACATTGCTGCAGGGGAACTTCTGCACGGTCATGACCGGAGATTACAAACTTGTTTGGGATAACTCCTATTCCAGCTTTTTCAAAAAGGTAAGAAATGAACTGTAAGAGTAACCAAAGGCGGATTCTCGAAACTGGGTTGTTTTGGTATTGATTCCTGCGATCATGTTCTTAGGTCGTAAGGTGTAAGGTGGATTGCATCCCACCGGTTGTCGAGCCTGCTGAATCGAGGAGTGAAGTGGAAGGATAAGTAAATTCTTTTTTTCACCACCAGGACTTTATTGTTTGTGATATTACTTAGAGATATCTTCCCTCTCTCCTTTCGGTTCTGAGAGAAAAGGGTGTTTGATTTGCGGATGGGTTTGTATCTTGCTGGCCCTGCCCCTTATTTCCCCGTAGAGGAAGAACAGTGTGTTGTGTGAGACGTTTGCCTGTAGTTCTTCTCTGTTGTATACTGGATTGTCTCTTGGTTAAATTCACTAGCGTTCAGGCATTGACACACATAACTAATCAGCATTTGGTTTCTTATACTTGCTCTTCTTCTGCACCCGCACGTTGTCTTTACCCTGACCTTACTGAACACTGAAAGATGTAGCACTTCTGCAGCTTGAATGTGACCATAATATCAGGTTTCATTCGACAGACTGCATCAACATTCTTTTCGTTGCCAACATGTTGAATGTGATGATAAGTAATCAACTCTGTTTCCATTTGTTGTTGCTTGCACTGCAAGCTATGTATGGTGCAACTTGAGTCTTACGATATATTTACGACGAATGATGGTGAAGGAATCTTCTGTAATTCATTGTTCAATCAATCAAGAGCCACCCCCACCGCCGCCGGTCCCCATTGCATTGGCACTTATACCACCACCTGCTCCATATCCTCCTATTGAAGCACTGTTACTGCCTCCTCCTCCGCCACCTCCACCTGAAGCTCCGATGCCAGCACCTGCACCAAATCCACTACCATGACCATATCCTCCACCAGAAACACTCTTCCCATTGCCCTTCCCTCCTCCACCACCGACTCCTGCTCCGAATCCACTCCCATGACCTTCTCCTGCTCCACCATTTCCACCACCGCCGCCTCCAAAGAAGCTCCCACAGCTCCGCCAGTTCCGGTAGCAACTCTCAGCTGCACCTTCATCCCTCCATGGCTCTTTATGATCATCACCGCCACCGTTTCCATCGTCCCCCAAGCATGTACAACTCAGAGAACCTGCCAATACAGTTATGATAAGCACGAAGTCAAGAGCATTCTTCATCGAGGGCACAATGATATGGATTCCCACCATTAATTAATTTGTGGAACATATATATGAACAATTTCAAGTAGGGTTATACTATATTGTTTTCATGACCATCTAAGTTAGACCAAATTAAGAGTTATCATACGAGTAATAAGATGACATATATACCACAATTTTGTGTTTGTAGGTTGAGTTATATGTCACCATCATATTAATAAATTTGCATCCATCTGTAAAATTTACTCCACTTCACTTTGTTGCCTATTTTGCTAACAATGTCTCTATATGATTCACAAGTCACAAATTGCACAGCATGTGGTCTGCTGGGGAATATTTGTATTCCAACTGCTCCAACTCAAGTTAAACTTCCCTGAGTGGAAGCCAGTACCGATTTTTATAACATTATAATAATTTGCATGTTGTTTCGTTGATCCTAAATAATCTTACATTTGCTACATAATTAGGGCTCTAGTTGGGATCAAATAATCATTCATTTTGCACATTACATTACATTACATTATATAATGGGAAATAGGAATCGTTGCAGCCTCAATTATCTCTTTTGGTTGCCGAATGAGTGCGGCCGGCTAGCTAGTTGCCTTCCGATTGAGAATGACGACGAAATCAGAATTTAGAGTCAGAGGGTTGTAATTTATTAGAATGAAAGTCGTGTTTCGAATTATCTGGAATCACTCAATTATCTCTTCGAAGTCAAAATTTAAAGTGAGGAGTCTATAAATGAAAACAAAATCATAACAAAACGTTGGAGTTGAAATCGGTTCATAAATGATTATAACATCTCTCAATTCTATTGAAAGCGACCTATTGAAAGCGAAATCGTTTCTTGGATTATCATACTAGTCCTCAATTCTCTCTCTGGGTGTCAAATGAGTGTGGTAGCCAATTACCTTACCTCAGATCACCCAGAAGTTTGAGTGAGGTTAATAATAAAAAAGATAAAAAAATTAAAGCAACCTATTGGAATTGAGACTTCTCAACTCTCATAGCCTATTATCTTATCATATTTTTTTTTCAATTTTATAACCTAAAATAATATATTATAGAGATGCTATAACTCATGCCCAACTACAAAATAAAACCAACCTCTTTAGATTTTCAATTTTTTCTGCACCTAAGAAACACATTTCACAATCCCCCTCCAAAACACATTTTACAAGCTAAGACTTTTTTAGTTTCAGGCTACAGGGTCAGGTGCAGTGAAACATGACTTGAATTGGCGGGCTGATGAGGATTGCAATTGGGCTTGGTCCCAGCCAACGAGCCCAGAGACAGGGCCAACATTGGGCCTTCCTCATCCTTCTCCTCCTTCTCTCCAAGCAAGCTTTCTGGGCCACAATAGTGATGGGCCTTATCACCATGTTCCTCCTGGACACAGCTTGTGGGTTTCAAGATGTCATTGAAGATGATGTAATAATTACGATGGCGTTGATCGTCATCGTCTCTCCTCCCCAATTCCCTGCAACATATAGCACAATTAGGATGTAGCTCCAGGCTAGCCCATAATCATCGATGTAAGTTTTAAGTAATTAAGCAATTAATTACCTCTTGGGAAGCTGGTGATCATGATCATCAGGGCCATAATCCATGTAATTAGTTGACATTGGGGAGCAATATTGATTGTCACGTTGCCCGTTGTACAACCCAAGCTGTGCATTTCTCTTGGCTGCTACTCCCACTGCTTCTCCTGCAATTACCAAACGGAACTAAGTGGTCAAGAAATCCTTGTTGGTATGGTAGATGACATGGTGGGATTAGATGTTAATTACGGTGATTATTTTATGTAATATGATGATTAATAGGGGGATCATGTACATATATGATATATATACCTTGCATTGCCTGCTCATGCTTCATGCTCCTGTACATCTGCCCAAATCCCCAACACAAATACATAATTACCACTTAAACAATGTAATTGGGAACATGATCGCACCGAGAGTGGAGAGACGAAAAAGGTAATTATAACGTTACATATAACTTTTTTGCCCTAAAAAACCGCAACGCTCATGCTCGATTTTGCTTTCGGTTGACTTTACTTTATTTGAGCGAGAATCTAAAACATACGATACTTTTAATGAGTCACTTGAATGCTAGATTATATGGAAAAAAAATAGCTGCAAGTAAATCGAATTAACGATAATTTACATAAAAAATGTATTTATAATGTGCGATATACAACATATAACTTTGATTTTTTTTTTGGCTAGTTGGTGAAATAGTTCGAAATCGCGACATCATGAAACCTTTACTCTTCTCTTCTCCCTATATGCTTTAGTAAATTTCCTTTACCTCCCCAATCAACTCACTAATAGCATTGGTGATTGTGGAAGTTTATAACAGCCACTTTACTCGCTATTGTCGATAACGAAATACATGTATTTTTCTCACGCGTTTCTATCTTAATTTTCTTTTTCGTCCTTCTCCGTTTCGTATATTCCTTAGTTTATCTTCGGACTATTTCGAGAGGGTTTCGTAACGTAATTCACTCAGTTATATAAATAAATAAAGAATCCATAAGATTGAGCAAGCTCGAGTGATTAAAGAAAACCCCAACCTGGAGATGGCTCTTGACGTGGGAGATGGTGAGTCCCTTCACATCCATTATCTGCAGAACCATCTTCGGCGTCGCCCCTGCACCAAAAATACAACATCGCATCAAACCCTAAAAAAAAAAAAAAAACGTAACCAAAAGAAACTCATCATTTTTGACTGACGTACGGTCTTCTCCGCCGAGGCGGTCAACGGCATGGACGAAGCACCGGTGAAGATCCGGAGTCCACCTCAGCCTCGGCGACTTTGACCGAACGTAAGGCCTCACCACCACCTGCTGCTGCTGCATCGCCGCCGCCACCTTCCCCCCGCCGCCGCCGCCCAATTCCCATGAAGACGACGTCGTAGTCGATGATGATAGAGAAGAAGGAGTGGTGGAGGAATATCCCGCGAGTTTCAGGCCAATACCTTCGTGCACTCTTTTCATTCTTGCTTCTTCTTCTTCTTCTTCTTCTTCTTCTTCTTCTTCTTCTTCTTCTTTGGGTGTAAGAAATGAAGAGAGGTGGAGGAAGGGAGAGGGAAAACGTATGTAGGGAGGAAAGTGAGGTGGTGGGGAGGATCGGGAGAATAAATGCAACAGTGGAAAGAAGAGAGTGCTGCTGGGCTATTTTTTGAGTCAGTGAGATCTGTTGCGGTGTTTTGTCACTATGTTAAGCTTGCAGCTTTTTTTTTTTTTTTTTTTTTTGCCATGGGAGTCAGTTGCATTGCAGCAGCAGCATGCAGTTTCGTTTTTTTGAGAGTTTCGATTTTGAATTAAAGTGGGGAGAAACGCGACACTGGATTTCCGGGGTCCGACTACGTGCGCGCTCCCTTGCTCAATGGACAACAGAATGAATGAACGTTATTAGTAAATTAATTAATAAATAAACAGCAAGAAACCATATTGCATGGCATCCTTTGGGCGCTACTATACATAGAACATTCTTGGTCCTTATCTTTAATTTTATTGTATGGCCGGCTTGTGTATCTATACACATTTGACTATGAGGTTAAATTGTTTCTAGAAGAGTGTGACATCGCGATTAGCTCCGTTATTTCGATATTTGTTTCTGCGCGCGTGTAGTCTCGGAAGGGTTGCCTAGGAGGGTGTGATTGGATTCGAAGAAAAATGGAGCTTGCGGCGGAAGAAAATACGGAAAAAAGAGAGGGTTTGTGGCGGGGATCGACTTTCTTTTGGTGATCGAGGTTGAGTTTATGGGCGTGAATTTTGGAATCTGCCTGTAATCTGTTTTTTTTTTTTTTTGAGTGCAGAAGTTACGTGTCTCGAATCTTACGAGACTACACATGTGGAAACAAATAATTATATCAATCTAAACATTGTACATGGTATTAGAATATTAAGTTTTGTTAATTAGTTATTAATCTCTCGAAGCTACGTACAATCACCTATGCGAAATATATCGATCCTTCGAATATTAATTTAGAGAAAGAAGGAAGAATTTTTTTTTTGGCTTATGGTCATACTGAATCATCTTTAAAACTTTCAATAATATACACCATACAAGACCGACACCAAAATAATAACACATACGATCATTATACATTTATGTTCATTTAGAACCTTGTCATCGACATCCCCTTGTCATCGACATCCCGGTTATAAAAAAAAAGCGTTATTATGCAACGTAGATATATACGTGGATACGTTGATTCCACGAATTGTGTCACTCGTGTGTGGGGAATATGGGTTGCTTGTGGATTGAGGAATGGAATATATTTTTGTGTGCATTATTATGTCACCCAATATTCTTCTTCTTTATAGTTTTCAAGGGTCGCATATATGACGGAATTTAACGTTGCTGGTATATATATATATATATATATGTATGGGCGGGACATCGTCACCTTTTCTTTGGTTGTTTCTTTCTGTATTGAAATTGAAGGCGACAAAACTTAGGCCAGAACAAACAAAGCTATAAGGTTGCCTTGAAATGGCAAAATGCGACCCAATTCTCTCATCAAATTCCCACGCCCACTTCCCTAAAACCCACAACGTGTTATTGTATACTATTATTCATCCCACAAAGGGTATTTAAATATACTATTTGATTTTTGTATTAAGGGAATTTAATTTGTCGTGTACGAATGAATTTATTCGGATAATTCTAGTTGTTCGCAAAGGTTCGAGAACTTATACAATGGTTATTATTTACTTGATTGAAACGAAACCTCATTAGCCACGAAGGAAAAAAAATTCTAAGGCGTAATTTCGTCGTGATACTGCTTTATAAATAATAAGTTCACCTGATTAATTTCAATTTCAAATTTGAATTTCTCAATCATTTTATATGAAAAAGAAGAAAATAATTATAATAATATGAACTAAAATGTGTTGGATAACTTCATTCGAACAAAAATTCTTTGAATCGTTACGAAATTGAATTGGAAATTCTTTTCATTTTTCTTTCATTTTTTCTATTAATAAATATTAACATTATCATATTTTGAAAAAAATAATCCTCTAGAGTGCGTGAGTCAGAAATCCGAACGAGACAGTTGTCTTGAATTATTTTGATTGTATTCTAATTTTCTAAATTTGCACAAAATTTACATGTAGTTTTATCTATGTTATAGAGGGGATACTGCCCCTCTTAACTTCAATCTAGTAAATCAGATCATTCGAAAAAAATAAAATCTTATATCAACAAGGATGTAAATTGTAAAATTATTTTTGTACAATTTCCCCCCTACTCACTCATTCTAGTATAGAACATGCATAATTAACAAGCCTTGGCTCTAGGATGGCAATTTCGACCTGACCCGATTTACCCGACCTGTTTGACCTGATTTCGATCGTAGGCGGGGCGGGGCGGGAAGGGTACCTCTCATCGACCCGACCTGCCCTGACCCGCCCCATTCTCGACCCGTTCTTGCCTAAATTACATGTAATCTTAGTCAAATGACTTAGGATTTTCCTCTTATTACATCATATTTTATGTATAATAAAGTTGTAAATAAGTGAAAAACTCAATTTCTCCAATAATTTAACTACATTTTATTAAATTATGATATCTTTCTCGGTCTTTTAATAAAAATAACGAATAATTCTAATGTTTTCGCATAAATTATATACCCAATGGGTCGACCTGCCCCGACCCGCACTCCATGATAAATTACCTGACCCGACTCAGCCTACCACGAGGCGGGTATGGATATCGAAATACCCGCCCCGGACCTGCCCCATTGCCATTCCTACTTGGCTCTTGTTTTCTGGTTTTGTTTAGATGGAAGTTATAGCTCACTTTTGATCAGAAACTTCCAAACATCCATAACCGCAAAGTGAGCAAACCTAGACCAACGTACAAAACCCTAAAGAAAAAGCTAAAACACCATTCCACATTTCCACGAGCGAAGAGGAGAAAGGCCATTTTTGCTCTCTGAATCTTTCCTCATAACTTCACCAGTCAAAGCATATGCGCCTCTGAACTGAATTCTTTCTTTAATAACAAGAATTCTTGCCACGTAACATGCCTTGCTGGCTCCGGTAGTGACACGTGGTGGTTATGAAGCGTCACCATTGGTCGTTGGGGGGCACTTTGCCCTTATAGCTCCATGCATGAGAGGCATTTGCTGACATTCGCACATGTTTATATTAAATTAATTTCAGATTCTTTTTTTTCCCTCATCCGTTTCTTCTTTGGTGATATAGGGAATTGCTCTCTTGCCGTTATTTCTATCATCAATTCTTCTTCTTCTTCTTCATCATCATCATCAGTCCATGAGTGTCTATCATTCCATGGCCTTGGTCTTGTTCAAGGATTATATAATATTATATTATCTACCGCACCGGTCCAACCGTAAAAATTACATAGTGTCGTTCAGATTGGTACAATATACAAATGTCACGAGAAAAACAAAATACGAAAAGCTTACATGAAAATATCTACCAATCTCGAACATGATATTATATTCTATGATACAAATTGAATATATCGTTCGATCTAATTTTATTTTAACAATGGTATTCCACTAATATGCACTCGGTTGTATCACAACTGAATCACTAATACATCATTCTTTAATTTGTTTGGTACGACTTTCAGTACGGTATCATAAACCATATGCTTACTACTGTGAAATTGCGACCTAAATGAAATTAATAAAAGGTTAATACCTTAGTTTTGCCCGAACTATAGACAAACTTTCTACGTATCGGAAATTGCTATCCTAGCCTGAACTATGTAGCATACTTCCTTATTTGGCCCGGAGGCAGGTTTGACTGTCAAATTAGAGTTGACCGTTAGTCAAGGTCCAGCTTACTTTTCCACGTCAGCTAGCAGGGAATAAAAAATTATTTTTTTAATTTTTGTATTTTGTTTACGTTCTAATAATAAAAATTATATATTATAGAAAAAAAAAAAATTATCATACAATTTTTTTTCCTGTTGGTGGTGTGCGAAATGTGATCGACATTCATCATATATATTTTTTGTATAATATTAATTTTTGTATTATTAGAAAGTAAACGAAATACATAAAAAAATTATATGGAAACAAAATACAGAAATAAAAAAAAAATTATTCTCTGCTAGCTGACATGACAAGTGAACTGGACTTTGATTAACGGTCAAACCCGCCTCCAGGCCAAATAAAAAAGTATGATATATAGTTCAGGTCAGAATACCAATTTTTGATACCACGATCCAAAGTAGAAACTAGAAAATTTGCCTATAGTTTGAGCCAAACTAATGTATTAACCCGAAAGGGCTGTGATAATTTTCTGAAACCACCCCTTTCATTCATTTTGACGGCCTTTTCCTCTGGGCCAACCTAGCTAGCCAGCCAGCACTACCAGGTCTGTAATGTATTGGGCTAAGGTTATTAAGGCCCATTATTCTCTGTTCACTTCGCATATGCTGATTTTGTTTTTTGGGTAAACTTGAAATGGTCTATTATTATGGTTGTGAGAAGCAACCCAAACTAGATCCAACAATCTAAAACCCAACAGAAAAAGCCCAGCCCAAGGAAAACAGAAACTCAACAACACTTAAGCCGAACAACGTAGGGGCCCGAGTCAGGCCCACAAAAGCGCATCATCGACCTCAATCAAAGCGTGGGAAAAGAAAGAAAGAATGAATCGAGAAAAGACAGATTTAGAGCAGCGGCCGAGTGTGACGGCGGCGAGCCCGGCCGCAGAGAAGCGCGTTCTTCGGAATCGGCAGCTCATCTCTCCACGAATGCGCCGCACTGTAAACCCTCAGATACAGCTGCTGCCCGAGATACTGCCTCGCCCAATTCTCCGATCGAATGTTCCACATCCCCACATTGTCCAGCGCCATATAGATCGCCGTCCACGACCTCGGATACACCTGGACCGTGCACCGCGACACCGTGTCCCTCAAATTGTACCGCAGCCTGCTCGCCGCGGTCCACTGCCCGCCGTCCATCCTGAAAACCAAACAATCGCCTCGTCGGTCAACAAATTTGCTTCGAGTTGGGGGAAAGAAGTCAAAATTGGCTCGGATTTTGCTTACCCTACGACGAAGAAAGCGTGGCCGTCGACGTGCCACGACTGAACAGAGTCCTCCCAGTTTTGAAACACGATCTCGACGAATTCTCTGAAATTCGCGCCCATCACTGAGGTTTGGAGGTACGCGTTCCCGCCGGAGTTCGGGCTCATCGGGATGCTACCGACGTTGAATACTCCGGGGATGTTGAAGTAGTCCGCCAGCTTCAGCGGCGTGTCGGCGGGAGTGAAGGAGACGCCGTTGACGGCGTACCTCTGCTTCCCGTTGATCCAGGGAGCGGAGTTCGCCAGGGTGATGGTGCGGGTGGTCTTGATCATGCCGTAGTGGTACGATCCTTGTGGGTTCGGCCTCGGCCCGCTCGCAGTCAGATTCCGCCTGCCAAGTGTTTGATGAAAGGAAGTGGTTAATTATCGAGACCAATTGGTTTACTACATAATATCATAGCTGATTTGTCCTTGATGAAAGTTTACCTAATGGTTCTGGCTTGGTTGAGGGACCAGTTGATCTGAGTGGTCGGGCCGCGAGGGACGGGGCCGGAGACTCCCTGGCGGGAGTTGCTGTAGTGAAGGACGGCGGTGGTGGTCAGGACCTTGGTGGTGAACCTGGTGGAGACGGCGATGTAGTAGTCTTTGGCCGGTTGGTCCATGGTGACCAAGACAGAGTAAGACTGACCCAGATGGACGTCGAGGCTATTGTAGACGTTCTGAACCGTGTGAGCTCCTTCGGCCTCCACCAACTTCATCTTGTGGCCCTCGAATCTGAAATTGATGGACGTTGCAAGTCCCACATTCGATATCCTAAACCTGTAAGTCTTCCCTACAAATTTGAACATTTGGATCTTAGTGTAAGTCGAATTGTGAGGAAGAACAATTGTGGATGATACTGTTAGTACTACTGAGACCTACATGGTTCGACTGTGAAGGTGTTTCCATTCCATCCACGGCCATTGATGACAAGCCCATCTGGCATGGGAAGAGCACGACCGGCGTTCAAGTACCTCCTCAGAATCTGATATACAGCATTGAAGCCAAGAGATCAGTAACGGTGATCACTTAAACTTTTCAGTCAGTTAATTAACAGAACAATGTGGCTGGCTGCTGCTCTACTTACATAGTGATTGGTCTTGTACCAATCTCCAGCTAGAAGGTGGAAGTCACCAGCAGGTGGAGGGAAAGGAACTGGGATTCTGGGACGGCTCCAAACCCTAATGCTGCCATACGCACCAGCAGCCTTGTGGAAACCCAGAGATGGGAAGTAGAAGAAAGTCCCGATTTGGTCCTTGAATTGGAGAATGTAAGTGAAGTTCTTTCCAGGTAAGATTGGACAGTTGGTTCCGTAGGTTCCATCTTGCCATGAGTTCCTCCTGTGCTGAATCCCATTCCTAATCAAAGCAGACGAGTTGATGAGATTGCTAAAATTGCAGAATCTGGGATTAAAATAGCAGCATAAAAAAGAATCATTATTATATATGCCAAGCCAGGCCAAGCAACAAGATGGGTGTCAGAATGAGATGGGTTGTTGATCTAGAGAAAGGCAACAGCATGTGGGGGACGAAGGGATCAATTGAATGCTGCCAGCTGCAGAAAAGATGTTGTTGTCTTTTTCGAGATACAGTAAATGCGTATATCCCCATCCCAGACTTGGTTTAATCTAATGAAAGTTTAAAGCTGAGGTGCTATCAACTTAAGGGCTGCAAAAAGGGAACATCTTTACTGGGTTTCAGAGAATGAAGGCAACCCAGATTCAGGTGCTTGACATGAATTTTAACGGCCAGAGCAGACGGATCTCGTATGTGAAAGGGGGAAATCAGAAGTTTTAATTACCAGGAGAGGAGGAAGGGCTCTTTGAGGTAGTTGTAGACGTTGATAATTACGTTGTCATTAGTCACGGCGTCGATGTGAGGGCCTGGGAATCGGCCATTAATCATTATCCCCTGCAGAGAAACAGTTCCAGACAAGGAAGCAAAAAAGAATCAAAGATTGGATCTTTCCTTCACTAGGAACAAAACCCAGAAAGTAACTGTTCGAGAAAGAAGTAAGAAAGGGAAATGGGAATGGAACAGAATAGAAGACCTGCTGCTTGACTCCTAGAGGGTAGACATCGCCATAGGTGATTTTCCAGGTGTAGAATCTGTAGGGTGAGTCTGCATTAACCCCAGCAACAGCAAGAAGCAAGAAAATAGCGAGTGAAGAAACAAGAATGCTGCTTCTGCTGCTGCAGCTACTGACGCATTCGCCCATGGTTGTTGTCGACGAAGAAGAAGAAGAAGAAGAAGAACAAGAAGAATGAGATCTACTGTAGAAAGAATGGGGAGGAAGGAATGAAAGAATGACTAGTTAAGAGTAAGGAGCAGCAGATTTATCATTTGGAAGGAGAAGACATGTGAAATGGGATGCTGAGAGTGAGTATGGGACTAATGCTCTTCTGTAAGCTTTGCTCCCTCGCCCCTTACAAATACCGTACCAAGTCATTACTACAATGACAAGTTGACAACCCATTTTTTTTTTCTTTTCCCATTTTCTTTTAGTCAAACCAATAATGGCGCGCGGCCGCGGTGCGAGATGGCGGGGGCGAGAGGTCAGATTTGGGAGATAGCTAGCTCAGCTCAGCTAGCTGTCAAAACAATGTTCACATGGTGTAGAATGCGGAGCAGCGGTGCAGCAGTAAAAAAAAAAAAAAAAAAACAATAGCACGATCTCAGATAACATTACCATCCAAATGAGATCGAACATTTGAATAGTTGGTTTTGCTTGGAAGCTGCTGCAAGGCTGCAGCAATTGAATATGGTGGATGGATGCAGCCTCTGCCTCTCTGGCGAAGCCCATTCACGTGCCGTTGATTGAGGATTAAACAGACCGAGTGAGTTACAGAGTCATTGTATTTGTATGGTGGACAACAAAAGGTGCTCTGCTTTGTTACCCCTTTTCTGCCATTTTTTCACACTTTTGGGTTCGTCTTTTTACTTGTGGGCTTTGAAATTTTGTTTTATGATTTCCGTTAGTGGGAAAGTGATGCGATAAGAAAAAAGGGGGGAAATGGTGGTTAAGGAGGAGGACTTGCTCTGTTTCTTCTTCCTCTGCCATGTTATGGCCGTGATTAATGCTTGCAAATGGTCGTGAGGGTCAACTGAATTGATTATCGAAGTGTGGTTTGCTTATAAAGTTCTGTCATTTAGACAGGGCATAAATTATGATTGAACACTCTTTCCCCATGGGTGATTTTTGGTGGAAATGATTGCATATTCTTTGGTGGAAATGATTTTTGCTATTCAAGTTGGGGAATGATATGGAGGTGGGTACCAATTCCAATTCTGAAAGGTTTCTTAATTGTCCATTCGTAGACATCGGATAAAATTGTTGTTATGGGATAATGCAATTTAATTTGAAATGTCAAGCAAGTTCCTTTTTAAGGTTTTAATAAAATCAACACAAAAATCAAGAAAATTATTATTTACAATTGGTTTGGTCGTGATACTATTGATCTTCAATTTGGAGGTCACAAATTTGAATCTTCTAAGTAATATACAACAATAAATATAAAAATTGTTATATGAAAAAAAATATTTTGATCAAGAAAATTATCCCAAAAATATACTATGGCATATGTGATGGTTATTTGCTTTTAAATATCCACATGGTTGTTATTATTGAAGATAAAGCTAGGTTTCTCTCTTTCTAATAACAAATTTTAATTTAATATCTCTTCTTAATAATTGTACTCCATTTATTTATATTGTTTTAATCAAACATATTATTCGAATATAAGTTATTAATTAATAAGATCTAACACCATTATTTTACACGAGATATATATCATATCATTTTATTCACCAGAGATGATACTCTCATTCCAAATTTAGTTCCCTTTTTTACAACTTTAGTGAAAAATTTAGTAAGCTATTAAATTGTGCACTTTCATAAGATTTTTCTTAATAAGTATCCAAAAAACAATATATAAATTTTGTTAGATATTTTACATCGTATAATGCACATACTTTAAAGTGGTTGAATGATTTTTAATTGATTACCCAAAAGATATGCACGGATCCTTCGGGTAGTTTGAAATCTAACTTGTTACAATAACTAATTTTACCATATAGGATACGGGGAAGCCAAAGGGTTAATGCAAATGAGCTCGGATACAAGTCAATGCAATGTACACTCTCGCGTGACATATTCGCAAGGCAACTAGATGAACTTGTCATTAGATGCTAACTCCTCCAAAGATATCATACATGTTTTTACAAATTCGAAGTTTGAGACGATCTTAACTGTCAAACGACACCAAAGAGGTATTAAAAACAAATAGGTGGGAATGTTTGTGAAGGAACATGGTGCTAACTATACACCTCTACTTAGGACCTTGCACTTAAGCCTTCTCATTGTAGTGCCCTTCACAAATCTCGACCTCCAACGAATGATACTCGAGCATGATGATTATCTAACCCTAAATTAAATACAGATATTTGCAACTTCCAACTAAACTCGAAATCATCCAACACCGAAATGGATTATGATTTTCGATAGAATGACATCTCTCCTTCTTTCTACAAAAGAGCAAATCGCCCTCTTCAAGAAAAACTTGGCTACCTCCCAACTTCTGTGTTTTTTTTTTCCCCCTTCTTTTTTGGGTGTCATTTAAGCCACGAAGAAAAGACGTCTCATTTGCACCTCTGTGGTATATAATACATAGGAATAAGAGTACATGCGGTCAAAACATGGCTAGAAACCAAAAAACCAGGAGAAAACAAGAGTGAGAAGTGCCGGGCAAAGCACTCACTCATCCATCCCCATTCTTACTTGTTAAAACCGCATGCAATCAAAAGTTTCACATTAAAAAACTTCACGTCGAGACCAAAATTTGGCGGTGAGATCAACTCATCTTCCCAAAACAAGAAAAAGAGATATAGATGTACAATCACTTACGTTGAAGCTGTTTGATGTTGATCACGGTTGACATTCCCAAAGAACTGCCGTCCCTCATTAACCCCCATCGCCACCTCTTTCCCTGATCACAATCAATGTGCCGCTGTACTGAGAAGATGAGCTTCCGTTCCTGTGGCAGCGCCTGCAATGGCTTCAAGGAACAGGAAACCAACCTTCAGAACTCTAAACTACCCCACAAACGCAAAAACAGACTCACATTAACATACCAGGGCCGTTATGTGAGACGCTTTTATCTTTCCTAGTCTTCTGTATGGCTGCGATAATTGATGAAATGGGTGTTTGAAGAACAGTTCTCCTTCTTTTCTTGTATGCAGGTCATCCTGGCAAATAGCATAGTGAAGCTAACGTTGGTGAAACCTCAAGGGTGGTTGGCCGGGATCAAGTATGGAGGAATGGACAATCTCCTCGACATCAAGTCGCCTGAATCTCATCGAGGGTATTCAACATTTCTCTCTGTCTCTCTGTCATTCTGCAAAACTCACAGAAGCCATATCTGTACAGACTGTGAAAGTTGTTTCCTTTTCAACTCTCATGCATGGTTTCTGGTGAGCAGATATTGGGATGTGAATTGGAGCGTACCAGGAGGCCTGGAACCACATCAATTGTATGTTTTGAAGTTCTGAGCTTTTAGTTCCTAATGATGAAAATGGTCCAAAGTATTTGTGATAATGTACATGAATCAGCAATGTGCGATGCAGAATTAGTGGGACAGAGTACAATGTTATCCACCACAGCTACGACAAGATAGAAGTTTCGTTCAGGACTACTTACAATCCTTCCGGCCTGGGGATCAAGCTTCCCCTCAGTATCGACATAAGGTAAAATCACTACCTGCAGGGAAACGAAGCCTTTCCGAGGTTGTTCGTGTGAATTTACTCATATTGTATTGCCTTTGGATGTCCAGGTACATACTGCAGAATGGGGTTTCAGGATTCCATTGCTATGCAATCTACGAACGTCCTACAGGTTGCCCTGCCTTCGATCTTTCTCAGACAAGGATGGTCTTCAAGCTCAGGAGAGAAAAGTAAGAATCAGTAACCAAGCCAGTTCACTAGTTCAGAATGGGTTTTTCTGTCATGTTTGTAACAATTGCTTTAACTATGTCTTCAAAAGGTTCCACTACATGGCAATCAGTGACGAGAAGCAAAGGATAATGCCAATGCCAGAGGATCTGCTTCCCCATAGAGGCAAACGGCTTATAGTGCCCGAGTCAGTTATGTTAGTCAATCCCATTAACCCAGATCTCAAAGGAGAAGTAAGCACAGCGAGATATAACTGTGTCAAGATGCACAACATTCCTGGCCTGTGAATATTTGAATCGAGATAATTGAATGATAATGCAGGTGGATGACAAGTACCAGTATTCAATGGACAATCAAGAAAGTGGTGTCCATGGATGGATCAGCTCTGAACCGTTGATCGGTTTCTGGGTCATCTTCCCGAGCCATGAATTTCGTAGCGGTGGACCAACGAAGCAAAACTTAACCGTCCACACTGGTCCAGCTTGCTTAGCTGTAAGTTTTCACAACCTCGACACCAAATGTTCTACTTTTCCTTCTGATGAACCCAGAACAATGATCATCCCGATGGCTGACCAACCACAGATGTTTCATGGAATGCACTACATTGGAGATGAGATGGTGACTCATTTCGAAGCAGGAGAGGATTGGAATAAGGTCTTCGGCCCGATCTTTGTTTACCTTAATTCAACCCCAACCATATCGAATGCACACAGCTTATGGCTTGATGCCAAGAAACAGGTATATAATTACTGGAAATGTGTCTGCAGGAACTCAGAAACATATGCATTTCGTCCTCTTACTTGTGGGTCTTTTTCATTTTTCAATTTGGCTCATAGTAGAGGCTGCTTGAAGAGGCAGCATGGCCTTATGACTTCATCTCTTCCAAGCATTACATCAGGGCTGCAGGACGTGGTTCTGCTTACGGAAAACTGGTTGTCCAGGACAAGTAAAATCACCATTTCCTGATGAATGCTTACAGGCCTCTATTCCCTTGAATCTTAATCACCAATTATCAATGTTGTCTTTCCAATATGTCTTTCAGATTTCTTCATGGTTCGCTCATCCCTGCCAAATCTGCTCATGTTGGTCTATCGGTCGCAAAAAAGGCAGGAGGATGGCAAACAGAGAGCAAGGTACCATAATAATATAGCTGGTCAAGCAACATTATCCATTTCAGACAGCTACTAAAATTTCAACATTCATGTCCCTGCAGCATTACCAATTCTGGGTGAAAACAGATTCAAATGGAAACTTCAACATCAAGAATGTTATTCCTGGGATCTATAGACTTCACGGCTGGGTTCCTGGGTTCATCGGTGATTACCTCGAGAAAGGATTCATTGACATCACTGCAGGTACTCATAATAAGACAATGGTATTACTACTGATGTTTTTGTCGCTTGCTGCCGTAGAAACTCGGTTTGAGTAGTCACAATCTTCCGTTTTCCCACAGGCTCAGAAATCCAACTTGGAGATCTTGTCTATGTTCCTCCCAGAGATGGTCCAACCATGTGGGACATCGGCTTCCCAGATCGTACAGCCAGTGGTTACTATGTCCCTGATGTGAGTCCTATCTATGCCAACAGGCTATTTCTCAACAGCCAAGAGAAGTAAGCAAATCAGCAGCTGCTGTCTTTATGAATTGCATGAGAATATTGTTATCTTGTTTCTAGTATGTTGTTGCTGATCAGCTATCCCATTGTGCTCCAGGTTCAGACAATATGGCTTGTGGGACAGATACACAGATGTGAACCCAGAAACCGAGCAGACATTCACAATAGGCATCAGTGATCCAAGAAAAGATTGGTTCTTTGCCCAAGTAAACAGGTCTGCATTTCACTAATAACTTACATAAGAGATGGGCTTTTGGATCATGGTACAACGAATTGATGTTTTTGAATCTCGTTTGAGCTGCACAGAAAGTGGGGAAAGAGTCAGTATGTGCCTTCAACCTGGACAATCAAATTTATTATGGATTCAGTAACCACTGGTACTTACAAGTTGAGACTGGCCATTGCATCAGCAACCCGTTGCAGTCTTGAGGTAAAAAAGAAAAATGAGAGCTTTCACTGTTTTGATATCCCTTATCCCCAATTTGGTGTTTGATCAAACAGTCATTTCCTTTTGGATCAGATATGCATAAATGGTATGGATCCAGAGCATACAGTTTTTGAAGTACTAAATCTAGGAACAGACAATGCAGTATGTCGACATGGAGTCCACGGACTATATCGGCTGTTCAGCATTGAAGTTCACTCTTCACTATTGATCAAAGGAGACAACTCCATGTTTCTTCGACAAACGAAGGCTGGGAGTGCACTTTGTGGAATCATGTATGACTACGTAAGACTAGAATCTCCAGCATTCTCCGAGAGTTCAGAGCAGAACTTTGAATTTAAAGCACAAACCTCTTGAGTTTCTGCTGCTCACATAGCTGCACCTGCATCAATCTTCTAACAAACTCACAGATTTTAAGAGTTTAAATAGCTAGCATGCATATCTTTTTGGTCAGAACTATCACAGCACTAACCATTCAATGGAGTTCACCAAAAATAAAAGCACTACTTAAAGAAATGTGAGCTTGTCAATTGTCATGTATTCTGTTCAAAACATAAGCATCGCGGAATATTTTCATGTCCTTACAAATCTCATAAATCAAAGCAACGACCAAAATGGAGACAGATTTCTTGCCTCCTGTGCTTTGACTACACCATCATTCCCAAAGCCATTACTTTGCAGAAAGAGTTAAGAGCAACCCATAATGGTCACTTGGAAAAACAGGAAGCTCGAGCTTCTTCACCTCCTGCCTAACTTTCTTCTCTTTTATGTATGATAACCCAGGTATAGCCTCCTTCCCAACCATTTCGATACTACTGACGCTGAAATCTCGCAGACAGCATAAAACTCGATCGAGTCTCTTCTGTAGTGTCCTATTTCCGGTCAACATCTGGTTGGACTTGGTGTCATATGTCCATCCATTATCCCCTGCCTTCAACTCTGCCCAGGCATCAATCCATCCGCTAGGTAAGGGAAACTGGCCATCCAACTTGTCATCCCAGTTCATATCACCGGCAAAGATCACATTACGATTCTCCTTCAGGAAGTTGACAGCCTCATTCGCCTGAACTACTCGTTCCTTGCTGAACATTTGATCCCATTTTGGTGGGCCCGGGCAGGGGCTCTCGAGGTGGCTAGTGGCAACAACTAGTGGCTTGTTTCCCCCAATTTGAAGCTCAGCAATACACAGCTCTCTCCCCATTATGGAGTTCCAAAAAGGCCTTATGCTGAAGGATTTAACAGGAAGCTTGCTTAACTGCAAGCAAATGGAAACCAAAAGAAATAAAAAAAAAATTGGAAAGAGATTCAACCCATGTAAAATCTGAATCACAAATCTAGTACCAACTAACCTGCATGCAGAAGTAGGCGCTTGAACTTGGTGTCTCACTTGAAAGATTACACCGATACGTTTTCCACCAAGTGGATCTCTGAAATATTTCGAATATTTCCGGAGTAACCTCCTGCAACAAATATAACTGTCAACCACCAGCTGAAAGTTAACAACAATCCAAGCCCAGTAAAGTATACCAAAGGGAAAACCTGAAGGCATATAATATCAGGGGAATGCAACTGAATCAAGTCTCCAATTGCTTTCATCCTCCGACGCAATTCCAAGTCCTCTCGAAACCAGACATTGTAGCTCAAGATCTTCAGAGAGCTTGCAAGCTTAGGTGAATCGACATCACCTAATCAACAATGAAAGGGCCTCTCTATAAATGAGCGATGAGAAAGGCAAAAGCTAATCCTTTCAGCACAATAGAACTCTGGGGCGAAAACTCTGGGCCTTACCCTTTAGAACAGTAACAGAAGCAGCCTTGTCTAGCGCCCTAACTCCACCCAATTCCAATCTATCATGTTCTGAGCTCGAAACAAAATCTAATCAATCAACACAACACAACACACTAAGCCCTCAAATTTCATCAAAATGGGAGAAAGAACGAAATCCCCCCAATACTAAGTCACTAACCCTTGGACAGGACCAGCCTTTTGGATGAATTAAGCACATTACCGCTACCCAGCTCTGCAGAACCCGTCTGCCCGCCACCATCAAAATCAGTCGCTTTCCTCTTGCAGGACCTCAATGGAAGGAAAACGGAGCCAACCAAAGGGTCCAATTCGGATTCGATGGAAGTATCGTCGGAAAAGGGACGAGGAGCCCTCGTGCCGCACATTACGCAGTCGGAGTTCTTGAACGAGTTGAGCAAAGTACAGGCCTCGCAGGCCCACTGCTGCGATTCCTCATCGGAAGAAGGGGAAATGGCGGCGTGAGGAGGAGAAACCGGGGTGAGGCAGATTTTACAGGCGGATTTGGAAGTAGGGGAGTTGTTGAACGTGCACTTCTTGCAGGACCATCCCGCCGACGACATTTTGACGGTGATCGGCTTGATGGGTTTTGGGCGGAGGAGAGGACTCGAGGGTTTGGTTGTCGCCGGACGTGGGATTGTGGGAAAGGTTAGGGCTTTGATTAGGAAAGGGAACTGTTTGAGTGCCATACTTCTTCTGACCTTTCTTCACTCCGATTTTTTCGTTTTCCGAGCCCGGTTCGGAGTTTGAAACTTGAGCGGTGTGCCCGTGTGGCGCGCTCTTGCTCGCGGGTTATTGTTCGGTTCGGGTAGATCGATTTCTGGGCTTGGCCCAGCTTCTGTTGTTTCATTACTCTTTCAAGAAACTCTCATAGCAAGAAGAAGCTCTAGCCAAAGTGCACAAAGGCAATGGAGATCATGGAGTTGAGAAACTGCTTCTCTGCGGTGAAGTTTGAAGACCCAGAAGACATAACCTGTTCCCTCTTAGGAGTGTTCTACATGATGGAGGAAATTTTGTTAGCAAATCAGCTGCAGGTTCCAGGTTTCAATCATTAGCACTCCAGAGTCAGAGAGGCATCATTGGCATACACCTTCATTAAAGCAAGAGGGTTCCATAAGACCATAACCATGTTCGGAAATTAGATTTCCTCGAATGAAGTTGGCCGATACATTTATGCAGCTAGTTACCAGAACTCAAATAAAAATAGCATTAAGCTTATTCGAAACAAATGGCTAATCACCTACAAAAATGAGATCAGTCACCAAACTAGAAAGAACATCTAAAAGAAAGATCTCAAACAATACAATGACCTGGTGATAATAACAATACAACGAACATACATACAGATAACAGATCTACCATATATGCATACTGCCAAAAAAAGGACGGGCAACAGAGCTTTTATGTCTTCGCTGCACCTTTTCACAGCCTGAAGCATTGCTGCATTTACAACAGAATAGAAAGGTGCCACAAAATACACGACAATACAACTACCACAGCAGCAGGAGAGGCATTCATGGCAGCAATTATTGGGGAGGACTGTTTCATTCTGAAGGAATCCGCCCCACTACTTGAGTGTGTTGAGTTCACCACTGTCTTTGTCTTATTGCTTATTCTCTTGCTGCAATCATCACCACATTGCACCATAGAAAACATTACCGTTGTGTTCATGACCAACATTATTAAAAAAAATTAAGCAACTTGATGTATAGAACAAGTAAATGCCTTTACCTTCCGGGAAATATACAGCCTTCATGACCTGAAATCAGTGATATGAAGAGGGGGGAAATTAAATTCATTGTCATTCATCATCAGAATGCATCAGAAAGGACCCATGTAGTGAAACTTTTGATCATTTGGGTACAGAAAGGGACATAATTTTTGAATTCAAATGCTAGCTCAGTTATTGTAAAGAAAGCCCACATCAAAAGGCAGATCCTTTTGCTTCCTAAGCAAATCTCATAATTGTCTCCAACCACCGACCATTTATGCAACTATCTGACTTCAAAAAACACAGATTTTCCACAACTGCAATCACTTGAAAAGTTGCCAAAAGAACTAACTTTAGTTATGCACAATCCCAAAAGCTGAAGGCTTTCCAATAATTAGCACCACAGTGTACAGTTTAAAGATATAGCATGTTTAGGAGATGGCATTGCAAAGCTGAATCTCTGATCCACTCAAACTGAACCATATTATTGCAGCACATTCTCAAGCTAAAAGGAAAAAGTACTTACTTGGATCGGTTGTAGTAATCATGGCCACACCCTTGAAATCACAAGACCCAGAGGCCCTCCCTGCCTTCTGATAATAACTATCAAATGCATAAGAAGCATGATTCTTTACATTGTTAGGCTGATAACAAGTCTCCCCTGGCTGAATCTCGCTGCAATTTGCTCTTCCCGGCCCACATGCCCAATCCAACGCAGTCTGCAGCATCTTCCCATCCACTTCATCCATAGCCACACAGTACGTCTGATTCGTAGTATCATTCGCCAAAAAAGTCCCACTCCCAGATACGTGAAGCAGATAAACAGGCGTCGAGTTCCCGTGGAACAACCCCCAGTTAGCCTCAGACACCGGGGGAGCTCTCAAATCCTCATTGAACAGTTCATATATGTACACACTCGAAGTAACCTCAGGATGCAAAGGACTACCACTTCTATCGAAAACATGCTTGATCAAGTTCGAATTATAAGTATCAGCATTATCCACTGTAGCATAAGGCTCCTTTGAATCACCTTTTGAAGGCCATCCACTCTCGGTGACAAGCACCACCACATCAGTCACATTCAAGTTCTTCATCGAGAAATAAGCAGCATCGATCATTGCATCCAGCACATTGGTATAATGCAACAAAGTATTGGGGTCAACCATTTCCTTAGTAGGAGTCAAGGGCTTGAACAAAGAGTTATCAAGTGGGACTACCCCTTTGTTTTGCATGAACACATAGTAAGGGTAAAGATTCATCATTAAAGGAGAACCAGTTCTAGACAAGAACTTAAGCAAAGGAACCATAACGGAGCTCAAACTCTGGTTGAAAAAAGACTGGGAAGGTGGGAAAGGGTCGAGAATCACTGAAGCAGCTAATGGAGTGGAGATCTTAATCTGGGTATGCAAATTTGCAGCAACTAAACCACTGTAGAGCGACTCAATTGCAGGAACAAGCAAAGGGGCAGAAGAAGGAACAGTGGTCAAAACCTCATCTCCAACAGCAATCGCAGTGATTAGAGTTTGTGGGTAGTAAGCAACTACATTGCGATCAATCCATGAAGCTGCTGTGGTGTTGGAAGACCCAATTGCGAGGAGCTGGTTGTTGGGCACGCTGATGATTACCCGGATCTTGGTTTTCGCCAGGGCTTTAAGAATCTCAGGGTTCGCATCGTAGAGACGAACGTGGGTGACCTTCTGCGCCTGGAGGAAAGCGACTACGTTGGCTGGTGACAAGAGATTGGAAACGTCGGTGCCTATGTTGAACCCCACGAAAGGATCGTTGTCCTGTTGTTTCAGCTCGTTATTGAATTGGGCTGCTGAGGAAGAACCAGCGAATGATTCACTGGCTGCAAACAAAGCCAAATTTCCCCCCACCAAGTCAGAGGAAAAGGGATTAGGAAAAGAGTAAAGCTTTCACCTTTATTAGGTGATAGAACAAGAACAGTACCTCGGGAGAGGAAGAAGAAGATGAAGAACAAGAAGAGAGGATTAGTGGAGGTAGGCATTGTTGTTGTAATTGCAGAAGAAGGCAGCTTCTGCGGCGTCGTCCTCTGTTTTCTGGTTCAGCCAATCCTGGCATTATCTATCCTCTGTTTATCGTTGCCCCTTTTTCTCACTTCTGGGTTCTGGAATCGTCGTCAGTAGGTGTTTTCTAGTTCATCGAACTGAGCTGCTACAGTTGAGAGATGGAAGAAGAAGTAGTAACCATTACTAAGGGGTCGTTTGCTTCAAGGATTTGGTACATGGATTTGGTACCAAAAAACCAACTATCAAGGATTTAGGTACAATCCGTTGTTTGCTTGCATCTTTTTTGGAGACCAAATCCGTGGGGCCCACGGATTTTAAGGGTCCAAATCCGTGGACCCCACGGACTTATAAATCCCACATGTTGATGTGGGATTTGGAATATGGCATAAATCCTTGATGGCATTTTACCATATACCCTCATGCACTTTTAATATTCCAAGGTTGCCCTCAAATTTAACTATTATACATTATAATTAACAATAAATGAATAATATAAACGTTCAATTAATGTGCAAACATGAGTTAGATTTTTTATATAATTTCTTGTGTTCTAGTTTTCTTTGACCTTTTCATGGAACGTGTAATTCTTTGTTCTCCCGATTCTAATATATGTTGTTATATGTTACTTTTGAAAAGGAGGACAAAGAATTGGTAATTGATTATGTTACGTTAAAAGTTAAAACGAAATTTTCTCGTTTATTATTATTGTCCATGTGGCAACATTATGCTTATTAGTATGTATTGTCCTTGTTTTGTGTACATATCATAAACATGTCAAACATATAGAAAAGGGCAGTAATGTAATTTTTGACTTCAAGTAGTAAATCCCACACTTTTAAATCCATGATAAAAACATCCCAACAAACAAAGGATTGTTACAAATCCATGATGCCTCAAATCCTTGATAAATCCTTGGGTTTTTAAATTACAAAACCCTCGTTTATAAATCCATGAAGCAAACGACCCCTAATTCCAAAATTCTCTGTTAAAAATTCCGCAAACTATTTTGACTGCAGGGTGGATTTGAAGAGAGAATTTAGTTGGGAGATTGGGTGAGGAACTATTTGTCTCTCTGGATTCTACTGGTCCATTATGACGACGACAGAGAATCGAGCCGGTTGAGTGAGTGAAGAGTCAAGTTTGGAGTTTGATTTACTATAAGGACCTTATCGGCCGACATGGAAGAAGGGAGCGGGAGATGGGTATATACGGTCATTTGGGGGAAAGAGTGAGGGACGTGAAGGTCTGACAGGGCAGAGAGACAGAGAGCCATAGCTTGGGTTGGCTGCTTGCTTTGCTTGTCTCTCTGGTTCTTCCAAGTCACGGACTTGACAATCACGGGCCAGGCCAGGCTGGCATTTTTCGTCGGGTTGGTTGGTATAGGTTTAATCATCTCGTCACACTGCACCGTGGGCTGCGGGGATGACACGATGTGGATTAAGGCCTACGGGCTACGAGCCCATAACCCAGCCCACTTTCCCCTGGATTAGGGTTGTAAAATGAGATATTTTGGGATAAATGTAAGAAAGAGAGGGGGGAAAGGTGAAAGGATGAAATGAAAAGGTTGGATTTATCATATACATTTGGGCGAACAATATAATATAAAAGGAGGCAATTGTTGTCAAATCGTATCGAAAATTATGTAGAAAAGTTAATGGTATGTTGTTATCAATTAAATCAGGATTAAATTGTGATCCAACTGTTTCATACCATTATAAGTCTAAAACGACCTACCGTTTATGATTTGGTATTCTATATTTTCGGTCGGACCGACCTGTGCGATAGGTTTCCAAAACATTTATTACGAAACGACATTCTCGCGTGTTTTTTCTGGAATTGCCCAATGGACAAAATACTTCATTAAACTTGTTTTGTAAGTTGAAAAAAAAATTAACGCACAAAATACGATTACGATTAATAGTAATACGATCAGAAGTTCATATCCTATTCATTATCATCGGAATGAAGCTCATGCCATGATTAACCGCGACACATGCCTCCTACACCAAAAATATGCTGCTTTTAGACATTTCTGAAACTTCATCATCCTCATTTATCCCTTTCATGTTTTGTGATCATCATGCTCACAACGTTAACGTAATGAACTAATGATGTTAGTCATTAGCTATGATGATTCCACTTCGTCCTACAACAGTACCACATGTGTTCACCTGTTGCAGCATCAGGACAAAGCACGTTTACCCACCTGCAATGTTTTTCACCTGCCGACTGCACGTTGTAATTCCCACTATAACAGATTCGACCACCTCAAATTTTCACTTCCCATTGCCAATTTCCATACACATATCGACCAAAACGGCAAACAACATCCCAAATCGAACGACATCAATTACTCCCCCACTGTCATCAACCTATAAACCCAAAATTTTGCCTCATTTAGGCGACCATCATCTCCATCTCCCCGACCCTTTCTATACAAACAGCAATCAAAGAAAAGCTAGACACACAGGATACAGCTATTACACTGCTACTGCTAACAAACCTAACATGAAGCAAACAACTAAGTTCTGCTCCCATGAAGCTCATCATTATTCCCATCTTCAACAGAACCAGAACTACTTCCCTTTCCGCATACCCAAATCACCTCAAAGCATTCACGAAAGCCATCAGCGAATCAACATCCCTCTGCTCCGACGGATACTTGATCGGCCTCGACGAATGTTTGGGGAAGAAGAGGATCGTCGGGAAGCTCCCCAGCTGCAGCTCTTGCTTGGCGAATTCCTTCTGCTCACCATCCGCCTGAAACTTCCCCACCTTCACTCCACTCCCTGCCAACTTCTCCGCCAGCTCGACGTACGAGCTCTCCATCCCCTGGCAGAACTGGCACCACGGTGCGTACAGCACGACGATCCACGGCTCTTCCCTCTTCTCCAACTTCAACAAGTTCTCCATCCCGTTTCTGCTCAATGCCACCAGGTTCCTCGCCTCGAACAGGTCTCGGTTTGCAGTTCCGTTGACAGGCACTTCCTGAGCGTCCTGTTTCAAGTTCCCCTTGTGGAGGCCGCACTCTTTGGCCTTGGCATCCTCCCACCACCACCTCCCTTCTCTCTCGTGCTGTCCCGGGAGGACAGCTCGAGTGCAGGGCTCGCAACCGATCGACACGTAACCCTGAGAATGCAGTGAGTTTACAGGCACCTCCATTGCACGGAGGAACTTCCAGATATCTCCCCCGTCTACATTGGCCACTGGGTTCCACTTGATCAGGCTGCCGGCTCCTCCTTCCAACCCTTCGAATACCGGGTCGACCTGCACGACTGGAACCTCTGACCGGGTTCCAGGTGACTGATCCTTTCTCTGGCCTGTGATCCATGCCCTCAGACCCTTCAGAGCTCGGCGTAATGGTCTGACTTTTCGGACTCGGCAGCACTCCTGGTGGCCGTCCTCGTAGAATGAGAAGAGGCCCTTGCTGCGGACTAGTGCTTGCACTTCTACTGCGTCAGGGAACATGTACTCGATCCGGATTCCGTAATGCTTTTCGACTGCGTCGAAGAATTGGTATGTTTCCGGGTTTAATCTGCCGGTGTCCAAGCTGAAGACCCTGAAGGGGCGCCCTGTCAGCTTCGCGTATTCGATCAATGCTACGTCTTCTGCGCCACTGCAGTAGAGTAAAGAACAAGCAGCAATTCACCATTAGCGAAACTAGAATCATTTTCCAATTGTATTCATACATTCATATTGTTCCCCTAATCCAGCAATCAGAATGTTTCATCCGTCTACTTCTCTCTTCACTCACCAATCAAACGGAAATTGCTGGGGGAATTGAATTGGGGGAAACGAAATGAACTAAGACCCAACGATTGAATTCGAAACTTGATATCATAGAGCAAATAAGAGAGGAATTCGATTCAAATCTCTACCTGAAGGCGATAGCAATATCGTTGCCGAATTTCTCCAGAGCCTTGTCCATGATTTGCAAGGGAGAAGCGTTCTCGAGCTGCTTGGCAAGCTGCTCGTAGTCTTCCACCTCCACTTTCTCCGCCACTTCTGTAATAAAATCTAACCACGGTTCAGCGATGACGAAATCGAAGACCAATAAGCCAAATAACACAACGGGGAAAAAGGACGGATTCTTACCGGGAGTGGCGACGGCCGCCGCGAGAGGAACGATTCCATCGTTACGCTTCGGCTCCGCATTCACCGGCCTCACGGACGACGCGCGCCTCTGGGAGGAGAGGTTGACGGCGGCGGCGGAGCGACGGTCCAACAATCGGAACGAGCCAATTCGAGGAGCTAAACAAAAACAAAAATCAATAAATTGAAGGGGAGCAAAAACAAAGCACGAAATCAACTGCTTGGAGCGCGTAATCATGAACATACCATTGGGCTCAGAGGAAGAACCAGTGGAGCGAGCGAGATTAGAAGCCGAAATCGCGGTGGTGGAAGAAGAGGTTGCGACGAAGGCCATGGTGAGTTTGGTGCTTTGCCTTGTAATCGCCGGAAAATGATATCGGAGACGGAAAATCGGGATTGTTTGGTTGCTGTTTGTTTTTCCTTTCTGTGCGGTGGTGGGTTTTAGATTCGGGAGTATTGGGAAGGGACCGTTAAATAATAGGAGGGCTTCGGATTTCGTGGTTCATTGAACCTGGACGCTATTATTTCAGGGCTCAGCCATTTTCTTACGTGGATTATTTCCATTGGTTCATCGGAGAGCCCGCATCAGCGCTTTCGTCACAACTGGCTTGGGACCCTTTGCTTGCGTGGCTGCATCGGCGGGAATTTTGGGGAAGGAGGGAGGAATCTCAGAAACGGCACAAGCCAAGCCACTAGAACATAATGGAATATGGTCAATTTTTGCCGCTTTAGTTTTTCTGTTTCCATATAATTGAGAAAAAAGTGAAATATAGTTAGTAATTTGTAATATTAATCATCCAATGAGTAACTGCATAAAAAAGGGTTTCATCTTAGGAATAACAATCTCCGGTGATTCTCGTCGTAATCCCACATTTATTCGTCGGCAAGAGGATGGATCGTCACGATCAAAATGAAATTTAAAATGGATGAAATGACCATGATTACGAAGGTATAAAGTCGACGACAATTTTTTTAGATTTTCGATAAGTGCGATACATTTTCAAAACTCATTTTCTAGTATCTTGTATTTCGTGTTCAGTACTGCAAAAATGACCCAAGTACTCCCGTTGTAGGTTAACTTGTTCTAAATACTATTCAAGATATTTGAGCAACTCTGTTTGCAGAGGCATTTAAAATATATTTTTTTTTACTTCGAATTCATTACCGTAATGAATTTTTTCGTTATAATAATCCCTTATATACCATCAAATTATCAATTTTCTTCCCCTTTTGAACTATCCTCCCCCTCATACATTTTTGCATATCCTTTTTTTTTTTCTTTTTCTTTTGCTAGTGTGTGATGCTCACCCAAAAAGAGAAGGAATTTGGAGGAACCATTATTGGATGGACTAGATTATTTTGCCTATCTCTATGTTCTTGTGAGTGGTGAAGATCCTTAGCGGTCGAAATTGTAACCACATGAGAAGGGAAGAAGATAACAAAGATAGGGAAGAATCTATGGGCCCGCCCGTCGAAATTGACTTCCGAAGGCCTCTTCCCCCATGGGCTTCATTTGTGGACCTGGTGTCGTGTGGCAACCATGAATCCAACTTATTTATTCATTTTTCTTTTTATTTAATTTCAAGTCTCTAACGTTACAGTCCAACGAAAAGCATATTATTCGCGGCTCTTGGAGGGCTGGGAAACGGAAATGCTCCGTCGCCATCCCTAATTTCTCTTCTTTTTTTTTTTGCTTTTGTTAAATTGGATCGGATCATCAATCCACTAATTTACTAATGGTTTAGCTTGGTAAAGGGGCAAATAAAATCAAAAGGGCGGGAAGTATTAACCATTAAGGAAAGTGAACGAGGACGGGATTAAGGTAAAAATCCATATCATAAGGTGGTCATAAACCACCGCGACATAGCCGTTGCTGCTTTTGACTATTTAATTACTTCTAACAATAATTAAAACTATAAATTATTAGTCAATTGGACGACGTAACTCAAAATCAATTTGCAATTTGCAAGTTGGTGGAACTTTCCCTTTACTTTACCCCCTTCAACTTTTGCTATAAAGGAGGAAAGGAGAAAGCGAAATGGTAAAGGAAAGAAGAAACTAGTCCAGCCGACGAACGGGCGTTTTCAGGCCCATCTTGCCTCCCAGTTCTGTTCGCCAATTATCTCTTGGGCCTCATGTTCCAATCGAGTCAATTTACACATTGGGCCTAATACCGACCCAACTGTGGTTTCACGGATACGAATGGCCCAACTTTAGTTCAGTTTCCACAATCCAAAGCCCATAGCTGACTCATTGCCGGCCGATGTAATGAAAACAAAAAAGAGGTAGGTGGGAATGGATTTCCGTTATGCCATTTTTTTTTTGTGCCATGATGTTGTCGTGGCCCCTTTTTTGTGTCACCACGTGACAAAAGGACAAAGCAATCGTCAAGTGGTCAAAATGCGCACGTGCGAACTCAATCCACCGCGTTCAGTTCAGCCGGATCACAGCCATTGATCAGCGGCGGAGATTCATCCACGACGACGAAAAAACGGTCACCCAGCTCACAGGCTGTAACGCAGCAGACTCACAGTAATAAATAATTAAACCAATTATTATTATATATGCTATACACAATGACTCGGACCAAATTACAATCGATCAAACCGGAAAGCTCACTCTTTCCAGCTTCTTCTTCCCCACTTCATTTCTCAGCTAAGCTTCGCTAGGGTTTCTTTGACAATGGCGGAATCCGCGGCCGCGGCAGTTGCTCCAAGCGCCGAATTGCTGGAGTTTCCGAAGAAGGACAAGCGACGGATGCTCCACGCCGTCTATCGCGTCGGCGATCTCGATCGCACCATTCAGTAAGCTCTCTCATCTTCTTCACCTTCCTTCCCTTCTCCCCACCGATCGATTCGCTTTCGCATCACTTATCGATCTGAACTCTAGGTTTTACACTGAGGGTCTGGGGATGAAGCTGCTTAGGAAGAGGGATGTTCCAGATGAGAAGTACTCCAACGCATTCCTTGGATTTGGACCCGAAGATTCACACTTCGTCGTCGAATTGACCTACAGTATGAATTGCTCTTTCTTTATCGTTTGATTTTGAAGAGGGGAAACTAAACCGTCCCGTTAATTTGATCTTTCCTGTGCTTGCTTGCTTGCTTGCTTCAGATTATGGCGTGAGCTCTTATGATATTGGGACTGGATTTGGGCACTTTGCTATTGCCACCGAAGATGTAAGTACAAAGCATGACTATGAACTCTCTGTTCTTTGCTTTGGGTGTCTGTGAACTCGAAATATAAGTTTTCCCATTGCCTGGATAGGTTTACAAGCTGGTGGAGAATGTTCGAGCTAAGGGAGGAAGCGTGACCAGGGAGCCAGGTCCAGTGAAAGGTGGGAAGAGTGTCATTGCCTTCGTGAAAGATCCTGACGGTTACATGTTCGAGCTCATTCAGAGAGGCCCGACTCCTGAGCCTCTCTGCCAAGTTATGCTTCGTGTGGGCGACCTGGATCGTGCCATTAAGTTCTACGAGAAGGTGAGGAAATGCTCTTCTTCTTGCTCCTTACACTATCAAATTAAGGGTTCTTCATTGCGAATCTGACAGCTTTGGTTATTGTATCTTTTACTATAGGCCTTGGGGATGAAGGTGTTGAGGACTATTGACAGGCCTGAATACAAGGTGAGAGATGGTTGTTTCTTTATTGACTGGAAGTGGGAAAGTGAATTCCTTTATTCGCTTTGCTAGACTCTGATGTTCTCTGTTTTGCACTCGACAGTACACACTGGCCATGATGGGTTATGCTGATGAGGATAAGACGACTGTTTTGGAGCTGACTTACAACTATGGCGTGACTGAATACACCAAGGGGAATGCATATGCTCAGATTGCTATTGGCACCGATGATGTCTACAAAAGTGCCGAGGTGATCAATCATGTCATCCAGGAAGTTGGTGGTGGGAAGATTACTCGACAACCAGGCCCCCTTCCCGGGATCAACACCAAGATCACTTCTTTTCTGGACCCTGATGGCTGGAAAACTGTAAGTTTCTTTCTCTAGCCTCCCACAAATTTGTCGAATCGATCGGCCTTTTGCTTCATCAGTTATCTCGTGTTAATGAAAGAAGATGCTGATGATTCATTTCTGGCGATGCCTTTGGCTGTTCGTTTTTGTAGGTGTTGGTTGACAATGAAGATTTCCTGAAGGAATTGCAGTGAAGAGAGATCGATAGTTTACTGGATCTGGATGTCTGTTGAGCAAATGGACGGCGGATTATGTACTCTGTATTGCTAGTGTAGTAGTTAAGTGTTGAATAAACTTGAGAGAGCGGAGTGTAATTTTATCTTAAACTCGATTAAGTCTTGTTGCTTGCTCTAATTATGGACACCCTCCCTTCGCCTTATATTAGGGTGTGGAATGTTAGGAGCTTGTTAATGGAGATATATGTGTTTCTTCTTTACATGGTTTTTTACTATCTAGGCTACAGCCTGAACTGCCCTAGAGCCTAGCAGCTTGCGACTATCGATTGAGCTTTCCTTAGCTGCATATAACCTGCAAATGATTTTCCATCTTCACCCAAGTCTTCATGCAGGAAAAATGAATAGTTCTTCGCTTTGACAAATGACTGAATAAGGAAAACTGCATGTGTGTTAAGTTGCGAATTTAATTATGCTCTTTCGTGAAAGTATGGCGGATTTAGTAATATGAGCGATAAATAGGGAGATCTCTCGGCTTGCAAGTACCTTATTAGCAAAGTTCTAAACCAAATTTTGTGTGTTTTGCTACATGGCTGCAATAGATCCAAAGCATTGCTTTGTAAAGCAAACCAACCAAACCTTCGCCTATGCAGGACTGGAAAGGGGGAAAGCCTGCTTAATGTACTTACTCAGTTATTTAGTTACTTAGTTATTTACACCTTAATGAAACTTATTTGTTATAGATTGTAGCCGAACAAGAAAATGAAAGTAGCCAAAAACATTACAAAGGAGAAGGAAACAAAAACAAAGTTCACATCTTTCACCAACAACAAAATAAAAATAAGATCACAAATTCACCTTATAAATCCCCTATCAATAAAGTAAGCAAAGAAGAAGCAAAGAAACAAGCAAATTCTTCCTATGCGGCCGGCTGGTTGGTTGCGTTTACTCAGGCTGGTTGGTTGCGTTTACTCGGGCGATGAAATCCATACAGGCATAGGGCTGTTACGTATAGAGGCAGAGAGGGGCTGGATAGTGCCGGTGGTCAAATCGTAGATGCCCATGTCGTGACCTGCATAACGCTTTTCGTTCCACCATGGATAGCAGTCATAAGTAACATCGTCGGTGAAGTAAATGGAATTAGCCGTCAGCTCCGGATGCTCTTCCGTAGAGACGAAAGTAGGAGAATTAAAACCAACGAACAAGGCAAAATCACCGATACTATCCACCTCATCCCATCCTTTCCAGCCTCGACCGTCGTTTATCCAGTTATCATCGTCGGCTATCAGCTTGAACACCCTAAACTTGCTGGTCCAGTAAGTTACGACGCTCGTAGTAGCCGCACCATCATCATCGTCAGGTTCATCAACAACAACATCAACCGCCTCTTTCTCCTCCTCACCATCGTTGTATTTTGCAGCATACTTGCTGTCAAAGAGAGCATCATTCTCCGGCGAGACACACATGTGTCTAGTAACCATCATCAATTCGTCTCCGTCTGGACTTATCACCAAGTAGCGAGTGTCGGAGACAACAAGATCGAGTTCATTGTCGCGCAACGAAAGCTCGGGGTGATCGGGATTAGAAAGATCACAGGCGTAAACGCCACCGTTGTGGTCAAGGGCGTAGAATTTGCCCTTCCAGAAGGCCACGTCAGCGAAAGGAATGACAGCCTGATGAGTAATCGGCGTCCACTTTGCATCGCCGGGCTTGCAAAACGCGAGGCTGAAATTGCTACAGAAACAGATGGCCATCACGACGAGCTCCTCCTCCTTCGAGGAGCCGTCGGGATCAGCGGACATGGCAGTTCTTACAATGTACTTCTTCTCGGTGTACTTCTTGTCGTGTGCATACGTCTTGCCGGAGCCATAACGGAGTACATACTCGCGGCCGGGCTTTTCGGGCCGGTAGGCGAGAACGTGAGGGAAAGTTGTCAATGGCGGCAAGGGGATCTGATTCCCCGTCAGAGGGTTCAGTAAGAAGACGGGCGGCGTTTGCTGGACCATAAACAGCCAACCGAAGGCAGAGCCCCGACAGGTTTTGTCAACCGGGAAGTCAACGTGGTCGTCGTGAAACTGCTGCTCCGCCACATCGTAGCAGCGAGTGTCTTTATCGCCATCGGCGCGGCACAGGAGCCATGGCGCAGCAGCGGATTGTCGGAGCATGTTGAAAGGGAATTTGGGGATTCTACTGTTCTGTGATTCGGGGCTTGATCTGCAAAAACCTATTTATACTAAAAACATTGATGCTGCCGATCTCTTCCTACAATGATTTGGATTTGGAATTCGATTTGGATTGGGAATCCTACTCCGAAACGAAAATCCTGAATAAGGAAGAAACACAGAAGCTCTCTATAATCATGGCGCCTCTCGGACGTTTGACGCCAATTTTGTAGTTGTTAGAAACCGATTTATTTAGGGTTTCTATATTTATTATTATTATTACTAATAGGGTAACTCTTATTATGGTTAGTAGTCTTCTAGTAGAATTAGGTTTATTGTTAGGGTTTTCTAGTATTTTCCAATATATACTAGCTTATAACCCGGCCCTTTGGCCGGAATGCTCATATATGATTATTTATATTTTTATGTTACTTTTAAGTCTATTAACCCGTTTAATTTTATTGATAATTATTCGATCGAGATGATACATAAAGAAATAATATATAGGTCGAACATTCGGAGAAATATAATAATCATTAAGAATATAAAATATAAAAATGTATCATTGAGCCCATTTTCATAATGCTAATTAAGTCCCTGTTAAAATGCTATTGGTTAGTTTTCTTTGACAATCAAGAAATATATAGAGTATAAAAGCTCACTGAAATTCTCACACAACCTATTGATAGTTTGAAACTAAATCTTAAACCTCACAATCCTATATAAAGGGTTCAATGCTCTCCTTTTAGAAACAATATGTCACTAATCAAAAAGAAATAGAGAGTTGTTGATTCAAGTCATCTATATACTAAAAACTCAGCTAAGAGGGGACCATCACAACTTGAGAGCAAACGAAAAAATCAGGGTTATCTCCAATATACGAATAGACTCGATCAAAGTAATAAGGCGCAAAATTAGACACTCCTTATCTATTAGTTCCAGTAGGTTGAATAAATAATTCAAACAATCAATCAATGATTCCTCGTTTTAAGATAGAAATAGGTTATGACAGTTGCAAAAACCATAAACCTAAAGATCCAATAGCCACCACTCTCCGTTGTACAACCAAATTTCTATCTCAAGAGGCATATATTCAACCAAAAATTCAATTTCTAATCTTTCTTCTACAACTTCAGTTATTGATGAACTCCATTCTATTCGCCATGAATTGATATCGGAGTTGAAATCTTCTACTCGCCCAGCTTAAAATCTCCAACAATAAAACCGTAGTGCCAAGAGATACATGAAGATTGATTTTCAATAACAGTCTTGTACTGGGAAGTGAAAGGCGCAAACTTTGCACGATGGATGAAATTTCGGAGGAAGTTAGAAAGAGAAAAGAACAAAGATAAAAAAAACACAAAATTTAAATTTAAATTGAAAAATGCAAGGATACAACAGTAGTTACATAATTAGTTTCTTCCATGTTGGCCAATTACCCATTTACCTTTAGCAAAAATTAAGGAGAGAGCGGGAATTTAAAATTGAGAAAATTACATGAAACTCTACTATGAAAATAGAAGTATCAAGCTCGATAAAAATACATACGGTAGACTTAGTGAGCTTGCTAATTATGATGAAAAAGTCCTGATTTTCAGAGATTAACTTTGTCTATTTTTTGTATAAAAAAGGATGCAATAAATTTGTTTAGTGTAATTGGTTGTGTTTGTTATCTTTGTTTGAAGAGACCCGGGTTCAAATCTTGATATTGCTATTTTTATATGAAATAAATAATAAATGTGTAAAGACAAAAATGACCTTCCTACTTTCACTCTCGTTACAGGAAATTTGAAATGGAGAAAAGTACACAAAACTCTACAATATATTAATGGAGGATGTACTTTGGGTCATTCGTCAGATTAAGCAGAAATTAATAAAAGAATTATCTCCTTAATCCCTCTCCCTATCCTCTCAATTCTTAACCTCAATCCCTCTAAAGGATTAGGCCGATTCTCTATAATTCTTCTCCAAATTCTCCTCAAATCCCTAAATCCCCAATTCTATTCTATAAACCCTAAATTCTCAATCTCTAGATCTGATCTAGAGACCCGTTAGAAAAAGTTTCTAACAGTAGTGTGTTTCCTTGTGTGGACTGGGTGCTTTTTTATGTACTTACCTTATTGCTTGAACTGCTGTAGCAGCTTTCAACTATTCGATTGATTGAGCCTTCATTAGCTCCATATAACCCGAAAATGATTCCCCCCTCCTCTCCAAAAGTCTTCATGCAAGGAAAAATGAAAGTGGTTAGCTTTGACAAATAAGGGAAACTGCAGCAATCTCACTCAAGTTCAACACTCCTTAGAAAGTTATAGACATACACATTCTCCAGAATTGACAGAAGGAATTCCCTCAGCTCGCATCGTTATTGTAAACAATGCAAGGAGAACAAAAATGAATGAGAAAGAAGGAAAGCAGAAATGAAGGGGGGAAAACGCTGGCTCCTTTACAACAAGTTGGCAACCATCAGCAGTGCATCGATGGCGCGCCTTACCTATCTCTATCATATGTCTGTACAACATACGCCACTGCCCAACTGTTTCTTTTTCTTATCAGCCAACTGCTTTCCTTTCTGTCTTGCTACTCAAGTAAAACACACCGCGGGCTCATCTTATCGAATGGTATCCATTGGGTAGCTACCGAGAACTCGAAGGAATCTAGCAAACTCCTGCAGGAACAGCCAGCACACCAACAACAATAACAACAAAAAACATATCTTCAACAAAACCAGAACTAATGTATCGTTTGAAAGACAGCTGATGTTTCAATTTTCATACAGATGAAAGAGATAGTGAGAAAGGACCCTTGCCTCTAGGTTTGCAAGAGCACGCTGAGCACGTGGTTCTGCCATGGAAGCTGCGAAGTCTATGTAAAAGAGGTAGTCGAAGTACCTGTTTACACAGACACCACAAAGTATTGGCAAAACAGAAAATTCACTACTTCCAACCATTCTGGAAGCCACACAGATTTATGTCCCCTATGGCAACTCTCAACTTCACCCATGTCCCAAGTTTTACACTCTCGGCAGTATTCTGAATAGACCTTATGTTTCAATACTCACTTGGCACTGCCGTTGTTAGAACCATCGACCACTCTCATTGGGCGCTTTCTCTGTGGCCGGCTCTCTATCTGCAAGTTTGTCAGAAGAGAGGTAAATAGATAGGAGCAGACGGTGATTTTTCACTTTTACGTATGGAATATAAAAAAGTTCTCACCTTTGTCAAGCTGATGCCCCTCATAGCAAACACTGCCAGTGCTTTGAACAGCACACCTGGACCTTCTTCAAGGGTGAAAACAATGCTTGTCTAGAAAAGATATTGAACAACAAAGACAACGTGACTACCGATTACTGAATGATGGTTCTCCAATATTGCCTTGATATGCCAATGAAAGAACAAGCAGGAGTGCATGGTAATTACCCGATATGGCTTGTCGTTCCCAGCAATGATAGGTTCTCTCGCGAGTATAAGGAAGCGAGTAATGTTGTTTTCATCGTCCTAATAAAAATAATTGTAGTTCGAAAATAAAGTTACAATCTTTTCGCAGACAGACTGAAGTCTCTCCAACAATTGGAATATTTAGGCCAAATCAAAAGTTATGATGCCCTATATATACATACATCACTCCTTCACGAAGTAATAATTGAACACAATTACATGGCCACCGCAAAAACACAGTTAGGTTCAAATTTGTGATTCCTCTAACAAGTTTTTTGACAGACAAAATGTAGCTCAAACGGCAGTTCAAACAGTTAAAAAGATTTTGGCAACTCATTTTACATCCATGGAACAGCTTGGTACAGAGGCACAGGGAATGCCCTAAGAAACTCATTAACTATTTTCAGATGCTTTAGTGTATAGCTCAAATTTAAACACCCATGTTCCTGGAATGAGAGTCACTACTTATTTTTCTCTTACAGGCCTGAAAGCAAAATCCAGATCCCAATATGTGGATGAGAATAACACACTTCCAAAAACTTCAACAAGTTGGATGGAACTTGAAAGGAATAGAAGACCAATCGTTTTCTCACTAGGGTGAGGTCAATGATTAGTGCTAATAATCAGAATCAATTTCTTTCGTACATATATCCAAAATTAAGTGGAAGGAAAGAGGCCATAATGCTCACCTGAACATTTTTAGCTACAATATCAAGACCATAGATCTCAGCTGCTCGAGCACTAGCAACTGCCCCAGTGTCTCTTTGGCCACTTGCAGCTACTATCTGTTGACCATTTCTTCTTCCTCAGCATACAAGTATCTATAGTTTGTTCAAATGTTATTGAAAAGATGATTCTGGACATAACCTGAGCTGCACCAGCAGTATCATCAGCATTGACTCTAGTAATATTTAAGTTGCTCAATGTCATCTCACACTGAGCGAGTGCCTGCAAATAATAATAACAGAGTTGCACCATCATTTCCCATGTTGCTGGATTGTACAACAAGCTACCATCAAATGCATGAGTTTTCCCTGGGGGATTTACCCCAAATGTTTATCTTCCAGAACTTAAAGATACTTGACTAAGCCAGAATTAATCTTTTACAGAATCTAGGCATTTCGGCAGACAGCTATCGACACTGAAGGCTTCATTGGGAAACATTTCTCTAAGAAGAGCAGTGTAACTCTATCAAAATGACAAAGAAAAGTCAGCTGGGGGAACTAAAAACTTACCCTAATAGAAGATACTGATAGTTAACTAACAAATTACTTAATACATCAATGCCAAAAACTAAAAATGATCAATTAATGACTCACTTGGGGGTGGCTTAGTACACGTTTGAGCTCCTCCTTCCTTACACCAGGCAATGCCAAGAGGCAATGATTAACTTCCAGCTGTATCTCTCCTACTATATGAAGCCTATGGCGAAGGAGCAAGTCATAGTTACGATGGATGCTTCCACCAACTGAGTTCTCGATGGGGAGGACTGCTTTATCCACTAACCAAAGTTCTACAGCCTGTTAATTTGGATAAAATGAATACCATGTTATATTGATTAAAAATAAAAATAAAAAAGAAGCAAGGACAAAGAAACAGGCATTTGTGATATTAGTAACCTTGAAGGCAACTTCAAACTGATCACATGGTACTGTTTCACTACCCGGGTATGCCTTTAGTGCAGCAGCTTCACTATATGCACCCGGAATCCCCTGAAAAATGGGCAGAAAAGGGCCATTCTTAGAATTCTGATGAAATTTGATTGTGCAAAAAAATTTCTGTTTAAGCACTAACCTGATATGCAACCCTCACTTTTGTGCCATCATCAGATGAATCGTCCGTTACGCTTAACGGTCCTATATACGCCACACATACGACAGAAGAAGATCGATCGATTAGCATTTATTGAGGCCTCAAACAAATCTATCTCAACACCAATTATGAACAGAATGACAATCATTAAGACCAGTATCATCACAAATCTATCTCAATTTGAATTGCACTTATCAGCATATTAAGCTCCTGATCATCCCATATAATCTCAATCATTTAGAACACATGTCACGTCATTCCACTTAAAAGACACGGGAACAACCAGCTCAGAGGAGTAAAGCAAAGGAAACTCATCAACATTGGCAGCAATCTGAAAGCTTTTAACTTTCTTGAAGGTCCCTTTTCACAAAAGCTCATAGTTCCACCACTAATGCAGAACTCCAAAAGTTATCCACTATGAAAGACTACTTAATCAATTGGTCACATAACTAAGAATACAAGAATCTAACTCAACAATTCATCAAAATTCGGACCTCCCAAGACACTAGCGATGAAAAACCTTAAACATACTGGGAAGAAAGTTGAGATCCCTGTGAAATCCCTTGGACACAATCTCCTTGGGGCCATGAGTTGTTGCCCCAACAGGTTTAGCTGCTTCAGGGGTCAGAGGTTTCTCATCATCGACCGGAGTGACACTTGTCTGAGCAGGAACCAACGCCCAACGGCATTGCCATTTCCTAAACAGCCTACCCGGCCCCGAATCACGACCCACGGCAATGAGCCCGGGTCTCGCATGCGACCCGGGAGAATCTGGACGAGAGTTGAACTGGGCGCCGACCCAGATGGACTCCGCAGCTCTCAGGGCCATGAAAAGGTTTGCAAATTCGCAAAGCAGCAAGCTCTTTTACAGCAATGCGAGACCAGAAATGGAGACTCGGGAAACACAGCAATGGACCCCAGTGAGAAAATTCGCCAGTGAATCGGGAAAATGAGGGAAATCACTGTGATGGGTAGCTGAACAAATTTGACCTTCTTTCTTCCTTTTTCCCCCCTTCTTCAGTTGCTCTGTTGGCAACGGGCGAAAATGCGAGCAGATGGAATTGGGGAAAGGAGAGGAAGGAGGGTTCTTCTCTTGGAATTTGGTGAAGGAGAGAAGCGTTTTCAGTTGGGTAAGCTATTAATGGGTAGTGCAGCGGCCAGTTGGCGCCGCAGCTGCATAGTGCAGTAACCTTCCCCGCGTTTGTTTTGGTTTTTGTTGGTTTTGCTTCCTCTGGACTTACGGTTTCTAGATTTGTTTTCCATTTTTGCCAGTACACGTTGCCATGTATAACTCCATAAATAAACTTCCTACAAGTAGTGCTGCAAATGAGCCAAGCTGCTCTCGTTGTTTAACAAGCCAGCTCGCGAGCCGACTCGTTAGTAAACGAGCCAAACTTGAGCTAGGCCATGCTCGGCTTGATAAGCTGGTGAGCTAGCTTGACTCGGTGGCTTGTTGAGCTAAGCTCGTGAGCTGGCTTGTTTAAATCTTGTGGAAGGATTAATTACTCTTCTGAACATGAAAATTATCTTTTTAATAAGGATTTGTATGGAAGTTAGATGTTATTTTTAGTTTCTAGTGTTCTTTTTATTATTTTTAATTTTTAATGTTGTTATTTGTACACATTTTTCAGCAAGAATGGTTTCAAATCGAGCTTATCTTGAGCCGAGCTTGTACTCAGCTTTACAAGTTGTGTTAATGAGCATTTACCGAGCTCTATCGAGCCGAGCTCGAGTTGGATTATTTTTAATCTAGTCGAGCTCGAGCTCGAGCTGGATAATCAAAATTTGAGTTCGAGCCGAGCTCGAGCTAAAAAATTTATAAACAAGTCGAGCTCAAGCTAAGCAAAAACTCGACTCGGCTCGTTTGCAGGCCTACCTACAAGTCTGAAACTTTATTTTCTGGGAAGCAACGAAATGGGCCTAACAATAGCTAGAGGCCTAGAGGGGAAGTGTGTAGACTTCACCGGAGTCTCGTCATTTCTGATGTCAGGCCCATATTCCACCCGGAGTCTCATCAGTTCGGCCCTTTTCCCTTCTTAAGCCCAACAAGATATCAACCGAAAGTACCGAACGGGCAAGAACTTATTCTTCGCACCTCTTTTTTCTTCCAAAAAGAAAATATAACGAAAATTTTGTCTTCACTTCTCTACAGCACCATAAAGCAAAGAAGAAGAAGAAAAAAAGCACGTGCTGAGAGTTGAACTTATGAAAGAAAGGATTGGATGAATGAACGTTTTTTTTTCCCCATCATAAATCCGGAATCTGTCTCTATCCTTAGAAGATTTACGTGTAACCTAAACCACAAGGCTGGACTGGATATGCGCCAAGCAAAAACAAAGAAAAAAGAGATTATGAAGCAATTAGCCGTAAAGTTGCTTCTTATTATGATCATTACGTGATCCGAACGGAAGAGTCGGCCTCCCAATGGAAAATAAATCGGCAAATTGGTAACCATTGAAACGAAATCTTGTAAGATTGTTCAGTACTCTTTTGTTGATCACGGGAGCTTGACAGTGATTGGGGGACAATTCGTAATCAAATCAAATAAATAGTAAAATTATGTTCATCGTTCTGTTTTAAAGTTGTATTCGAGTGCGATACAATTGATTTTTACATATTTTGTTTGGAGAGTGCGAACACCAGTTATAATACAAGTTATATTGGTATTACCATTGGTTTTCGAGCTGGAAGTTTTAGGTCGAGTTGCTGTAATAGCACCAAGTGACAAAAAAGTCATCTATGGCAATGTTTTTCGTATATATAAACAAGGATCTTCTATCAATAGAATCTACATATATGGTTCGTTTTAGTTGAAGAAATTGGATCTTGCAATTAGACCAATTGCTTTAAAACGAAGCGATCGTGTCTAATGACCTTATTTGGAAACACCAAATGAGGATGCAACAAATCGGACGAGGCAATTTGAATTGTATCGTGTTGTATCGTTTTAATCGACAAGAAATGAAATTAGCATTGTAAAAATAATGCATTTTTTGTGAGACAAAGGCAATTGGTCAAATTCGGTTAGAAATTTTCTCTGATTAGCAACTAGTGTGGGCCCCGGCCAGTTGGTCGGAGGAAGGTAGGATGGCAATGGGTCGGGTTGGGTCGGGTTTTGCCAAATTCAAATCCAAATTCATGGGTTTATCCGTGAAAAAAATTCGGGGTAAAATCCCCTGGGTTTGAAAAACTCAAACCCAACTCAACCCCCTGGGTATCCGTGGATTCATGGGTACCCACAGGTTTTTGTCTTAAAAAATTTACAATAACAAGTTGCTATCAAAATTAAAGTCAAATATCAATCTCTCAATACAAATTATCCATATATAAAATACCATTCTAGAAAATTCAAGCAAATAACAAATTATCCATAAATAAAATGATTAATTGAAAGCTTCTTCCTTTCAATTAAGTTTCTTCACTCTCCACTCGATAACATCAACTTCATTCTACACAATTAGAAAGAAAAAATTAGACATGTCTCCACAAACATAAATAAGATAAGTTGTTTAGAATATTAAATATATCGAGAAAATTAATTATATGGGTGTGGGCGGGTACCCATGGGTCGGGTTTACCTAAACCCAAATCCAACCCAACCCGATGAATATTGAACGGGTTTAAACCCAAACCCGACCCAAAACCCGTCAACACGGATTTTACCCGCGTTGACCGAGTTGGGTAGGGTGGGTACCCGTGGGTTCGGATTTTGTTTTCATCCCTAGAGGAAGGTGAGGTATGAAATTTGATAATGTAATGGGGTGTATAACTTATTGTTGTATAGTTTTTTTGGGAAACACGTGATAAAAATAGTGAATTTTAGCAGGAAAGAGACATTAATGATGCAACAAATCAAAAATCGGCCTTATGAACCAAAATCAAGTACCTATTACCTTGTGAAACAATATTGTTTCTGGTAATATGATGAGGTGGAGTAAGTTTTATAGAAACTGAATTCCAGAAAATTGAATAAAAAATCGCCTATCCCGTCGGTTTTCGGGAAATGAGCATCTCACAATCGTTGCTAGCTTTTACTCGGCCCGTTGGCCGATTAATTTGGTTTATAAAACTTTCATCTTGTCGTCATTGTGCCATCTGGTTTTTTTCAGGCTATGATAAAATCTAAGGAAATAAAGAACGAACAACACGATTTGGGATAGGAACCGTCGTTGTCGTATCCCTAGAAAATGGTGGTAAACACGGACTCACCTGCCAAACTGGTTTGGATTGAGATTTTTATCGGGTATCAGGGAACCATGTGATTATAAATTAGACTTGATCAAAAGGGGGCCAAAACTTGAAATGCAGCCTGTTTGACCGACCCATGCCAAATTCTAATTATTCTTTACTTTTAAACTTTTTATTTGAAAATAAAAAATAGTGAAAGAAAAGAGATGACTGCCATTTGCACATCACTTATTCGGGAATAAAACCATAGAAATTCAAAAGGAACTGAAAATGTTAGGATCGTTTTAATGTTTAAAATAACCAAATAGATCTTTCTGTTTAGTTTTTTACTAACAAATACCAAACGATTCCCTATAAAATACACTATGATTTGATCATTATGATATCAAATAATTATATAATATATATTTGAAATGATAAAAATTGGACTAATTGGGTTGGTCGAGGTTGAACCATTGAATAACTTTAAAAGACATTATATTTTAGCCACTAAGATATAAAATAATAGCATAATATATTATGCCAGAGAAAATAGCTTGTTTTAGAATGTCAAACCAATGATGTTCATTTGTTTTACTTGATGGCCAAATCCCGTGTAGGTCAAACCAATTCAACTCTTTTATTTTATGGTTAGCGGTTAGCCCATTAGATACCATGCATTAGTTTATTGTTAAATTTTTTATTTTTAGCAATAAAAAGAAGTATTTTTTTTGCCTCTTCATATATATTTTTATCACCACGGAGAAATAAAAGGGCTTAATGAAAAAATTGACACTCTTGAACCCGTTTAAATCCGCATGTGTACGGTAAGTTGGCCCGTTCCACAGAGGAAAGAGGAAAAAATTGACACTCCCTATTCTATCATTCCTACAAACGCTCCTGGAGCAGGAAATTTGAAATGGGGGAAGGGTTTTTTCCTCTCTGCTATTATATCTTTTTGATTTTAAAAAGATGCAACAAATGTACTTAGTGTGATTGGTTATGATCCTTATTTTTCATTAAAATGGTCATGGTTCGAATCCCACTACGTGTCTTTTTAATGAATTAAAAAAAGTAAGTGTGAAGACCAAAATGTCCTTCCTATTTTCACTCTCGTTGCAGGAAATTTGAAATGGGCCTCCCGTTTTTCCCTTCGGTGTATTATATTATGCGTAGATGTAGTTAGAGCTGAAAAATGATCTTCTTCCGTCCAGATCATTTCATATATACTCACACGGTTTATTGTAAAGAAAATACAAGGGAAGAAAATTGTCATTAATTTCACAGTTTATCACTGACAAAACAAAACTAACATGTATCATCATTAACTAATTGAAAAGAAAAAGCCAGGTGTCGATAGAGGAGGGCGGAGGGCCCGTTTCAGTAGATTATGTAGGGGTCAACTTAACTCAGCCGGCCACGTGGTGAATCCCCAAGGCCACGCTAGCTCAAAACGGAGCCGTATGGTTTCTTCCCAACTCCCGTTCCGCTCCGTTCGTTGTTACGGCATTAATTCCTCATTTCCATGTGTCATTAACAAATGGAAGGACGATGAATTGTGATACGAACAAAGGTTTACTCTAGTAGTAGTTCTATTTTAGGTTTCAATTTAGAGAATACAAATTTGAATGCGTAAATTTTCGTAGTTAATAATGTCAAAAACCAGCTAATCTGAATAATACGATTTGTTTTGAGAACCCGTCACACAATATGTTTTAAGTCAACCACTCACTGCACTTTTTTAAGTCTTATTATAGTGATGGCAATTATATTTCCAACGGGTTAGTTGTTAAAGATGTGGTTTTCTCATGCTATGACACTATTCCACGTGGAATTTTTAAGTCACTACTCTTGTGGTCAATGGTTTGCATGGCCCCCTTTAATTAATTATTATCAAAGCCTACTGCATGAGGTTTCGTTGATATCAGGCGCCGTATAAGCCTAACAGCATTGCATAGCAATCAATCTCCGATTCTCCATCTTAAACTCGATTTGTCGTTCGTCAGCTTCTCAGAGGGATAGAGTCAGATGCTATTGAAGGGTCGGTGCTAAGAGACTGTCGTCAGATGATCGCTACCCTAGACATAGGCATAGAGGTTTGTGTAGGGATGGCAATGGGGCGGGTTTGGGGCGGGTTTGCTTAAACCTTCCCCATACCCATCTTCAAATACCCAAACCTATACCCATGCGGGGGAATGTTTTGCAAACCCATCCCCATACCCGTGGGTTTCGGGTACCCATGGGTAATACCCATACCCGTACATCCAACATTATTATACCTAAAACTTACAAGAAAAGTTCTAATTATAATTCTAAACGAACATATTATATCATGAAGTCAATAAAACACGATCATTTTTTAATATGGTTCGAAGATTATGATCCTAAAATATCCATTAATACATAATATAGAGTATAATATTTTTCAAATTATTATGTTCTAACTCTGATACATCTACTAAATAATAATTAACTAACATAATCTTATTGATAAGGGGGGAAGTGAAAGAGTGAAATGAGAATTGAGAGAAATGAATTAGATTTTGATTAAGGTGGTCAATGAATTGCATTTCTACTATTTATTTTCTCAAGTTATCCTCATCATCATTGATAGATTATAATTTGATGCACATATTTTATATATATATGAAGAAATTATCTTGGTGGGGCGGGGGAGGCTAAAACCATACCCGCCCCATACCCATCAAATTTTTTGCGGGTTTTACCCATACCCGCCCCATACCCGGTCAAAGCGGGGATTCCCCGCGTTGACTGGGTCGGGGGCGGTCGGATACCCGCGGTCATGGGTTTGATTGCCATCCCTAGGTTTGTGCGGTTCCAAGAACTGCCAATCGGGCTGCCCATAGTGTGGCAAGAAAAGCCCTTTCTCTGTCTAGTTTAGGGTTGTTTTCATTTGATTTGTTTCTTGAGTAGGAAGGGACTTATAGGGTAGTCTAATTTTCTTGTATTCTATTGTCATATCTCAGATTAAAAAAAAAAAAAACTCGATTTGTTGTGTTCGTTAAGAGATCTTGAATTTCAACTTTTCACAAAGTTCCCCAATATATGCTAGATTGGTTATCTACCCACACAACTCAAACATCTAGATTCAAAAAGTCAATAGATCGACAAATGAATGGTATATATTAAGGGAGTTGATGAGACTTGAGAGTAGAAATGACAAATGGGTAGATAAAGGACGAATATATATTTTGATTACTTATATTAGTTTACATCAGATCGTATAATTTTCTAATTTATCATGGGCGCAGTTCGGATCATATCAGATCGACTCATATGGATATTGGTGTGTAATTTAGGGCGAAAAAATATTTGAAATATTCTTTCTTTTTCTTCTAATAACTATTTTTTCATCATTCTCAATCCAAACTCAAATCAATCCTAATCGATGAACATAAATATTAGGTCATTGAATCCACTGTTGGGTACGAGAGGCAAAATTGTGGACACATGTTATATGAATAGTGACAAACCAATCCAACCAACTCCATTGATTTCCTCTCTTAATACCGTAAATCTGCGATCTGCCCCTTTCATTGCTTGCTTGCATCATAGAAGAAAGGGCTCCACTTCTCGCCAATTTGGCAAATTGAAATTCAATTTTAAAGGCTGCTGTCATTATATATATAAAATAAAATAAAATAAAGGGTGATATAATATGACCAACTAAAACCCATAGCTATCCAATAACAACACGAAACGGAGTAGTGTATAGTTGATGATATCCATTTATGGTTCCATTAATTACTAATTACTGTTTAATTCCACTCATAATTATAACGCCCACCTTCTTTTACCCGCTTGGGATACAATGACAAGTGTCGGTAAGTCATTGAGTATACTTTGTTTCCATTTGTTGTGTGATAAGTTGGTGGATACTATATTTAGTTAGTAAGGTGAGTTATATAGTTTATGCGAAGAAAACAACCCAAATGTTTTAAAATGGATATTTTGTTTTATAAAATGAATGTAACGCATGTCAGGTTTCATATATCACAAAACGAGACCAAGAGATTCCTCGATAGTTGTTCATGATAAACTGATAAAGTGCAGGATTAGAAATTGAAAGAACATGAAACCCCACAGGTAAAAAATGAGCGTAGTTGGCTAGATAATCCGCACACTTATCCACATCCCGATAGACGTTTGAATTGGCACTGCCCAATTGAGGGAAAGAAGATCCTATAACTTGTCGATTATGGTTGCATGTTGATGATCCGCCTTCGCATGCTCTGAAGGAGTTGTACTGCACAAAGAGAGTCAGACTCCATGCGTATTAGGCAATAAGCAAGGTCCCGCGACCACCGAATACCGTCCACAGTGTCTCTTAGTTTTGATCTTTGTAGTTTGTTGGTCACAATGGACTTGATTCTTTCTATGAATTGTTTTCTTTTTAAATTTGAGTTTAAGAGGAGGCAACCAGTGGTAGTGGGTGATATAATTGATCCACAAAATTCCTCTGAATGTATTGAAAATTGATTAAAAAAAAATTGTTGAACATAATGAACTCGTTTCTTTTATTCGGATTTTTGTAAAGTTTGAGTTATAAAGAAGGAACTACAATTATATTAAAGAAGTGGCAGATAATCACAACCATCAGATCTGACACGACTAAAAATTAACAAATCATATCTACTTTTGATCATAAATTAGTTAATCGAACGAGTCATTAGTTATTATTTTTCATTAATATGATCGTATTTTCATTAATAACGTTCTGTTGTCAATCCACAATTATAGTTACCCTTCATCGCTCTAACATAGATGTGGCACCGGATCCGGAAGTACCTATGCATCTTCATCTTCAACACACGTACGTTGTCAAACAAAAAAATAGGTGTCATATTCGAATTCATGCCATAGTTAACTAATAAGTAATAACCTCCACACTTGCTTGCACCATCACAATTGTTATAAATTAGTTCTTACTTAATTACGGGTTCAAGGACTATTAATAAACAAAACAACACAGAATAACCTGTTAATACTGGCAACACGAGCACTGACAATCATCTTAACCTGTAATTAATGGTGGTCAACAATGCCAGGTTTTGCTTAACTCTTTCTCAAGGATTTCTCAGAAAAGTGCATTAATAAGGGATTAGGGAGAGACTAATCTCTAACATTAATGGCTAAATGTATATAAATAAAGCTCTGGAAGAGTCCACGTGTCTCCAGCTGAAGTAGTGAAACGCCAGCTGTGTCTTGGGGGAAATCATCTATTTTCTACATGAATGTTTATTTTATTTTTCCTGCAATTATTTGGGGAGTGGGCGTTAATTATTCCATTATTGCTTGGGAGGGGCTTAATTGTTTAATTAATTTAATAATGGTTTGTAAGTATAGAGATTCGAGGACGATTAGCTGTTAAAAAGAATGGGCAGGGCTAGTGCGTTGCCACCATTGGCGTCGTGGACTCGTGCGGTTCCTTGGGCCTGCACGTGATCTCCCCACGTGACCATCATTCATCCCCCGAAGTTAATCTCATCCTTTTTTAACCACCCAAAATTTACCCTACCCACTGCTCCGATAATTAGTATGATATTTTCCGTTTTGATCCAAAATTACCCAAATTTAGTTTGTGAGCATCATTCATTTAAAAAATATCGTACAGGTAGAACTTAATAAACACATACACATTAATAATTTTTCTAATGTTTTCAATTTTATACTTGAATTGCTTCGTAACAAAATCAATTTATCTCGCATTATTTTCAATAACTCGAATTACAAATATAAAATATCAATAATTTGACATAGGATTCGGATTTCTCATAACGGTCGCGTAGGCCAATGCTATGAACCGCCAATTGGACACCCTATCTTTCTCTCTTGCGTTTATAAGCCGATAACATAAAGTAATCCATCCAACGATCCGAGTTAAAAGCCAGTACATTTTTTAAGCCCGTGGTAATCCCAACTTTGCCCCTGCTCAACCCTAAATTCACATCAATGCCACAGCCGCTAAACGCCAATGCTACAAACACGCCAACCGCCCTTCTTCTCATCCGTTGACAACCACAAGAAAAAAGAAAGGAAGAGAAAGGGGGAAAAAAAAAAAAAGAACAAGAGCACGTGGCCGGGCCTCACGATTGAGGCAGTGGGCTATAGTGTAAGAAGGGTAAACAAATGGTATGAGATTGCAAGTTTTCCATCTCTTCCCCGCACCCAGTTGAGCCGGCCCATCTTCTGTTCCAGGTGACAGCTGATGCAACCCACTACTCCAGCAATAGTGGCATTCCCGTAAAATACGGAACGTTGCGGTCCAACACCGGCGGCCCACCACCACCGCACCGGTTAACTGAATAAACTGACAGGCAGGCCCAATAAGTAGAGATGAACACCACCACCATCTGACCATCTCGCTCATTAGTCATTCGTCCTCCCTCCTATTTTACTGTTTTACCAATTACCATGAGGTGAAATTGATTTTGACTGAAGAAGCCCAAATAATTGGTGGCCGATTAAATGGGTTATGAATCATAGAGCAACTGAATTCATTTCAACGAGAGTCAGACATTTATGTATCTAAGCCATAGTTTCAGTTGGCATGACGATTACTCAATTAAAATAATGTTATTAAGATATACTCAGTCCAATTTTGAAGGAAAATCCGTGATCGTGTTAGATTAGTAGGTCATCAGTTAGCATATCAGTAGTAGAATCGCGAGTCTACTAGAAAATAAAATTAGGCATGAATAAAAATCTTACTTGCATATATATCCAATCATTAGTTACGAAACAAGAAACTCTCTTTGCACTAGGTTGCTTAGATTTTAGGTGATATCACAAGTAAGAGGTATATCGCAACTATTTAAGCGACTGAGATCGCATGAAGTGCGATCCAACGACATCAACTCGCATAAAATTCGCTACCCCTTCAACATAATAAACTTAACACCCTAGGTTATTGCTAGCGGTGTCAGTTCGGTTTCGTTAATTAAATTGAAACTATTTAAAACAGAAAATCGATACAAGACTTTTCCTTAAAACTGAAACCAAACTTGTTAATGGACTAATTGATTTTTTTAGTTAACCGAGATCGAAAAACGATAAGCCTTTTAACAGACTCGATTTTCAATTTGAACAAACCAAAACACCTACACCAGTCGTAGTAGTTTCAATTACAGCATGGCTTAGGCCAGGTTCTTATCGATTTTCAGTTTAAATCAAAACCGAAATCATTAAAATACAAACTAAAACGGACAACGAAGCAAAATCGATAAGCTTCAAATCGATTCAGTTTTGTACTAAACCGCAACTGGCCAACCCAATTTTCCCAGCCCTAGCTCTGGCTCGACAGTTTGTGGTTGGTTGGCCTTTTGGGTCAATCAAAGGGCACCCTAGAAATAATGCACAGGGGCAGTACCGCATTTTCGCACTATGGAGAGTGATTGATGTTTTGGCTTTCTCACCGGTGGCAGAAGGAAGAGAAAAAAAAAAAAAGTGATTGGTCAGGGAAAATCTATCTCTTTGATTGGGCAGTGAAGATAGATGGAGAAAGATCTGTCCATTCATTGTGCTTCTTCGCCTCTTTGTTTTTTTCTCTCTTTTTTCACTTTTGGTATTGCCGTCCTCCAACCCATTTCCGGCAATACTTGCCGTCCCTTCCGATATCCAAACAGGGATTCTATTCCCCCCTCTCTCTCTCACTGCCGCAGCAGCACCCTTTTTACTTAACCACTGAGTAAAAGACAGAGTGTGCAGTAAAAAAACAGCGAGTAAAGAAACATATGAAAATTGGTGGCTATTTGGTAAAACTGAACAGTGATTATCAAGCAGTAATACTGTTAAAAGAAAATCCCAAATGGGAAAAGGGAAAAGGAAAAGAAGGCTGGTAGATGCTAACGTGAGCGGTGAAGCGCAGTGCGCACCTCACATGGGCCAAAGCGAAACAAAACAGAGGGGGGAAGTTGGGGGATGCTACGTGGCGGAAAATGGTAGGGGGTGCGTACGTTTGTGGGTGGGTTTTTTCTTATTTGTTTTTTTTTTTTTTTGGGCTTATCATTTGCCATGTCCTCGGTCCATGCCTGTGTCTGTATCACTGTCAGCTTCAGGCTAAGGTGGGGGAGTGATGAGCCCAATTATTATTTTTTAAGAATATTATCTCCATAATAATTTTCAATAATCACTCATTATTGTTATTCTAGATATAGGTTTTTTTTTGTTTTAAACATGATTATGGATTTTATGAGAATTGAAACTTTTGTTGCCCTTTTACAATTGGGGTTTCTTTGATTAAGGATAATTTCCATGGTGATATCGAGATAAATGTTTGTTTGTTTCAACGTGACTTGCATACAGTTTTATTGTGTACTTCAAAATAGCCTTCTAATGATCTCAAACTTAATAGTTTCGAGTCGTTTTCAGAATTGTGAACTATGCTTCACGTAGTGCGGGGCACTCCAAACCTCGAGAATTTTGAATCCTCTGCAGACTATAGCTGATATAATTTTATTTGATTTCCTGGACTAGGAGGAAGATGTGCGGGTAGTATTGTATTTTACTCTGACTCGATGTATTTAAGGGGGAAAAATTACATTACAACAATTTTTTTTTATTGTAGTTGAAGGGAGTGAAACGAGAATAACGATAGGGATTACAAAGGGAAATAAGAGCGGGTCGAGACAGGGACATAAATAGAAGTAGATTAAGATTTTCGTTTGCTGTTAAATGACGGTATCGTAAATGCATACATATCAAATAAACACGCAAAATTATTTCTCGTTAACTAGCTTTCACTTGATAAAAAACTAAATTAATCCCATTACTTTTTTTTTACCTGACCAAAACTCTATTCCCTTTGAGATATGGTTGTGTGATTCAAATTATCCATCCATTTATTGCATAATTAATCCCATAACTCTTTTTTCTTTAGAGAAATCCCATAACTCATTGGTTAACTCAGATTAGTTATAATTACGAATTATATAATAATTATTCCCAATAATCTCTCTCTCTCTCTCTCTCCTTCAGTCCTTTCCTCTCTTTCTCCTCTGTACTTATTTGTTCTTTTTTCCTTTTTCCCCCTTTCTCCCATTTATTTATTCATTCAATCTCCATTTTTCAGGCAGTACTAATAATTCTCCATCTCTCCCCCTTTGGCTCTTTGCTCTTTAGCCCATTCAGCTCCCACTTATCCTCTTCTTCACCTATCCCACACAGAGAGAGAAAGCTTTGACTCGGAATCTCTCCTCTCACCATTCCCCCAAATTTCCTCCTCCGGCGGGATCTCCGCCATGGATCGGAGCCCGAAGCGGCGGAGCATCTCCCCCGACGACGCGACTCGCTTCCCCGACGAGGTCCTCGAGCGGGTCCTGGCCCTGCTCGACTCCCCCAAGGACCGCAGCGCCGTCTCCCTCGTCTGCAAGGACTGGTACAGCGCCGAGAGCTGGTCCCGCCGCCACGTCTTCATCGGGAACTGCTACTCCGTCTCGCCGGAGATCGTCGCCCGCCGGTTCCCGAGGATCCGGAGCGTCACGCTCAAGGGGAAGCCCAGATTCTCCGACTTCAACCTCGTCCCCGACAACTGGGGCGCCGACGTCCACTCCTGGCTCCTCGTCTTCGCCTCCGAGTATCCGTTCCTCGAGGAGCTCAGGCTCAAGAGAATGAGGGTCACCGATGAGAGCTTGGAGTTCCTCGCTCTCAACTTCCCTAATTTCCGAGCCCTATCTCTCCTGAGCTGCGACGGATTCAGCACCGGCGGCCTTGCCTCCGTCGCCACTCATTGCAAGTAAGCCGCCATCGATTCATTTCCACCGGATTTCAATTCCAGATCTGTGCGGTTCTTGTTTCTTTCAATTTTCCGGGAAAATGTCGAGAGAAAACTTTTTCTGTTTGGCTGCTTGTTTCCCCTCACCGTTTCGCAGTTAATCCTATTTACCCCTCTTTTTCCTGTCCTTCGGATGAAAAATGTTTGGTTTCCTTTTTCCACGATGTGACGTATGGCCTGAATAATGTGCATTAATAATAATGGATCATGGCATGTACTTGATGTCATTCTCTCTATAGATATCCCAAAAACTCTTAAGGAAAACCATTATTGAGCTTATAGTAGTTATAATAGTGCTATCATTCGTCATTATGGGTTAATACATGTGAAATAATTACAGTTCATCATAATTGGGTTTCCTGCCAATACGATCCTCCTGCTGCTACTCTGGTTGTCCTATGGATAAAAATACCAGCTTGGTGTCACCTGTTCATCAGGCATCGAACTTGGTATGGTGTCAACTAAAAAACCAGATTCAGAGTATGATGTAGACAGATGGGAATATTAATGATGAACTTTTAGTGCGGATTCGATGTTTAAGTTGTCCTAGTACTGAGTTTTAGAATCCAATGTGAAGTGATCCAACCGGGTTTAATCAATCATGATTGCGAATCAAATTTCAATTTGCTGAGATGGGTTTGTCGCTTTTGCTTTTGCCAGGAATCTGACTGAGCTGGATATACAAGAGAACGGGATAGATGACTTTGGTGGGGAATGGCTGAGCTGCTTTCCTGACAACTTCAACACATTGGAAGTCCTGAACTTCTCCCACCTGAACACCGATGTGAACCCTGATGTGCTGGAGAGGCTCGTGAGCAGGTGTAGATCGCTGAAGGTTCTGAAAGTCAACCGGAGCATTTCATTGGATTGCCTGCAGAGGTTGCTCGTTTCTGCTCCGCAGTTGACTGAGTTGGGCGCTGGCTCTTTCTCTCAAGAGCTCACACCGAGGCAGCATGCGGATCTCGAGCATGCCTTTGGTCTGTGCAAGAATCTGAGTGTGCTTACTGGGTTGTGGGAAGCGACGGCGATGAATCTCTCGGCTGTTTACCCAGCTTGCTCGAGGCTGAGTTTTTTGAACCTGAGCTATACTGCTTTGCAGAGTCAGGAGCTTGCTAGTCTTCTTCCTCACTGCCCTTGTCTTCGTCGTCTCTGGGTGAGTACTATCAAAGACCCTCCTTGGTCTCTCATCGTTGAGCATAAACCATTGCATTTGACCAGGGCTTGTTTTGATGTTGCTCAAACATTGCATTTCACATATTTGTCATGGCGCATCATTAATTCCCTGTTCTTATTGAACATCTAATGGTCAATTTCTCCTATATCTTAATTCATAGTTCGCCTGGAGCATTATTCCCTGTTCTTATTGAAACTAAAAAGTTATGCGGTTGACTTTCCTACTCAGGTCCTGGACTCAGTGGGAGACAAAGGCCTTGAAGCCGTGGGAGCAAACTGCCCATCCCTGGAAGAAATCCGCGTCTTCCCCGCCGACCCTTTTGACGAGGACATGATCAACGCAGTCACCGAATCAGGCATCGTCGCAGTCTCCCAGGGCTGTCCCAAGCTCCACTACATCCTCTACTTCTGCCGCCAGATGACAAACGCCGCGGTGGCCACCGTGGTGCGCAACTGCCCGGACTTCACCCATTTCCGCCTCTGCATTATGAATCCAGGCCAGCCCGACCACACCACCAATCAACCTATGGACGAGGCCTTCGGTTCCGTCGTGAAAACTTGCAAGAAGCTCCAGCGGCTCTCTGTATCCGGTCTCCTCACCGATCTCACGTTCAAGTACATCGGCAAGTACGCGAAGAATATGGAGACGTTGTCAGTGGCCTTTGCTGGAAGCAGTGATCTTGGGATGCAGTATGTCATGGAGGGATGTTCGAAGCTGAGAAAGCTGGAGATCAGGGACTGCCCGTTTGGGAATGCGGCGTTGCTTTCCGGTTTGGAGAAGTACGAGTCGATGAGGTCGCTTTGGATGTCGGCTTGCAACGTGACGATGAATGGATGTAGGGTTCTGGCCAGAGAGATGCCGAGATTGAACGTGGAAGTGATGAAGGAGGAAGGGAGCGATGATTGCAAGGCGGATAAGGTGTATGTTTACCGGACGGTTGCTGGGCCAAGACGAGATGCTCCTCCTTCTGTCCTCACCGTCTCCAGTCTATGACAATTTCATCAGTCAGTACTCCTCATCTTTCTTTGTCTTCTCTCTTTCTTGAAATGCCTCTACTTCCTCTCTTCTCCGTTAATCCTATGATGATTAGTTTGCTAATAAAAATTATTCGATTTGTGAAAACAGTGTGATGATGCTTCACCGAGCAATGGTTCGCGAAAGGAAGTTATAACAGCACGCAGCAATGTTCGCTGAAATCTGTCTATTGGAGGCTGCAATACTATGCAAAGTTATGAACGATACAAAACCAGCTCATCCCACAAGCAACCCTGCCATTGCCAAGCCATTCGTGCACCTTAGTGAAATCCAGAAGAAGAGAAGCAACCCAGACTCGGCATAATAGCATATAATCTCATCATAAACACGGGCCGACGAGGATTGAGCCTGCCGCGATCCCATTGCAGCTTAAGATCATCACCCATCATCGTGTGAGTGTCACCAAGTACAGGCCTTGGCTACCATAAATTGCAGTTGGAGAATGATGGGAATTTGGAGGAAGGAGACAATGCAAACACAGAACCAGACAAAAGGCTACGTGGTTTCTGGTGGGAAGCCGCGTTTGGTTGGCTAGATTATGGGTGCTGGCTGACGGGAAAGATGGCTGCAATGTTGGGTCCGAAGCTGCTGGCGAAGAATGAACCACGAAATGGCGGATAAGATGGAGATGTCAAGTATCGCTCTCTCTCTCTCTCAAAAGACAAACTCTGCTTCGCTTTTTGTTGTGCATTATTTTGCTTTCATGTCTTATCTTTTTGCTGGATTGGACTTGAGCAGGCATATTCCTTTTAAGTTTTTTTTTTTCTCCCTTCTTCTCGCCTATTGAAATCTGGAGGGGTTAATTTCGGTTTTCATTCTTGTTTGGACATTGTGTGGCCGGCCATGTGGAGTTGGTAACCTGTCCATTATTATGGTATTGGTCTCTCATGACGTGTAGTATGGAGCTTTTTCTTTTCAAGTGGGCATTAAGATGTTACAACTTGGAATTCGTTTCTAACCAAGCATTGATTAATAACAATATATTTTACTAGAAAAGGCTCAAGGAACGGACCATCGGTTTCGATTTTTGTAAGTAATTGTAGTGTAAAGCAGGGCGAGTATTTATCTAAAACCCAACATTGATCATTACTCAAAAGCCCAAATCGGAGGAAAGTCCTTCCCAATGTATAACCAGTAGTTTTTTTTCCCTGGCTAATATCACTAAAAATATCCACCTTTAGCAAATTCGTCGGTAACTTTTGATATGTCATTTCAATATTAAATCGTATTTTTCGTTAGTTTGACCCATATGTTTAAATGGGAGACCGGTCAAAGTCTTATCAGTGCCTAATCGAATCTTACCTGACTCGCTGATGTGTCACTCACAATTTTATTCATTTAAGTTTACTTGAACAACCATCAAGCTCATGCTCAGGGCAGGTTCGAGTAACTCTTTATTGTATGGATTGGACACCAATGCACCCTTCGGTAAGGTTGTGTTGAAGTCTTCGAAGCTTAACTAGAAATTTTTGTCTACAATTAAAGGACTTCACTCCCAGTTTATCCCACGTAGTTAGGACAACAAGTTTATAGTGGAAAAATGAGTTTTTTTTAATACTATTCAACGACGAGGAGTCGATTTGGACAAATCACTATGTATTCTGCCATTGTGATGGTTTCCTCTTATTCTTCTTCTTCGTTTGTTTCTCATCCCTCATGAACTAATCTCCTTTGATGTTTTGCTGAGACGACCTTGTCAATCTAATTTTGGATTGGTTGAATGCAATATACACCTACAGACCCTCAGACATGGTTTTGTTAGTGGCCATGCCCGAGCCCCTGAGGTTGAATATAAATAGGAAAATTTGTCTACTTAAAGGACTTTTATTCCTCTTTCGTACAAAGATCTACGAGTTCGGAGTAAAATGAAAGATTTTCCCCCCAATTATTCAACCCTTGAAGTCGATTTGGATGAATCAAGATGTTATTTTTTGCCATTTCAACTATTTCTTCCTCGTTAATTTCCCCATCCCTCTTGAACAGTTGAACTAATATCGTTTGTTGTTTGTGAGAGATGTTTGTTTTCCTTTCAAAAATTTATCAATTTTATCTTTCGAGTATCGATAATTGAGCGTTCACTAAGTACTTGTTTATTTCGTGTGAATATTGATGATGGTATCCCCAATGCATTATTGAACACATAGACATGGAAGAGACTGATAAGGTTGCCATAACATAAAACCATGTACGACCTTCGAAGAGGCCAAGAGGGTGAAACATAACATGTTGATTAGGCATAGAAGAGGCTACGAAAATCGAGTCAAAACTAATGGATAATAGTGTTTTAATACACGAGAATATCAAGTGAACACTAATCTGAGAATTTCTACGATCAAGGAAAGAACATAGAATCCTATAATGTGTCTAGTTAATACATGCGAACTAGCTAGTGGGATTCGAGTTATGCACAACACATTCTCCTACTTTAGCTTCTCTCATGAAATGGCGCTTGACCCCTTTGATTTTCTTAGTAGTAATTTAGTTTAGTTCAAACCACTTGGTTGAACCAGCTAGGTAATACAAGACAAGCTATATACTAGTATTCAAAATCGTCGGGGGATACAATCTTGCTTTCTCTGTATGGCATTTAAAACGTTACGTCAATTTGCCTTACTTTAGTCGCACTAGAAAGTTATCATTTTAACTAAGAGATAAGACATAAACTCAGAAACAAGGTTAGGAATATTACGCCAATTATCTGAAATATGATATGGCGAGCGAACAAATTACCTAATTTGCATGTGAGATAAAAGAAACACTAACAATTCAATCTACGTATTATGCGTATGTCATTGACTTATCGTACCGATCGAGCCCACACCATACCACGTTCTGAAAGGTGAATAGAATAAGAGAGTTGAAACGATGATTTGACAATATGTGAAAACAATATAGATAGTACCATATTCTTGAGCTAGTTTAAAATTTTTGAATAAAAATCTTGCTCCAACTTCAACACCATAACCAGTCACTTAGAAGTTAGAACTCCATTATAGGTTACAACTATTCCTAATAACCAATCTCCCTTCAAGTCTTCTTCCTTTCTTCTTTGTCATCATTTGTTCTTTTTTCCTTCCCCCCTTTGGCCCTTTCCCTTCCTCCCATTTCTTTATCTATTCATCCAATCTCCATTTTTTGGGCAGTACCAATAATTCTCCATTTTTTGCTCTTTTGCCCATCCACCTCCCACTTATCCTCTTCACCTACAGGAAGACAGATAGAGATTTCACTAAGAACAAAGAGAGAGAAAGCTTTGACTCCAAATCAGAGCATTTCCCATCTTCTCCCCCGGCGGGGATCTCTGCCATGGATCTGAGCCCGAAGCAGAGCAGCCCGTCGGAGTCGACTCGCTTCCCCGACGAGGTCCTCGAGCGAGTCCTTTCCCTGCTCACGTCTCCCAAGGACCGGAACGCCGTTTCCCTGGTCTGCAAGGACTGGTACACCGCTGATAGCTGGTCCCGCCGCCATGTCTTCATCGGGAACTGCTACTCCGTCTCGCCGGAGATCGTCGCCCGCCGGTTCCCGAGGATCCGGAGCGTCACGCTCAAGGGGAAGCCGCGGTTCTCCGACTTCAACCTCGTCCCTGATAACTGGGGCGCCGACGTCCACTCCTGGCTCCTGGTATTCGCCTCTGGGTGTCCGTTCCTCGAGGAGCTGAGGCTGAAGAGAATGAGGGTCACCGATGAGAGCTTGGAGTTCTTGGCGCTCAACTTTCCTAATTTCAGAGCTCTATCCCTCCTGAGCTGCGACGGGTTCAGCACCAGCGGACTCGCCACCGTCGCTACTCATTGCAAGTAAGCCACAGTCGATTTCAATGATTGCCCTTTCGCTTCCAGATCTGAGCTCTGCTTCATTAATTGCGATTCCAGATCTGGTCTGCTTCATTAATTTATTAGGCGGAATTTGATTTTGTAGTCATCTTAGTAAACTGAGTTCAGTACTTCAGTACCCAAATGTGATGCATCCTTGATCAATGGATCATTGATTGTGGATCAAATTTCAATTTGTTGAGATGGGTTGTTGCTATTGCTTTTGTTTAACTTAGGAATCTGACTGAGCTGGATATACAAGAGAACGGGATAGAGGACTTGAGTGGGGAATGGCTGAGCTGCTTTCCTGAGAACTTTAACACATTGGAAGTTTTAAATTTCTCCAACCTGATCACCGATGTGAACCCTGACGTACTCGAGAGGCTTGTGAGCAGGTGTAGATCGTTGAAGGTTTTGAAACTGAATAGAACTAGCTCCTTGGATCGCCTACAGCGGTTGCTCATTTCTGCGCCTCAATTGACTGAACTGGGCGCCGGCTCTTTCTCTGAAGAGCTCACGCTGCAGCAGCATGCGGAGCTCAAATATGCTTTCGGTCTCTGCAAGAATTTGAGTGTGCTATCTGGATTTTGGGATGCGTCGGCACTTAATCTATCAGCTGTTTACCCTGCTTGCTCGCGGCTGAGTTTTCTAAACATGAGCTATACCGCTTTGCAGAGTCCGGAACTTGCAAGTCTTCTTCCTCACTGTCCTTGTCTTCGCCGCCTCTGGGTGAGTACGATGAAAGACCCTTTGATGGCCTGGTCTCTCACATTTGTTTTTCTGTAGGCATAGAACATTGCATTTCACTAGGGTTTGTTTCGTAAAGCAGGGATCATTCCCTTGATGCTGGTAAACCATTTTGATAGCAAACAAGTATGCATATAAGATATAACATGTCATTTTACCATGGTTGGTTTGGTCACCAGGGATCGTGCCTGATCCTGTTCTCTGCATTTGGTTTGGTATTGCAGAATTGTATCTCTAGGCTTCTTGTTTTGCTACACAATCTTATATCTGGACGTTCATTCTCTGATCTTATTGAACTAACAATTATTTGTTTGACTTCTAATTAAGGTACTGGATTCAGTGGGAGACAAAGGCCTTGAAGCCGTGGGAGCCAACTGCCCATCACTTGAAGAAATCCGCGTCTTCCCCACCGACCCTTTCGACGAGGACATGATCCACACAGTTACCGAATCAGGCATCGTTGCAGTCTCCCAGGGCTGCCCTAAACTCCATTACATCCTCTACTTCTGCCGCCAGATGACAAACGCTGCAGTGGCCACTGTGGTTCGCAACTGCCCAGACTTCACCCATTTCCGCCTCTGCATCATGAACCCAGGCCAACCGGACCATACCACCAACCAACCCATGGATGAGGCCTTCGGTGCCGTAGTAAAAACATGCAAGAAGCTCAAGCGACTCTCCATCTCCGGTCTTCTCACGGATCTCACGTTCAAGTACATAGGCGAGTACGCCAAGAATTTGGAGGCCTTATCTGTGGCCTTTGCTGGAAGCAGTGATCTGGGGATGCAGTATGTTATGGAGGGCTGTTCGAAGCTGAAGAAGTTGGAGATTAGGGACTGTCCGTTCGGGAATGTGGCGTTGCTTTCCGGTTTGGAGAGGTACGAGTCAATGAGGTCGCTTTGGATGTCGGCTTGTAATGTGACGATTGATGGGTGTAGGTCTTTGGCCAGAGAGATGCCGAGGTTGAATGTTGAAGTGATGAAGGAAGAAGGGAGTGATGATTGTAAGGCAGATAAGGTTTATGTTTATCGAACCGTTGCTGGGCCAAGACGAGATGCTCCTCCTTCTGTGCTCACCTTCTCCGGTCTTTGAAAATTATCAGTGAGTAACTCTCGTCTTCTTCTACCCTCTTAAAAAAATGCATGCTCTCTCTCAGCTTCCTTAATCCACTGTTGATTATTTAGCTTATAAAGACTTGTAAATTGTTGATTTGTGTAAAAACAGAGTGACGATGCTTCAACAAGCTTTGTTCCAAGGAATGGTTTGGAAAGGAAGAGAAGATAGCATGTACCAAGTATTTGCTTAATCTTGTCAATTTGCTGGGAGGCTGCAACTCCATGAAGTCATGAAGCTATCTATCACCTACAAGAAAGGGCTGAAATCCACTGCACTCATTCCATCCGTGGAGCTTCTAGACACTCTTGGAGTAGTGAAATCCAGAAGAAGAGAAGAAACACACAGTTGGCACCAGAGCATATCATTCTCTTCCATCATTAACATGGGTCGACGATGATCAAGCTAGCCGCGAACCCATTGCAGGTTATGAAAAAATAAGACCCACCACCGCCACCACCATCATCATCATGTGTGATTGTCGTCACAACGCAGGCCATGGCTACAATTAATTGCTTGCTGCCAAAGTTGATGGAAATTTGGAGAAAGGGGATAATGCAACAGAGACCAAACAAAGGCTACTACTTCCATGGTTTCTGGTGGTGAGCCATTTAGCTTAGGGGGTTGGCTAAAGGAGATGATGGTGTTTTGTTGGTCCTAGAGTGAACACCACGAAATGGCGGGAATGGTGGAGATGTCAACTGTCGTCCTCTCTCTCTCTCTCTCTGTTCTTTCTTTTTTGTTTTTTATTGAAAGAACCCTGCTTCTCATTTTGTTGTGCATTATTGGCTTTCATGTCTGTCCATCTTTTTTGCCGGATTGGACTTGAACAGGCATCTGGCTTTTTAAGGGGTCGTTTGGCAAGCTGTTTTCCATTAGTATACACGATTTTCAGGACATCATGTATTTTTGTAATTGGGATTTGTAAGAATTCGTGTAATGTTAGAATATAGCACGAGTGCACGACCTTAATGCATTTACAAGATGCAGAAAAGAACAATGTAATGATTTTCTTGAAATAATGTATTCTTGAAATCAGGAGTTGAATACATGATTAGAACCTGAAACCCTTTTCTAAGCATGCATGCTTAATACTCAGTATCTTTGACGAGGTCAAGGCTAAACGACAGTGTTCACTCAGAAAACGACCCAGAATCGAGCCCTGAAATCCCAAATCCAAAGATTACAGTCTAAATCTAGCATAAATCCAAACCAAACACCGATTCAAGAACCCTGCGAGCTCCATGAAATATTGGTCAAACTTTCCTTTGGGCGACATTCAAGTTCTTTTTCTTCTTTGAGGGTTGAGTATGTCTAGGGAGAAGGTGGGCTTATGTAGATGGGTATTTTCGTGTGTGGGCCGCGCAGCCTTCTGAACACTGCTTGACCTTGTGTAAGAGAGAGAGAGGCTTAAGAAAGCCTACCACGAATTACTGGGCCGGGCTTCACCGTTCGAAATTTGGGCTTGCACTCTTTTTTCTTTTGTTTGCTTCCTCTTGGAATGCAAATCCTCACTGTTATTAGGCTACGTGCCAGGAACACAAGAACAAACGGGTAACAAATAAACAGACAGGCGACGAAGAAGAAGAAGAAGAAGAAGAGAAGCTTTTTGGTAACTTTATTAACAGCGCCTTGATAATGGCGTCAACGCACAGTCACTTTCCTCCCTCTGACTGTTTCAGTCGTGGATGAATTGAGAGAGGACCCACCTATTGATCCAACCTGAATTAGGTTCAACAATTAAGAAAATTTATTGTAGGTGTACAAGTCTTCTTCATCAAATTCAGACAAAAAAAAAAGAAGTAATAGTTGGTATGGCTACTATTGCGAATGCGGTAAGGCTCGCTGAAGTTGTAAACGACATACAACACGTAGAAAAATGAACTGTACCGATGCTGGAAAAACCTTAACAGTCCTTTTTTGTTGGAGACAGAGGCTCCCGGCGAACGCGAACCCTGCCGTCGTGGAGAGGAATTTTACAATGCTGTATAATATTGTTTCGGTAGGTTTTTGCATTTATGGTATAATTTGAATTTGCATTTTAAACGTTGTGGTACAACTTCATATTATATCTATATGCTTTTGTACAAAGTATTTTATGGTATAACTTGAACGTGTACTTTTATGTGAAGACACAACTTTAAGTTGTAAAGTTGTATCATAATATAAGAGTACAAATTTCTTTATGGTACAACCTTGACTTATACATTTAACGTTATGATACAAATTCAAGTTGCGAGAAAATGCTCAAGTGTTGGGTGCTGGATTGAGAGTTGCATGAGTCCCTTTGCGATTTCTTCATACTACTAAGGGATTTGGAAATAGTAACTCTAGCCGTTCAACGAGAATTATGGACGAATATAAATCAATCATCCTCAAATTCCCTCTACATATTCTTTTTTTTTCGTCATTTTTATTCCTATCGTTGCAAGTTTTCGCACATTCTATATCTCCGATTATATCCAATCTCCGCTAAATCTATACATTTGTAACAATCGATCTGGGGGCATCAATCATCCATCAACATGACGAAATGCTCCATCATCGTGAAATCGAACTCGTATCGTCACTTTTCGATCGGTCGACCCGAACCATGACTCAAAAAGGGTTAGTAAATCTTGCACATCATATGTTTTTTCTACATGATGTAGGATGATGAGAGGTTGAAAGTAGGATAATTATCATATAAGAAGAAGTTAATGATGTGATACGCCGGAAGGAAGGTTGTGAATTGCGACATCCAATCATTTTCCTTCACGATACTCACTATTCTTCTACTCGGTTTGGTTTGGTGGTATGTCTCATTCTCATGGGGAGCACAAGGAAAAGGGCTTATACCTACCGTATCAACTCACTCACAAATTATATTAAAAAAAAAAACTCAAGTCTTAATCATATCACAACGATCTAAGTTTATGTGAAACAATTAATTGCTTTTTTATAAGTTATAGGAGTCGATTGGCTAATGGTTTGTGTCCATATATTGGTTTCATGGCTTAAGCAAAGTTAGGAACAACATGCAATAATGTTGAACCTTATATGACCAATGCAGTCAAAAGCGCGATTCTACGTAGAAACGTTTTGATGACCTAGAATCGTAAAATCGTAAGATTTTAAAGCATAGATTTTGACTACATTTATAACAGAAAAGTGTGATTCTACATTCTACTTAGAAGCGCTTTGGTGACATAAAAGTGTAAAAACGTAAATTTTTAAGTTTTAAATCGCGATTTTGACTGCATTGTACATGACTACCAAGAGTAGTTTAGGTGTTTTACAATTATTTCGCTGATCTATTGCTTATAATTCATTGAATCCAAAAAAAATTGACAAATTTCCACAATTGATCTTTCACTTTGAGAATTTAAATATTTCACAAGCTACATATTCTTAATATACACTTGTTTCAGTCCCTCGGAAAAGTATTATTAGATGATTGAGAAGGAACCAATGCCTAACTCCTGCATTGCGCAATACAGACAATTGATTTGAGCATAGGATTTGGTAGGTTTGCAAAAATCTGAAGTGATTTTTTATCTTCCCACACTCTTAATAAACCCTGATCAATGTCAATGGGTTATTTATATATAAGTTCGCAAGGAGTTTCAGAAGACGTGCGAGAAGAAAGATACAAGATCTTGTTTGAATTTTTTTAGCTAACTTAGACATAATGGTTAAGTAATGGAGATCATGACAAAGTCCATCTTGCAAACCACAGAATTTCCATATCCAAGAGGAATGACTTGTTAAAAACACAGTTTGGAAACCATATATAGGCCTTACTATTTGTAGTCCTAACTAATTGACTTCATTTCATTTGATCTCAAAATCTTAAACCTCAATCATGGAGCTTTCCATCTCTCTGTACATGCCATTGTCTTCAAAGCCAAGACACATACAAAAAAAAATTGCAATGAACATAACCTATAACTTAGATAGACATGGTTTCCTATACAAATTTCCCCCCTTTTCTTCACCACTACTCAAGCTCCATTGTCTTCTTCTTCTCCCCCAATTGTGCAAAACTATCACTTTCTTGCCTTTGCATACAAATCATGCCGACCACTTTCCATATTATGTGACACACTTTGCACCTAACACTAGGTGGTGCATTAAAAGCCAACCAATATGCTAGTAATTGTGTGAATTGTAGCCTACACAACAACCCCCATAATATATGGTGTAAACAAACATATAATCGGCTACATAACTTCCCAACCAACGGCACAATTCTTATCAAATGATCCTAAACTCAACGACTCCAATTGGTTGGAATATTAGATTACTAGACTAGTCATGCATCATGGTGAATTGGTGGAGTAGATGAGCCACCTCATCAACATGGGCAAAGCGTCGATCGCTAGATCAGCTAAGTCGTTATTCATAAAAAAAAAGAACTAGTTACGAGTCGCGCTCGATTCATCTCATAATTTTAACTTGACTGTAGTGTGGTAAGGTTATTCCACGAATGAATTTTTCAACTAGCGTACTCCACTGTATATCAACATGGCTGCTGGCCGACGATTCTATCTCGATGGTTGGTTGTATGGATTTTGGTGTGTGAGCTGATATATGTTTGTCATACTCAACTACATTAGACCATGATTATGCGATAGGCCATACATGTTTATTTTTTTGGATCGTTTATCAGCTATTATGACATTGCCAATTTTCTTTGATTTGAGGAGAATGAAATATTTGTGTTCTTTTCACATAAAAGGGAAACATGAAAACATAATCTCCGCTCTCTTAGGTTTTTTGTTGTATACTTCGTGATGTGTGAGCTTGAAACGTCTTGTCATGCCTATAGAAAATCAATTTGTTACAGGTTACATTATAGAGTTAGGAAATTGTTATTATGACATATCCAGTTTTATTCTATCTATCGGGAACAAAATCTTCACATTTCAACATAAAAAATAAAACGTGAAAATACTGAAACAAAGATCAGAGCGAAATTTTAAAGATTAACTCTGTCAATCATACTCATTGGTTTGAATTTGATAATTGGTTGTCACCTTTGACTTCACTATCCTTTCTTAGGATTCAAATGACAATCTGTAATGTTCAAAATCCCAATTCAGATCATAAATATTTGCTGCAAATGATTAACCAAGATTAACATGGAGAAAAATAGACTAATTTTTAAAGCCGGGGTTCCTCACGTGTCGATTCAGCCAAGATCATGTCTCATGATTAATCATTTCGAAAAGAGAACTTAAATCTAATCAACCCAAAACTAAGTGTGCTTAGTTGGAGCCATAAAGTAATAACAAAGTATGCCCGTGACAAAAAGAAACCAAGGGTGTCAATGCATTTTATTTAGAACGCAAATTGACACCTACTCATGTCATCATGGGCAATATATTTGTCATCTCGTAGGGCTTAGGCATGCAACCAAAGTGAAGTTAAGTCATAGTGGATTACCCCAAAAAAAAAAAACACTTTTCTATATAAAAAAAAGTTCTCTAATTAACTAAAAGTTTAAGAAATTTTCCAATCCTACCCCTTTTGATAATCTAGAATGATTCATTCAGCGAGCTCGTGAGATCGCGGTTGTATTTACCAATATTGATCATCTAGGGACAATACTTCTGTTTTTAAACAACGATACCAATATTTTCCATCTTCTTCTATCCCAGATTACCAAAGATATTCTTGAATTTAGTTATGTATACCATGACATAATAAATGACACCAAAGGTTTGGTGGATATTACTTGTTTTAGATTATCACGAGACTAATATGTTGATGTGACTTGAATCAGACTATCGGCTATGACTGGATGTCACGGTGGTCACCTTGTATGGGTCGATACACGTTTGGGTTGCTGTTCTGGGCCTCGTTGTAACTACTTTTCCTTAATCAGATAGGATTAGGGTTAGACCACATGAAGAAGTACTTATGACTACTTCTCATACTCCTCTGTAATCTGTATCTCCTCGAAGTATAGTGAAACTGATTCTCTCCTGCCCGTGGACTAGCTAACACACGTTGTGTTATTGAACCACATAAATCCATGTACCGTGTTCGTTCTTGTTTTTGCATTCTTACTTTATCGTTTTTTTTTTTTTTGGTTTCCCAATCCGCAGAACAAGAGTCGTGACACAATCCATCAGATTTAACGTGTTAACGTGCCTTAGAAATCCTCTTTCTTCTCTACTCCACTAGAAGATGGCTAGTGGAAAGGTGACTGCCTGTTATCTTGTTAAGGGCATCGCATTCCCTCCCAAAGGTCCCCTTTTTTCCTTTCACATGGTGGGGGTGTAGGGTTTTTTCTTTTGATTCTCCCATCATCTCCCTTTCTCACTTCACAGAAAGCTACTCTTTTGCTATTTTTTTTCCTGCCTTTTATGTTACGCCCAAATCCGAAGAATATGTTCCTCTCGATCTTTAACCATATTTGGTCCATTCCAGTTGGCTTTATAATGCAGTCAGTAACCGCCTCACCAGCCTCCCTTCGTTAGGTCAATTCAACTCTTCTCTTAGGTCTTGCCGATTTGGTTATCGGGAAATCGGGTTTAGAGACGGATGGATGTTGTCATTCCGATATTATTAGTCGACCAATCATTTTGAGTCTAGTGAAAAAAATAAGCTTTAAAAAAGCTTGCAAAGAAAAGAACACCATCAAGAAAGCAACACGGATTATGTGTGTCAACTGAGCTGCACATTGAACTCTGGCTTCCAATAACCAGAGGACAAATGCTTGATTTGATACTAGGGTTGCTTGTCATACACTAAACAATTATTGAATAAGTGAACTATAGCTTACAAGTCGATTGAAGAAAAACAAATAAAAGCATCTTGATAAACTTGATCAATTTTTATTTCGCATTTATTGTTAGTTCTAAAAGGTTCATACAAAAACATTTGATCGAAGACGTTTTGTTGCTCAAAACTAATTAAGTTCAGTCGAATTAATATTAGACTTGAAACATACTGTATGAACTATCTTAATCTCTTGATTAAGTCACGGTCCAAAAAAATCTCTTAATTAAGTCGTATAATCTCATAAATCCCTTGATTTATAAAAAAAACAATCTTAATCCCTTAATAAACCAGAGGGCCCCAAATGGCAAAAAAAGCGAGGCACTTTTTCCCTTTTCATTTGTTTTTTCCCGCTAATTATTATATTGTTAACCACTGTCCTGTCCACTCCCCCGAGATTAGATTACTCCCGCCATGGAAGTTTAATTAATTAATTACAATATTTTCGCCAATTAATAAAAACTAAACCTCGGCTCGGCGGACGCAACCCTTAATCCAAAACGGACTTCCGCCTAAAAGCCAAACACTTTCTCCCCACTTGCAAAAGACCAAACTACCCTTTTCCCCGCCAGTTTCTTTTCCTTCCTCTGCTCTCTCCATTCATAACTCTCTCCTGCAGAGTAAAGAAGAAACAAGAAGATAAAAAGCTCTCTGCCCAACAACAATGGCGGCAACCACACAGTACAGCTAATCATATCCTGAATTCTCCACACTTCCCTTTCCATTATCCTTCGATTCCATTTTTCCATGGCCGGTTCGTTGACAAAGATTCACTAGATGGGTCGAGTAGTCTCACAAGAATCGGAGTCCCCATCGTCGCCATCGCCATCGACGGCGTCGTCTTACAGTCCCAGGCAAGCCATCGATGTCCTCTCTTCTTTGGTCTCTTTTTCCCACTCGGTCAAGGTTTTCGCGGTGAAATGGCAGACGATAAGGCACAAGCTCGACGAGCTCACGGCGAGCTTGGTCGCCATCGAGAGCTGCGATTCCGAGCAGAACCCGATTCTATCCGCCATACTCTCCGGCATCATGGTCTGCGCCGGCGACTGCTACGACCTCGCCAGGAGGTGCGTCGACGTGTCCTACAGCGGGAAGCTGCTGATGCAGAGCGATTTGGACGTTCTGGCGGCGAGATTCGACCGCCATTTGGGGAATCTGTCCGGTGTCTGCACCGCCGGAGTTCTCTCCCACGGAGGGTTCGCCATCGTCGTCTCCCGACCCGGCCCGAGCGCTTGCCGCGACGACATAAGGTTCTACGTTAGGGATTTGCTCACCAGGTTGAAAATCGGCGACGGCGAGATGAAGAAACAGGCTCTGGTGAATCTGAGCTCGGCGGTGGATGAAGACGAGAGGTACGGGAGAGTGGTTGTGGAATTGGGGGAAATCGTACCCATCTTGGTCAATCTCCTCGACTCGCCGGAGATCGAGATTCGAGATGAATCGGCGAGATTGGTGTGCTCAATCTCGAATTTCGATGCCCACAAGCCGATCTTGATCGGCGCCGGAGTAATCGCCCCTCTGATTCGCGTCCTGGAGACCGGCAGCGAGTCAGGTAAAATTATGTCCACCAGGTGTTTGATAAAATTAACCCAGAATTCCGACAACGCATGGTCAGTCTCGGCTCACGGCGGCGTCACATCTCTACTCAAACTCATCTCCGCCGCCGATTCCTCGCCGGATATCATCTCCCCAGCCTCCGCCGTCTTGAAAAACCTCCTCCCCGTGGAAGAAATCAAGCGGTTCATGATCGAAGAAGGAGCAATCTCCACCTTCATCAAGCTCTCCAGATCTCCCCACGAAGCCGTACAAATCACCGCCGTCGAGTTCCTCCAGAACATCGCTTCAGGGGAAGAACCGGTGAACCAATCGGTTCGAGCCATGATCCGAATTCTCGACCCGAATTCGGCTTCTACTTCCTCCACCAAATCTCGAGAGACCGCATTGAGAGCAATCGAGAATCTCTGTTTCCAATCTCGAAACTGCATTTCCCAGCTAACCACCTTCGGATTCCTGGACCCATTACTCTACTTCCTCCGAAACGGCGAATTCTCGCTGAAAGAACTGTCCTTGAAAGTCGCCTGCCGCCTCGCCGGGACCTCCGACGAGGCCAGAAAAGTAATGGGCGACGCCGGATTCACACCGGAGTTCGTCAAATTCCTCGACGCGAAATCGCCCGAAGTCAGGGTCATGGCAGGGCAGGCGCTCCTCGGAATGCTGACGATTCCGAGGAACAAGAAGAGGTTCCTTCACGACGATTCTAGCATCAAGATCATCCTCCAGCTGCTCGACGACGGAGTAGCAGAAGAAGAAGTAGTAGAAGAGACGAATCAGCGTGGTAGCAAGAAGGTTCTGATTCAGATTTTGATGTCGTTAACGGCCAGCAATAGCGGGAGGAGGAAGATTGCAGGGTCTGGTTATCTGAAGAGCATTGAGAAGCTCGCCGAAGCAGACGGAAGCTCCGACGGGAAGAAGCTTGTGAAGAAGTTGGGGGCCGGCAGGATTCGGACATTGTTCAATGGGATCATTTGGCATTCGTGAAGATCAGAATTCAGAATTTGTTGTATATTAGGTAAAATTGGGTTTCGTTATTTGTTCTGATAATTATACTTTTTTCTTGTTCCAGCTTTCTTAGCTTTTGATGATCATAATCACAATTGTGGAATGTGTTATTGTAAAGAACGAAAAAAAGAGAGTGTTCTTAGGAACTTCCGGCTTTCTACTTACTGATTGTGCTGCAGAATCAGAATCGCCATTTTTGTGCAGCAGCTTTTCTGTGTAAAACTTTTATATGGATTGAAAGGAAGCATCCTAATCTAATAAAAGAGAAGGAAGGGGCTAGACAGATTCTATTCTCTAGAGTGTCAAGTTCTGTTCTTTCTTTGAGGCAGACTTATGAATGAGATTCTTAAGTTCTGTTTCCTGCAGGAATCCTGAATTTGTCAATAAGGCGAGATTGTGTATTCCCATTCGAATTCATTATCAATTGATCGTCGAATGACAATGATTTGGGTCGAATATGAATCCAGATGAAGTTTGGATCGATTTGGATCGAATTGAATGCAAACATTTTGTTTATTGAGTCGAATGTGAATCCAGATGAAGTTTGGATTGGAATTGAATGCAATCATGTTGTTTATTGAGTCGAATATGAATCCGGATGAAATTTGGATCGAATTGAATGCAAGCATTTTGTTTATTGGGTCGAATATGAATCCAGATAAAATTTGGATGGAATTGAATGTAAGCATTTTGTTTATTGGGTCGAATATGAATCCAGATAAAATTTGGATGGAATTGAATGTAGGCATTTGGTTTAGTTTCGATTCCAGAGAGTCTAAATGAGAAATAAGTGGATCGAATCGAATGTGTTTTGATCTCTCCTCATTTTGGGTTTATCATTGATGATATGATGATGTACCCAATTTGGGTGGCTGGATTAGATGCCGGATTAGACCATTGCATTGGAAGTGAGAGCACATGGGGAATGGGGCGATGGAGGGAGAAGGAATTAGCTAGGCAACAACAAAGGGAAACAAGAGCATGTGGAGTGGTGGAGTGGGGATTACAAGTAAGTATCGGGAAGGGAAGGTGGCTATCTTCTTCCTTTCTATTTGTTTTGTTTTGTCTGTTCTATCTAATCCACCAGTTAGCCAGCCAACAAGCCAAGCCAAAACCAGAGAGAGAGAGAGAGAGAGAGATTGGGTTGTCTTGTAGCTTTGTGTGCATGAGATGGAGCTTTCATATGGGGGCTGATGACCAGACCAGACAGTGGGTTGATGGAGGCATTTAAGGTGCTGCATAGATTCAGCTAAGGAAGGAACTGATCTACCTGTCAAGTCTGTTATCTCATCTGCCCTCACTACAAGCAAAGTGAAAGCCCAGCTCAGCTGGTAGTATTATGGCCATGGCTGAGTTGGATTGGATCAACCAGATGAAAACAAAAGCTCATGGGTGGATAGTGGTGATCTGTGGAACTCGGTTGTTTATGGTTCTGGAATATGAGTCAATATGGATTTGGCTTTTCATTTGATATTTGCAGACCTGTGATGGTTGAAACTGATTGAAAAAATTGAAGTTTATCATAGTTTCCAAGGTTCGGTTTTGGACAAGTGAAAGAAGGTTGAAAAGAAGCCAACAAAGAGTCCAAGTTGCAGGACAAATGAAACAGCATAAATTCCCGGACCACCTTTTGCTTTCCCTCTCCCTTTGGGAAGAAAACAAACTTTTGATGAGCCGAAGTAGCCGGTTGAGGGAATGAGATGAACCACCTTCAAAATTCAAGCTGGGTAAAACTCGACTGTTAAGTCCAGCCCAAATATCAGCCCACGATGAACATCTCCTTTTGTTAGAATATGTCAGGTTTCATCAGATCATGGGCTTTTCGGCGTCACACAGGCCCACTTCAAGTACTCCCGCCAGCCCGTTGTATTACTCTGTGCAGTGAAACAATGGGCTTTTTTGAGGCTTTTTCTCGTTTCATTCATCTAACTCGGCTGTACTGTATCGAAGACCCAGAAACGACAATGGAAGGCCAGACTCAACAAGTCTTTGATCAGTCAAAACCCAAACAACATTGTTTGATTTGGATTTGAAAGTTCCACCTTCTTTTAATGAGAATTGATCATAGACTTTGAAGTTAATCATTTATACAAACTACCTTTTCTACTATTTTTCTCTACTCATTCCAATAAGGGCAATATATGTAAATTTTACTTCACACACAAATCTAATTAATCAAATCCATAATGAAATCTGTGAAACAAACAATGGTATTTTTCAAGTTCATAATGAACCGAAAACTTTAAAATCTTTCATTTTTCAAATCCCCCGAGCCCTACAGCGAATGTAGACGGATACAACCGAATAAAGATATATTCATAGTTCCATACCACTATATGAAAATCGAATGTACTTAACTTGGCAGCCTACATTTTGACCCTAAATTCGTCCTCAGCTCTACATCCCCTTGTATTCTTCTCACCACTTGGACCAGCTAGCTTTGGAAACTGCAAGGTTGCATCTTTCAATTATAACTCGTATGATTTACTTTTGTATTTGACCCGCTGATATATTAATGACTTTACCCTAGAGATTTTATGCAGACCAAATTAATATTTCATAATGGAAACCAAACGGCAGAAATGGATGAGGTGACGGCCTGCAGGTAGTTACTGCTAGGGCTGTCGGTTCGGTTCGGCTAATCGAACCCGAACCCCTCTCTTTAGGCAAAACCGAACCTGAAACTGTCATTTTCGGTCTTCGGGTACCCGAACCCGAAAATTCCACTAACAGTTATGGTTTGGTTTTAATGAAACCCGAAATCCAAAAAGGAATGGTGACTTCTACAAATACTTGCCCATTAACTAGCACCATTCATTCTGCCAAATACACTGCATATCCACCAAAATTTAACTCATTAGACGAGAAAGTAAATTACACTTGACATAGAAGATTACACCAGCTAATGAACTACTAAAATCGAACCAACTTCAACAAACACCATGATCTGCAGGAATAGATAGTTCCCCAGCAAAGCGATCACCAAATAGTGTCAAGGTTATGCAACTTGTCAATAACCTGATGAAAGCCCTAGAAGTTGCTGCAACTATGCAAGAACTTAGTTTAAGTGGTTTATTAGAAAACATGACATAAGGAAAGAAAGAAAGCATAGACAGGAAGTACAGCAGTTGAGGCGAAGGCTGAAAGGCCAAGAGGGCAGATAGAAAGTACACCAATAGATTAATTATGCAGCAGCGAAGTCTGTCCTCTCCTCTACAAAATCCGAAATGTCATCGTGAGAGGCCAACTACAGCTTCGGGTTTTCGGGTTCTTATCGGTTTATCGGGTTATAGCAAAATCGAAACCGCTACAGATAGCTTTCGGGTCAAATCGGAAAAACCGAACCCGACGGCATTGTTATCGGTTCGGGTTCGGTTAAAACCGAAAACCCGAACCCAATCTGACACCCCTAGTTACTGCTCTGCTACTGTGTGGCATGTGATGTGAAGAACCGACCAAACAAACTGTAAACAATTATGCCCACGGAATCGATCAATTCACCGTTGGAATTAAAGGCGACCGCCATATATATATACGTACCTTAATTACTTATTTGTCTGATGAAATTGTGATTGCAATCACGGTTTAACTTAGAAATTAATTATACCGCTAGCTAGGCTGTCAGATGTCTTGTTCGGTGTCATGATTTGGGCTGCAGATATCACATTTTTCATATATGCACCCGTGGTTCGTTCTATACTCCGTTTGCACGTGAAAATGAAAAACTATCTAAAGCAGTTGCTTTTGTAGTTCGTACGACCGCTTAGGCAATTTGGCAGCAGGCCACTTGCCGTTTTAATATAAGTGTCGTGATTAAGATTAGAGGAGCTTTGGCCGACTTGGAGCCTTGGACTAATTAGTGAAAAGGCCGACCACAGAACCCATATGGAACAAGTTGTCCCATACTGCTTAGGAAGTAAGGTTTTGTTTTTTTATGTACAATAAGGAAATTCGACCACAGAACCACATCGATTTGATCTCTTTAGTATGTAGTTTAACTTGTATAGTTTATCGATATCGTATCGTAAGAAGAGACAGACTATAACTTAAGGGCACGTCTAAAGTGTACTTACTGACTTTGAATATATCTTACATGCTTGTGTCATTATCATTTGCAAAATGATTACTACCAAGAGTTTAATTTGTTGGAAGAGATTCAAAAATGGATCTTACACCACTAACTAATACACCCACCTCAAACGAAAGCCAGTCACAACTCAGTCCGAATACAAGAATACGCCATGTGCTTCACAAATGGGGGTCACCGGAATTCGAACACAAGATCTTTCGGTCACATGAGGCTCTGATACCATGTAAAAAACCAGTCGATCCCAATAACTCGAGTTGTTGCGGGAGAGGTTCAATAATGGATCTTATACCACTAACTCAACAGTTTCCTACCTGTGTTCAGTCTCGTTCATGGCCCATGCTATAATTAATATCTACATGTTTTCCTCGTATTTCGACCTTTCTAAAATCATATTTTCATCTCAACAATTTTTTTAAGACTCTACTTTTAGCTGTTGAAACTCAATCATTCTTCGTAATAGTATATTTCCCGTTCATTTATATGAATCGTTTTCTTAATGTGTCTTTTGTAAAAGAGTTAAACATCACCGTGATTTCCCCCTCCCCGCCCCGCATTTAGTGCGTACGGTATTAAGGTACCCGCCTTGGTCCGATTGCGGTCAATGTAATAAACTCACTGACCTTTTCTTAACCATTTTACAAACGGTAACATCGTATGCATCTGGAATTCAGAAATCTATGTGCCAGATACGAGAGCATGCATCATAATAAGCCGGAAAGAAGGTTTAGCTAAATTTGGAGGGTTTGCTTAAATGTTTGTTAATATGTTATAGTTTTTGCGAAAGTTCAATCAAACCTCACGGCCCACAAAGAGGACTATAAACAACGTCTTATGAAAACGGTCAAATACAATTGACAGACAGGCAGCATTAAATATTTTTGCCCAAAATGCGAACCCGACGATTCTACTACTGTTGGAAAGATACGACTACTCCAGCACAAGGATTCCAGGAAATTCAATTGATTCAGGATCCAGATCCAACCACCCACCACTCTGCAAAATTAAATAATCACCAAAATAAAATATCTCCCAAATTAAATGCATTTATATCAATATGGGCCTCCCCTTTGCGATCTTCTGATAATCAATAACCATGCAACTCTCTTTCTGTATTTTTTGTATACTATACCGATCAATAGTCAGCAGCGTCTCATCAAAGCTCTCGATCGCTTTCTTTCTGGATCGAGGCCCATCTGTGTGGGCCGGGTTTTTTTTTTTTTTGCTTTCAGTCGAGACATTGGGGTTTGGACGAAGTAAACGTGATATTGACTTCTGACTTGTTTCGTATGAAATGAACGGTAGAAGAAGATTGCATCAAACTTCGTCATGCATTGACCTATTCACAAAGGGCAGCCAACAAGTATAAAGTATATATATCTCGTCTCCGGTCTTCCATCCACATATAACTATTGTCAATTTATTGTTAGGGTGGAAGTTTGGGTTGTAGGTTGTGGATAATCCGCAAACCGCACCAATCCGCACCTATTGTTGGTAACCATACCCATAAGTTGTGGGTAGTAGGTTAGGTGTGGGTAGTAAAATAACGATTTTTGTGGTTAGTGGTTATTCACTACCCACTGCGGTTAACCCACAAAATCCACAATAATTATATTTATTTAGTGAATTAACTTTATAATATAATAGTATGTGAAAAGTGTGAGGATAAAAATTAAAGTAGCCACCAAATAAAAAAGACACACCTAATCACTTTTATGTAAGAATTTTTTGGTTTATAAAACACTATAATCAATAGAGTGGAGAATAATCAATTGATTAAAAGTGAACACCTTTTGTAACTTTTATCGGTATGTTTTTGCTTTTGTGTAAAAAAAATACAAGATCATATTTAATTGTCATATTTCACTCCTAGTCGGGGAAATATGAAATCACAACTCTCTGACACAAAAGTTGAATACCAAACTCAAAAAGAAAAAATCTCCACGTTGAGTAAGATCGATGTACAAAATTGTATCTCCACGAACAACACAAGTGTATATCACTATAGTCTAGTTACGAGCAACAAATACATTAGTGGCGACTAGAACTCTATGCTTGCAAAGATGGATTTTTGCGGGTAACCACACCCAACTCCTACAAACCATAGTGAGTAGTGATTACCCACTAACCACTGTGGTGCGAGTTGTAGATAACATAATGATTAATTCATTTATATCAATCTCTAGCTTCATATTTCACATTTAGCTTCACATTGTCGCGTCACATGGTGACGGAGAAATGATTGGTATATAGCTGAAAATATCTCGTCGATTTTATTCCCTTTTTTTCATCAATATGTGAATTTTACTCATATATAGTCAGTTGTCCATAATCTACTCCCCACCCCACCTCCGACTCCAAATATATTATATACGTGTGATATAGACATGAAATCTTTATATTAAAAACAACGGCTCCAAATTATATGATTGCTCCTCCAATAATAATAGTTTTTTTTAAATATTTTGTTTTCGATGAATTACAATAATATATTTGAATGAACTACTACTACTATTACAATAATATGGCAAGACGTTGACCTGTCGAGTTAGCAGCCTTGCATGAGACCTTCTTAGCTGTACCTTCAACAACAAGCCAGCCATGTAGCTAAGGTATAGGCTGCTAGAATATGAGTGACAGAGTTTCGAGTCAACTCTTTTCCTATCTCTACAGCGCCCATATATATTGTGTCGTCTTCGGTGCACTCACTTTTTTAGGTACATTTAGTGCACTCGCTTCATAATCGTTATTTTAAACATGAGATTTATGTCAAAATGATGTCAACCATCACTTATGATGTGATGAACAATAACGCACATGAATTTGCACAAAAACCATGAAAGATTTGCTTTAATTTGAAGGATTTAGAGTTTAAAGATCTAGGGTTAGGGTTTACAGTTTGGGATTTAGGGATAGAACTCAAAATTGGAGGTATAGGGCTTAGTGTAATCCGCTAATTAGTTGTTAGCATACGTTATATCATCATATTATACTAATTCTACAAATTAAAGTTCAAAATCCGACTCCTTAAGACTAGTTTTTGAGTTGAGTGCATTGAACGCACTCATTTTTGTGAGTGCGCCGAAGTAGTTACCATATATATTTCCCATGCTACACATTTACCCGCAAAGTATCCATTATCTAATTATTTCCTCGTTACATTTGAGTACTTCTGCCTATAACACCGTGTACTGGCAAATTACAGATAACTATCAAATATTCTCAAAAACTACATTTTGATGATCCTATCATCTTACTGTATTCAGAATTGATGGCGGCTTTGCATTTCCATTGGGAGTTGGTCCATTTTCTGGGTTTGACCCATTTATTCTGCAGGAATCACCGGGCAGACGAATTGATTTCCACAGTTACATATATTTTGCCCTCAAAATGAGCTCCCAAAAGTCAATGGTCAACGGGCGGTGGACGAAGAAATAACTTAATCGACGTCTGATGTACATCATGGATATGGATGGGTTCAATGGCTACTAATTGTGAACCGTTGGACTTCCACCATCCTCGCTGGTGATCTATATGATCAGAATTAACGTAACAAAATTATGATAGATAAAAAGTGTATGTATATCGAGTAACGATCGATTTAGTTAATGTATTTATTCAGCTTATCAACAATCGTCATGATCCGGTACACCCTTATGCTAGGACAGGACTGGTTGGTGAAAATCACTCATACATACCGAGAAGGGAATAGAGCCGCGGACTGGCGCTCTCGAAGCACAGTCTCGTCTATCCCTACGGTATGCATGAGCTTGTGAACCCGCCTCATGGGCTAGCTTCGATTCTTCAAGATGACCTCATGGGTATCGCTTTTGAGCGCAGAGTTGTAGCTACTTCTTCCTCCTCCTCCTCTCGCCTGTAATCTCCCTTTCTTGACTTCTTGCCTCCTTTTATGCAAAAAAAAAAAAAAAAATTATTACAACAAGTTATTTATGTAAGGAATAGGAAAATGTGTTCCACTGAATAATAGTTGTCTTGTCCCCCTAATGATGTACATATGTATGACTTCTTGTTCGTTAAATGACATAATTGATTTATGTATCATATTGGTTGTGTTATTGAACATACAACCGCAGGAGTAATCAAATGGGCACAGAGAGGGACAGAGAATCTGTACTGTAATTTGGGTCTAAAAATCGAATAATGCATATTATAATCAAAGTGATTGGCGTCAGGTGGTTCTTGACATGTTATCATAGACAGTCTTCTATGATCGAGAGATTTTCTATCCGATTTCTCACGTCCTCATTTTGAAATTGTTTACGCTTAAGGTCATATTAATAGTTTGAATTTGTTATAAAAAAAACTGTTTGAATTTGAGAAACGCATCAGTACCTAGTATAAGATTTATTGAGACCAACAAATTTCTTTAAGAGATTAGTTGTCAAATTATCACGTACCAACTGCCACAGTCAATTGCCGCACTGGGTTTCTCATCAAGTCTTTGATTTCGTGATTTGTTTTGACTTCTGAAGCGGCTAGCCTCCATTTTTTAAGCCGCAATTGCATATATAAGGGGGACATAGGTTTTATACGAAGATGTGTTTCATTTTGTTTTGCTGATACGTTATAAGTTTTATAACAGAGAGGGGTTATGGTGATTATTATGAATTAGTAATCACTATGGTTACTAAGGGTAAATTGGGTATAGAAAAATAAATTGTATTAATTAATTTTTTTAATGAATTTCATTTTAGGTAGTTACAAAAATCTATTAATTACAATTTTCTCTTTCTCTCACTTCCCTAATCTCCAGCCAGATCTCCTTCCCTTAATTTTCTCAATCTTTTTGCAAAAGAAAAAAAAACACAAAATCACTACCAATCCATTAGACAACCACTACCACTTTGAAAAACATAAATACCATTGCAGAAATAAATCTATACTATTACATGAAAACTAACAATATAAACAATCTACCAATATAAATCTATACCATTACATGATAATCAATACCAATGCAGAAAAAAATAATATCAATGCGAAAACTACCAATAAACAATCTACCAATATAAATCAATATATGCAAATCAATACCAATGCAAAAAAAAAAAACCAATACCAATGCGAAAAAAACACTACCGCTGTGGGAAAAAAATACCAATATAAACAATTTATATTTACCATTACAAAAGCCAAGATAAGAGGGAAGCAATAATTGATAGTATGTTATGATTGAAAGGAAAGGAAAGGAGATCTGGAACTAGAAATGGTCGGCGCTGGTTGAGAAATTAGATTTGGAGATGTAAAAGTAGTGAAAAGTATTAGAGTGAGTGATCGGCAAGTACATACCCCATGGGGGGAGTCATACCGAGGCCATTGGCAATTAGACTGCGTCGATCGGCAGCGACGGCAGCGGGTTTTGACGACGATGCTAATAGAGCTGCTACCACTAGTAGCAGTAGGCAGTAACGGCAGTGGATTGTGGTAGACGGCGGATGAGGTGGGTGAGGTGAGGCGGAGGGAGGGAGCGGGGAAGGGAAGAGGGATCACGGTTAGTGAGATGGGTTGCATTAGGGTTTGGGTATAATATATAGAGTAATCAGGTGTGGTATTTTTTCATTTCGAAATTAACCTTAATCTAATCTTTTTGATAATGGTGATTGCATTAAGTAAAAAAGAGGAAAGATACAAAGGTTCAGAAGAGCTGAACCGAACCACAAAAAAGGAGAAAGGAAAACTACAAGTAAATGGAAAACGAACGTCATCAGAAAAAAATAAAAAATAAAAAACAGAGTGGCACAAAAAGAGGAGAGGAAACCTAGCATGATGGACCAGACCATCTCCGCTGAGGAGGGTGGAAAAGAGAAAGATGAAATCAAAGAAAACAAGCACAGCAATAACCCTGGCAGGGAAAGAGAGACAAGAGATACAATATTACATTCGAGACAAGCATTCACGTAGCCAAACCGCAGATAGATTCTTGTCGACTTTGTGATGAGCTGTAAGCCAGGAGATGACCATTCTGGAAGCTTGTCGAGCGATAACCTTCGCAGTAGTGTGCGTGTTGTTGAAAATGCGCTGATTCCGTTGAAGCCAAACCAGCCACAAAGTAGCATGGAGAATGCAAAAAGAAAACCAGTCGTTGATGTTGCTAGGTTCTGCAGTAGATCTGCCGTTGATGATTGCAGATATGTCGCCTTCGAGAGGTCCAAACTGAACAGCCCCTCTTCTGATCATGTTCCAAACATCTTGAATGAAGTCACATTTAACAAAAAGATGAGATAATGAAAGGTATAGATTTTGGTAGTCAGTTGATTACTTTTAATTTGGTAACCACCATAACAACCATAACCTATTCCTTTTATAACATACGACTATACCAGGACTAAATTAGATTTACTAACGTATAAAGGATAAATAAAGTAAAAGGGTTAAATGATTGTGTTGGGATCCGATTCCCCTTTGCCCCCTGTTATTTCCTTGCTGTTTTCAGTGAACGAATTGAATTTACCCCACATTTGCGTCATTTTCCTCTTTTGGAACACAATAACATACCTAATTAACTTGGGAACAAGGAAAAAAGTGAGAAGATTGTTACATATAGGAGCAGCTTGATCAGCGGGTGATGTCAAACTATGAAGTTCCAAAAGGCTTCAGATTAACTAAAGCTAAAATATTAATTAATAAATAAACATTAAATTGGTAACAAATGTGCCCTCAAACTTTCAATTACCCCCACATTTGGTTCCCTTTCTTTTTGGAAGCTTCTCTTGCGTAAAGCCTTTTGTAAAAGCAACAAGATATATAATAGAAGATAACATAATGATTGTGGATATGGAATCTTGTGACCACCACAACCAAGATTTCCGGAGAACTTCCACGCGGTACTTAATGGTTCTGTTGTACGATTTATAGGTCGGATTAGCAATAAGTTAGTCCGATTTCATTTGAGTCATTTCATCCCTTTGATTTTTATCAAGGTGCAATGTGTTTTTATCTTTATTTCAATCAACATATGATTTACCTTTTGTAAAAAAAAAAAAACTTAATTAGTGCATCTATGTAATTATTGGAGTTTTAAAAACAAAAGGTTGGGTGATCTCGGATAAGTTTGACAAAATTTTAGATTCATTTTCGAGTTGATACCTAATAAAACAATTGAGCATACAATCAAATCATACATACAAAAACAAAAATCGTGATAAAGAATGCACGCAAATAATTGAAATTACCATTGATTTTTGTATATGAAATTGAAATTATCATTGATGGGTCAATCTAACTTGTGACCTGAACAATTTACATTTTTCTTCAGAGATAAAAAAAAAGATCTTTGCTCAGAAATGATAATATCGACTTGTTTTTATCAGTATTAACTTGTTTTATCAATTGTTTTATCAGTATTAATTTGAACTGAATGTGACTTCTCTGTCAATAACCGTATGGAAAGGATCGTTCAATTGAACCTAGCTGTCTTTTAAATTCTAAATAATCTTATGATTCATGAGTTTTCACAGTACAAACCAATTCTCTTGATAAGAGCAATGCGTGCAATTGTGTCGACAGAAAAACAGCCGTTAATTATAGATTGTTAGCGACAGTAACCAAAGGACAAATAATAATAATAATAATAATAATAATAATAATAATAAATAAATAAATAAATAGAAGTGAGTGAGAGGCAGAAGTAAGAGTCTGCTGCGGAATAGTATTTACCTCCTAGTTAATATCTCCTAAGCTAAGATAGTAGCGAGTTAATAAACCTCTTCGGCCTTGTTTAGGGTTGCTTGCTGTCATCTGCCGTTTCATAATTTCTACACTAATAATGAACGTCATTGCTGAGGGGATCGTTTAGTGAACTATCGACAAATGGTATTGGTTCTTTCACCAATAATTAATACCAAATGAATTTATCATGTATACAATCTAATCTAAAACATTCATTCATATTTAGATTCGATCCAACAAATAACATCGATAACTCCAACAAATAACATCAACTTTCGACATTCAAATTCAAATTCACGATTTATTTTTATTTCAATTTACAAAAAAAAAAACAAGGTCATATTATTTATGCGCTGGAAATCGATCATTATTCCAGTCGGACCATCAGCTACCTCGATTTCAATTGGCTTCATACCGAGGGTATTCTAGTCAATGTTGCGTATGATACTGGGTGAACCCAATTGTACCGACTGACGTACAACGAGTTTGACCATGTTCGATATCATTAAGTAGTAAAACAGACCATTCGATTTTATATAGTCCTCACGGTGCATTGGATTATACAAGTGTGAGCTTTCCGGGCTGGATCTGGTTAGTTATAACCTTATTCCTCACCATATTGGATCAGGGTCAGATCGTTTGAATAAGTAGTATAAATACTTCCCATACTCCCCATGTAATTTGTTATCTCCTTGAGTATAGTGAAGCCGACTTTCTCCGCGTGCCCGTGGACTAACCAACACACGTATCGGTGAACCCACATAAACATTTACGTTCTTTACTTTCTTGTTATTGTCGATTTCCCCAATCCGTGCGCCTAAGTTATAGTTCATATACATATAAAAATGTACTTAAACTTCCCTCGAACAGTGAATCACATATGGTTTGTGGAAGGAAATAAATGAGTCTCATTTTCTTTCCATTCCTTTCTTTTTAATTTCCAAAACCTGCTTGATCAAGGGGAAACTGGAAATGTACAGCTAGCGGTGGCGAATCATTCATGGACGGTGTCACGATTATTATGGCTTACCATTAAACAATACACTCAATGTAAAAGCAGATCAAAAGCGGGAGAGAAGTCACGTTATTGAGAGAAATTCTCACCGACTGCAACAATAACGTTATCCAATTGTCGATAAGGTTAAACCTATTAATTAGTCTGAGTAGGCGCAAAAGCGCGGCTGACTCAGCTTTCCTCGTCGTCAACACATAAAATTTTATCCATCAAAATTCGAGCAGATAGATCATTTGTAAACAAGTACTTCGCCGACTTATGGTTGGGTTTTAATGCAAGCAAGAAGAGGGGAAGAAGAAGAGGATAGCTTGCAAAAGTGTATTTTAAATTATGGTAATTCTGCCAAAATCATGGTTTAAAATATTTTATATTATTGAGAATAGTCTATCGATTCAGAATCCGATGATAAATTTTTTTTTCCTTCTTCTGTCAGACCGTTGATACGGCACAATTTCACAAACATGCTACATAATAGGCCATTTTTTAGGCAAGTACTAATGGGGAGGGGACACACCGCCATAAACGACATTTCTTGTAAAATTCGACGGAAAAAAGTACATTCTGGAAATAAAATATGGTATCTCTTTATCTTCTTAATTCCTATAGTACATCTACACTCATTTAATTCAATAAGGACAGTTGTATTCACTTATTTGAAATTCAAATACCATGATCTGAATTCTCGTAATTATTATGATCCTCTTTTATGGTGAAAGGAACGCCGATGTAAAAAATCTAATTAGTAAGTTTGGAAAAAGGAAATTATTATCCTGATTGCGTGGATTTCCCATTGTCCATTAACATGCATGTTCTCACTTATTAACACCTTTTTTTCCAAGTCAGAATTTCAATCGAGCAGAAATTAATTTGTTTTACAGACAAACAAAGTGTCAAGTGGGGAAGGTATATAGTCGTCGTCCCTACCACCACTAGAAAGAGAGTTCTCATTGTTTTATTATTGTTCACAAGAAATTAATTTCCACAATCGTGTGAACTCAAACCCAGCTCAGTCAGATACATGGGACTATCCGACGGTAGATAGATATCTTATTGCGAAGACTTTGCACTTTGCCCCCTCCAACTTCTCCTTATTTGCCCTCACATCCCTCCCACCACCATTTCTTCACAATAACACCCTTACATTTTACATAACGAAACTCCAATATAACTTCGTACAAACATTGAATTACAATACAACGTAGAAATGTTCGATCAACTTACCCGATAAAACTAAAAGTTTAAGATTACAGCGACGAAATGTATCGAAACAAGTATCTGTTTGAACACCTTTCTTCCAAAATGAGAAACACTCAATTGTGTGTCTTTATCACAACTAAGCAAACAAAGAAAGAAAGAAAAAAAACTACTCAATTAGAACCGAGGGAGGGGAAAAAAAGATAAAGAGGATAATCATAAAATAATTATTACGACAGCTGGAACAAGAAGAAGAGGGAAAGAATTATATGACCTTGCCTCCCATTCATTTTTCTATAAATACACTACTCCGCCATTACCACTCTCAACTTCTCATCTCATTTTCTCCCTCCTTCGACTTGGGAAAAAGAAAGAAAGGAAAGAAGAAGAAGAAGAAAAAAATTCCTACTCGAATCACCGGCGAAGAGAAAAATGCCGGCGGCAGGGATCGCTCCCGGTGGCTCCGGGAAGGAGTACCCGGGGAACCTCACCCCTTTCGTCACCGTCACTTGCGTCGTCGCCGCCATGGGCGGGCTCATCTTCGGCTACGACATCGGAATTTCCGGTATGTAAAAAAAAAAAAAAACAAATGGCGACAGATTTTCAATTCCGTCGCCAAAGAAAAAAAGAGACTTATTTCTTTCTTTCTTGTCGTTTCTGTTGTTGTTGCTGACGTGGCGGTTGTTCATTGGGCAGGTGGGGTGACGTCGATGGATTCTTTCCTGCTCAAATTCTTCCCGTCGGTGTACCGGAAGAAGCACGCCGACGACACGGTCAACCAGTACTGCCAGTACGACAGCCAGACGCTCACCATGTTCACCTCGTCGCTCTACCTCGCCGCGCTACTCTCGTCGATCGTCGCCAGCACCGTCACCAGGGTCTTCGGCCGGAAGCTCTCCATGCTCTTCGGCGGCTTGCTTTTCTTCGCCGGAGCCCTGGTCAACGGCTTCGCCCAGGCCGTCTGGATGCTCATCCTCGGCCGCATCCTCCTCGGTTTCGGCATCGGCTTCGCCAATCAGGTAAAAAGAAAAAAGAAAAAAAAACATTTCTCACCCCCTTTTAGCGACCAAATTTAATCCGCCGATCTAGTGGTTGTAATTAATAAATAATCACGTCATAAAGTTTAAATATCATATCTTCTATTTCCTTTCACATCATAATCACGGTATTAAATCAATTTCCTTTCTATAATTACTCATTTTCTTACTTGCCCATAAGTCAAAACTAAGTGAACACACTCTTCAGTCTTCACCTACCCAGACGGTAAAATTTTCCAATAATCATGACAAAACTGAAGCCAAATCTGTAGACTTTTTCTTCCCCAATTTCCATTATTGATTTGAGTATTTATTTTAATTTATTGTATATTTCGTCACTACTTGTAATTATTATACTTTTTGAAACACAAACTTTCTTCGTCATTATTTTACTTCCCCATCACATAATTTTATTCCTGACGTCCCTCTGACACCACCCACCATTTCCCCGCAAAAGTTTACTTCTGGACGCTATCTAACGGCGTTTGTGGTCCTCCATTGTCACAAATCACAAATTAATTTGACCCAAAAATTGTCCCAATCCTTGATTTTGATTTCCCCCCTCGTCATTAATTACCAATCACCGCCCAGTTTCTCCCCTTTTGTCCATTTTAGTCCAGCAACTTATGATTTTATTCCATTATGTGAATTGATTACAGTCGGTGCCGCTCTACTTGTCGGAGATGGCGCCCTACAGATACAGGGGATCCCTGAACATCGGCTTCCAGCTCTCCATCACCGTCGGGATCCTCGTCGCGAACGTCCTCAACTTCTTCTTCAACAAGATCAAGGGAGGCTGGGGATGGCGCCTCAGCCTGGGAGGCGCCATGGTCCCAGCCCTGATCATCACAATCGGCTCCCTCGTCCTGCCTGACACCCCGAACTCGATGATCGAGCGCGGGCAGACCGAGGAGGCCAAGACGAAGCTCCAGCGAATCCGCGGTGTCGAGGACGTCGACGAGGAGTTCGACGACCTCGTCGCCGCCAGCGCGCAGTCCAAGCTCGTCGAGCACCCTTGGACCAATCTGCTGCAGAGGAAGTACAGGCCGCATCTTGCCATGGCCGTCTGCATCCCCTTTTTTCAGCAGCTGACCGGAATCAATGTGATCATGTTCTACGCGCCCGTGTTGTTCAACAGCATCGGATTCGGCGACGATGCTGCGCTTATGTCGGCGGTGATCACCGGAATTGTGAATGTGTGTGCCACCATGGTGTCGATTTACGGTGTGGATAAGTGGGGGAGGAGGTTTCTGTTCCTCGAAGGTGGAGTTCAGATGTTGATTTGTCAGGTACGAATTACGAATTTGTCGTCGTCACGTTACTGCTAGGCCAATTTCGTCGATTTTTTTCTTTGTGCGATTCGAGTTAGTTTTGATGGGAATTTGATTAATTCGAATTGTCTTGTACAAATTGTCGATCGTCACGTTACTGCTAGGCCAATTCGTCGATTCGAGTTAATTTTGATTGGAAATTTGTGTTTTTTTTTTTGTGGGATTCAGGTTGTGGTGGCGGCGTGCATCGGGGCGAAATTCGGAATCGACGGGAACCCAGGGGATCTGCCGAAGTGGTACTCGATCATCGTCGTGCTGTTCATATGCATCTACGTGGCGGGTTTCGCGTGGTCGTGGGGCCCGTTGGGGTGGCTGGTGCCGAGTGAGATCTTCCCGTTGGAGATCCGATCGGCGGCGCAGAGTGTGAATGTGTCGGTGAACATGATCTTCACGTTCGCGGTGGCGCAGATTTTCCTGATGATGCTCTGTCATTTGAAGTTCGGGTTGTTCCTGTTCTTCGCCTTCTTCGTGGTGGTGATGTCGATTTTCGTCTACTTCTTCTTGCCGGAGACGAAAGGGATTCCGATCGAGGAGATGGGGCAGGTGTGGAGGTCGCACTGGTACTGGTCGAGGTTCGTGGAGGCGGAGGCAGGGCATGGGAATGGGAATATGGAGATGGCTGCGAAAGTTGTATGATTGTGGTTTGAATGGGATTGATGGGGAAATTGAGGGACTGATTGTGAAATTTGGATCTATACTTTGCTTTTTTTAGAGGGTTTTGAAGGGGATGTACTTGGGTTTGAATTTGGTTTAGTAGTGGTACATAAATTGTATTTGACTTTCAAGATGAATGCAAAATACATATTTCGGAAAGTGAGATTTTCTAAGATTTGAGTGAATTGAGGAAATTTCCAATATGGTATCTCCCCTTTTAATGAATATAATGTGATATCGGGTGTGAGAGTGTTTATCTTATAATTTTACATATTAAATGATTGTTATGAGATGTTTATTTTGTAATCGGTTTCTTTATTTATAAATATTTTATATTATGGAGATTAAAACTTAAAAGAGTCGATGTGATTGTGCAGATGAATTTCAATCAAGAAAGATTAACGATGATATGCGAAAAGTCTTTATTTTGAGGTGTGTCTATTGTTGTGAATACCAGTGCTCAAACCAATAATCATACCATTTTTACCTCTATCAAGATTTAGAAATTGCATATAGCTTATACTAGTAATGCAAAGGCTTGCGGTCAATCTCCCATTCGTATTTCGTAAAACAAGGGTGAAAAGGAAGATAAAGCAGTTATCAATTGTTCAGTTTAGTAGTCGCTAATGACACTAGAGGTGATATTGCTACCTTAATCATATAGTAGAATTGTAGAAATGTTGGTTTCTATCAGATGCGATTGCCGTTGATTCTGGATATAAGTTACCTTCTTATTACCACCAATTGAGAGTGCTTTTCTCAAGGAATGTCAAACAAAAATTGTAGATTAGAGATTTAGAAGAGGAAATTAGATAGAATATGGGAGAATTGTCGGTGGCCTTAGCGAGAAGAGGGATTGGATTCTGAGAACTGAGAGAAGGAAAGATTAGGATTTGAGAGATAAATAGTAGGCCGGTTCGGCCAATCACTACACTTAAACATTTAACTGCTTTAAAAATACTAACAGTATACTCCCCAAAAAATTAAAAAAAAAAGTCGAAAGACAAGAAAAGACCCTTCTGACCTTCACCATTGAACACAATTACACAAACCCTTTGCTAGAATTATGATCTGCTGACCTATAACCCGATATTTTTCCAGGCATGCTTGTGTGGATTAGAAGTAAAAGCCAGAAAGGAACGTCCATTTGGTGTAGCGGATGAGAATCAAAAGCCCCCTTTTTTGGCATGTGGTTTCAGAGAGGTGGGAGAACACAGCCTGCTAGCTACCAAATCAAATCTCATTCACAAACTGTGAACGTGCTCTTGGAAAGCTTCGAAAGGAAAAAGTGGAAAGAAAATGGAGTTTCGCTTTCTGTGACAGCTAACAGATCTCAACTGTCATTGCGCCTTCTGCAATAAAATCTTTTGTTCTAGGGTATTGGATAACATAGTCCAGGCATATCACACCAGATAATTCCGTTGTATTTTACAAGGAATAAAGAAACAGGGGCCAAAGAGACAGAGTACTCTGTTTTCTCAATAAGTTTAGGGTCACGGTTAAGAGAAGAGTGAATGGGAGAGGGGAGCAGGTTAAAGTTCATGTTTTTGCTCGATAAGCGATTGCAAAGACCGAATCGGACTTAGGTTTGAACAAAACATGCACTTATCTGAAAATCGATAATTTCATACATAAAGTAGTATGATATTATGTTTTAATTCGAGCGCTGATGTAAGTTTTGTTGTTTAAGCATTGTAGAGTGGAGGGCATGGTCCAGTGTGGTACTATCCCTAATCTTGTAGTTGTATGTGGAGGTTTCGGGTTCGAATTCTTTAAATAGCAAATTATAATGAAACTAACATACATAACTTATATATATAAAAAACAGTATTTTAAAATGAATAAGTTATTCAATAATATCTATCCGACTTCAACCAAATTTAAATTTGAATTGAATTGTATGATTGATGCGCATCCCCCCCCCCCCCCCCCCCCCCCCCCCCCCTCAATTGCCTCTAACCGATCCGAGGCCTTAGAAAGAAGGAAAAACTGACTCTATTGTACAAAAGAAGAAAAAGAAGGAAAGGTTGACTTACCATATAGAAATTGGAATGGATGAAATTGAATCTAGATTTAGCTTTTATCGAGTTTTGATTTGTTCGTGGGTGTGTCGATTATATTCCAGTATAAATGAAATTTGATTATGATTACATCTAAATAATGAGAAAAACGAATAACAAATCGATCGAAGATGCATTAATTACAAGATAAGTCTTTTTTTCCCCTTCTTTTTCTCAATAATTAGTTTTGCATACATATGAATCATTTATAAGTGGATAAGATTGTTATTTTTTATGTGTCACTATATATATCCTTTTTCCATGGAAAAGGAGGTTGGGAATCATGTGCTCTTGTACATCTGTGGTTGGTGCATCACTTTGATTACATCCCCATGAATACATCCATTCTAGAGATTTGAGAAATCACAAAAAGGGAAAGTAGTCTATGATGACAAGGTTGTCAACCCGCGGGTTGATCTGGACCCGGTTGAGCTAGTGGGTCAAGGGTTAATGGGTCACCCGTTTTAGCCCGGTTTAGCCCGAAAATATGGAAAGCGTCATTATATTATACTTATCCTGATAAATTATATAAAATCTCATATAACATATGACTTATAACATATAATATTACACCAAAATAACATTTCGTACTTAGATTCAACATATAGTGAAAATTCACACACACTTATATAACATTAATATTCAAATGTTCAATTTAGGATTCCAAAGATTGAGTTAGGCGAAAAGAAAAATCGGAAAATAGGCGCATTTCGCAAAACAAAGAAAAAAAATGACACAATTTGAGCTCCAACCCGGTAGCGGTCGACCCGACGGGTGCGTGCGGCCCGTTTTTCTCACCGGGTCAGGGTCAAAGTGGGTTAACCGCGGGTCATGCCACAAACACCAAACAAATGATTCTTCCTTCTTCCCCTCGTGACAAATCTTCTTTCTTCTTTCTGCCTTTTTCCTTTTTCTGAATAAATGTTCTTAGGATTCTTCTTTTCATTTGGCACTAGCGCTGGACCCGGCCCATTGGCCGGAAGTTGTGAAAATGAATAGATGATTGAAACAATAAAACTGAATGTAATGTATATTTTTTAATCTTCGTTATACATCTCTTGTGTCTTTTCGATTCTAATTATGAAGTTCGAATTTGGTGCACAATTAGAGATTTATTAATTAAAATTGCTTAAGAAATGCTCTCCCAAAAAATTCTTTAGAAATCAAATATTCAATTTCTTATTGAGTTATATGTTGAACAACTATAATTTAGAAGCAACACTAAAGAATGAATGATCATTGAGATACTGAATCCCAAACAAAAGTGAAAGAATTAAAAAGTTACCAACAAAATCTTTTTACTATACCATTTTACGTATTGGGTTATAGGTATAATATGCCCCTCTACTATGACGTTTTATCAAACATGCCCCTCTATTATTTTTTACATCAAACATGCCCCTGTAATTTGGAAAAACTATCAAACATATGCCCTTCAGTTAAAATTTCCATTGAGAAAATCGTCAATCATGGCTGAACCGAGATTTAGACCCTTGCTTTATTTCTCTAGGTCTCATCAAAGTGAAATTATTAGAATTATTTGGCTATACTAAAGAACAAAAAAAACTCTAAATTGAAATTATTAGAGATATTTTAGATATTTGGGTCGCCCAAACCAAAGTTCGGTCTTGGTTAACGATTTTTGGATGGAAATTTTAACAAAAGGGCATGTTTGATAAGTTTTCCAAAGAACATGGGCATGTTTGATGTAAAAAATAGTAGAGGGGCATGGTTTGATAAAACGTCATAATCAGGGCGGACCCATGCATTAGCAAGGTGTGTCAACCGACACACCTTGACTCGGAAATTTTGTGAGAGATCCATGTTTCATTGGTACAAAAAAATTGAATTTGGAATTTCTGACACACCTCACATAATTGCAATCGACACACCTTTAATACACTACATTGATTTTGATGTCATATAGCAATAGTTACCAAAATACATAATTATATATTATTTATTTTAATTTTTAGTGAATATGTCGAGAGGAAAAAATCCACAACCCATGGCTCACAATTCTCTGTCCTCTGCTCCACTCTCTAATTGCTAGCACCTGCCGGTGGAACCTCATCCTCTTTCAAACTTTTACGTTAACGTCTGTCGCCAACGTTCCTGCTTTCCATTTTATGCTATGGAGTTAATCAAGAGTGAACTTCAAATCAGTTTTATGAATTAATTTATACTTTTGTACGTCGATAAAAGTTTGATCACACCATAAGCGACAAATATATTTTACAAACCTTTCTGAATATGAAAAGTTATCGTGTGTCACTGTGAAAAATAATAAATCACGACCTTAATGAATTAATGATTTATTTTACTTTTTATTTAATTCATTTAATTTATTAATTATTTTTTGTCTGCCGACACACCTATTAAAGAATCCTGGGTCCGCCACTGGTCATAATAGAAGGGCATATTATACCTATAACCCTTACGTATTTAATTATCACATATAGTGGGGTTATAAAGACCGATAAGCTCATTATGAACCCAAACAATTAATCCAAAATCTGCATATTCCAATTTGGTGTGTTCAACAACAAAACAAAGTTAATTTCAAGCAATTATCAAACAATTCCAAGTTATTGTGTTTACTTATCATCATTGTCAATCAATTGTGATGTATGTATCCCCTTCCACCATTTTTGCAACTTTTTCCAATTCCCAAACCCATATTTCACTATATTTTCCATACTTCTCCAGACCTTGAACCAACTTATCAATTGTTGATGTTTTTGGGATGCAATCCTTAGTATTCTCTTCCTTCACTGGGTTGAAGTTATTTTGTATGGGTGCCTTTCGCCAAATTCTCATTCACGTTTCAATTAGGCGAGATACCTTTGTTTGCATCCCCAAGGCTAAGACTAATTCACTACAGATTCTGTTTAGAAAGTTGGTAAGTCTGATCTCCATTTGTCCCACCATATTGTTGCCTGCTCACCATCTCCAATCTTGCATATGAAGCTAGTCTTAACAACATTCTTAGTTGCATAAGACTATGCCATAGGTATCTTGGATTGTTCCCTTCTTATGTTGTTAGGATATGATAATCTCATATGATACTTTCTCTTGAGTAAGGGTACCGCTAAAGTGTATGGGTTTTACATTAGATTCTATACTTGTTTTCCAAATAAAGCACAAATTATATGTAATTGGCTCACTTTTTGCGGCGGATAATAGTAGATAACTAATATTGAGCTACACCGAATTGAATTAAATCGAACCTTTAATTAGACTGATTCATATCATACTTCGATTTAACTTTATTCAAAAATTCAAAAAATTTATTAAAAAGAATGCAAAACATAAACCAAATAAAAATCATGACCAGAGCAAATACCATTTTAATCCTCACGGAGGATTTCTGAAGACTTTTTTAAAATTTAAAATTCATGTACTTTACTTGATGCATGGTTAGTAATATAAATAACGGTATAAATTTTTTAAATGAAAAAGAAAATGACCACGAAAATCCTCATGAATGTTTTTAAAAATTATTGAATATAATATATGCATGGTATCTTCTTGTTTTTTTAATAAGGCCTTCTTGTTTTCTAAGTGTACCATGAAATATTTTTATAGGTTCCCCAAGAAACCAAAAAACAATATAGCATTTCAACTTTCTTCACTATCAATAAGCATTTCAATGCACAATCGAAAGTTTTCATTTCAATCCATCCAATTGATTCATTTTTTAAGTTCTGAAGGACCAAGAGATACAATTTTGAATTTTCCTTCATCTCCGACTATATTTTTGAATCACCAGCAAAACTTAATTTGAAAGAAGAAACTCATATCTAAAATTTTCTACCCAATTCTACTGGTGATGGGGAAGAAGCTTGCTTGATTAGCCCAAGAACATTAATTGTTCCTTGATTTGGAATGTTACGAATAGATCGAAAACAAAATCAGAAGATATATGAACTAAATAATAATCTAAACATAGCAATTGTAGTATAGATTTCACAGGCAGAAAATATCATCTTAATGCTAGAACTAACTAAATCATTTACCTAAAATGAAAATAAAATAAATTCAGTCAATCCTACTCGTCATTGCATCCTTAATTACAACTACAAAGAATTATAATGACAAATCTAAATAAAAAAGAGGGAGATATGTAAGAATCCAGTAATCCATGCTCTTGGTTGGCCCATCATTAATTAGATAAAAAGTAGTTAGACGGGAAAAAGAACTAAAGAAGAAAAAAGATATCATTTTATTTTTAATTGATCCCTAAAATTGTATCATAAGGAAATGATTTGATGATGGTAAGTGGCCAGGTGTAAATTTTTGGCTGCAACGTGTAATTCATGCACAACTTTGGTTAGAATCAACCAAATTAAATAAGAGCAACAACTTTGGTTAAAGACATGCACTCTGATCTTTCTATAGCCATCAACTTTTCTTTCTATCCATCTTGGAGACTTGGACTAATGCAATCTAAAAAACAGCCATCTTCAACAACTGATATGTTGGGAGCAAAGTGGAAGGAGTTGAAATCAGAGGGAGCAAATTGAAAAAGATGCTAAATATGATGAAGCATGCAGTCATAACTCAAAGGCCACAGGCCGCAGAAGCCACTAATTGCTCGATTTTATCCCGCTATGGTGAAGATCGAAGGTCTATACGGGAAGAAGGAAAGGTGACGCGGCCGATCGATCAAGCTCCTCAAAGTTGGATTTCCATTCAATCCAGGGCACCATTAAGATAGCATGCATAGGCGGCTATGAGATTTTCATTCTTGCAGTGAGGGAAAAAATGGTGGGTTGATCGAGCTAATTTCACCTTATTGATTAGCTGTCGCTGGCGAGGAGCGTTGGACTGCAGTTCAGCTTGTTGCAGAGATGTGTCGTTGTCGCCGACAATGGCTTCCCAAGCAAGCTGTAGGGGGTGAAGTTCGTTCGTTCGATATCAGGCTGGAAGGAGGCGGAAAGGGAAAAGGTGGCCCAACGGGAGGGAAACTCAAGTTTGGCCCAGGCCCAGTCCTAGGCCCGTGTTTGACAATGGAAGTAAGTGTAAGCATAATAAAACACAGCGTCCCACTAATTAGTATATGCGAAATGACTATATGCCCCTTCCGGAAATCAATCTGGAGCCAGCAAATTCAAATCTCTGAAAAACTAACCCATGTTTTGCCTTCATGTATTGCGTAGATTTGGGTGAAACTTGTTCCTTCCTTTTGCATTTACAGTCGGTCGGTTGGTTGTTGTTGGGTTCGAGAATGGATAGCAGTCTACTTCAAAAATGGGCTACTGGACTTCTTCTTCATGCGTGGGCCAAAAGTATGGCCCAAGAAGCTTTAACCAAGTCTGACAATTGTGGTGGTTAACAAGTTCGGGAAAATAAGAAAGAAAAAAAAAACATTCTGTATTTGACTATTCCTTGCCTTTCCTGTACAACAAGGTGCTCTTTTTTATACAAGCAGCAGGTTAGTAGGGTTTGGTAAATAAATGCACAATCGCAGTAAACAAAAGAAAACGGAAAAATAACAAACAAACGAGTTCATCTCGAGATTGAGGCTTGATACTGTCGGGCCACACGCCACACCAGGCCGAAAAGCCCTTTTGCTGATCTCCTGCCGTTTTGGACAAACTCGGCCCAATCTCAGTCCATTATACGGGCTCACGGGCTCGTCTCTAGGTTTGGGCCCAGCAGCTGAGATACATCACTCTCTGCATCGACTCCTCGGCCCATTTCTCCTTCCTTCCTGCACCTTCGTACCCGGTGAGAAAGCAGCCTTTCTCGCCGGAATCAGAGCGCCGGAGGTCACCGGATTTCCATTTCGAAATCCCACCATCTGGGTTCTTCTTTTCTTCCATCCCAGAAACGATGACCGCCGTCCGGAGTATCCCGAAGTAACTCATAGTTTTTGCGTTTGGATTTGGTAGATTGTTTCCTTTGTACAGAGAGGAAAGGTTTCCTAAGAGATAGTGAATTCAAAGAGAGAGAGAGAGACAGAGAGGAAGTTAATATCTTTTTTTCTGGGATTGTCAGTTCGAGAAGATGGCAGCTTATGATAATGGAAGCAATCGAAAATCCGTTAGTGGGGAGGCCACAGTATTAATGGTTTTCCAATTGGCGGGGTGAGATATTTAGTGATTGTTTATTGGCGTAATGGATAGAGATGTGTGAAGTGGTCCTATGACCGGATTCTTAATTATCTATGTATAGATTTGTCCTGAACTATGGGCGCTAGAAAGCACTAGTGTAGTGTCATACTCATATCATATGCATTGATATCATATGGTATCGGCTTGTAGTACGATTCTATCGTAAATCTTTAAACGATTGTGTGTTATCTAGTTCAGGAGCAGTTTAGAAAAGAATCAAATCTTTTTTGTTATAAACGCGATGTTACTGATCGGGAAATCGTCGGAATCGATAAATCAAAAATACGAAAGCGAGAATCGAAAATACAGACACACGATTTACGTGGTTCACTGACACGATGTGTGTTAGCTACGTCCACGGGTGAGGGAGTGAGCCAGTTTCACTATATCGAGAAGATTAGAGATTATAGAGGGATATGAGAAGTATTTATAGTACTTCTCCATGTGGGTCTAAACCTAATCCAATCTGGCAAAGGAAACGGTTACAGACCAGGCCCAGAATCCGAACCCAAATAACATTGAGCCCATACACCCCCGACTACCAGTCGTAGCGGTTGATAGTCCGATTCAAGTCACATCAACAATTTTTAAAGAAGAATTTTGTTATGCACCCAACCTACGAATCTAGGGCCGGAGTTCATTTTTGGTTAACCCGAGAATCGAATGTTCTGATTTTTAGTTATACTTTGGTTACCCATATCGAACCTTATAATCCATTGAATTTGGTCCATAATCTGGTTGGATCTTAGAGTTGGAATGACATGGTGGTCTAGACTCAACTTCGATCGAATTTTCGATTTTATTCAAGTTTTCTTGATTCGATTCGGTTTGCGAAAGATAGTCTAGACCCACAACCGAGACCGTCTATCGTTCAATTTTTTAATTCTTAGTTACTCGTTAACAAACAAATTTAGTTTCGGTTAGCTTAACCGAACTCGAACGTACGGCCCAACCATAATCGATCTAGTGCAAAAGAGTTGTCGTGCGAGATTCGTAGGTTGTAGGGTACCCAACATGTTGTTATGGTTTGAAATCATATTATATGTTCTTGATTGGAAGTCACGAGGGTCTCGTTGTAATGTTATAACATAGTTGTGCTTAATTCATTTGGTGTTAATAGTTTTTAACTTTTCCTACATATTTTGTTAAAACTGTCATCAACCCATACCATATACCACTTACTAAACCGATGTAATGATATAAACTCTCACTCTAGCAAGCTCGAACATATCGTCTCTCTCAATGACTCGGCAGCATTGTCGAGGATGCCAAGTAACTCGCTCCGAAGTGCCTCCAAGCCCTCTTCCAACCTCGTCACGCGTTGCCCCGTACCTCGCATGTCACTCATGAGTTGTTGCACGCTTGCCTCCGCTTCCGCATGGCCTTGGCTCAAATCCCCGATCGCTTGTCCCCTTTGACCTTGCTTCGATTGAGATTCTTCACTTGGTCCCTACTCGAATCCAGAAACCATCTCGTCAAAGCTCTTCCTTCCTTGCAAGTATGAACCAGACTCCGATATCAAGTGTTTGACAACCTTGACAAGAATTTGTTGAGTTGACTAAGCACACTCATTGCTAGGTAGGAATATTTTTCGAATTGATAAAATTAATGGTTCAATATTCAACTGTGATATCGCCTAAAGTTCAATATTATACCCTCTATAAAATAACCAATTAACCATCATTGCAGAATGATTACCTATTTGATCTCCTCTATGCAATGCGATCGAGTCAGAACGACGTGTCATCAGTATGCAATCAAACCAAGACGACAATATATATGGTAATTGGAGAGGGAGAGTTGAGTTTTGGTTACCGTCAGCATGTTATGTTGATATGTACAAAGAAACCAAGCTCTGTGAACATCAATTCAAACCATTATCTGCAAGCTAGGTGCAAAAGAACGTGGCAGCAAACCCACGTAACAGCGACCCTTTTTTGATTAAATATTTTGTTTCATTGCTTCGCTTTGCTTTGTTTGACGAACCTCTTCTTGGCCATATTCATATATAATAAATACTCTGGCACTCTGCAGTCTGCACAACCAAAGCAGCTGAGAAATCTAAGAAAGGAATTCGCGTGGTCAACTCACTACATCAAAAGCATAAGGGACAAATGAATGAAAGAAAAGCTTCCTGAGATGAACAAAGAATGAAGGCATTGCAGTTGCAGGGAGATATAATTGAGGCAGGGCTGAAACAAGGGTGTGAGTTGGAATTTGGGGTGGTCGACTTCATACATTGACTAGTTAGCATTGTCAGCTGTTCTTTTTGTCACTATCACACTATTTAAAATGATGTGTTATTGCCTTATTGGAGTGGATTGACACAACTTTTATATATCTTTGTCAACCTCAAAGCAATGCTCTATAGGTTGCCATCGATACAATATTATCCATCCAATGAATGGTCATCAGGAGGCAGGGGGAGGCATGATCTAGTTCCAGAAGCTAGATCGAATCGGAAGTGGCCTTTAGACCAAATGTACGAAGCGAAACGACGATTAAAGTCGAACCAAAAGCGTGTTTGGACCGAATCACTGCTGATCCTGTGAGCTTTGAGTTCTGCAGATTTTCTTACAGAGGGCAAAAAACAGGTTGGTATTGATCAAATTATGAGCATTACAACCCAACATGACGAGACCAGTTCTTATTTTCTGGCGCACAGAAGCAAGAAGGCAGGCAGCCAAATCAAAATCGTCATTTTATCTACAGGCAGAGCTGAACGGTGGGGGAAAAAAAAAACAAGGGGTTCTTCTAACACTCCCAAAAATCAACAAAGCAAATCAACCTTACAACAACAACAACAACAACAACAACAACAACGCATCATCTTTTCTTTACATTGACACATTCTCAAGAGCTTTTTTCTTTTCACTCTTCCCGCATGGTACAATGGAGTAGAAGAGGAGCATACAGACATCAATCAATTTTCCATTCATCTTCTCAAGCCATGAAGAACAAAAGCTTGTTGCTCATTAGGGTCATCTATACTGAGTCTACCCCTTCACCCTGCTGTCGAGCAAGGTATCTCTCCCTTCGCTCTTTCTGTTTGATACACAAAAGATGATGGACAATGAGACTACGAAGTGCGGCTAGTGGGTTTGCAAATAAAATTTATTAGGGGGATAGCATGATGATAACTCACCCATTCATCAATCACAAGTCCTTCGCCTATGATTCTTGGACCTGCATCCTCTGGGGGTTTCTTCCGGGCTTCCACTGCAGCATCAGCCTCTGCTAATTGGCGCTTCAACTTCTCCATAGACTGTTATACCATGACAAAAAGTTGCAGTTCAATGAGAAGATCCAAGTTTACACCTTTTGCATCAGATGAAGTTGTTAACCTATATTCGAACTTACAGGGGTTGAACGCTCGGGATCTAGAAAAATAACGCGCAGTATCTGCTCTATTGCTACTTGGTCCTTCTGTTCATCAAACTGCAAAGGGAAATTGGGAATTCCAGTAGATTAGGGGAGAGAGCTTGTAATGCCTACAAAGAAACCTTACGACAAGGGCTTGGCCTAGTGGTAATATCACTAGTCCAAGGGCTTGGCCTAGTGGTAATACCACTAGTCCAAGGGCTTGGCCTAGTGGTTCCAGGTTCAAATCCCTTAAGTAGTACCTTAATGATAACAAATGAAACCTATATCACCCTTATCTATAAAAAAAAGAAACACAATCACAATGACACAGAGAAAATCAACAAGTTAAGCACTTACCCACAGTCGCTAGAGGAACTTCTTAGAACTGGATTACTTAAAACTCAAGAGGCAGAGCCCAACCGAAGAAGGGGGAAAACATCTATAGTGCAAGCAAGTTTTTAAGTTTTTGCCAGAGCTTACACATTTCACCAACTAGATTGATTCCAAGTCTTGTCAGTTATGACAACAATTTCTAATAAAGTTGGAATTGATAGCTGCTAATTGCATTCAAGTGTAAACTAACCAGCTCAGGCACATAGTCCATCGGCCCTTTCACCTTCAGGCTCATAATTTTGAACTTAACCCTGCTCTTCTGGTCCATTGGTTTCTCATTGTTCTCTGGGTGCTCGACGAACTTGAAAACTAACATCCACAAGCAAGAAAATATACCATCGTAAGATACCAGTATGCAAGAAGAAGCCACATAACCAAAATGCATTTAACAGCACAGACATAACCAATGCTGAGAGGAATTACCAGTAGCGATGATACTCTCCCCGGGAGCAAGAATAGCCCCCGGTGGGCGCATGAAACAACTCTTTGGCGCAGTTGTTTGGAACTACACAACACCAAGATAGCAAATGCATAAGAAATATGATCAGATGGGCATCAAGTTCTTTCAGGCATATCATCGAACAACCTTATATCCAACCCAAGCCGTGAAACAAAAAGGGAATTTGATTGAATCAAGCTATACCTTGAACGCTACATGGGATTTGCTACTGTTCTTAATCTTGATAGCACTCCTCACCTGCTTCCCAGGTTCATCTACAACCAGAGTAGAAAGAACAAAGCTTCATCAATTCCCAGTAGAAACCATAAATACCCAAACACAACCAATTAAGAAAGCAAATAGCAGCAATTATTAATGCAGCAGAAGCCAAGCCAGCAATTTCAGTCAATTCTTTCTCCCAAAGTAACAAAATTACCATAAGATCCCGCCGGGAAAAGAAATACCCAGAAACCTAGCTAATAAGGCAAGGGAGATCGAGAAAAAAATAATCAGGAGCTCACAAGGGAAGTAGAGCTTGGAGGCCGGATCGAGCTTGAGGCGGCGGCGCGTCGGGAGAAGCGATCTGGCGACGGAAGAGACCGAATTGGGAGGCTGAGGAGTAGATCCTTCAACGGCGGCGTTATTCTGGCCGTGGCCGTGGTGGTGGTTGTGGTGGCTGTGGTGAAGCTGCGAAGAAGGCGAAGGGGACGGCGTCGCATTCCCGTTGGTTGCTCGGAAAGGCAGCTTGAGGAAACCCCATACTTTGTTGGAGTTGTCAGTCGGCGACTTGTTCTCAACCATAGCCATGGACGGCGGAGGAGGAGGCCGTCAGAGCATGAACTGGGTTCAAGTTATCTTTGTACGGGTGGGAGAAGGTCCGATCCAACTCCTGAAGAAAAGTCAGTCGAGAGGAAATGGGGAAAGGGAGAAGAAGAAAGACAGCTTTTTTCTTCTTCTTGGGGAGAAGATTTGATGTGAAGGAGAAGGTGGGCAGCTTGTTCTTTTGAGTGGGTGTAGGGAGAAAGAGTTGAAAGAAAGCTGAATTTTGTTGTGGGTTCAGAATTCAGATTAAAAACTTCTCTGTTCTAGAAGAAGCAGTCGTGGTAAAATGCTGAGGGGGTGAGTGTGATAACGAGGTGCATATACAGAAATAATCATTATTATTTTTTTTTTCCACTAATAAATCATGTAAGGAGTAGTTTTCGAGCATACTCAACTACTTATTTATTATATTTTTCGTCTAGTTTGTTCTTCGTTTTCAAATTTTTGGTTACATCACACATTCTATATCTCTTAATTGTTTCTTTTTTTGCATTATGTGCAGTAACTATCATGGTCTCCTCCTCACTAGGGCCGCCCTAGCTGACCTTTGATGCTCGCGATGTTGTTGTGCCTCGATTCTCGCTTTAGGGATAGTATAGTGTAGTGTAGTGTTTGCAGGTCCAATTGGATTTCAACATGATGGCGCCTAGGGTTCTATGTCTTGTTGAGTGGCTAGACGATTGAGATGAGAATTTTCTAGTGTTCAGTCTTCGTTTCAAGGCGTGTGTGCGGTTTTCGAAGGAGGCTCGCAAATGATGATCTCTCGGCTTGCTCATAGTTTGCAGTCAGCTATCGTTGGGTCGCTATATTCTCCGAGATTGTCTTCATGAGGGATAAACTCTTGATTCAAAATTAAAGTATAAAATGGTCCCTAAACCTGCTAGTTGGGGGTGGCCATAGAATGTCAAAAAAGCCTTTTTATTTGAGTTGTCTAAAGTTGTTTTTGTTAACTTTGATAATGCAAACTGACCAACTTTATTGATGCAAATAGAAAGCCTTAAATACAATGAAGCTGGCCACTGATCTCGGTCACAACTAACCACTAAACCCTCATGATTCCAGCTCCCTTGATTCCAGCTAGCATGACTAACAGTTCTAACCTACAAATCTGCAGACTTGGTTACAAGACAACCAACTACTTCTAATTTGACGCTTAAGACTCTACTGCCTAACAAAGGACTCAATCAAAACGACACACCAGCAACTTAAGAACTCCTAACGGCTTCTTTATTCAAACTACCTTCTATCAACCCAGATTTGAATCCTGCTGACATATCCTCCCCTGAACTGAAGTCCATCAGAAAGCTTCAGTTCACATCATCCTCAATGCTGGTTCCTGCAATTTCAACTACTCCAAGCTTACTCCTTAGTAGCTCGAAAGCCTCAAGTTTCAAAGCCTTGGTCATAACATCTGCAACCTGCTCCTGAGTTCCACAGTATACCAATTCCACCACTTCCTCCTTTGCCAGCTCTCTAAGAAAGTGAAACCTCACATCTATATGCTTGCTTCGGCCGTGAAGAACAGGATTCTTAGAGAGCTTGATTGTCGAGTTGTTATCACAGAATATCTTTGTGGCACCTTCTACACAGCTGCTCCATCCCATCTGATCCAATATCCTTCTTAACCATACTCCTTGAGCTGCACAATAGGAGGCTGCAACGAACTCTGCTTCAGTAGTGGATAGGGTGACTACCGGCTGTTTCTTCGAGGCCCACGAGACAGCAGCTCCTGCCAAGAAGAATGTATAACCCGATGTGCTTTTCCTGTCATCTTGATCCCCAGCATAGTCACTATCAGTGTATCCAATTAGGTTGTCCTCCCCACTGTCCTTCTGGTACCATAAACCAAACTTAGAAGTCCCCTTTAGGTACCTTAAAACTCGTTTAGCAGCTAGTAGATGCTGCCTCATTGGACTTTCCATGAACCTGCTCAATAGACATACAACATACATGATGTCAGGCCTCGTTACAGTCACATAAAGCAAGCTCCCTATCAACTGCTTGTATTCAGTGGGGTTGACAGGAACACCATCTCCAGCCTTGGTTAGCTTGATTCCAGGAGCAATCGGATTCCTGACAAAGTTGCAAGCTGACAGCCTAAACTTCTCTAGAATTTCTTTTATGTACTTGTGCTGGCTGAGGTAAATTCCTTGATCATTCTGAATGATTTCTACTCCCAAAAAATACCTCAGTTTTCCAGGATCTGTCATCTCGAACTCAGCTTTCATTGATACCTTGAACTCTTCAATCATGCTGCTACTGTTGCTTGTGTACATCAGGTCATCCACATAGATACTGACCATTAAGAATGATTCTCCAGATCTCTTGATGAACAATGTGTGTTCATACGTGCTCCTTTCAAAACCAGCCCTGTGAAAATAGTTTTCAATCTTGCTATACCAGGCTCTAGGTGCTTGTTTTAAGCCATAGAGAGCCTTGTTTAGCTTGTACACTTTCCTTTCCTCCCCAGCAACCACAAAGCCTTGTGGTTGCTCTACATAGACGTCCTCAGCTAGATCCCCATATAAGAATGCACTTTTGACATCTAGTTGATATACAGTGAGATTGTGATGAGCAGCTAGAGCCAGCAGTGTCCTTATAGTGTCCCATCGAGCTACTGGGGCAAAAACTTCTGTGTAGTCTATTCCAGCTTGTTGAGAGTACCCCTTAGCCACCAATCTGGCTTTGAACTTGTCCACACAGCCATCCTCCTTCAACTTCGTCTTGTACACCCATTTAAGTCCAATTGGTTGGACTCCTTCCGGTAGATCAGTCAATGTCCAAACTTGATTCTTCTTGATAGCCTGCATTTCCACTTGCATAGCAGCATTCCACTTTGGATCAGATGCTGCTTCTTCAAATGTCTGAGGATCGGTAGTGAGAGCCACCATTGCCTTCCAATCAGTGTCGGTGAAGAAATTGCAGTCATACATGTCCAGATGTGCAGGTCTGGTTCTTGTCCTGGGACCAAGACCAAAATCTGGTACATGAGAAACAGGAGGAGTGACAGCTTGTTGATCTTCTCCTTCCTCCTCCTCTTCGTCTAGCACTTCAGTTTCTTGGTGGGAAGTTGCACCTGCTGGTTGAGAATTATTTGCAGCAACAGCAGCTTCATTTGATGTCATGGCTTGTTCTTCTCCTTCATCATCTGACTCATACCACCCTTCTTCACTGTCTTCCCAATATATCTTGGTCAACACAGGCTGAATATTAGATTTCCACTCCCAACCCTTAGCTTCATCAAAAACCACGTCTCTACTAACCACAATCTTTTTGGTGTTGGGATTATAGAGCTTGTAGGCTTTGGATTCTGCTGAGAGACCTAGGAAATGACAGGGAGTGCTCTTGTCATCAAGCTTTTTCCTGTGCTGATCAGGAATGTGAACATAGGCTGTGCATCCAAAAACCTTGAAATGTGAGACCGAGGGAGGTTGGCCAGTCCACAATTCTTGTGGTGTCTTTCCTTTATTTGCAGCAGTAGAGCTTCTATTGATGACATGTGCAGTCCAAGCCACTGCTTCTGGCCAGAAGGAGGCTGGTACCTTCCTGTCATCTAGCATACATCTAACCATGTTTAGTATGGTTCTGTTCTTCCTCTCTGCTACTCCATTTTGCTGTGGAGTTAGCGCAGCAGTAAGCTGCCTTCGTATGCCTGCTTCTTCACACAATCCTTTGAACAGATTTAACATAAACTCCCCTCCTCTATCTGTTCTCAAGCAAACTATTGGCAATCCAGTTTCCTTTTCTATCAAAGCTTTAAATTTCTTAAAGGAATCTAATGCTTCAGACTTAGCAGCTAGGAAGAAAACCCATAACTTTCTACTGAAATCGTCAATCAAGGTGAAGATGTACCGTTTCCCACCATTCGAGGTAGGTGTAATTGGTCCACAGAGATCAGCATGCAGCAACTGGAGCTTTTGAGTAGCCCTCCATGTACTTTTCTTTGGGAAAGGGGCTCTGTGTTGTTTTCCAACCTGGCATGTTGAGCAAACTCCAACCTCTCCAGTGAGCTTTGGCAGATCTCTCACAAACTCCTTCTGTTGCAGCTGCAGAATTGCCTTTGGACTTAGGTGTCCAAACCTCCTATGCCACAGCTCCAATGAGTGTTCATCAGTAGCCTGCAAGCATTGAGTGTCATTGATTAAATCTGCCTTGAGCACAAACATTCTATTCTTCTGCATGCTGGTCTGCAGAATCATTCCTTTCTCTTCATGAAATATCCTGCAAGAGCCACCCTTGATCAAGAAAGCCAAGCCCTTTTCCTGGAGTTGCCCTACACTAAGTAGGTTGGTGTTCAGATCTGGAACATAGTAAACATCCTTGATTTGCAGATTTACATGTTCCAGCACCAACTTGACAGCTCCTTTTCCAGCAACATCAAGTCTGGAATCATTTCCCAACCTTACACTTCCTTTGAAGCTTGTATCCAGATCAGTAAACCAGTTCTTATTCCCACACATATGGTTACTGCATCCGGAATCTAAGAACCAGCAAGCTTCATTTTGTTCTCCTTTGTGTTCTTCCAAAAAAGCCATAAGTAAAACATCATCTTTCAATTCGGAAGAGGTAGAATAGTTAACATGTTGATTGTTGTACCATTCTGGGCACTCATGCCTGAAATGACCCATCTTATGACATTTGTAGCATTCCACAGATTCTCTATTCCACCCTCTTCCTCTTCCTCTTCCTCTTCCTCTTCCTGGAAAGAAGCCACCCCTGCTTTGACCTCGACCTCTTCCTCCATTCTCATATCCCACCTTGAGAGCCTGATCTTCTTCTACTCCAGTCTTCCTAAGAAACTTCTGCTCATGCACTATCAACGAGCTTTGCAGCGCATCAACACTAAGCTGCTCAATGTCTTTTGACTCCTCAATTGAGCAGACCACATAATTAAATCTTTCTGTCAGAGTTCTCAATATCTTTTCAACGATCTGCACATCAGTCAGATCTTCTCCACAATTCCTCATAGAGTTAGCAACAATCATAACTCTACCAAAATAATCTGTGATTGATTCACCTTCTTTCATCTCCAGCAGCTCGAAATTCCTTCTCAAGGCCTGCAACTGTGCCTTCTGAACCCTGGCACTACCCTGGAATTTCACCTTCATAGCATCCCACAATTCTTTTGCTGTCCTCTTCCTTGTGATGGTCTTCAAGATTGTCTTGTCGATTGAACTGAAGAGGTAGTTCTTTGCCTTGAGATCTCTCAGTTTTGAGTCCTCCAAACTCTTGGATTGAGTTTCAGAAAGAGTCTCACCTTCCGAGGGTTCTCTGAAACCTTCACTAACCACTCCCCAGTATTCCTTTGACCTCAGCAAATTTTCCATTAGAAGACTCCAATGATCGTAGTCTCCATCGAACTTGGGAATGCACACCTGTGCAAAGCTACTGTTTTCACTCATCCTTTTCACAGCAGATCTCTTATCGATAGATAGCTAGAGATCTCACTCACCACCCTGATTGATTCCTCTCTTGTTCACTCGTGTTTCCCTAATCCCAATTCTGCAATCAGACTTGCAGAATTCTCTGTTACTCTCTAAGATCTTGGTTACAGTTCACTCAAAGCTCTGATACCACAATGTTAACTTTGATAATGCAAACTGACCAACTTTATTGATGCAAATAGAAAGCCTTAAATACAATGAAGCTGGCCACTGATCTCGGTCACAACTAACCACTAAACCCTCATGATTCCAGCTCCCTTGATTCCAGCTAGCATGACTAACAGTTCTAACCTACAAATCTGCAGACTTGGTTACAAGACAACCAACTACTTCTAATTTGACGCTTAAGACTCTACTGCCTAACAAAGGACTCAATCAAAACGACACACCAGCAACTTAAGAACTCCTAACGGCTTCTTTATTCAAACTACCTTCTATCAACCCAGATTTGAATCCTGCTGACAGTTTTTTCGTATATTGGGTTCAGGATGAGCACTGACATACTACCTTCGAGCCTATTGATGGTATGTAAACCTATTGGATCGAGTAAGTTTACCTTGTTACTAAAGTTCAGAATCAAGACAGCGCGAAAGTCACTAAACGTATATTCGATATTTATTTTATCATGCCTTGGTTAAAAAAAAATAGAAAAATTCTCTCAAACAACTTCCTAGTAATAAAGGAAGAAATTAGCAGAGCCGGTTTGGTATAGTAAGTTAAAATTGAATTAAGTAACAAATATGTTTGGATTTAGTATGACTTAGAATTGATCGTCCTTGTTAGATTACTAATTTTATTATTGAGTAAGAAGTCTTCGTAAATCCGTTCACTTTAGTAGTAACGAATTTTCCTCGCCGGCCGTTGGCGACTGATTGGTCTGGAAATTGGACGTTTCTTTTCTTGGAGCTCATCGGCGTTGACGAACCACTACAAACCAAATAGAAAAATACTATTCTTTTGAGGGAAACGCAAGTGGTAGGTTAGGAGCTAACAACGAGGGTTTTGCCGTTTTTTTCCCCGTAGAGTAGACTTTTCGTTGATTTGTGTGGTAAAGCGTGTTGAACGAGTGGTGGATTAGTTGAATGTGATTATTTTAAGTTCTTATTCCAAAGTTTAATTAATGGATTAATTTTGACTAATTGGGTAAAAATCCGTTTTGGATTGATGTGAAAAACGAAGAAGGGAAGTGTGTAAGGTGGTCGTGGTCATGGACTCATGGTGCATTTGTGGTGGATTACACGGATTTGATCCGTCTCGATCTAATTGATAAAGAATTCAAATTCAATAGTAGATTAAGAAGAAAAATATGAAACACTATTGATTCTACTTATGTTATTTTTTTTTTATACTACTTATGTGTTGCATCACTTGAATTGCAAGGTCGTTCAAATCACGGTCACCATAATAATCATAATTTATCAACTCATAACTGAAAAGTTAGTTGTACAAAAGTTTTTGGTTGGAGAAATAAAGTCAAGTCGTGTCTAACAACGAAAAAAAAAATATTAGATACATACATCTTTTTTTTTTTATAAGCAGAGATACATACCTGTATCGTTTATAATATAATTAACGTTCTCGAGTTTTACTGATTAATCTAAATCTCATCTCACTGAAATATGTCATTACATACCTTTTTTTTTTTATGGATTGTTGTGGGTTGGATGCTGCCTACTTGTTTGTAATGCAGAGCACCCTAGTGGAAATTGCAGTTGCATTTGGATGTTGGGATCCATCTCAAGGAGATGGGTTAAGGTTACGACTTTATATTATTGTTCATTGGAGCTCCCTTCGTTCTCAAGTTCGTTTTATCTTCTGACGCACTCTTAATTAGGACAATTGACTTTCAGTTCCTTAGCAGCTGCAAGCATGCATTCATATAGATTGTTTCCGCTCGATTTGGATGCACTAGTAAGAGAGACTTCATGGGTAATGTAACAAAGTAACGAACATACAAGGATTTATTAGATTGGGAAATCAGAATCGTCCCACTGAAGGACTGCAGAATCAATGTTCTGTTCGCGTTTCAGCTTGTCCTTCAAGAACCAGTCGCATACTTTCCCTGCATTCAGCTCCTCAATGGCGCACCCTTCTTGCTCCGATATCACTTTCAGAAGGTTCAACGAAGATATCTGTTCATTCAAACACCCAAGAAACAATAAAACCAGAAACAAATCCCCACAAGAATTTAGTAATTACTAATTACGGTCGGAGTAATTAATTTAAGGGCGCCTGAAACGAAGAACTTAAATAATTACGAACCGTTAAACGGCAGAGGAACCGCTCGTGGGAGCTGAGCCCGGACATTTCCACCAGCCCAGCTTCCTCCAGGCTCAGGAAGCTCCGCCGCGGCCCCTCCGCTGCTCCGCCGCAGCATTTCGTCAGCGCCGGCCGACTTCGCCTGCTCGGCGGGAACCCGATTTGCCTCGCCCGGGAAGCTTGGAGATTGTGATTACCCGAGCCCGATAAGAATGGCGGGTGGCGGCGGGGATTGATGTTGTTGTAAATGGGTCTCAACAAGATCATGGCTTTCTCTTCGTTGAGATTTCAATGGCGGAATCGACGGAAGAGTGGATTGGAATTTGGAAGCGGGAAGGTTATCCTCTCTGTTTCTTGTGTGTGGTGGTTGAGACGTGGAGATAAGAGTTGTATAGAAGTGGGCCTTTCTTTGTTTCACCAGATCTGGTCTGCCACTTAATTGGGCTTGGATTTCTCTTGTGGATCGGTCCATCTGAAGCAATGTTACTAGGCTGGGCCTGGATGTACCTTCCTAACTATTTGCATAATTTGATTTTGGAGTAAGATGTTTCAAATGAGGCGTCATTCATGACTCAAATCATACAATCCTTTTTCATTTAGAGTTTTGCAGTCTATTTGCCATGTTTTCCATGACTTTATGGTATGAGGATGCGACGATGATTCATAATCAACCATGACGTGCAAAATAGTTTCGGCATTCTTTATCTATAATTGAATCTTTTTAATCCTGTTAGCTACAACTCATGACATGATCTTATAAATACAAGACGATAAAAAAATGGTGAATCCGAAACACAATTGCTAGTAGGGATCATGATGCATCAACATCCTTCAATGATCATTAGATGAGTACTTAGGGAAACCCCAATTAGTAATCCCCAACCCAACTCAACCATCTAATAGAAAATGATGAAACTTTTTACAATTTTTTACAGTTTTACAACACAAACGTAGTGGCGGTGATGATCAATTAGGAGCCCAACAACTCAAGTACATGACTGTTCTTAGAGACTCTTCCGCCCTTTCGCTCATCGTATTGCTCGCCGGTTTGCAACCGGCGGCGCTCGACAAATTCCTCGACGAAGACGAAGGAGAAGAAGAAGAGCTGCCACCGGCAGAATCTTTCAGCGGCTTGGCGGCGGAATCTTTGCTAATAGTTCCTTGAATGGCTCTTCCCAAGAACGTTCTCGGACACATTGTTGCCCCACCCAGGAAAAAAAAAATACAATTGGCGACGAAAAAATGGGAGAATTGGGTTTGTTGGAATTGAACTCCTTTGTTTTTTGAATGAGATTTGGGAAGATTTATATGCAGAAATGAACGGGTATGTATATATAGAGAGGATAAGGCAAGCTTGGAGAACAAGGCAGGCGGCTTGCGGCCGGGGAGATTATGAGGGAAAAGGAAAGCCGTGTTTTTGGATAAGCATAGTACGACCGAAGCTGACGTTGCGGGGCGATTCGTTTGTTAGTTGGTAGATTGGATTGGATGTTGTTAATTGACTTTTAGTTAATGACGATTTGACATAGAAGATAAACAGAATTATATATATGGGCTCGTGTTGATGTCAAAGTTGTCGATTTGATATGATTGGTGTTTCTGATAAATCTAGTTCCGATTAACATTACGAAGCACGATCAACATGATGTAGGGTTTACGTGTGCTAGCTAGCTCCGATTATAAATTAAGATATCGGGTTCATGGTTGATTCAGGTATGAAAAGTGAAAGAGAGCCGGGGGGGTTCATCCTCCATCTGAATTCTTATCTCCATTGCATGCAAGTAATGTAATCACATGTATGTATATTGATTGGCACGAAATCGTTTACAAATTACAGTTTACAAACCGATTGCAAGAAGGTGAAGTTGACACATAATTCTCGGTCCATCATCGCTGGCCCCGCGCTTTAATTTGCTTGATCAACGTGCATGGTCGTCATCAATCACTCAAGTGGGAGCCCAGCAGCTTAAGTACATGATGGTTCTAAGAGACTCTTCCGCCTGCTTAATTTTATTGTGTTCTTTCAGCATCATGTTGTTGCTGTTAGCCGTAACGCTTGAGAGATTCCTTGTATTCTTTAAAGAAAAGGAGGAGAAGGAGGAGGATGAGGGATTTTTCAAAGACTTGGTCGCGGGATCTTTGCAGATCCCTTGCATTCCTCCTCCAATAGACCTCGAACTTTTATCCATGCAATATAACGAACAAAGAACAAAGAAATCGCCTCTCAATATAACGTTAATGTGATGAATGATTCTTGAATATAAGATAAATGGTTTCTTATGATTAATTTTTGTTTTTTTTGTGTTGCGACCGAAAATCTAGAGAGAAAATGCATATATAGGATTAGCAGAAAGTTAAATTTAGTGCGCAGGAGCTTATTGATTGTTTGGGAAACAACCTGCCAAGTTCCATAAGGCCCATTTTTGGATAAACATGTAACAATTATAACGACGAAATTTGACATGTCAACGTGCGATTTGTCGAAATATGCGGGTGGAGATGGCAAAACTTTATCAAGTCTGTTATTAGTTCATGGGTTTAGCGTTGATTGCTGTTATATATTTCTGCATGCTAGGATTGGAAAATCGATGCTGCAAGATCGATGGTTAAAATGAGCATTAGAGCATATCGTTGTTGTTTGTTTTGGATAACTGAGAAAGTTTGATTTGGAAAAAGAGGACAAGTTTGATTAAAAATGGGTATGGTTTGGGCTTTTGGCCCATGTGAATGAATACTGTGAGTCGCGATAAAAGAGACAGGCCCATTTCTGCCGTGGACCGAATCCAAACTTTACCATCTTCACGGCAACTACCACATTGCCGCCAGTTGGCTGGCACCCATTCCTTTGCCGGCCGAACTCTCAAAACAGCCGCCGCGCCTCAGCCGTTAACCGCTCCAACTTCCCGCCATGAGTATAGTACACGCCATCCATTTCTCCCCCGCCACGTCATCCCGCCGCCGCTTCCCCGCTCATTCTGCCGCCTCCCTCCGTCGGCGAGTCTTCTCTGTAAGGTCTTTCCACTTTAAAATCTTCTTCTCTTGAACCCATTTCTATTTTCTAGGGTTTCAAATTGGGGCTTAGTTCTTCTTCTGTCTTTTTCCGCCGTTGCATTTTGTTTTCAGGGCCAGCCTTCCCTTTCCGACCCAGAAGGCGAAGTATCACAGAGAACTCGAAGCTGCAGTGGGCATTGTTGAGCGCGCTTGTCGGATTTGTGTCGATGTAAACTGCTTCCCCCATTTGTTGTCTTTTTCAATTTTACACTCTTGTTTGGTTCCTGGGAAAATTTTGACACAGGGAACGGTGACGCTATTGGGCAGGTGCAAAGGTCTTTGCTTTCCAGCGATGGAGGGATTGTGGAGAAGAAAGACAATACCCCAGTTACAATTGCGGATTTTGGAGTCCAGGCATTAATCAGCCTTGGTAAGCTCACACTACCTTTCAAATTCAATCCGAAGACGCCGTACATGGCTATAGTGGTAGTTCTTATATAGCTTTCTTGGATTGTGATTTTGGGTGCCAGAGTTGGGCAAGTTGTTCCCGTCGATTCCCTTGGTTGCTGAAGAGGATTCCGGCTTTGTGCGTGCTAATAACCTGGTGGATTCTGTTGTGAGTGTGGTTAATGATAAGAGGAGCTCTAGTGAACCTTTGAGTGATGATGTTGTTCTCGAGGCGATTGATAGAGGGGGAAGTGCTGCTTATCTCTATGGAAAGTCGCCAGCTACATATTGGGTATGTTTCTGTAAGTCAGAAAGGTGGAACTTTAACTACATTTGGTAAACTTGATTTGTTTGTATTGCTGTGGCTGCAGATCCTGGATCCAATCGATGGCACCAAAGGGTTTCTCAAGGGATGTGGCGCCTTGTACGTGGTATAAGTTGTAGTGCTAGGTGTTTGGCATAGCTTGGCTGGTTTTTTGAACTGTGAATTTCACTATAGAATTGTCTAAGAAGTAAGTAGCAGCATGTCCAAGATCATAATCATAAAGCTGTGAACTTTTCAGGTGGGTTTGGCTCTTGTAGTCGAAGGTGAGATCGTGCTAGGTGTTATGGGTTGTCCAAACTGGCAGAACACCGGCGACAGCCTAGGGTCCGTGATGATTGCTCATACTGGCCATGGTACATGGAACAAGACATTACAAGTGTCCAATGATTGGAGTAGATGCTTGGTCGATGGATGTTCAGTAGTTCCAGAAGCTCGATTCTGCATTCCTGAGAGTCAGAGTTGGGATTCTTTGCCTCTATCGAGATCATTCACTGCAAAGAATGATGCAGATAGTCTTGGTGACAATGAAATCCATCTTTTAACTACATGCTGTGGAAGGTGAGTGTCCTATTTAAAGTGATAGTTTCGTTCATTTTGCTAGTTCTTTGCCTCATCAGGATCTTCATCTCTTAGTCTTGGCTCTCCACGTAATTGTGTAGTAACGTTTGCACAGTAGGTTGCCTTATATTACTAGCTTCATGTGGGTTTAAACAGAATCTATAATTGACATGGAGTAAAACCGTTAAGTACCCTTGTGGCCCTATACAAGAATGATTCGTTAGGTCAAATACTGTTACTAAAGTTTGGAAAACTGACATAATAGTCACTTAATGTTGTTCAGGTCTTCAATTCAAATTAGTCAAATTACCATCCCAACTCCCATAAATTAATAACAACAAAGTAGCATAGAATGCTGCTTCAATCATATTGTCCTTTTAAGTATCATTATTATTTAATTTGGTGAACTAACTCACCGATATGAACAATTTAGACAAAAAACCAGACATTCTGACTTCTGGGTAATGTAATACCAAATCATAATGACAAGTTCTTTTTAAACCAAAGTTACCTACACAATTCCTCAGTGACTGCAAAGTTCAATAACAGTTTGCTGTAAGTGACCCCTGATTCTTAGAATGCCTTCTGTTCACCTTATTCGCTCTTCCTGGCTGCAGTTTGTGCAAGTATTTAATGGTGGCCTCAGGCAGGGCTTCGATGTACATTCAAGCTCAGAGAGACACAGCTATCAAGGTACGTGTTGCTTTCTCTCAAGACACAACGAACTAGCTTGAATAATTCCAACCGTACTTCCTCGCTGATAATACAGGCTTGGGATCATGCTGTTGGTATGTTATGCGTCCATGAAGCTGGAGGCAGGGTACGTTGCTCCAGCCTTTACTTGCTTGATCAGCCTAAGCTGGTCTTTGTCATCGTTTGTTGAAGATATCTCCATTGGCTACTTTTTTTCCATTATGAAATACTGATGCTTTGTAATTGTGTTTGTTAGGTGACTGACTGGGAAGGGGGCGAGCTTGACCTCGCGGCGGATCAAGTGGAGAGAAGGATCATATATCCTCCTGGGGGGATCCTTGTGACCAACGGCAAGATTCATGAACAGATCCTGGAGATGATCTCTTTCAGTTCCTCAACTGTTTTGAGTGAAGCTGCTGAAAAGCAATGATGAACCTTGAATTTCCTTAATGGCGTGGCCGGAAAAATTGGAGTGCCAGTATTTGGATGCTCCTCTTACCATTCTTTTTGAGTTGGGGTTATCATTCTGCCCAAACTACTGCATAAATTTCTCATTCCTGGTCACTGAAAATTGCATTTTCCCCCTTCATTTTATCGTTTAGTTTGGTTCGAGTTGAATAAGATCTCATTAAGGGTCATCTAATTTTAGCTGAAAGGACAGTTATCATATGGGCTTCAAATAAAGATCCTTTGAACGAGGATCTGGCCCAAAGGTGTGGGCTTTATTCAGTGATAGCGAGTCTCATTATGGGCCCGCCCAAGTTCCAAAAGAGTATAGCAACCGTTCACGTGCTGTCACGACACACAGCGGATTAGCGGAATAATGGAACCCATCCAACTATTCTTTATTTATGCAGTCACAATAAATGGGCAAAGCCCAACAATTAATTTCACACCTCATCTGCATGCATGTGAATTGACTCCAGCTTTTCACGTTTTATCCCGAGTCTCATGAATATTCTACGAACATATGAGTGACGGATTCGACTTACTGATCATTCATCGAGGAAATTTTCTCTCCGAAATTGGATTTGTGAGATTGCGACGACGACGATCGATATGTCGCGTGCGACAATCGATCCATGTAACGTTAGAAATCGATTGGTCAGTTAGAGTGTTTCGCGATTTATTTGAAATAACTCATACATTTCGAGATGAGCTGGTTTCAAACTTGGTGAGTAGTTTTTAGCACTATAAATTATTTTTCCACCCAACCAACCATATTTGGCAATCGTGCATTGTGTGGAGTTAAAGTCTCCAACCCTAGCTTTTGTGTTCTTCAATATCAACATTAATTTTAATGCATTACATGGAAAGTTCTTGATGGGTGACTCACATCTTCCAGCATGTGAACCCCTCCTTCGTGTAATCAATTTCATGAATACAACATCTATATAGTTTAGTTGGAAAATGGACTACGTGCACACCAGCAAATTATAAACAAAATAATGTACATATAAAAAGATAAATTGTCATAATTACTAACTGGTCTCAATAACTCGGCTTGTTGGAAGAAGCTCATATATGAATTTTAACCACTTCCTTAGACATGTCGTAAACGAAAGCCAACTCATGGACCTCGAAAATTGCACAGACATGCCATATCATATGCTTTTTTAAGACAACGACTAACACCGAGGCTCACGAGGAATTGAACACAAATAACCTCAGGGACAAACCAGAGACAAACTCTAATATACCACGTTATAAACCCAATTATTCCCAATAACTCGAGTTGTTGGACGAGATTCACGTGTAAATCTTAACCACGTACTTACATTATAATAACCCGGTGGTTGGTCATCAGCTTGGTCGCACAAATGTAGCTTCTCGATCAGCCAATCACAGCCATACAATCAACCACAATGTCGTTTACGAGCACCAACAACAAATTTCAGTAACACTGAAGAACACGAAACCCTAACTATTAGCTTACCCAATGCCAGTTTTTAAGCAACCGATTGGAGACCACTCTCACAGTTAATAACTTAATTAATATTGTTGTTGTTGTTGTCTTAATTGTGGACATCAGCCAAGTCAACTATGTATAATTCACGTACACGTAGCCACAGCCAAAGACAAGTCCCCTTTTGGGTAAACCCAATCTTGCAAGCATATACCAGTTGGATTTGGACACCTCATGTTCTTTCCACTATGATAACTCCCAACATAGTTAATTAATCTAACTAGGATCTAGTTAATTGTGTGGGCAATCTTTTCCTTGATCCCTAATTAAGCATATATACAGTTGATTCCCTCAAAATCGTTTGTATTTTAATGTTATAATTACTTATAAATGGTTCTGCATATAGATTGCATCTCCCAATAACTTGTGGGTTATTGATGAGACAAATTGATTCCATATAGACGCGCGCACGCATATTTGAAGTTCACGATCGAAAAGATTCTTAGATTTCGAATCAGCACGGATAACTAAATGATTTAAGCACAAATTTGCATGAAGAAACTCTACGTAAATACACATGAGTTCGAACATTTTAATCTCATATGGAATATTAGGGAGAGCAACTTAGCGATGGCATCATTGAATTTTTTTTTATTATAAATATTATGTATGATTATTTGGTTTGTGGTTATTTATTAATTCATTGTGCACTATTTGTAAGTCAAGAAACTGATGCAGTTGTGTTGAGCCACTTATTTAAGTATATAAACGACAGGACCATATGTATAATATGTCTATAATAACAATCCCTTTTCTTGCTACAATGGGAAACAAAACGAACTTAATGGAATGGAAGCTCGAAGAAAACAAAATGGATTTTTTTTTTAATAATTATTGCATTATATATGTAAAGCTAGCTACTACAGAATTGACAACTTAATTAATTAAACCTATTAATGTATATCATAGATGCTTAAGACATTATTAAGGTACGACTTTCACCATCGTAGTACGAGTTCTGTGGAGATAAGCTTCGGATCCGATAATGGATAATCCAAATGAAACTACGTGTTGATAGATGAAATTGAGAAGTGCATGTAATCATCCAATATATGATTCAAATTTCAAGACCTTCAGATTGAAACCCAAAGATATTGTCACTGGGGTTACATTCTTTACAAAAGCTTTGTATGCTCTGTTAAATATAAAATAATGATATGTATTATTAATTAATATTTTAGTTGATAGGGTTGATCCAAGAGTAAGATTAAGACAAATCTTTGCAGTGACGGCAACAAAATCCCTAATCCATGCTACGTTTGTAGTTTGATTTGAATTAATTAGACAATTAGTAAATAAATGAGATTAACCCCATAATTATATACTATAGCGTGGACTTGTTGATGTAAAGATGGAGGCGAGCTTCTGGTTCTGTTAAAAAAAAAAGATGGAGGCGAGAGGAAAATTTCGTGCAGCAAAATCGAGCAGCCATTGGACGTCAGATTCGGCTAGGCTTGGCAGCTTCTTGATGGTCCGATTTAGTATTTTTTTTATAATTTGTATATTTATGGTAGAAATAATATTTTGTTTAGAATTTCAACATTTTGTTGAGGTTGGAGAGCACCCATTATTTATTAATTAATCTATTTCGGGGTAGGGATGGCAATTTTGACCTGACCCGTTTTACCCGACCTGTTTAACCTGTTTTGGGGCGGATCCGACCCGCCCCGTAGGCGGGGCGGGGCGGGCATGGGTACTCTCATTGACCCGACCTGTCCTGACCCGCCCCATTCTCGACCCGTTCTTGCCTAAATTACATGTAATTTTAGTCAAATTACTTAGGATTTCTCTTTTATTACATCAAATCTTAGCTATCATAAAGACGTAAATTAGTGAAAACCTCAATTTCTCCAATAATTTAACTATATTTCTCATAATATTGTTTGTTTCCTTGGTCTTATAATAAAAACAACGAATATTTCTAATATTTTTCATATAAATTGCATACCCATTGGGTCGACTTGCCCCGACCCGTGACCCATGATAAATTACCCGACCTGGACCTGACCTGCCACGGGACGGGTCTGGGTATCAAGAAACCCGCCCCGGACCTGCCCCATTGCCATTCCTATTTCGGGGGGACGAAATGAAATATGGTGCCCACTCTAATGGTCCCCGACTATTTTTGGAAGAACAAACAAGGGACACGTGTGCTAATCAATTGCGGTTTACTTTACTTAATGATCTGGTTAATTGCAGATTAATTAAAATAATAATATGTTGTTCAAATTGTTAAGCAAAACGGGAAAGGGACATGTTCGTAAAATGGAGTTCGTCATCCATGCAGATATATTGCGTATTTTTTTTGTTTTTCTTTTTTTACTAGATGTGTGTTACGTGCTCTTACATTTTTTTCTTCCATTTATTATATTTATAGTTGTATTTTTCAAACAATAGTATATTCTTTAGAACCTTATCTGGTTAAACTATATTGTACAATCTCAGACTGCATCAGTTCTCGATCTAGAGAAATGACGATCACAAAATGAAAATCGACCTGATCGAATACACTTATAATTCGATTTATACTTCAACATCGATTAAGTCCACCGCCACAAAAGAGTCCTCATCATTGAGCCAAGAAAGGTTCATCTCGTAGGACCAAATCGCTAAAAAGTTGGCCATAATTAGTCCTAGTATAATTACCTTCTTTTCAAACAATGAATAAAACCCTTTTCTTCCCCCCCCCCCCCCCCCCCCCCCCCCCCCCCCCTTTTTTTTTGATAGCATGATTGCTTGCTAACTATTTGCTTATAATAAGAAATTAAAGCTTCCTTCTTGTTTTTTCTCACTTTCCGGCCATCCAAAAAGCTCTTCTTCCTTCCTTACTAATTCCAACATCCTTCCAACTTAAGACTTTCTAGCTTTCGTCTCCATTAGTGGAAGAAGGAGCACAAATTTTCAGACCCACTATTTCCATATGTCCTTTGCTTTCATACCATGATAGTTCTCTGTTTTGGCCTCTGGTGCCTTATTAGCTTGGGAAAAGAAAGAAAGAAAGAGCCCATTTCGTCCTATTATTGGTCTTGTCGGGTAGTCCCTAAAGCTTATGATTGAATACTTTGATTTTGTTATAATTACTTGGCCACAACAACCAATAAGAATAAATAATATGTATTTGGTGTATCTTGTATTGTATAGGGTTTTATAATTTGTATAATATGAACCGCCAATCCAGCTGATGGAGATAAGCTAGAAAAAAGGGGGGAAATTTGATTGTATAAACAAGGCCCAATCAGATGGAAGATCCAAGATAAGGGCATACATAATGGTTCACTGGAAATTTTAGGGTTTTTTGACAAATTTGGTACTTGAAATGAGTTTATCACTAAACATTCTTGTTTATTTAACAAAAATAATAGTAATCTTTGCTTTAGTTTCACACCCAAATCATTTAGATAAGTAACAATTAAACTCATCCAAATCAATCTTGCAAAAAAAAAAAAAAAAATCCATTTTTAGTTGGAACCAAATCTAGCCTGAACAATGTCGTATTAACCCTACTCAATCCGTACATTGTTGTTTGTGGTTTGAGTACATGGGTAATGGGGTTTTTTTCTTCTTCCATATTTGATATAGAATGAATCATCCATTTAAAGTATCATTCGTTAATTACTTATTCATTCATTCAACTTTTTCATGCATTGTTGATGAGAATAATTTTGAACGAAGATGAATGGAATGACTCTTGCTGATCTTCTTAATCGATCCAGACTTCAATAACAACTTAAAGTTTAGCCAATGATTTGTTTGTCACCCTAAATCTCAATAATAACTTATATAAAATAACCTGTAATATTTATGTATAGTAGGTCACTGATTATATAAAAGGAGTGGCTATGAATGCAAGGAAACATGCAATCGAGTTATGTATAATAAATCAATGAATAATGGAAGGAAAATTAATAATAATTCTATTTTATTAATATATGGTGTAGATGGATGTTGTGGACTGGAGGGAAATAAATGGCCACAATCAAATCAAAATCGCGTATATACATATTATCCAACCAAATTCCAAAGTCAATGAGGTTGAGTTGTGCTTCTCCTCATTCTGCATGGCCTTCTTACTTCTTCTTCCTTCTTCTTTTTTTTTTTCGTGACAGCGAAACTTCAAAGCTTTTCTCCATCCTCATTATCATTCATTGTTCGATCAGAAAATAGAGAAGAAGAACTCATAATTCATTGATTGCGGCTAGCCAGCTAGGGGGTGGAACATGATGCATATACGTACGTAAATATATTTGTATATTATGGTATTTTGTATGAATATTGTTCATTGGTTAGTTATTTTTAATCACTAATATGCATATAGATCACTTGGAGGTGGGTGGTGCGTGTTAAAATAATTTGGTCCCGATAATTCGATTTATTGTTAGATTAAATTATGAATCTTATATATCATTTACTAACACGGTCCCATCAAACGAAAGTCTGCTCATATGGATTGCACATATCCGGAAACCATGTCATATGGACTCGAAATTTGCACATATGTAGAGTACTACATGCTTAACAAATATGGGTTTTGCAACACCAAATGCTATTTGAATATATAAGAGAAGGCATCCACGTTTAGTGATAATTACTTAGGAAGTACGATGGTACGCGAATGAGAGAATTGGCAGCAATTCTTGATGCTAATTAAGCCAGTTGTTCTCCGTCCAAACAAGAATTTAATCTAGTGATAAGTTTTAAATTTTTTATTAGAAATTGTGTAGTCCAAAAACGTCCTTTAATTAGCACCGACTTCTCCACATCCATGGACGTACTACAGATCATGGATGATAATCTGGCGCCATTTGTCGACAAAAGTGCCCTTTTTAACAGGAAGATTCACTGCCCAATTAAAGACAACATGTGCATAATGATAGCTATAGCACCAAGTGTGAACAGTGGAAATCACTATACATATAGGCACGTTGATACAGAAAAAAGAACACATGGAATTGTGTGCGTTTGGATTCAAACTAATCGGAACCCTTTTTACCTTTTCTGTTCGGTTCTTGATCGATCAGTTTGATTTGCCTTCAATCGGCTATAGCTGTTTGACAAGTTTGAATCTATAGCTGTCGACCAATATTCTCCTCCACGCACCGCCGCTCAACCAATCTAAGTACCGGTTAAATTTCACCCATGTTGATGTGATTTGAATCGGACTATCTGGTTGCGACTGATTGTAATCTTATAGTCGATCAATATAGAGGAAAATAAAAGAGTGCGGGAGTCGATCAATAGTCGAACTCCCGATGAGAGGGCCTTTTGTGCCACATGGTGGGCAGCCCTATTAATCCGACGAGACACAAAGCAGAAAGAAACCCTGTTAAAGTGAGAAGTCAAGCTCTGAATATCTTCGAGAATAGCTCTACCGCGATCATGTGCCAAATCACCTCCCACCATCCGCCGTATCAACTGTTGAGAATCCCCATGAAAATTGACAGAGAGAAAGGAATGTGTTAAACACCATTGGATGGCGTCACGTTTATTCTTTTACTAGATTGGATTTGGGTTAGACCACATAGAGAAGTTCTATAAATACTTATCATATTGGTCTGTAATTTGTATCTCCTCAAATTATAGTGAAACTGACTCTCTCCCGCCTGTGGACTAGCTAACACACATTGTGTTAGTAAACCGTGTAAATCCGTTCTTGTTTTTCGTTTTCTTGCTTTGTCGAAACCTCTAATTTCCCGATCCCTAAAAAAACAGTCGTGACATGCATTGTCTTTACTTGTTATTTCTATATACTTACAACATTATTTACATATATTGCGAATTAATTTTTTGACTTTATCGTAAATTAATTAAGGAGGTTATTTATATTGGATAGAAGGGGAAAACAAGTTTGGCTGGATTTTTGGGTCGGGTCGTGATCGCAAGAGTGTGCACTATAAATGTTATCTTTGCATATTGGTTGAGACACACACGATGGATGGATCATCAGAAGAAGAACTCCATTATTGGCCTTACCCCAATTAAATGCACACCACACTCAACTCGATCGATGGATCTCCCAACTTCATTTATTGTGCTACATATAGCTATAAGTAATTATTCAATTAATCTCATCATAGGAAGAAGAGAAAAAAAAAACTAATTAGCTAGTAATACTACACCACTTTTAGTTTTCAATGTCATCCAAAGTAGTGATGGCAAAAATATCCGTAACCGTGGATATCCATCCGAATCCGATCTAATCGGGTAGGGTAAAAATATCCGTAACCCGAAGCATTTTTCGTGGGTACGGGTAAAACCCGAACCCGAATATTGCGGGTAATGGGTGGGCATGGTTATCTCACTATCCAACCCGAACCCGCCCGGTTATACACATGCATATGTATTTTGTCTAGAAATAATCATTATTTTTCCCTAGAATATTTTATATTTAGCATATAAATATAATATTTTCATGAAATTATGTTGTTTTAATTAATTTTCGTCATTCTAGTGAATTATTGTCGTACTTTTCCTCTTACGCAATGTGAATATACGTGTGAATGTTAACATATTGGTTGGAATTATAAGGAGAAATTATTACCCATGGATAATCGTGGATACCCGAAACCCGAACGAGTATGGACATGGTTTTGATTTTCTACCCGTTTCTCATGTGGGTACAGGTATGGGTAAAACCCGAACTACATTGGGTAGGGTAACGGATATGCACTATCCGTCCCCGACCCGACCCATTGCCATCCCTAATCCAAAGTTGCATGGTGATTGGTGACTAGTGATGGCAATAGGACGGGGAGGGTACCTCAATACCCATGTCCTGCCCTGTGCTATTACGAGTCGGGGTGGGGCGGGTCGACCCATTCTTGCATGTTATTTGAAAAAAAAAACACATACAATTTTATTTTTTACGATAAAATGAAGGAAAACACACATTTTGAATGAAAAAATAGTGTTAATATAATTGATAATTGAGTCTAACTAATTGAAATATCTAGTCTAATAGTTGAAGAAAAGTCAAAGCAGAAGAAATATGAATAGAATTGCAAGAAATCGAGGTAAAATGGGCCGAAAACGGGGCGAGTCGGAAATAGATACCAATACCCGCCCACGATGTTGCGGGTCGTGTAATACCCGTCCCATCGCACAGGTCAGGTCGGATAATACCAGCAGTTTCATATCGTCATTCGTAATGGTGACTCCATTCATAAACCTCATAGTAGCTAATCATCAATAGAGATGGCAATAATATCCGTAACCGTGGATATCCACCCGAATCCGGCCTAATCGGGTAGGGTAAAACCCGAACCCGAAGGACATTTAGTGGGTACGGGTAAAACCCGAACCCGAATATTGCGGGTAATGGGTGGTTATGGGTTTCTAACTATCCAACCCGAACCCGCCCGATTATACGCATGCATGTGTATTTTCTCTAGAAATAATTATTATTTTTCCCTAACATATTTTATATTTAGCATATAAATATAATATTTTCATGAAATTGTGTTGTTTTAGTTAATTTTCTTCATTCTAGTGAACTATTGTCGTACTTTTCCTCTTACGTAATGTGAGAATATGTGTGAATGTTAACATATTGGTTGGAGTTATAAAGAGAAATTATTATCCATGAATAACCGTGGATACCCGAAACCCGAACGGGCATGGGCATGGTTTTATTTTTGTACCCGTTTCGCATGTGGGTATGGGTATGGGTAAAACCCGAACTACTTCGGGTAGGGTAACGGATATGCACTATCCGTCCCCGACCCGACCCATTGCCATCCCTAATCATCAATGGTCATGCTACATGCTTTAGATAAAAAGGGACATACAGAAAGAAGGTTACGTGGCCTTTTCACGTCGGGGACAGCTAGCTAGGTAATGTGAATCAAGAAACCCAGGAGAAGAGTCACCAATATACAGCTTCCCCAACCAAAATTAAAACGGGAAAACGACGCCTCAGTATTATCACCAATTCACCATAGTAATTAAGGCAAACAACGTAATTTAATCTCTCAATAAACAACTAAAACCCCATTAGTAGAAAGATTTCGTGTGACATCAATAATAATCCCATAACCCCCAAAGAAAAAGAAAAAAAATTAGAACGGGACTTGATTTCTCTGTTCTCACAATAACAATTCAGGGACACGTTGCCATGCCAATGCATACAGGACGGCACCGAATCCTTTTGACTTTCCTAAACTGTCCCACTCCCATCATCTTCTCCCCCTCCAAAACCTCTATTTATACCCCTCCAAAAACTTCGTCCCTACATCAATCATACTTCAATTCCTCTACCTCTCTTTCTTCAAACGATTCACTGAACTCTCTTAATCTAATTCATCAATAGACAAAGAACAAAACTATGGGAAGATCGCCCTGTTGCGAGAAGAACGGCCTGAAGAAAGGCCCCTGGACTCCAGAGGAAGATCAGAAGCTCGTCGATTACATCCAGAAACATGGTTATGGCAACTGGCGCACTCTCCCCAAGAATGCTGGTACTATTCGCTAAAAACCCACTCCCCTGTTTTCTGTTTTTACGCTGTAACGAATTGCAGGCTCATCTCTCTGTTTTCCTCTGTTTTTTGCTCTGTTTTTTTTTTAAATGGGAACAGGGTTGCAAAGATGTGGGAAGAGTTGCCGTCTCCGGTGGACGAATTATCTCCGTCCGGATATTAAAAGGGGTCGATTCTCCTTCGAGGAAGAGGAGGCGATCATCCAGCTGCATAGTATCCTCGGAAACAAGTAAGTTTTCCGGTGACAAAATCATAAATTGCTCTGTTTTTTTTTCCCTCCACTGTTTTTTTTGTTGTTGTTGGGCTAACCATGTGGTTGGGTTGAACCTTTTTGTGTGGTTTGGTTCATAGGTGGTCGGCGATCGCGGCTCGGTTGCCCGGACGGACCGACAACGAGATCAAGAACTACTGGAACACGCACATTCGGAAGCGGCTCCTGAGGATGGGGATCGACCCGGTCACCCACAGCCCGAGGCTCGACCTCCTCGACCTGTCCGTCATTCTGGGCTACTCCTCGTCGTCGACCTCTGCCTTCTCATCCTCGCAGCAGCCGAATTTCTCGAGGCTGCTGGGGGTGCAGTCGTTGATCAACCCTGAGATCCTCCGACTCGCCAACTCCATCCTCTCGTCGTCAACAACATCACAAACACAATCCACGTATCATCAACCCGAGAGTACTCAAACCCAAAATCAGATATTTCTCACACCCGATCAGCAAATACAATACCAACCGGAACCGGTCCAACCGGCCTGCTCAGGATTCCAAGAATTGACGGCTAATTGTACGACGACAACCGCCACGACCACCGCAACGACGACGGCCATGGAGAACACGCCACGTGTCCAGTTCTCCGACGTCGATGTGGTCCCCACGGTTTGGCAGAGCAATTATATGGACGGCGGCGGCTATGATATCCAGCATGATTACTTCTACGGGTCGGGTCAACACGATCAAACGGGCGGTGGTCTCGTTGACCCGTCAACGACGACGGAGAGCTGCTTTGGCTTCCCGCCGGCGTCGGTATTGTCGACGCCGTCATCGAGCCCGACGCCGTTGAATTCGAACTCGACTTACAATAACTTGAGTACGGAGGACGAGAGGGATAGCTATTGTAGCAATGCGTTGTTGTTCGATATGATGGCCGATAGTATTTTGGATGTCGGTAATTTCATGTAATTAATAAATAATATAGTGTGATGGAAATGGAATCTCGATCATTTTTCTTTCTTTGGTTGAATTATTTTTTTTGTTTTTTGTTTGGGTTTTTATCTTAATTTATGTTCTTTTCAAGAGCTATAATTGGTCATTGGTACTATATATATAGTAAAAGTTTCTGTGCTTTTGTTTAATGATTAATTAATTGCAAGTTTAGGAACAGACAGAGACAACCGTGCAGAAATTATGCATAAATAATATTAAGTAAGGAGAAAGCGAGGGTTTCGTGTTTTGGTAATTATAGATCAAGATTGATCAAAATTCAAATTTGCTTCAAATGTGATGAGAACAATAAAAGACCTTATCAGCGTATCAACAATATTACCCAAAATGATAACAAAGGAGAACGATTATCGGTCATGATTGAACGGAGCAACTACTGAAGTGATGATGATTGGAGGCTTTTTCCATTCAGCTAAAATAGTATTTTAAATTTTTATTTCGAAAAAATTCCTAATTTAACCTGTCCAATATCATTCAAGTTGAAATTTCAATATATCTCTATTTAGCAAGCAACCTCTTTTTCCCGCTTCACTAAATCATATATTGAGGGAATGAAGGAAGACAAGCAAAATTCTATGATGAGAATGGAAGTGGAAACCAACATTTTTACAGTATGTAAAGAGATAGCTAGTTTATAGCGATGATAATACGAAAACCCGAATCCCCGAAAACCCGAATCCCCTTCGTGGATTCGGGCACACTTAGCATGTTGAATCAAGTCCATAATTTGATTCTCCTGCAAACAATCCATGTTCATGAGTTTATTTTTTATTTGTCTGTTGATATTTTTAGACGACTATAAACCCTTTGATACATTGTCGAATATTTAATCATATCTCCAATAAATTGAATTTCGGTACGTGATACTAAGTAATAAAAGAAATTTTTATTGATGATATCCACAACATTTTATTATAGTTTCATGTTGATTCTTTGAAATGTTCAAGCTCAAAGTATGTTAAGCTTCTTGTCTATATATAGGAGTAGTTAACTTCGAGATTATAACTCTATATATGAGATGATCGGGTTCGTCAAATTTTCGATCTGTATAACGATTTTCTGACAAGTAATTATATTTATATAAAAATAAGAAAAAAGGATTTTAAAGTTATCCAAATGCACTAGCTATTTACGTTGCAGATTTCCTTAACAACAGGCAAAACACCATTATCATAGTGTAATCAACAAGTCCAAAGTTATTCAGTTTCTTCGTTGAATTAGTAAACCATAAGAGGAAAGGAAAGAATGACAGAACGCTTTGATTGTCAACTGCTCTTTCAGTCTTTTCTTTCGCAACAAGATTCAGTTTATCTGCTTATCTGCATATCTTCTGCTGCAGAGATGCCGACAGTTGGTGGTCAGATTCCGGCGACATTTCCGGCGACAGGAGACAGGAGGTTCAAAGGGTGGCAACTGACACGCGTCCTGCCACCTGTACTCTAAACCACCCCCAAATAATATATTGTATTCTATTTTCATCCCATCGAAGTCGAAGACTTCATTTAATATTAAAGTAATAATTTGCATGGGGATTATGGCAAGGAGGAGTCGACTAATAAGGAAAGGGAGCGTTAATACGTGTCCACATTTCACCGGCCACTTCAATTTGGTCTTCTGTGGGGTCCCCACTCCCGGCTTACAGCTAAGCCTTATTTGTCCTTTTTTTCTTGTATTGAAAACCAGACCGAGCTTCTTGTGCTCCAATGTTAAAGCTTTTTTTTTTAATCTTTTTTTTTTTCTGTTAACCAATGGTAAGCCGCCAGCTTTGCAGTGTCAGAAGGACTGCACGAGCGTCAGCAAGATTTTTGGGGGGGACACGTGGGACTCAATCATGCACGAGGTTGGGTTTCTGTCCCGTATTTTACTCCATTTTCGTGTGTTAAGGTTACTATTCTAGTTGAAAACTTGACATAGTGACGACGGGTGATTAGCCATTTGAGATTTAACTAGGTTCGTTGGGCTAAATTCTTCAGTTTCTGAGTCTAATCCTAACTAGCTAGTTAAGTTGTAGCACACACTATATGTCTTAGCTTAAAATTATCAGCAGAGCAGTTCCGAGTCTGATCCTAAGTTGTATATTCACGGTTATGAATATTTTTGTTTACGGTAAAACTCAACTTCCGAATTGAAATACATGTAAAATTTAACAAAAATCTGAGAAGCAGAACTGTTGAATTATCTCATGATTGGTCACTAGTGGTTCGACCCTTGAAACCTATCTTTTTGGTTATTTGGTAGCCTTATTTAAATTTCTGTCTCCACTACTAATTATTCATGCCTTGCTAATATAAAAATAAGAACAATAACATTCAATAGTTGCTAAGAATTGGCATGAAAAAATACAAAAGGCCAAGGAGACCCTTGTTCCCCGGCTCAACCGGTTGATAAATCATTATTCTAATACAATGCTTGATTATGAGAAGAAGAAGAAGAAGAAAAAAAAAACTGACGAGAGGGTCACCTCATGCATGCGTCATAATATATGTAATATTTTGGAATGCATATCGACAAGAAAACATGGAATTAATAATTACAAAAAGGGGGGGGGGGGGGGGGGGGGGGGGCTATGTACAGCCCATGCATGACGCTTGTTCTGTGAGCTGGACGTTAAACATGTGACGGAATTAAGTGGAAAAAAAAAGGAGTGCCCTAATTATAATGACCTTCTAATTTGACGTGTCAATAAGAAAGAAAAAGAGTACCGTGGTGTCCTTTTCATTAATTGTTTCCCCAACTCCGTAATAAAGCGACATGTCATTAACGTTTAATTATTGTCTATATTACGGTTCTGTTCTTTCTGTGTTCGTCGCTGTTAATTATTATGGGCATTAATTACACTACTTGGTCCACGTTGACCAGGAGCCGACCTTTGGAAAGGGAGCAACGTACAGCAAAATCTCATTCTCATCCATCCCCCACTCCCAAAGCTTTCTCTATCGATCGACCGCCCAAGGAAATTTTGTTCCCGTTGAATCCTCATATAATGATTCCATTTGGAAAAGTGGGTTTCTGTCCTAGCTAATTAACAAGCCAGCTTCCCACTATAAGGATTATCGGAGAGGACCCGATAATTTGTTTTCGGATAAAATCGAAAATGTGAATGAGATGACGATAGAGATGGGAGAGACTTTGTTCGTTACGGACCGAGTGGTTGTTCTCGTTCAGTTGCATATCTTGTTTTATAATAGAAGATTGATTCGATGAATACAACACAACTCGAATCATTTATTCTTTTATCTATGAACAATTAAATCAAAATTTGGCTATTGACTTTTTGATTGGAAAATTCTACAACAAACAATCCCCATCGTGTAAGTTGACAAGGGACATTGTATGGGAGAATGGCTTGTGGGTTTTGGCCTCCCTGTCTTTCTTGTGTGTTTTGACTTAGGGTTGTCCTCTCCATACCAGGATTGGAAAGGTTTCAAATAAAAGCTTTCCTTTCCCTCGAAAGAGATCGATCTATATACGTGTTGCTCTTAGCCTACCTAATGCAGCTAACAGTAGTGTACTTGTTTCAATCGTTGAAGCTAAGCATGAAAGACCAAATTCATGTGCTCAAATCTCGATCAATGCAAATTTTAAGCTTATGGCTGGAAACGGCGTATGTATAGTATTTGCTTTTGGACATTTTCCCTAACGCTCCACTTGTTGGAATAAGATCATGTCATTGGTTGGAATCATAACGTACAATTTTGTATCGAAATTACTTGGGACTCGAACATTAACTACTTCTTTTAGATCATATGAAAGAAGTTTGATGCAATGCATGCTGATAATCAAAATTATTTCGATAACTTACTGATGTCGTATAATATGTAATTCTGTCGCGACCGTTAACGTTAACAAATTCATCAATTGAGTTTGACGTCGAATCTACTTAACCAAACGCAGGATTGTTTCTATCAATTCATTTCATTTTGGATTGTCCAACCTAAACATAATTGAATATATATATATTATATCTATCTAGTTTGAACTTTTGGTTATATATCTAGTTATCTACAATAGCTTTTGCTTGTTCCATCAGGGAAGGACATGACACCCCATTATCAAACAAAACACAAGTCCATGCATGGCCGTTTTGTCAATGGCGATGTAATCATAATTTCATTTAAATTTAAAAAAAATGTATCGTTTCTTAATTAACCTTTCTTTACTCAACGTCAAAAGATGAATGTGACGGGCTTCTAGAATTGCCCCCAATTTCTTCCCGCACCAGAAAATCTTGGTCAACGTCGACAACGCAAACAAAGTACTCCCCCGCCAAAAATTTAAAGAGAGATTGCTTGCAAGATGAAGATGTATCTATTGCTTAGAATGGATGGAAAATAAATAGATCTTAATTCAGCATGCGAATTAGGCGATTCACTAATTTGCTCACATTTATTTCGTATTAAAAAATCGGTTTTAAATCATTTACTACGTAATATGATTCGAAACGATCACAAGCACAGCTATCATTCCGAGCTCGAATCATTGTAGCCACGTAAAATCGATGAATGCATAGGCATGCGTTTTAATAAATCCAGTCAACTCTATGCGCCATGTACGTATTGTAAGCGCAATGCCCCACAGCTAGCTCGTAAATTGACCTTGTTAATTTGATATACCATGCACGGATTGAATTTAATTAACCACGTTAATCAAGGATAAGATTTTGCAGCCGTCAAAAATAGTGGCTAAACGTCACGGTTTTTACACCACATGTCCATTTCCCTCCGTCAGATCATCGCCCGCAATATATAATACCAGTTTCTAAACTTTCAATAATTATAATAATTTCACATATCTAGATTCATGACCCTATTTGTAATTTTGTGGCCAATGGAAGAAAAAAAATTTGCGATTGCCGACAATGGGTGTCATCAATACGTAGCAAAGTCTTCCTAGCATTGTTATTTTATATTTGATAAACAAGTGATTCCTCTAAATAACTTGATTTGCATTCGATTGTTGAATGTCAATATCATTTCTCGTCATAAATTGAATGACATTGTTCGCCAGAAAGAGTTATAGAGTATATATGAATTAAAAAAATTTGAATTTCACACTTTTGAAAATAAAACGGTATCATAGACTTAAAATTTGTACATATGAATTGTTAGATAGTAAAATACTAACATGCAATAATCCGATCAAAAATCCAATTTGATTACCTAACAAAAATCAATAATCTCAACATACTTCAAATTGTTGAAAATATACCGATCTTATATATTACTTTTGCATTCATAATCTTAATCTCACTTGGAAATGAAGGCAATTCATATTTATATCCACCGCACCAACCCTTTGGGTAAGCCACTTATAGCCCATTCCAATGTGCTAAACAAGGGCCCGAAAAGCCCATAGTTAGCAGCCAATACTGAAGAGTTAGCCCGTCACAAGATTATCCCAGGCCCTACCCAGAAAATGGACAAAATCCTTTTTCTGAAGAAATCAGAATCGGCCCATCACTCGGTCCTGCAAGTCCAAGTTTGGACGTCTAGCATCTGCTTCAGAAGAATCCTTTTCCCGGCCCACGACTAGTTACTGGAAACCCAAACTTTCTCTAATTTTACTTGGGCAAATCGAGCCAATCTAGGGCTAAAGGCCCATCTATTATCGCTCATAATCATATGATGTTTTACTTATTTGGTGGCGTCGCCATCAATCATCGTCAACTTAGGGAGAGAAATCAGTGAAACGTGAATGTGATTGGTGTTCCAATTCGATAATATTAATAATCTTACAGCCAATAACCAAAGTTCCCACCAAATCACGCATATTATTTATTGAACAAAAGTGGGGTCTGGGGTAATGCTGTTAGGTATAAGTACACTTCACCTTTTGGATTAGTGTACTAGGCCCTATATGATTTCGTGTGATTCGGTTAACTGAATAATCGTTGGTCACTCGAGAATTGCGTAAGTGCGCGGAGGGGCAAGGGTATTGCTTCCAAACTGTCTCGTTTTGTCCCGTTCTATTCTTCATTATTGACTTTTATAGAATCACATTTTTATTCGTCGAAAGAAATTTCAAAACTCTATTTTTTAAACTATTAAGCCTCAATTATTCATTCTACTATATGTATAATTCATTTACGGGGCGTTTTCTTTATTTGTTCTTGTAAGAAAATTAAATATTGACGTTGTCTTTTAAATAACATATAATAAGAATTGATCCATCTATCCCACCTCGTACCCACACGAATATTACCCGACCTGAATCGCGTATAGTATAAAACGAATATCGATATTGCGATACCCAACCGACCTGAATCGCGTATAGTATAAAACGAATATCGATATTGCGATACCCAACGGGTCCCGCCTCGTTATCATCACTAAGCACAACTCTATAGTGCCAACATTATTAATTTGTTGATTCTTGTAGTGGTGAAAACAGCCTGATCGGAAAAAACCGTCTCTCCCAAGTGACATCAATAACCGACGGTGATCCCAAACGACAACACGTGTCCACCTGCCGCCATCAGCACTATTGACGTGTCAAACCTGGAAGCCTTCACGCTACGTGGCGTCATAATAAAACCCCTCCTTCTCACCAAAACTAACTCATCCCCATTGGAAAAACCCACATAGGAAAGTTTGTTTCTTTTCCTTCGCTAAGTGGGAAAGTAAAAAAGAAAAACTTCCACTCTCTGACTGATCATCAATCGATCGATCGAACCTCCCCGGATCCCATCCGCCGCCGCGCCATGGCTCGGACCTCGATCGAGCCGCTGATCGTCGGGAAGGTGATCGGAGACGTGCTCGACCCGTTCCACCCGCTCGTCGAGCTCACCGTTCACTACGGGTCGAGGAAAATCTCCAACGGATGCGAGATCAAGCCGTCTGCCGCCCTCCAGAAGCCGTTCGTCCAGATCGTACGCGATGCTCCCCCGCCGATCTCCTCCGTGCTCTACACCTTGGTGTGCAGACGGCTTTCCTCAATTTATCCGAACGATTGGGTTTGCATGTTGGAAATTTGTTCCTAGTTCGATGAAATTAGAGTGTGTGATTTGCATGTTTTGTAGGTTATGGTGGATCCCGATGCTCCGAGTCCCAGCGAACCTAGGCTTAGGGAATGGCTACATTGGTACGAGAAGATAAAATTAATATCGATCGATCGATAACTAGCGCGCGTTGCGTGACGCCGTGAGTTCGAACGTTGGTGCTTTGATTTAACGGAGGTGGTTTCCTTTTTTTTGTCGTGCAGGGTTATGGTTGATATTCCTGAAGGGTCCGATGCTACAAAAGGTATGAATATCCGACAAATCGATGAGCGATTAGCATTTAAAATTGTACATTTAACTATTTTTACTCTAGAAATGTTTTTATTTTTTATTTTTTTGAAATGGGGGTTTTGGTTTTGTAGGGCAGGAGCTGGTGCCGTACGTGGGGCCGCAGCCGCCGACGGGGATCCACAGGTACGTGTTCGCCCTTTTCAGGCAGGAAAGGGCGCTGATGGATCGGAGCGTGGCGGTGGCGCCGCCGGAAATGCGCGGGAACTTCTGCACCCGCCACTTCGCGGCCCGTAACGGGCTGGGCCTTCCCGTTGCGGCGGTCTACTTCAACTCGCGCAAGGAGCCTGCCGTTAAGAAAAGGTGCTAGTGGTCGGGGACGGGCCGTTGTGGGCTATTTACGGGTTTGGGCCGGGTCTGTATATATTATGTAGGTTAACTAAGTACCGATGGAGAAATGGGCTTTTTCTGGAAATCCTAATTTGCACTATTGCATTGCATGTATAGTCTGGCAGAAAAATCTCACCCGACTCGGAGGTGACTCTAGGTAGCTGGCTTTGTTTGGTACATTTTATGGTCACATACCAGCTGTTAGAAAAACATGGTTTTCTTAGCATGTGGCTTTGTATGTATCAAGCATCATTGCATCGAGATGATGATGTGTCTTTCAATCCGATCGCGGATTAGGTACCTTAAGCCGTTTCATGGTTTGATCGTCCTCCAGGCACCATGCCACAGTGCAATCCTCTCGGTGTCGAGTTTCCCTAGCTTTGTATAGGTAAACGCTCAAACGCCATAGAAGCAAGAGTTTAGGGTACAAGTTTTTCATATTGTGCAAGGGCCTTCGTAGGGCATAGCTCGATGGGATCATGTAGAGGTTGGAGACAGCGTTTATGCTCCTAGCAAGGTTAGTTGTTGAATGTTTTATAGGTATAATGTTAAGAGTCTAATGGCTTGCATTTTTAGTGAATTCGTCATAAGTTGTTTACAACTTTGGATTGAAATTAATGTACTCATTGTTGGGTATGCATGTGCCTAATTTGGAATATGGATTGCCACAACATACCTCCCACTTCCTGGTCAGAGTTAGTTGAGATTGGAATGACCATGACCCATTTTCGTAATTTTTGGGCGATTTTTTTTTCGAAAGGCTATTTTCCTTGTATTTCGAAAACTACAGATCATGGATTCGGCCTTAGCCTATTCTCCATCAAGATTAAGTCCATCAAGCACCGAATTGGGCAGATTTCTTTTGGGTCTATTTTTTGCAGATTTCAAACGGGGTAACATCACAGATTTTGGTGATTTTTGCGAAATGTCATTTCTTCTGATTTGGAAGCCTAGAGATCACGAAATTGGCCCGAGGCTATTCTCCACCGAAGATTAATTTATTGATCCTATTCTCCGTCGATGCTTAAGCCCGTTAGGCACTAATTTGGGATGATTCATTTTCGGATGACAATTTCGTAAATTTCTAGGCGATTTTCTTTTAAGATTTTTTCATGGATTTCAAAGGCTACAAATCACGAATGCGGCCTGAGGCTATTCTCCACCGAGGATTTAGTTCATCAAGCACTGATTTGGGGGATTTCTTTCGCAACCATTTTTGGCAGATTCCAAAGGGGTACCATCAAAGATTTCAGTTGATTTTTTCGAAATGCCATTTTCTTAAGATTTGGAAGGCTACTGTAGCATCCCATTTCGGCTAAACCCATATTTCGATCGCTAGAAAATTTCATGATTTAAAATCGAGCATTTCGACACTATTTCGGCGAAAATCGGATTATCGATCGATCGGATAAGTATACGTATTAACTATATATATATAAATTAATTAGGCGGCCGAGCATATATATGTATATAAACCCTCCCCGCCCTTTTAATTCTCTCCATCATCAACTTTTCCATTTCCCCACCGAGAGGAAACCGGGAGCACAGCGAGCTGAGCAGAGCGAACAGGGGAGCTCAGGAGAAATTCCAAAGCTCAAATTCTTGAGCCCTAGTGATCCAAAAATCCTGTAAGTAATGCCTAATTCATCTATAAATCGTGATTTATCGATTTAGAGCTTTAAAACGAGTTTTTGGTTCAGGAATTTCTTGAATTCCCGATCTGCCAAATTAGGGTTTCGGAGTATCCGGAAGCCGGATTGAGCCCAAATTTCATATACGAGCTTCCTGCAGCGAGGTAATCAATCCTCTAGTTCTAATCCCTGAATTTCGGCTATTATTTAGGCCGGGGTCCAAACCGCTGAATTTAGCTCCGGCCAGGGTTTGATGTGTTTTTATCGAGAATTTGACCCGGAGCCCAGAACTAATATTGACGGGGATACTGCAGGGGATATTAGGACGGTCTCGGATTTTAATTCGGGGTTCGTTCGTGAAATTGACATTTTAGTACGGGAAGGTTAAACCGGTGTTTGAACGACCAGAACTGGTGAGGGATTGGCACGGCATACCGGGTTTGTCGTATCATGATAATTATATTGATGCTTAGAATTGATCTAGGTGAACTAGAATGGCATGATTAGGGGTGTATGAACTTTTGTGCTATATGTTGAACCCTGGATTGCTGTATGATATTATTGACTTGCCCTAATCGATATGAACCTTGTTTATGCGGATGATTGTGTATATGTTGCAAATTGTGGGCTTGACTGTTAATATGCTTTACGATGGTTCGAGAAGGTGATTAGGTATGATTTTTCATGATTGTTGTATTTGGATGCACAAGTGGGAAAATATATATTCCCAGGGTGATATTATGATGTTTAATGAGGATGACTTGCACGAGGGTTTATCCCGAGGAAGTGCAATTATACGACTCCTGATTTACCTATGTTGAGCCAATTATGGTCAGGTCAAGTACATGTGCAAGTAACGAATTGTGATTAAGCAAGATGAGATATGAATCATGTACAAGGATACCAAATATGAGTGTTGTGGTCTCATGGTCAACTACATAGTAATTAGGGCTCCCTATGCTATTACTCTATTATGATATGTATGATAGTCACACCTCTCATGTGGTGGTGACTGAAGAATTCTTATGAGATATGACCACACCCAGAGCGGTGTCGGGGTATGACTACACCCATAGTGGTGTGGGGTATGTATGACCACATCCGACGGGATGTTGGGGTATGTATGACTACATCCGACGGGATGTGGGGTATGTTTCCCGGGAGAGTTATTAGCATGGGAGTAGCCAGGCGCCTATGATTAAAACATGATAAGATGCATATGCATAAGTCAAAGTGGTTGAGTCTTTTGCTTATTGGGATATGAGGATGGCTGAGGTCCGATCCTAGTGTTTTGGCTTGATTGTTAGATGTATGATAGGGGTATGCTATGTTATGAACTCACGATGCTATGATTATCTCACTCAGCCATGAGCTGACCCTCTTTTATTCTTCTTCTCTGCTTATGCTATGTGTAAGCAGATCATCAGCAGCAGCAGTAGATAAGTGTTAGGTGGGAGAGGAGCTAGAGTTGAAGCCAGGATGAGGTATGGTCTTCAACTATTCTGTGCTTGGACTACTACTCGGGATTTTGGCCAGTGATCCACACCTTTTTGTAAAAAAATGTTTTGAGAACGTTTTTCATGTGCATACTAGCTTCTGATGTAGTGTGAGATATCCACAGGTGTGGAAAGTTAATGATATGTGTATATGTTGTGTAACTGTGTAAGTTGTGACGATTATGGCTTGTATTAGTATGATATGCAGTTGTGTAGTATGAAACTGTGACTATGGCTACGAAAGCCAATGCATATGGTTGTGAGTATATATGTTTGTGATGAATTATTTTGCAGGATAAGTTGCAAGAACTGTTAGCCCATTACGCGAGTAATTCATGTCGAAATTTTATTTAGGTAAATTTTGATAATTATTGTAACACCCGAGATTAATTCCGCTGCAGTTGTATGAACAGTATGATTAGGCAAAACATATAGGGTAGGGTGTTACAGCTACAGATCACGAATTCGGCACTAGTCTATTCTCTATCGATGATGCAGTCTATTGATCCTATTATTTGCTGATGCTTAAGCTCATTAGACACCGATTTGGGCAGATTTTTTTTCGGATGACATTTTCGTAATTTTTTGGAAATTTTTTTTTAAAGGCAATTTTTCTTGAATTTCGAGGGCTATATATCACGGATTCGGCCCGAGGCTATTCTCCACCGAGGATTAAGTCCATCAAGTACCGGTTTGGGCGGATTTCTTCCGAGTCCAATTTTGGCATATTCAAAAGGGGTACCATCAAGATTTCGGGTGATTTTTTCGAAATATCATTTTCTTCCCATTTGGAAGGCTAGATCACAGATTCGGCTTGAGGTTATTCTCCACCGATGATGAAGTCTATTGATCCTATTCGCCGCCGATGCTTAATCCCGTTAGGCACCTATTTGAGTGCATTTATTTTCGGATGTCATTTTCGTACTTTTTGTGCTATTTTTTTCGAAAGGCCATTTTCCAAGGATTTCGAATGCTACAGATCACGAATTTGGTTTGAGGTTATTCTCCACCGAGGATTAAGTCCGTCAAACACCGATTTGGGTGGATTTATTCTGGGTCCATTTTTTGCAGATTCCAAAGGGGTACCATCACTGATTTCAGGTGATTTTTCCGAAATGCTATTTTCTTCTGAATTGGAAGGCTAGAGATCACGGATTCGGCCCGACGCTATTCTCCACCGATGATGAAGTCTATTGATGCTATTCTCCGCCGATGCTTAAGCTCGTTAGGCTATGATTTGGGCGGATTTATTTTCGGATTGCATTTCGCAATTTTTTAGGAGATTTTTTTCAAAAGACCATTTTTCTTGGATTTCAAAGACTATAGATCACGGATTCGGCCTGAGACTATTCTCCCCCGAGGATTAAGTCCGCCCAGCACAAATTTGAGTGTATTTCTTTCGGGTCCATTTTTGGCAGATTCCAAAGGCGTACCATCACATATTTCAGGTGATTTTTCCGAAATGCCATTTTCTACCGATTTGGAAGGCTAGAGATCACGGATTCTCCCAAGGCTATTCTCCACCGATGATGAAGTCTATTGATCCTATTCTCCGCCGATGCTTAAGCCGATTAGGCACCGCTTTCGGCGGATTTATTTTTGGGCATTTTCGTAATGTTTTGGGCGATTTTTATAAAAAAGGCCATTTTTCTTGGATTTCGAAGGCTACATATCACGGATTCGGCCTCAGGCTATTCTCCACCAAGGATCAAGTCCATAAAGTACCAATTTGGGCGGATTTCTTCCGAGTCCATTTTTGGCAGATTCAAAAGGGGTACCATCACAGATTTCGGGCGATTTTTCCGAAATATCATTTTCTTCCCATTTGGAAGGCCAGAGATCACAGATTCAGCTTGAGGTTATTCTCCACCGATGATGAAGTCTATTGATCCTATTCTTCGCCGATGCTTAAGCCCATTAAGCACCGATTTGGGTGCATTTATTTTAGGATGACATTTTCGTAATTTTATGTACGATTTTTTTCGAAATGCCATTTTCCTTGGATTTCGAATTTTACATATCACAGATTCGGTTTGAGGTTATTCTCCATCGAGGATTAAGTCCGTCAAGCGCCGATTTGGGTGGATTTATTCCGGGTCCATTTTTAGCATATTCCAAAGGGGTACCATCACATATTTCGGGTGATTTTTCCGAAATGCTATTTTCGTCCGAATTGGAAGGCTAGAGATCACGGATTCGGCCCGAGGCTATTCTCCACCGATGATGAAGTCTATTGATCCTATTATCCGGCGATGCTTAAGACTGATAGGCTCCGATTTGTGTGAATTTATTTTCAGATGACATTTTCGTAATTTTTGATCGATTTTTTTCAAAATGCCATTTTACTTGGATTTCGAAGGCTACAGATCATGGATTCGGCTTGAGGCTATTCTTCACTGAGGATTAAGTCCATCAAGCACTGATTTGGTCGGATTTTTTCAGGGTCCATTTTTGGCAAATTCCAAAGGGGTACCATTACAGATTTCATGTGATTTTTTCCGAATGCCATTTTCTTCCAATTTGGAAGGCTAGAGATCACGGATTCGGCCCAAGCCTATTCTCCACCGATGATGAAGTTTATTGATCCTATTCTCCGTCGATGCTTAATCCCATTAGGCACCGATTTGTGCGGATTTTTTTCCGGATGACATTTTCATAATTTTTGGGAGATTTTTTTCAAAAGGCCATTTTCCTTGAATTTCGAAGGCTACAGATCACGGATTCGCCCTGAGGCTATTATACACAGAGGATTAAGTCCATCAAGCACCGATTTCGGCGGATCTCTTCCGGGTCCATTTTTGGCAGATTTCAAAGGGGTACCATCACAGATCTCTGGTGATTTTTCCGAAATGCCATTTTCTTCCGATTTGGAAGGCTGGAGATCACGGATTTGGCCCGATGCTATTCTCCATCTACGATGAAGTATATTGATCATATTCTCCGCCGATGCTTAAGCTCGTTAGGCACCAATTTGGGCGGATTGAATTTCGGATGTCATTTCCGTAATTTTTTTGGCGATTTTTTTCGAAAGACCATTTTCCTTGGATTTCGAAGCTACAGATCACGGATTCGGCCTGAGGCTATTCTCCACCGAGGATTAAGTCCATCAAACACCGATTTGGGCGGATTACTTCTGGGTCCATTTTTGGCAGATTCCAAATGGGTACCATCATACGTTTCGGTTGATTTTTCCGAAATGCCATTTTCTTCCGATTTGGAAGGCTAGAGATAACGGATTTGGCCCGAGGCTATTCTCCACTGATGATGAAGTATATTGATCCAATGCTCCGCCGATGCTTAAGTTCGTTAGGCACCGCATCGATTTGGACGAATTTATTTTCGGGTGACATTTTTCCAAATTTTTTTTGCGATTTTTTTCGAAAGGCCATTTCCTTGGATTTCGAAGGCTACAGATCAATAATTCTGTTAGAGGCTATTCTCCACCGAGGATTAAGTCCATCAAGCACCGTTTTTGGCTAATTTTTTCTGGGTCCATTTTTTGTAGATTCCAAAGGGGTACTATCACAGATTTCAGGTGATTTTTTCGAAATGTCATTTTCTTCCGATTTGGAAGGCTAGAGATCACGGATTCGGTCCGATGCTATTCTCCACCGATGATGAAGTATATTGATCATATTCTCTGCCGATGCTTAAGACCGTTAGGCACCGATTTGGGCGGATTTAATTTCGGATGGTATTTTCATAAAATTTTTGGCGATTTTTTTCGAAAGGAAATTTTCCTTGGATTTCGAAGGCTACAGATTACGGATTCGCCGTGAGGCTATTCTCCACCGAGGATTAATTCCATCAAGCACCGATTTGGGCGGATTACTTCCGGGTCCATTTTTTGCAGATTCCAAAGGGGTACCATCACAGATTTCGGTTATATTTTCCGAAATGCCATTTTCTTCCGATTTGGAAGGCTAGAGATCACGGATTTGGCTCGAGACTATTCTCCACCGATGATGAAGTCTATTGGTCCTATTCTCCGCCGATGCTTAATCCCGTTAGGCACCGATTTGTGCAGATTTTTTCCCGGATGATATTTTCGTAATTTTCGGGCGATTTTTTTCAAATAGCCATTTTCCTTGAATTTTGAAGGTTACAGATTACAGATTCGGCCTAAGACTATTCTACACCGAGGATTAAGTCCATCAAGCACCGATTTGGGCGGATTTCTTTCGGGTCCATTTTTGGCAGATTTTAAAGGGGGTACCATCACCGATTTCGGGTGATTTTTCCGAAATGTCATTTTCTTCCGATTTGGAAGGCTAGAGATCACAGATTCGGCCTGAGGCTATTCTCCACCGATGATGAAGTCTATTGATTCTATTCTTCGCCGATGCTTAAGCCCGCTAGGCTTCGATTTGGGCAGATTTCTTTTCGATTAGTATTTTTGTAATTTTTGGATGATTTTTTTCAAAAGGCCATTTTCTTGGATATCGACGGCTACATATCACAGATTCGGTCTGAGGCTGCCATCACTAACCAAGATATCTAAACATTGATTGCTAGTTACAGAAACAATGCAAAATGGTTTGTCGAATATGGATACTCGAGAATTAAACTGTATGAGGAGCTAGAGCAAATGTCTCTACAACATATCCAAACCCAGGGCTTAGGATATGGTCAGCAACTATTGGTTACTGACCTATGAGTAACTAAATATGTACCCTTAGATCTAAGTGAGCCTAGAAAATCTAGATCTAACTTCAAAGGGTTGTCAATTAAAGATATTTTATTTTACCTAGTTTTCTTTATCGGCTCTTATCTTCTTCGTTCTAACTCGGATTTCAATTTTTTTGCACAGATGTAACTAGTTCGTTGTGCTCTACAAAAAGAGATCAATTTTGAATATATTTCGAGAATTTATTTTTACCAACTACATACCATATGGTAAATTTTTGGTTTTTAAGTCGTTTTTGAAAACGTTTGCTGAGAAGGAACGAGTTCATCTTGATTTATCGGATCTACAAATTTCCGGGTGAAAAAAATACTAAACAAAAAATTACCATATTTTACCACTATGGTATGTGGGTGGTAACTTGTAGTAAACAATGATGAAAGTCATAAATAACAGTTAGTATACTCCTACTATCATGTATTCAACCTTCTTATCATATGTCCATATTGGTATGTTCGTACCATCATGGTACGCTTTCTTACCATATGGTATTAAATATGAGCATACATATGGTAATGACTGGTAAAAAATTATTCAATTTTTTTGTACTAAAAATATACAAAGTGAATATCATTTTAAATAGCACATTTAATCTGATTTATCTGTGAAAAAAATTTAAATTGCGACTTAAAACGAGAGAGAATTCGTCCGTTAAAGATTAAAGAGAAAATATAAAAGACTTTTCAGGAGAGAGAGGGATACTGATATCATGCTAATGTGGACGAGTTACTCATAGTTACTGACCATAAGGTTACTAACCTCATCCGTTCCCAAAACCAGACCGGTCAAGGAATATGGTTTGACAATGTTGGATTCAATTTCGGTTTGCAAACATACTCAGTTGGGTCAATGCTTGTTAATCCAAATTCAGGATTATGTAATTAACCAATCGAAGTTTTATTATTTGCATTATGGTCCCAATCGTCGAATTTCTTTTTGAGGACGTGGATAATGAGAGCACCATTTAGCGTGCAGCCCACGGGCGCCAGAAGCGACCGACTCCAAGCAGAACTCTCAAAGCCTCCGTTGTGGGCCCAAACGGTAACAGCCCAATTAAATTCATGTCTTCTCTTCCCTAACGTCAAGGCCACTTTTCCCCCATCGTCCCGCCGTTTCCCACTCTCCAGCGTTCGTCTCTCTTTCTCTCGCTCTCTCCTCCAGCCTTCTCCCCCAAGCTTTAGGGCAATCTCTCCCTTCCTTCTTTCCTTCCCGGAGTGAAACGGGCAATTCCCCCTCAACGCCGATCGCCCATTCCGGCAATCAGCCTGAAGCCCCAACCTGAAAGAAGATAACGACTCCGGGACAGCTGGGAGGAGAATCCATGAAAAGATGCTAGCTGCCGCCGCGGCGTTGGCTTCATCAACTAGCTCCCGAGATTCCGGATCGCCATGTCGAGGTGGGTTGCTTCCTTTTCCGCCCTCTCATCTTTCTTGATTTCCTCTCTTCCATTTTGGCTTTTTTTTTCTTTCGCGGGGGTTAGAGAGAGAGGGGGGTTGGGTGTGACGTGTGTTGAATTGGGTAATTGGCTGTTCCGGTGATGGCGAAAATTGGTTCGTTGCCGGAATCAGACAGTGGTTGTGGAGCGGAACTTCTAGGTAGGTTTTTCAGGGGACCCAGGTTTTCGGAGTTCCCGCTAGTCGGTAGTGGCTGGAGTTGCGGAGCGAGTGCAACTGTGCAAGAACAGAGGCGAGTTAGGACGCCGGTGGAGGTGGGGGTTTCTTTGAAATTGTGGAAGAGGAACTCTTTAAGAGTGGGCGATAGGTTGGTTATGGAGGGAATGATATGGCAATGGGAAATGAGAATGGTAGGAATAACAGTTGATGCGAGATTTTCCTGACGGATTATCTTGAGGGTCTTTCTTCTGCTTGGTTGAGTCTTTCCTGCTTTCTTGTGATGGTGGATTCATACTTTATAAGTGGCGACTGTTGATCGCGATTTTGCCAATCTTTTGGTTTTATCTTTCATAAGTCGGGCTGAGTCTGATTGTGTGATGTCTTCTTTGGAAGAAAATGAACTTTTGAAGTGAATTTCTTGGGTTTCCTCTTCTGCCTTCGAATGGGTTTCCTCTCAGCTACATAAAAATTTCATATGCATTTACAGACTTGCTCCTAACTGTAACTGTACCAGCCATATGAGGAAGGTTACTCGACTTTCATGAACTATTGATTATTAATGACCAGCGATTGTCATTGTAACAACTCTCCTTCATTCTCCTTCGCCTTTAGTCTCATGTTTTCGTTTGGATGATAGAAATCAACAGGTGGGCGGCTCTGTGTGCTTTCTTGCAATTTAACTTAGCCTTTTTTGGTTGGGAAGGAATTGGGATTGTAATTTTTCTTCCACTAAAAGTTGAGTTACAAGAAGTTTATGCACAGGCTCGATTGTGCCCCATTCAGTTAGTATGATTCCTTGGTATCTTCTTTGGAGCAAAATGAGGTATTGGAGTGAATTTCTTGGGTTTCCTTTTCTGCTTCCGGATGGTAAAAGAATGTTGAGCTCGATTGTGTAAGATCTTTTCTATTTGCTCCACTCTGATTCTCTGAATAGAGAATTGTTATGGGAAACATAAAATTTGAGACTTGTTGGAGAGATTTGGACTTGAGAATTGATGGACTGATGAAATGAGTGGTGTTGGAATGCAGATTTTTGACGTTTGGAGCCATTAAGAGGATTGCAAGTTCAGTTGCTGAAAGCCAGAGCAATAGTATTTCAGGGTATAAGAGGTATGGAACACTAGCCCAGCTGGGCTCTCATCTTCCCCATTTTAGACACTCTGCTCGTTACCAGCTCCCACAAGTGGGATCTTCTGCCTTCACCAGGCACGCAGTCAAACAGCATTCCCAGTGTGGTCTCATTTCTCGGCCATATTATGGATCTTCACCTGCTAAACTTTTCGTCTACAATGCCCATCTTGCATGGAGGAGGCTCCTTGCAAGAGGCTCTCATGGCAGTGATCACCCCACGGTTATAAGCAGGATAGCCCAAGCAGTCAGCTTGGCTTTAACAAGATCACCTCTAGTTGTCTCTGGTGCACTGGCACTTACGTGTGGGCAAATGGCATGGGCAGAGAGATCAATGGCCGACTCCTTTCAGTATCCATACCCCTTGGCAAGTTCACTATACAATCGTGCACAAGACGGGCGGGCTTTTGTCACATCACTAGTATACTCTGCTGTGGAAGGTGTCATCTTGCTTGTCAGAGCCTTCTACTTGACCATCTTGTTTACCCCAAGCATAGTCATGGCACCATTTGTTGACTTGTTTGGACCAGGATTCAGGCGCTATTGGCTTCATGTCGTCCTTCGAACACTTGAAAGAGCAGGTCCAGCATTCATAAAATGGGGACAATGGGCAGCTACACGGCCTGATCTCTTCCCTCGAGATCTCTGTACCAAGCTGTCGGAGCTACACTCAAAAGCTCCCGAGCATAGCTTTGCCTACACAAAAAAGACAATTGAAAAAGCGTTTGGTCGTAAGCTAAATGAAATCTTCGAAGGGTTTGAGGAACTTCCTGTGGCATCTGGAAGTATCGCTCAGGTGCATCGGGCATCTTTGAGATTCAGGTACCCTGGTCAGAAGCAGGCGAAGCCTCTTGTTGTGGCGGTCAAAGTTAGACATCCTGGTGTTGGCAATTCAATTCGTAGAGATTTCACTATCATCAATGTGGTAGCAAAGATGTCGAGATTTGTCCCGGCTTTGAATTGGTTGAGATTGGATGAAAGTGTACAGCAGTTTGCAGTTTTTATGATGTCTCAAGTTGATCTTGCTAGGGAGGCTGCTCACTTGAGCAGGTTCATATATAACTTCCGGAGTTGGAAAGATGTATCCTTCCCTAAACCAGTGTATCCCCTCGTGCATCCAGCTGTTTTAGTGGAGACTTATGAGCAAGGGGAGAGTGTTTCCCACTACGTGGATGACCTGGAGGGACATGACCGGGTTAAAGCTGCACTTGCCCATATTGGGACTCACGCACTTCTGAAAATGCTTCTGGTAAGATACTTTGAGTTATATTACTTAAGGTTATAGTTTGAGAAGCACTTGGAATTTAGCCTCAGTTTGCCAAGTGAAATTTTTTTCTTGCTTCAGGTTGACAACTTTATCCATGCAGACATGCATCCTGGGAATATTCTTGTGCGGGTGGCGTCTCAGACCAAGCCCTCTGGGAAAAAACGGCTTTTCAAGTCAAAGCCTCATGTCGTTTTCCTTGATGTAGGCATGACTGCTGAACTTTCGAAGAATGACAGAGTGAATCTACTTGAGTTTTTCAAGGCTGTTGCTCGCCGAGATGGACGCACTGCAGCAGAATCTGCATTGCTGTTATCGAAACAGCAGAATTGTCCTGATCCGAAGGCTTTCATCGAGGTATGTTTAGATATCAGTAGTCTGACCTTCTGAGACTCTAGAACATCTACATTTTGATATCAGTAGTAGAGGTGTCAAATGGGTATGAGTAGGGTTCATGGATATACGGGTCAGTTTAAATGGGTCTGCAGGGTTATGGCTTGGATTTTAATTGGGTGTTTGGGTCGTTGGGAATCCATGACAATCTGCTGAAGTCCTTTCATAAGGTTTGGTGTGTCATTAGTTCAATGTCAAGTTGCATAAACTTTTGGAAATTTGGGCCCATATTTGCAACCTGTATGGAAATGTCTTCAGAAACTTTCTAATTTTGATGTCCCTTTCCGAATTCTGTCCTGCGAAAGGTCTTGCTTTGCATGGTTATTTACACTTTCTTATTGGCATTCTTTGCTTGAAACAGGAAGTGGAAGAGGCATTCACATTCTGGGGAACTCCAGAAGGAGATTTGGTTCATCCTGCTGAATGCATGCAGGAACTACTCGAGAAAGTAAGACGACATAAGGTCAACATTGATGGAAATGTCTGCACTGTCATGGTGACAACTTTGGTTCTCGAGGTACAATCTTAAAGTCCTATAGTTTTCCACGGATGATTGGAGTGTAAGTCAGCTTATGGGTCTTTATCTTCATACGCTTTGTTTATATAATTTGCAGGGATGGCAAAGGAAGCTCGACCCCGCGTACAATGTGATGAAAACGTTACAGACGCTGCTTCTTCGAGCTGATTGGGCTAAGTCCCTATCTTACACGATCGAAGGGTTGATGGCCCCATAGAAGAGAAAGAAGGTTATTACAGGTTGGAAACAATTTTGTAAGTGTTTAGGACCACTAAAGAGTTCACTTGCAGTCTAAGAAATAACGATAACTCTCTCAGGGATGTATCCATCCCTCCTGAAGCTTTAGATGATTCTTTGTAATTTCCTTCAACCTTTAGGAATTCTTCCTTTTCTTCTTTGTTTACTTCTCACTTTTTTCTTTTGTTTCCCGTTTCTTTCTGGGTCTTTTTGTCTGTACTTAATTCGATCGGTTTTTCCAGACAAAGGAAGAGCAACAGAGAAAGTAAAGAGAAAATAAGTGATGCTAGTTCTTTTAGTATATCATCTCTTACCCTAGGAAGAACTAAATCTTCCCATTTATCGGCATTATATATGTAAATCCTGTGCCTAATATCCCATTCCATTCATCATATTGGTTGTAAAAACTGTAATAAATAATTTCGCTTCGTTTCTGTGGTTGTATCAGATTGAGAGAGTGATGCATGCTTTTCATTTGTTCTTTTTCCATGGATCATACAAGCTTGAAAATGCACTTCTTTTATCCCCCCAGACACTAATCACACAACAGTTAGCTCTTCTGTGCTAAAAAAACCCAGGAAAAATGCAAGTGGAAACGAAAGATGTAGTGCTAGGTTATCACCCTCTGAAGATCTAGAGACAGTCGACTAAGAGTCTCAACCTTCGTATCCCAGTACACAGTGTCCACAAAAAAGGACATTGCAACATCTCTTGCATAGCAGATGTACCTTCAAGCCAAACCGGCTGGCTGTGCCCCTAAAGTGCAAAAAGGCCGTGCAAGCTTCAGTCACAGCTTTAGCCTTTAGTGCCTGGCTGAAGTCAATGTGTGTTCAGCAGTCTCGACTCTCTATTAGCTAGTTGGAAGAGACTGCTTCATGTTGTTTGTCTATCAGCCGCAGTACATTATCATAGCAAAGTAGCGTCAAGTAAAAGTTCTGAATCAGATCTGGAGCTATACAGAGAAAAAGGATAACAGTAAAATTTTGATTGAAGAGAGGCTGTTGTGTTCAACTTACAATCTAAATCCCAATCTAACATTCAACAATGAACTACTACTCAGAAAGACTACCAGCAATAATATGTACAACCAATGGATTGGCAGGGAAAATAAAATTCAGGAGTCATATACACTAAATCCAAAGGCCTGTTACCTCGAGAGAAAAAAAAAAATATAGAAACCCTATCCTAACTAGTCTTTTATCTTTGGTCTACAAGAATTACCTCCCTTCCATCTTCTCTCCAATTGCAGATTATGAACCCCATGAAATCTTACAACCATTGTACATATATGCCTATACTCTGCTGCAGAAGCCAATCAATTTCTTCCACGCCTCTCCAACAACTGAGCTTGCACAGCCCGTTGAGTCTTATTCATTGATGGGTGTAGTTCATCTGTGGTAGCAAAACTCAAAGAACTGGATGAAGATGCATTCCGAAAGTTGCATCTCACAATGTTAGTCAGCACAAGAAGTAAGGTCGCGTATCTCTTTAATTGCTCTACTGACACCATGGATGGCCATTTGCTTCACCTCAAGAGAATCAGCTCTGGCCTTGTGCTTATCTGGAAGCAGACGAAGCTCGTCGATCAACTGCATGGACTGCACCACACTTTCAGGAGATACAAAGTCCAGCACTATATTTACACATGACTTGAGATTCCTAATCTGGTAAGGACATCCAGCTGGAACAATGACAGCTTCTCCCACGTGTTGCTCGAATGACCATGGCTCGATCTCTGCATCAAATAATATAAAGAGGTCTTAAGAAACTGAAGGAAATGACTATAAAAAACCAGAACTGAAGAACAAAACTATTACCAAATTCCTCCTTGAGCCTTCGTTTATGCACCGCATCAAGAAAGAAGATTTGATCATGTATCGGATGAGTAACCTGCAAAGGCATACAGCCACTGATAAGTAAAGCATCTGTCTTTAAGTTACCAAACACTTTTTTCTCCTCTAGATTTACTGAAACTTAGCAAAAGCTAAAACAAGCACGCCCTGTATCCTCTTAGCTTACCGGCTTTCTGGAACCATATGTCTCAACAAATTCCTTCGAGTGCAGTCGTAGATACTCAACAAGCTTAGGAACATCTTGTCGACGAAAGACATCCCACAGGACACCACACGACTCGTCATGTTTCTCGGATTCAAATTCTTCATCCGAGGTTGTTTCCGTGTGTTTTATTCTGGATGGTCGGTGGTCTGAAGTCCTTGACCCTTTGACTGGACCAAAGAAGAACTTTGAGACTTCAGTATCAGTATCTGTATCAGTGTCGGAATCGGTGTCTGAACACACTCCATTATTGTGGAAAGCTGCCTCAGGTTTCTCATCACAGGCTTCATGTTGTGCAGCAGCAGCAGCAGCAGCGAACCAAGAGACTCGAGCAACTTTCTTGTGCAACTGAACTTCTTCCTCTACCAAATCATGCAATCCCAATTCTTCGATGCTTCCTCCATTTGCCCGGTTCTCTTCCTTGTTCTTCTTCATCAGCTTGCGGATATAGTTAAGTTGTTCTGTTGAGACGGGTGCATCGGTTGCATGCACCAGAACGTTAACCACATCATAGGTATCATAGCGTAATTTCGATACTGAATCAGCTGTTACGATATCATTCCCACTATTGTACGAAATGTAGATGGAAGGACCCAAATCGGGTTTTGAGATCTCCTGGGGCAACTCTGCTGCTACGTTCAAGAGGCCAGAAGCTGGGTCCATATATTCTGGGAGAGGTAGAGCATGAAGGATTTCAGAGAAATGAGCAGGAAGATGTTCTTGGATTACTTGAGAAGAAAGCCATCCTTTCAACTTTAGGTCCTCGTGCCACATATTGGCTTTTTTCGGACCCCTTATTGATCCCATGAATAACTGCCGCACACCGATTTCCACCTGCCATTTTTACATCAAAGTTATCATGCAGGCTTCGAAAACCCTAACCTTTGCACAACGTGATTCTCAAACTACACCTTTCTAGCTGTACAATGTGACTTTCAAGCTGAACCTTTCATGAGATTTAAGGATTGCAACTTTAGAGTCATGAAGAATGAAAACTTGAGTTCTAAATACAACAGAGCAGTTCTTCTATTCTACAATAAGCAAACATCACCTTAATAGGACTAGACTATCAAATATTACCCTATTCCATTGATGTGCGTGTGAACTAAAGCATCACTAACCTCAAAGTGGTCCAAAGAATCAGTAGCCTGTGTGTTTCCGGGTGTGTTAGCATTGTTCTTGAGATAAGTGCAGAACATGACAATTGGATCCCAGCTAAGATCAGATGTACCCAGAAGCACATTGCGGACTTTTACAGGCTGACCTTTGCCCCAGTGTTTCTGGAAGTGTTCAAGGTTATCACCGTGAATCTCTGCTGCAGTAGGACAGTATAACAGGTTGTCTTGGGAATCTTCTCTTGCAGAGGCTTCTTGTGACTGCCTTATCTCATCAGTATCCAGGTCACTCTCAGTACATAACGAACAGCTGGAATTGATATCTAAGGTCTCGGGCAACTCGTAGCAGCCAATAAGCTCTTCTGCACTGGTTTCCAGCTCCTTGGCCCAACTCAATGGGAAAAGAGAGCTCAAATCTAGAAGGCTATCGCCACAACCACCAAACTCAGAAGACGGACAAGGTATACCAACACAACCATTGAAAGCTTTTCGATTACTGGGACATCTACCAGGTAATCTCTTCTTTGATGTGAAAGCTGATATCACCTCGCATTGTTGTTTGCCAGATATGAAAGTTTTCCTTCTTGTGGGGCATTTAGATACAAGCACATCGACATTCCCACATACTATCCCTTGGAAAACATCTCGACAACATCTTAAGCAGAGGTTGTAGGAGCAAATTTGGCAGCTTCTGTGGAAATCCACAATCGAAGCCTTGCACTTATTGCTGCATCATCATACATCAGAGAGTAAGAAAGTATGGAGAGAAACTCATGAAGGTGAAATTAGGAAATATAATGATCTGGAGAAGAATAAGAACAAACCACGAACGTTGGTTGCTGCTTACTTTAGCCAGCTCGATTTGAACCTCGGAAGGTTTTAGACCTGTTAGATGGCATGGGATTACTTACACTATCAGAATACCATTAAGACAGATCAATGTGAATTTTACCTTTCATTTTCGCCTCCGTGTCGATTTCAGAAACAAGATCTCGATTCATTTGTTTCAGCACTGGAAGAAGCATACAGATCATGTAATGGAAGTGCAAAACCTTATTCACCTGTCTTCCACCATTAGAATACTCCTGCAGCAAACATGGGGGACGGATGTAAGCATAGGGATTTTTCAATACTGAAACCAAGGAATATGAATCCATCATTCCTTCAAAGTTAACAATGACTAATAAAGATGCCAGACCTCACAGTCACTGTCCTTAAATCGGCCAGCCAAGCATGGTTTACACCCACAAGTCCCACGGCAAACTGGACAAGCATTCTGAACTTCTTCTTGCTCATCAAAGTACCTATAGTTATAACCTTTATGCTTCAGTTCCAACAATTAAGCAGTATCATCAGGAGAAACCATGAACGAATGTTTCCAATAGTTAAAACCGCTCATAACAGTCTGTTTTACATACCGATCTTTGATGCAATCCGTACAGAAGAACTCCTTACTACAACTGGAACATTGAATCAAAGTACTACTCAGCCCATTCTTCCTACACCAGTGGCACTTCTGCTTCTTCTTCCCTCTCCTCAATTCCACCATATCCTTAACCTTCACAAATAAACACAACCCACATTTCAATAAAACATAATCTAAGTAGAAAAGGCACGTACAATCATTCTGACTGCAATGTAGTTATTCCTTCAGAGTTCAGTAACCTGCAGGGCAGCTCCAATGGGCAATGGCTCGAGGTTCTTAGACCGAAACCGTATCCCAGAACTCGAATCCGATCCAATTTTAACGTCGCAGGAAGCTGCTGAAGCTGAACATGAACCCACATTGTTGAAATGCTTAACTGGAGATATAGCCATGAACCCATTAGGCAAATCTCTCATCAACTCTGGCTCTTCATCTTCATCGTCTTCTTCCCCTTCTTCCCCACCGTTATTGTCACTGCTACCACTCTTACTCTTAGAATTGGGTTTCTTATTGCTGGTACTCTGCCCTTTCCGCTTCTCGACTTCTCTCTTCAGCACCATTCGAATCAGCTCAAATTGCAGCGTGTTCTTCTTGGTCTTAACCTTCTTCTTCATCTTCTTCTTCTTTATCTTCACTACCTCTTCAAACCCCTCCGATTTCTTCCTCTTCTGCCCCAATTTCGACAAAACGACGTCGGCCTCCTCCTTCTGTAACCTAACTCGAGCGCCATTGCTGATTTTGTTGCGGTTCTTGTACTCTCTCTGTATCTTGAGTGACTCGGGGACTTTCCACTTGTGCTGACGATGCTTCCCTTGGAGGTGGTGAATTTCGCAGAGCTTCTTCCCCGGCAACACCTTCCGGCCGCACCGCCACCGCCGCCCGTCCGTCCGCTTGCACCGGAGATGGTCCGGCAGAGGCCCATTCTCCGCCATTCCCCGGCCAACGAATTAAAGAAGAATCCCCCCACGGATGAAAACCCCACACCGCAGCCTACTCTCTATATGAAATTTACTCGGGAAAGTGACAGAAAAAGAGAGAAAAATCCCGTCTTTTTCTATTAAAAGGGGTGGAGACTGGAGACTGGAGACTGGAGAGGGAGAAGGAGAAGGGAAAAGCAAAGAGAGCTTTCGGTTTTAGGGGTCGAACATTTAATACCCAGTAAGCAGAAGACGAAGAAAGGGAAGAATGGCGAATGGCAGCAGGTGGTAATTTGGGAGAAAAACAGAGCCCTATCTGGGTCGCGCTGGAAAACCTTGGTTTGGTCTTTTTCGATATGCGAAATTAAAGATCGAATGATGGATCGGTGGGAGGAAAAGAGTGTGTCTAGTAAGCTCTGTTTGGCGTAGTGCAGAGTATCAGAAGCAAAAATTGTTAAAGACTTCTTTTTTTCTTCCTATTCTCCAATGTTTATCTAAGGAAGTGGAAGTTCCAAACAGATTATAGAAGTATAAATCTCTGTAACTGTAATCCCACCACTTCTGCAGTACCCTGGCAGTCAAGCAATTGGACAGGACTGAGGTTAATTCGAGGTCTAGATACGAGAAGCAGGGAGTGCTCTGCGTTCGTGTTTGGATTCGTTAGAATTGAACCATCGTTAGATCTCTACATTCGTCGAGAATGTTATTAGTTTTCGAAAAGCGTTAATATTCATGATTCTATAATCTCGATGTTTGTCTTTTGGACGTTGTGATGTTAGTGTGCAATGTTGTATATAAGAAGAAAAAAAAATGCAGGGAATATGTGCTGATGTTCAAATCCAACCTGTGATTTAGAGAGGATTCTGTATCTTTTCTCTGTTTGGTGGTCAAATTTCTTGGAGTTGCACAACTGGTTCAATTGGTTACTTACTGTGCAAGGTGGATTTAATGCTTACGTTTATTCCTGGATTGGCCAATCTTTACTGCAAATTTACTGGGCAAACAGACACGTTTGTGGGTTTGTTTATTTGATTTTGATTGATTTACTCTTCTGCAAACTTAATCCTGGTCCTGGCTGGGAAAGCAAACTAGAGAACAGCAACAGCAAAACATAGCTGAAAAAAAGAGACTCAAACTCTCAATCTTGAACTCTTTTACACAATCTTTTGACCATATTGGGAGGTTCTCTGCCTTAATTTTTGACCATTCAAATATTCCTCAAAATTACGATAATGCTCCGACCGAATATCAATCATCCAACGGCTGCCTATACTCTCCTTGCCTCATTGTCATTTTCTCGACTATCATAAATCACGATTCTTCTCGATGAGGGGTTTTTGTAATTTCATAACATATTAGCTAACTTGGTAAAACATCCATAAGTAAATGAAATGGTAAATAAGTAATGAAATGCAACTGATCAAATTCTTCACCAAACCAGAGCATAAGATTAAATCCTGGTTGCATTGGCCAGACTTCTGGAATCATGCATTCAGTACTGCATAGAGTTTGCAACTTCACCTGGCCCAATTTTCAGTTTGGGCCTGCCCAGTGTTTTTTTTAAATACAGTTTGGACTTCTTGGCAGTCATCTTGTATTAATACCGACTTGTTTCTCATAAAAGGCCCGGCCCAGTTCTCTCCACATTGGTATTAATTATTAAATTATGCTCAATACCATATTTTGTCTCTCTAGTCTCTACTATTATAAAACGGTGTTAGTAAACGATACCGGTCAAAAAAAAAAAAAAAAGGTGTTAGTAAAGGATGAGATATCTCGATTTGTATATTTATTCGTATTTAGTGTGACTCAAATTGAGTTATTATCACACACAACATTTTGTGGTAGATCAACTCTTTTTGACGCATCATTTGAAGTAAATAAATAAAAAATTAAGGAAAACATATCACAAAATATTTTTGAAGTAAAAAAAAGGAAGAAAATAATTTGATGACCCCATATAATATTGACAAATTGAAGTCTATTCTGATTCATAGATAAGCAATTGTGTAAACGAGCCAAAGTAACATAAACGCAAATGTATATTATAATAAAAATAAGATTGAACAGATTGGGGAAAAAAAATGCCCCACTTGTCCATTCATGAACCATGATGCATATGGAACGGTTAATTCTCATAGTCATAAATAATGAGTTAGACGAAATCAGATCGAACGAATTAGGTTACCGTGCACACCAATAAAGTACTTTATTCAATTCTTTGCCTAAATGATGCATACTAATCTCGCTACCTAGTTGTTTTTGTTAGGCCTAAGATCTCAATTAAGCTTGCTATGCTTAAAGTTTACAGTTTTGTAATGACGTGACCGCAACTCAAACAGGACATTTCCCGTATGGAGCTTATAATTTATGGGATTCAATTTACACGCACAATCAAAACATTGCCTTGGGATTAGAGGAAAGGCGTAGTGTAACATGTGTCAAGGATAATACTTAATTATGTATTTAATTACTTTACTTAGTGGTTAGGTGGTTCCTACATCACAGGCTACGTGAGTTAGTGATAGCTTTTCTGTTGTACAATTGGGTATTTAATCCCTACTCAACTTCTAATAAACAATCAAGTATCCAATCCTTCTCATGGTATCAGAGCTAAACCTCAGATCCCTTAATCACTAAAACCTCCTCTCTCCTCTTTCTTTTCCCGACCTCTCACCCTTCTGTTTCTTTTTCCAGAGACTCTTTTCTCTCTTCTTCTTCCCCTATCCCTCTGCTTTTCCTCTCCGCCCTCCGTCCAAAACATCCTTCCCCATACTTCCCATCAATCCCAATCTCCCACCTTTCTTCCCTCACCTTTTGGCCCACGCCCAGCCGCCGTCGTCTTCCAACGCCGGTAAAGCTCGCCGCTGACACCTTCCCTCTTTCCCTTCTTCCTATCGCCACTATGTCTCAAAATTATGGCGAGTCGGTGCTTAACATCAATGACACCAACACCATCATCACCCTTAATCCTGCCTCACAACTGCCCACCAAGTTAACTGGCGATAATTTCCCCACATGGAGAGCACAGCTCTTTACTCTTCTCCGAGGCCTTGATCTCCTCAAATTTCTTGATGGTTCTCATCCTGCTCCAGCCGCCACTGCCGAGGCATCTGTTCGCACTCTCTGGTTTCGTCAGGATCAACTTCTCCTTCATGCTATTCATGCCTCTATATCTCCCTCTGTTGCGCCCTATGTATCTGCCGCTACCTCTTCTCATGATGCCTGGACGACATTGGAGCGCCTCTTTGCCAGTCAGTCCCGCCAGCGTGTCATTCACCTCAAACAGAAGCTTGGCCGTGAAACTCTTGGCAATCGCCCGGTGGCTGTCTACCTTCAGGTCATGCGCACCACAGCGGCTGAACTCGACCTAATTAATGCCCCGGTGTCAAACGAAGACTTGATTCTGTATGTTCTGTGTGGTCTCCCTGAAGCCTATGATCATCTCTCGGCTGCCATTCGGGCACGTGATACGCCCATTCGCTTTGAGGATTTACATGACCGTCTTGTTGATTTTGAAACTGATCTGGCTTCGGTGCGCCTCAACCCGCAATCAGCCCCGACCACTGCCTTCTCCTCTGCTCGCGGCTATCCTGGGTCCTCTGGTTCTTTCTCCCGTGGGCTGCCTGGTCACCGTGGTTATTCCAGTCCTGCCCGTCGCAATTCCAGTCCTCGTCAGCATCGGGGTTATTCTCCAGCTCGCGGCAGCCATGGTTTTTCTGGTAACTCTTCTGCTCCTTCTCTATTGGGCCGCCCACAACTTGTTTGTCAGTTTTGTGACCGCTCGGGCCATTCCGCAAAAGAATGTTATCGTCTTCAAGGCCGCGCTCAAGCTCATCATACCGTGGCCTCCAGTTCTGTTCCCTCGGTTCCGGGTGGTTGGCTAGTTGACTCTGCTGCCACCAACCACATGACACCGGATCTCGGCAATCTCTCTCTCTACACGGATTATAACGGTCCGGACGCGGTTCTCATTGGCGATGGGTCAGGTCTGCATATCTCCCATATTGGCACTGCTATCTTACCTTCCTCTATGACTCCATTGTCCCTTACTGATGTGTTGTGTGTTCCGGCAATCAAACGTCGTCTTATGTCTGTTGCTCAATTGTGTAAGACTAATCCTGTGTCGGTGGAATTTTTTGCTGATTTTTTTGTTGTGAAGGACCTAGCCACGGGGGCGCAGCTGCTAAGAGGCCAGAATAAAGGAGATGTCTATGAGCTTCCGGCAGAGGCCTCGCCTGTTCGTCTAGCCTTGTCTGCTTCTCGCACATCCTCTGCTGTGTGGCACAAGCGCTTGGGCCATCCTCATTACAAATTGCTTTCTCGTGTTCTTCGTAATGAATCCCTTCCTGTTATATCTTCATCCTCTCTATCTTCCTGTGTTTCTTGTTCTCTTCATAAGAGCCATAAACTACCATTTTCTGTTTCTAGTTTGACTAGTTCGAGGCCTTTTGATTTGTTATATATGGATGTTTGGGGACCATCTCCTATTATTTCCCATGATCATTTTTCTTATTATCTAGTAATTGTGGATCATTTTACTCGGTATACATGGCTTTATCCTCTATCTCGAAAATCTGATGTTTACCAGGTTTTTGTCACCTATAAAGCTATGATTGAAAATTTTTTCCACACTACTATCCGCCGTGTTTATAGTGATGGCGGTGGTGAATTTCAGAAGCTATGTTCTTTCTTCCAAACTAATGGTATCACCCATCTCTTAACACCGCCTCACACTCCTCAACACAATGGTCTTGCTGAAAGGAAACACCGTCACATTGTTGAGACAGGTCTCTCCCTTCTCCATACTGCCTCTCTTCCTCTACGGTTTTGGTCTCATGCTTTTCAAACTGCCACTTATCTTATTAATCGCCTCCCGTCTTCCTCCCTTCATGGCGCCACCCCCTACGTTTCTCTCTTTAATGAATCACCTAATTATACTAAATTGCGTGTTTTTGGGTGTGCTTGTTATCCATGGCTCCGTCCATATTCTCCTCATAAACTTGCTCCTCGTTCACGCCAATGTGTGTTTCTTGGCTACTCCCTCATCCAAAGTGCCTATTATTGTTATGATCTTCTTTCCAAACGTTTGTTCACCTCTCGTCATGTCTTGTTTGATGAGCAAGTCTTTCCAGGTGATTTATCTACCTCTGTAGCTTCCTTGGATCCGCCTCACTGGCTCGCTGCCACTACACCTCCGCTCACTATTCTTCACTTGCCCACTCCTTCTTCTTCCTTGTCATCTCCATCCTCCTCACCCTCGGCTCATGGACCGCTCCCTTCGCCTTCTCCTGCTGCGTCTCCCCGGCCATTGTCCTCTCAACATCAGCAGTCACCACCTCCTCCACCGGCCAAGTCTTTCACCCGCCCGGTCACAAGGAGTCAACATGGTATATTTCGGCCGAAACGGCTGTTTCTCTCTCAGGTTGATACTGTTGACATTGAACCCACCTTACTACACCAGGCGCTTGCTGATCCGCGGTGGCATGCGGCCATGACGGCAGAATTTCGGGCTCTTTTATCCAACAACACCTGGACGCTGGTGCCCCGCCCCGCCGACACTAATATTGTGGGTTCCCGTTGGGTTTTTCGTATCAAACGAAATCCTGATGGTTCTGTGGACCGTTTTAAGGCCCGTTTGGTGGCCAAGGGCTTCACCCAGCGACCCGGTGTTGATTTTCATGAGACCTTCAGCCCGGTTCTCAAACCGGTCACTATCCGGACTGTGTTCACGATCGCTCTATCTCATCAATGGCCTATTATGCAGTTTGACGTTAATAATGCTTTTCTACAGGGATCTCTGCAGGAAACAGTTTATATGGCTCAACCGCCCGGTTTTATTGATCCCCATCATCCTGATCATGTTTGTCGCCTTACCCGTGCTATCTATGGGCTTCGTCAAGCGCCTCGGTCTTGGTACTTGGCGCTATCTGGCTTTCTTGCTACTGAAGGCTTCGTCAAATCAAAATCTGATGCCTCATTGTTCATTTACCATCATGGGGGTGTCACCCTCTATTTCTTGGTCTACGTTGATGACCTTCTTCTCACGGGAAATGACAGTCGGGCTCTAGCTCAATTTCAGTCTCGCCTTGCCGCCCGCTTCTCCCTCAAGAGTCTTGGTCCCGTCCATTACTTTTTGGGAATTGAGGTCATACCCACAGAGTCCGGCTATTTGCTCTCTCAGCAGAAATACATTCGTGATCTTCTTCATCGTTTTGGGATGGCTGATTCTCAACCGGTGCCAACTCCACTCGTCTCCTCTGCCAAACTCTCTCTGGTTGATGGTTCTCCCCCTGCTGATTCTACTCTTTATAAACAGGTGCTTGGCTCTCTTCAATATCTGCTCTGCACCCGTCCGGATATTGCTTTTGCAGTCAACAAGTTATCTCAATTTATGCATGCACCGACTACTCTTCACTGGCAGCATGTAAAGCGTCTTTTGCGATATCTCAATGGTACTTCCTCGCTTGGTCTTCGTCTTGCCCCATCTGCCTCCTCTGATCTTGTTGCGTTTGCTGATTCTGATTGGGCTGGCGATCCCAATGATCGCACCTCTACCATGGCTTTCCTTGTTTATTATGGTGGCAATCTCATCTCTTGGAAGTCGAAGAAACAGCGCTCTGTGGCCCGCTCCAGTACTGAGGCCGAGTATCGGGCATTAGCTCATGCTACTTCCGAGATCCTGTGGGTCCAAAATCTTCTTCGTGAGCTCCATCATCCACTATCAGATCCGCCCGTTCTGTTCTGTGACAATCTTGGTGCTGTGAACTTTGCCGGTAATCCCATTCATCACTCGCGTATGAAGCACTTGGCTCTGGACTATCTTTTTGTTCGTGACCTGGTTCAGGAGTCTGCTCTTCACATTCGCCATATTCCTACTGCTCTTCAACTGGCCGACTCTCTTACCAAACCGCTACCCATCACTCGGTTTCAGCTTCTTCGGTCCAAGATCGGTGTTGTACCCACCACCGTCTTGCGGGGGCGTGTCAAGGATAATACTTAATTATGTATTTAATTACTTTACTTAGTGGTTAGGTGGTTCCTACATCACAGGCTACGTGAGTTAGTGATAGCTTTTCTGTTGTACAATTGGGTATTTAATCCCTACTCAACTTCTAATAAACAATCAAGTATCCAATCCTTCTCAACATGAAACGTTTAAGGTTCTTTCTTCTGCTGCATATGCTTTAGCCAACTCTCCCGCCATCAAAACTCTTCACAAGTTTCAGAATTTTAAGAGGATATAAAATCTTAAAAACAATTTTGTACCTGATTTGATTTATACAAATTTACAAAACATTACGTATAAGATAACTACTGATTATTCAATTAATATACGCAAAAATATTTACAATTTGACATACTAGTTACAATTCAATGTGATCACTAACGGATGAATGTTCCTATCTCTTCCGGTTCCGAATGATGATCTTCCCCACGACATCATCCTCCTGCACAATCCGCCGGAGAACATCATCGTCTGTCGACACGTGTCGTCCAACCCTCGGCCGCTCCAGGCGATGTCACATTTGGGCACACTTATCTGGAAGACTGGAACCTTGTTTTCTTCTTGATACACGTGACCTACTTTATAGTTGACCATTAAGTTGTCCGCGTTGGAACATGATTCTACCATTGTTATGGTTTACTACTAAATAATGACTTTGTTACCACTTAACCGGAGTTAATAGAAATCTAAACTTCTATATATAACCATCTATGTTATTAGTTTGTCATTCTAAAGATTATGTAAACTAATCTTTGTAGCTTTGGAGTTTGATGGAAAAGAAAATATATAGTTTATGAGAAACCAATATATAATATGTACTTATCAAACATATACATCACAATTCACAATCAAATCCGAACCCAGATGAGTGCCAATGACGATTGAACATGAACTTAAGCGCGAGAAGAGCCCCAAACAGGAACGCCGGTGACCACTCCTCCGCCGCCACCGTAATTACTCCGGCCATCCACCATCGGCACTCCCCACGACGGAGGCGTGGAAGAACCGCCGCATTCCGCCTCCACCACCTTCTTCCCCGCTGCCGGCGAACAACCATAAATACTTCCCCCGCCGCCGCCGCCCCTAACCCTAACCGAGAAATTGATGATTCCATTCTTAACCCCTCGCGGGTCCCGCAGCCTGTAGCTCAAAAAATGCAAGTAATCCTCCGGCGTCAGGCCGTCCCCCAAGAAATCGGAAACCGGCACGGCCACCGCTCCGACCACTCTGTTTCCAGATCGGACTTCCAACGTCACCGAATTCGCAGGCGGCATTGGCATCTCGACGACAACCTTCTCGTTCCACTGAGGGTAGCTCCCGCCGTCGGAATCCGCCCTGGTCGACCCGGAATTGATGAACGGGTCGGTTTTCACGACGGCGAACGCGTTCTTCTTGACGGGTCTCCCCTCGAGGCGGAGTTCCTCTGCTGAGAGGATTGTGAATTCGAGAGTCCGTGTTCCGGCGGCCGCCATTTTGAGAGCGCCTTCAGGGGAGTGCTGATTGAACTATGAAGGGAATTGTAACGAATTGAATCATGGGATGATCAGGTTTTGGGATTGGTGTATTCTGTATTTATAAACAGAGTGTGGGTTGGGGTTGGACGCGGGAATCCGAAGGAGGGTCGGAAAGTCCTAATGTGTGAGTTGGTTGTTTGGTTACAGTTAAGTAGCCAAGAAAATGTTGATGTGTTTTAACCGGCCAGTTCAGGCCAACGATGATCTGCGTTGTACTTTTCCAAGAAAAAAGAAGAAGAAGAAGAGGGTAGGCTACTTCCAGGAACTCTAGCTATTAGATGCACATGGAAAAGAATAAGGATTGGAATGAATTTGTAAAGGAGGTGTTTCATACTAATGTATTAGTTGTATCCACTGTTGTTAATTCCAGCCTGTGATGTCAAGGCGCCAACAGAACCTCTTGCTAGTTCCAGCGAGGGAAATCAAGCTAATAGGTAATCACCAATTCCATCAAAGTATTAAAAAAATATACGTCAAGATTACAACAAATGGTTTCGTGGTGTAGTTGGTTATCACGTCAGTCTAACACACTGAAGGTCTCCGGTTCGAACCCGGGCGAAGCCATTTGTATTTTTTCTTCATGATTTTGAAAGTTACACTGAGCTGCTCTTGGTCTTCACTTCTTTCTTCTATGTTAGCCTACTGCAAAATATATGTGTAAATTTTAATTTTTCCTTTTTTGTTTAATTTTGTTTTTGCAAAAAGAAAAGTTGCACTGAGATGCTCATGTTCTTCCTTCCAGTGCTAGCCTGCATATCTTAAGAGTTCAACCCAACACTGAGAACAGTTTCCAACAGATAGAATGAAGCGTGATATGTTGATTCTTATTGCACAGATCATACATATGTGTAATAGGCTGCAACTTTCTGCTAATCTTTGGATAGTGATTGAACTGAGCAGTCTCTTTCTATCTCTACAGAATGAATCGACCAATGGTAAACATTTACACCCAAGGCTATGCAGTGAAATCAAAACTCAGATGAGAGTCAGGGCTAAGATAAAACGGCTGGGATTCTTCAGAAGGCGTTCTTCTTCCCAATTAGCCACATCCAATCGAGGGTCACTCCAGCGAAAATGCCAGCCAGCAAGAACAACACGAGCAAATTCCCCAATGCATTCTGCTCCGGACCCTGCAGCAACCCAAGCAAAAAATAGTTCAGGATTTAGAATTTATGTAAAACCTTTGAAGCTAAGTCTATGGGGGGAAAAGGAAAGGACTACTAACCTTGTAGCCCTTTGGAGCTACAGTCATGACACAAACGGTCAAGTAGCCATTGGTGAGCCCTAGAAACGAAGTGAGGAAGATCATCCACCCTTGATCACCATACTTGGCAGTGAAGTAGAATGCAGGAATGAGCAGGAACCGAGACAGGATTGCGATCATAAGCCACTTTCGGGAGGTCAGCTTGATGCACTTGATCAGTGGTACGTATCTCCCCACCAAATCCAAAGCATTGTACATTGCAATCAACACAAGTATGTACCTGGCAGGAAAAAACAATGGACCAAACACTTCCTGATGAGACAAGGATTCGACAGCTTTACTATTAGACATAGTAGGGTAATTCTTGAGCAAAATGGGTTCTTACCATGAACCCAATTGGTGGGTGCCTGTGTCCTCAGAGATGAACCCCGGGAAGATTGACAAAGTCAGGACATAGATGAAGAACAAGTCCAAAGCATAGTCTATGTTCTGGCGTAGCAACTGTATGTTGCTCAGTCGCTCCATCGGTTTGCTGTCCTCCCCCTAATAGGATCGAACACGATATGTCAGATTCATATGAACTAAAACTAAAAAGAAGAGGAAGATCCTGGTGAAATTCTGTTGACTTTACCTGTTCTGAAGGAGTATGAATGCCAGCAGCTTTAAGGTCGGCTGAAACGGTCTTCGATCCTTCTTTAGCTGCCTTGGCGCGGTAGTACTTCACTATTGGCAGCTTTGGCACGTAGAACGCATAGAGCAGGAAGCAGAGAAACTCCGCGAATGTGGCTATAGCAAGAAACAACTCTGCAATTGGAAGAAAAGAGTGAGCAAAAACCAGTTCAAGTCTGAGAATTGGAGCGTTGACCAAAATGGAAAATGAGAAGTTAAGTGACTTACGAACTCCCTTGCGAAGTCCATTGTCGGCATTCTCAAATGCTGCTTTGGTGATCAACCTTAAGCCTGAAGTCATGGCTCCTGATGCAGCCAAACCAGCAAAGAAGGACTGCAGCAATGGCAGATCCAACCGTTTCAGAAACACATCAACAAGCGAGAATACAAGCCAAAGATGTAAACTTTTCTTGAGCTGAGGTAAAGAGAGGGAGATTTCTAACTAACCTGCATGAATTCAGGGCACATGAATGACAAATCTCCCACCATTCCACCTTGAACGTGAGCATCTGCAACCCCAAATAATCCAACAATCAAGCAAATGCCAACGAACGGCCCAACTCCTCCCTTCCCAGATGTCGCGAAATCCAGCTGGGTTTACAACAAAGTCAACGCTTTTAGTTTCAGTGTGTCAAAGAAACTCCAAAATTAGCAAGTGTTTTCTGGTGATCATCACACTTACAACAAGTAGCATGAGAGTGCTGACGAAGAAGAGTAGATATCCAGCTATATTCCTTGTCCTGGTGTTGATCCTCGACTCGTTGTAGGCCAGGATCGCCATGGTTCCCAAGGCGAAGGGTTGGTAAACGAGTGTGAGAACCCTTGAAGGGTGGTATTTCTACGAACACATGGTAGGCATTCCAAAACAAAGTCAGGGGAAACACAAAACGAAAAATATCGGGGGAAATGAAGGCCGAGGTTCTTATTTTACCGGGAACAAATTGAAGTAGTAATCCCCAATTGTAAGCATACTGTTCCAGGAAACCAGTGACCCGAATCCAAGGACCCAACAAACCAACAAAGCTTTGAACCTCCCCTGAAGAAACAACAAAATAAAAACAAGTCCCTTGTTCAAAATTTACAGACCCTTTTGAGCTGAAGAAGGGAGGGGGAAAAAACAGGGTAGAAACAAACCTCGAGCCTGGCTGGCTCTCCTTCGTCTCCCCCTCCATTGGTAACACTGACCTCTATCTCCTCCTGCACCAAAAAAAAAAAAAAATCACCAACCTGATATAGAAACAAAAATCCCAGAAAACTGAAACGACTACAGAGCTAAAAAGACAGGGGAAAAGGAAGAAGAAGAGAAAAAGCTCATTACTTGCACCATGTTTTGAGCTTCAATCAGAACCCAAGTTCCGGAATAGGCAAAGCCCTTGTCAAAGCTGCAGACTTTATGGGAGTGAAATGGCGGATGAGTCTCTTCTCACTCTTGTAGGCCGACTAACAGTGTGAAAGCAGAGAGATAAGAGAAGGAAGGGGCGCAAGCAAGATGAGATAGGCGAATCGGCTAGGTCAGAGATTGTGGGAGGGTGAACTAATTGATTAATAATGGGGGAGATAAAAGGGAAGGTTAGCGTTGACGTTATTTGCTCGGCGCCAAAGGCGGAGTTGAATCCAAAGATTACTGGAAAAGAGGCGATTTGGGAGGAAAAGGGAGAAGAATCATGGGAGGATCTTTGATGCAGTTAGGAATCTGTGGCCAGAGAGATTAGGAGGGGATATTTATATCTCTGGATTCCAAGAACCTACCAAATCATTATTCATCGGTGAATTTTATGTTTTACTTGAGGGAGGGGTTAATGTAGTTGTAGTTGTAGTTAGGGATGGCAATGGGTCGGGTCGGGTCGGGGGCGGATAGTGCATATCCGTGATCCTACCCAAAGTAGGTCGGGTTTTACCCATACCCATACCCACATGTGAAACGGGTAGAAAATCAAAACCATGCCCATACCCGTTCGGGTTTCGGGTATCCACGGTTATTCATGGGTAATCATTTCTCTTCATAACTTCAACCAGTATGTTAACATTCACACGAATTCTCACATTACGTAAGAGGAAAAGTACGACAATAATTCACTAGAATGAAAAAAATTAATTAAAACAACACAATTTCATGAAAATATTATACTTATATGCTAAATATAAAATATGTTAGAGAAAAATAATGATTATATCTAGAGAAAATACATATGCATTTGTATAATCGGGCGGGTTCGGGTTGGATAGTGAGAAATCCATGCCCACCCATTACCCACAATATCCGGGTTCGGGTTTTACCCGTACCCACTAAATGTCTTTCGGGTTCGGGTTTTACCCTACCCGATTAGGCCGAATTCGGGTGGATATCCACGGTTACGGATATTTTTGCCATCCCTAGTTGTAGTTGCTACTACTCTTTTTTTTTCATTACATTTTATTATAAAGGTGGGTTTATTTCATCGACATTTTAAGTTTCAAAGAGTGCGATAATTAAGGTCCCGTTTAGTATTGTTGTCTATTTTTATTTTTTGTTTTGTTTTTCAAGATTGGAGAAACAAAAAAAAATGTTTAGTTGGGTTTCTATTTTTTGTTGTGAATCAGATTTGCACAACAGGGCCCAAATTTGAGAAACAACAATTTATTGCTTTGGATTTGATTCTTGTACATGTTTTACACGGGATTCCCGTTTGTTTTCATTAAAACAACCCTCAATTCGAATCCCACCTAAAGCAAAAAATTTCTCTTTTTTTTTAACTCCCAAACCACCTCCAAACCCTAGTCGGCCAACCCTACCCTCTTTCTCTCCCAAACCCGCCGCCCAACAGCTCCCTCCCTCTCTCAACTTCTTCCTCTCGAGACCCAGGCCGCCGATATCTTCCATCTCCCCCTCGTCGTCGATTTCGTCCCTTTGCCCCCGCCGCCTCCCTTTCCCCTGGCCCGACCTCGCAACCCCTGCCGCCTCCTCCTCTCGATTCCCGTCGCCGACTTCGAATCCTTTCCCCCCGCCGCCGCCTCCTCCTCCTCTCTTTTCTTGTTTTTAATTTTAATAGTAGTAATTGAACGCGTTTTTGTTTCTTGTTGTCTGCTTTCATTATTTTTCAGATTATCAACTAAACAGGTTTGTGTTTTCTGTTTTTTTCTGTTGTGGTTGTACATCTGTTTACACAACACCACTGCGATAATTAAGGTAGGGATGTTGTTGAGGGATGTTGTTGAGAGAAAGGTGGGTTTATTTCATCGACATTTTAAGTTTCAAAGAGTGCGATAATTAAGGTAGGGATGTTGTTGAGAGAAATTTTACAATGCTATATAGTATTGGTGCTATAGGGTTTTGCTTTTATGGTACAACTTAAAATTGTATATTTACGTTATGGTACAATTTCAGATTGTACCTATACTTTTTGTACAAATTCTTTTATGGTACAACTTGAACTTGTACTTTATGTGATGGTACAACTTCAAGTTGTAAAGTTGTACCATAACATAATGGTACAAATTGCTTTATGGTACAACCTAAACTTTATACATTTAATGTTATGGTACAACTTTAAGTTGTACATTAAAGCACCAATACCATATAGCATAGTAGAAGTGCGCGGTATGCTAATGATTTTGCAAATAAATGCCAAATTTTATTCATGTATATAGTTATCTATAATTATTATAACGCTTTGATATAGGATTACTATAATATGAGTATATGACGATCATCTATGAATTTCATTTTATTTATAATTAATATATAGACACCGCTAATGAACAAAAATACTCTTAATTGCCACCAACCAAATAAACCTAACCAAAGAACAATAATATTTTGATAGGCTAAATTACACGTTTAGTCACTCGGATTATACAAATCTTTCACGTTTGCCACCCGAATTACTTTTCTTTCTTATTCACCACTAACTTTACGGATTGTTTCACCGTTAGTCACCGACCGTTACATTCCGTTAACTATGTCCTACGTTGCAGTCAACTATAAAGTTTGACCGTCAACTAGATGACGTGGAAATTTAAAAAAATTAAAAAAAATAATTTATTTGTCCACATCATCATTCCACTTACTTTCTATATATTATTTATCATATTACTTATTTAATAAAGATTAATTATATTATAAAAATAAATAATATGATTGTTGTCCCTTCAAATGATGTCGTGCTGCCTGCCGACGTCGGCGGCGGCGACCACCTTTGCCGAAGGTGATGACGGCCTTGTCGAGTCCCGTGGGCTCTTCGTCGTCGACGAAGCGTCCTTTGTCACCCAAGGCTTCGATGGCGCCCACAGAGTGAAGAGGATGAAGAACAAGAGGAGCGGCTCGGCTTCGTAAATTGGGATTCCAGTTTCCAGATTCAACTGGGATGGAATTCCCTTCCGTGTTAGAGCTTCCCCAAGCAAAGATGCCTGCACCAGCCAAGCCATATATAAAACACATGTGTACAATCACACTCAGCTGAGAGTCTATAGTTGAAAGAGGGCAAAGGCAAAAGCAGAGGCCACGAAGACTCACAGCAAAGCCAATCATGGCGGCATGCCCCACGAAGAGCTCATTCTGCTTGGTGAAACCAATCCCTCCAAATGTTCCAAAGATGCCATCCTCAACTTTGGGCTTTGGTGGAGGAGCCTATCCATGCATATACACATAACTGAATTCAACATTTCCGTATTAAAGGAGCAGAGCAAAGAACCGTGAAAAACAGAGTCTAGGCTCACAGATTGGTTTGAAGGTCTTTAGTCTTACCTTCTTAGGAGCAGCCTTGGTTTTAGATTTGAACAGAGCGACAGTGGTAAGTGATCTAGAAGAAGAAGGAAGTGGGTTGTATAGGAGATGAGATGCGAATGACCTGGGCTTTACTAAACGGGAGAGGCCGCAGCCGCAGACGGAATTGGAGGCGGAGGAAGATTTGAAGACTCTGAAGAGGAGGAGCTGCTTCTTCTTGGTAGGATTTGGATTCCTCCCCTGCTTCAGCTTGCCGTTGCGGAGAATAAATCATCTTATTATTTATTTTTATAATTTGATTAATTTTTATTAAATAAGTAATATGATAAATCATATACACAAGGTAAGTGCAATCATGAGTTGGACAAATAAATTAATTTTTTAATTTTATTTTTTTAATTTCCACGTCATCTAGTTAACAGTCAAACTTTATAGTTGACTGCCACGTAGGACATATTTAACGGAGTGTAACGGCCGGTGGCCAACGGTGAAACGATTCATAAAGTTAGTGGTGAATAAGAAAGAAAAGTAATTCGGGTGGCAAACGTGAAAGATTTATATAATTCAAGTGACCAAATGTGTAATTTAGCCTATTTTGATAATTAGAACTTGCGTGTGTAGGTGTAATTGCTCGGTAAAACAAAACAAAGAGGGGGATAATTCAATAGTTGAATGTATCTTTAAAAGCACGTCAACACGTCATGAATGATATATTCATATTTTATAATAATAAAAAAAATTAATTAGAGTTGAGTACTTGAGTCAACCGATTGTAGTGTGTACACGTGAAAAATCACGACGGGCCAGCCTGTCAAATACCTGAAAAAACAAATGTTTCTTTTATTGTCTTCTTTGTTATTTCCACCTTATAAAACAATTGAGTGTTCGTTCTTCAATAGGTTAGTGTCCAACTTATGGTTGGCTAATAACATGGATTACAAATTGCTCCATAAATCGACCATATTTAGAAAACAATAATAAAACAATAATGGTAAACATAGGGAGGGTACGATCATTTGAGGTTGGGGATGCTAGTAACAAGACTCCAAATGTGTGTGTGGGGGGGGGGGGGGGGGGAGAGACAGAAAGAGGGACAAGTGACAAACTTTTGAAAGATTTGATGAATTCTATGAACACTTCAATTATTTCGCGAGAAGATTTATTATAATTTCACAGTTCACTTTTCGATCTCGTAGTATCGGACATTTCTTACTTGTTGTTTTTGTGTTGAACATGAAGGACGTTGTATACATAAAAGCAATTTCGAATTAGTGGATTTTCAATCGTTTACTACCCTTATGCTCAAGTGAATAATTTACCAAGCATATGGTCTTTTAAAAATGTTCGCTAATCTAACTCTCAACCAGAGCATATTCATGCTATGCACTTAAAATGACGTCGCGAGAATTCGTTTAATTAGAAACGGTATAATAACAACACATCGGTTCGCCTATCATCATTGTGCAAAACGTGTTTATTTGCCCTGGTCTTAGTTAGGTGACTTAATTAGGTCCATCATTTTACATGCATGGCTATATTTTATTCAAACTTTTTTTTTTATCACTTCAAGTAAAGTTTGAATGGAAGACAAGATAGCAATATCTCACGACTCACACGTGTTTTTTAACCACTGTGTAAATTCCTGCCACCAATCTTCTATGGATCTATCATTCATACGACATTGAACTGCGTATCATTACAATATCCTCATAAGATTTTTGCAACTTGTTTTTCCTTTTACATGCAAAATATTGTATATTGCAATTTTTCAGTAAGAATTATAATTATAAAGATTATTATTTAATCGATATAAGTATGTATAGAATTCAAGCCACATAAATTAATAAATAAAAATCGCCAAATGTATACTATTTTGATTCAAGATATAGGACCCGCTTAGTGGGTGTTTCTCTGGATTTTGATGCGATTTTTAAGAAACGTTTAAATCTACATATAAAATTCAGTGGAAAGCCGTAAATCGACGAAAATCGTATGTATGATTTGAAGGGAGGTCTTTCATATCTGTCGAGATCCACCATGCGTTATTAATAAATTATTTTTACTACGTGGCACATATAACACGTTGAAACCATTAATATAATGGTCTCAACAGTATATCATATCTTTGAAAATGGATAATTTCACATAAATACATGATTCATGATTATATAGCCAGCTCAGTCACCAAAAAAAGAAAATTGTGGGTCGGAAGATTTACAATTTTTTCAAAGCCTGTTTCGAGTTTCGACTTGTTGATATGACTTGAATCGGATTATCAGCCGCTACGACTGGTAATCGGGGGTACTATAAATACTTCTCATACTCCTCTGTAATCTGTAATCTCCTCAATATAGTGAAACTGGCTCTCTCTCGCCCGTGGACGTAGCTAACACACATCGTGTTAGTGAACCACGTAAATCGTGTGTCGTGTTTTCGATTCTCACTTTCGTATTCTTGCTTTGTCGATTCCTGCGATTTCCCGATCCGTAGCAGCGCGTTTATAACACGACTTTTGAGAATTATTTTTAAAGAAAACGTCTAAATTAGTCATTTCCAAATTTTTGGGAAAGCATGGGCCACAAGCCCAACTACCGGTTGGTGCTGGGCATCTGATAAGCGGGACCAATAAAGTTGCTCTATTGTTTTGGGGAGCCCACATTGTTTGGTCTCAAACGAGCCCAACAGCCCTAACTCCTCCTTTGAACCAGAAAGCCAAGGGTAACTTACTTTCCCTCTTCTCCTTATCATGGTTTCTATGTATAGTTCGAGCTGTTTGATCTGATAGCAGTGGAAATTTGTTTCTGCGCATGCACTGGCCTCGGATCTCGATCGAGTCGACGGAGAACTATGAATGCAGTCGCATTGCTATAAGGGTGTTATATGTACGTACTCTGAAGTAAATCTATCAGTAGATTGTTCGTTTCTGGTTTGTGTTCCGAGTATGTTTTCCTTTCATATTTTCCGATCATATTCGATTCGTAACGATTTTGCAGTTATTGGTCCAACATCAGAAACAAAGAGCAACAACTTGTAATGAATTGGGAGGTGAATGAACCAGTTCCACAACTTGTCCCCTTGATAGGATACAGGCCCGGAGTCCAACCACCTTTCTCATGGTGACCAAAGAAAGTAATATGGATCCAAGGATCAGGTCCGTTAGGGAAGCCCACATGGCCTATATTGGTTGTTGGGCTGTGACGACAGCCCATGTGGGTGTTAGGGATATGTAGCATCCCGAACTTTTTCCCGAGCAAGATATTATCCGCTTTGGGTCTCGACCCTCACGAATTTCGACTTGTGGTGCAATTCAATGTGACTTTCCATAAGGTCACCCTTCCTTTGCTGTACTTCACATTGAGCACGTTTAACTTCAGAGTTCTTTCATTTCACCCCAAAAAAACGCGTCTTTTCAGTTAATGTCGGTTTCTTACTTATGAACCATGGATCTCTCCCGTGTTTTGTAGACGTGGAATTCGTCTAAGGTGTTAGATGATCTCTGTAAAAAAAAGAAGAAGGGAAGATCGCAAGGTGCCATTGACCAAGTCACATGACAGCAGAGCACGAAAGGAGGGAGGGAGGGAGTTTCTCAGGTGACAGCTCCCAAGTAAGGTTGTCAAATCGGTTTATGCCAGTGTGCCGGTTTAGCAAGTGGAATGGTTCAACCGGTGGTACATACCGGTTTGTGCCGGTCCATGCCGGTTAATATTATAAATAATTTATAAATTCTCATATTTGAACACGACATTTAACGTCAATATCTAAATATTTGTACTTGAATCCAACAAATAACATCAACATTTAACTTTTTAACACATAAAATAAATAATAAATTACTTTTTATCAATTAAATTCACTAAAATAAAGATCATTTTATTTGGAGATTCGTATATCGATCATGCCGGTCATACCAGTGGTGTCATGCCGGTTTTATGACCGGTACAGGTTGAACCAGTGGCACGCCGGCCGGCGTGACAACTATGCTTCCAACTAAAGGACCACGAGGTTTTCTCCATGATTTGATTGGTCAGTCATACAGCTGCCTCCTAGATCTAATGTAACACTAGCAGATTCTGCATGCTGCCAGCCCGGACCAAACACCTTGGTGACTGGCGTCCACGTTGCAGCACCCAATCACAGGTTGGCACGTGGATGTCGGCCGAAGACATCTCTCGGAGAGGGTTGTGCTTACGGAATCTTAAAACCTTGGGAGCCCAGATTTATCACCTACGTACTAGGTTAGCAGAAAGAAGTTGATGGATAGAGATTGATAATTTCGATTTGGTTCGTTTTATTCGATCTCTTTTAGATTGTTTTGAAGTGGGTATAGACCTGACTTATTTTATCAGATCCGTTTTGACACGAATATTTCTAGTATTTTATTTTTTTAATCATATATTCATATGGATCGATTTGTCCTGACCCACGTCCTATGATAAATTACTCGACCTACACTCATTACACCATTTTATCATATTTAGTATTAGCTAGTGGCGCAATCGTAGTTAGACTTCTGTTTAAGGGACCTTAATAGCCCCCTACATACCAATCATGGCTTTGATTAAGCAGAATATTTAAAGGTGGAAAGAAGAATATATCTACTTTGATGATGTAATTGAAATTTGTTTAATAATGTGTAGTTGATTGGTAAACTTGTCTATACATTTAAAATAACACAGGAAAGTAGCTATTCTTTCCCCTTTGTCTGCAACTCTGAATCAACATCACAAAGCAGTTTGTTTTGGAAAAAAACCTCAAGCAATTGAGCAGTATTGTGCCTGTCAAATGACTCATCTTTGTTTCGAGACAAAGACTCTGACTCTGAAAAGTTTAAACCTAAGTCCAACCAAATCAACTAATTGATCAGTTACAAAAGTTTCGGAAATATAATATGCTAATTTAGATTCTAAATGAATTAAATAGCAAACGAATCAAGGTCACCTTATACTTAATGTATATAGAACCCAAAAATTTACACGGACTCAGTCTAAATTAATTCGAGAACCACTTGAACCCAATAACTCAAGTTATTGGAAGAGATTCAATCGTTGATCATATATGTTTACTAACAATCTAATAGGATTGGATTCCGTCCAGTGTCCATGAAACCGTACCGTATCTGCGGTTCAACCACGAAATACCAGTATCGGAGGCTAAACCGATAAATGGTATTTACCGGTATAACAGTTAAACTACGATTAAACCACGATTTTACCATAAAATACCTTATCGCTGACTTTTCCGAGATTGACACGACCATAGCGACACAACGTGACCGATAAATCAACACAAATCTGCGTACACGAGATTTTCTCGTTAATTACCCCAAAGGGAGAAAACTGGAAAGCATATATGATATATCCAAGTCGTACATATCCGCCGCCCAAACACCCACCACCACTCGTCGACGAAAAGCTTGAAAACAACGGCACAAAAAATAAAAAAGAGAGGTTGATGTATGTATTTGTATAGCTGGAGGTCGCTATCTTTGAGTTTTTAGTTTAAAGTATATTTATATATACTTCCACTACAGGAGGGCACATCATATTCAAGCAAACTATGGGTCTAATAATCCATTACCATTATAAAAAAAAAAAGAAGCTATGAGTCTGAATCGTTTTATTTGATTTCACTTTTACGTCGTTGCCATGTCAGCAACACTAGGTGCTGACTCACTCAACATACACCATTTATATACTCTTCCACTATACGTTTTCAATATTGACTCAACAAACTATGATGATCGTAGTAACTAGTAAGAATGGAACGACTTCATGACTGAAAATGAAGCTTATAGTTAACTCAATTGTTGTTTGTTTCATCATTCACGAAAATAAATTGTTAATGAATTTATCTTGTTATGACATTGACAATTCACGATGACACAGTTGACTGTACTAATTCGTTTCATGATTTGCGACAACTATACAATATCGATCTAACAATCAGATGAACAACTATAGCATTAATCATATAAAATCTTCAATAACATCATGTTATAAAATCTTAAATTTCATAGTTAATAATGTACAACTTAATATGTACCACAATCAAAATGGCATGATAAACCAAACCCGAAATATTATTATTTGTGAGAAAACACGGAATGTTATTCAAACTCTTCTGCCCTAGTCAGTAGTCAGCTAGCTATCAAATCAAAGCCAGCCTGCCCGATTACTTCCCAAATTAATCTAATAATAATATAAAAAAAAAAATATATTATTCGCCCGCACTAATCCTCACAAATATTCCCCCCCGGCGCTGAATCCCACGCGCTCCGTTTCCTCCTTTTAATTACCCCTTTCCCCTTCCTCCACTTTTTTCTCTCCTTTCCCCTCTATCGCCCTCCGCCGCCGGGAATCGCCATGTCGTCATCCCTCCACCAACCGGACCTCGACTCCTCGGCCGCCGCTGGCGACTCCGTGGCGTCCTCCCCTCGCTCCGAATCCCACGCGCCTTCCTCCCAGCAGGACCAGCGCGTGCGCTTCATGTGCAGCTTCGGCGGCAAGATCCTCCCCCGCCCGCACGACAACCTCCTCCGCTACGTCGGCGGAGAGACCCGTATGGTCGCCGTCCACCGATCCACGACCTTTTCCTCGTTAGTCTCCAAGCTCGCCAAGCTCTCCGGCCTCCCCGCCGGCGTCACCGTCAAGTACCAGCTCCCCAACGAGGATCTCGACGCGCTGATCTCCGTCTCGACGGACGAGGATGTCGAGAACATGATGGAGGAGTACGACCGCGGCGCGCTGAATCAGAACCCTAGATCGGCGCGATTGCGCCTCTTTCTTTTCCCCAAGGGGGAATTGGAAGGTTCTAGAACCAGCAGCATCAGCTCGCTCCTCGACGGGTCGACGAATCGGGAGCACTGGTTCCTCGACGCGCTCAATTCGGGCCGGGCCCTGGAGCGGGGCAGGTCCGAGGCGTCGTCGATCGTCTCCGAGGTGCCCGATTACCTCTTCGGGCTGGAGAATTCCGACGAGAATCAGCCGCAGGGGAAGCTGAGGAACAAATTCATCTTCAACGACAGCGTTTCGGCCTCGGATCCGGGTTCGCCCGCCCCGGTCGTCTCGTCGTCGCCGTACTGCTCCACCTCGTCGGTCGCCGCCCCGCCGACCCCGGTCAAGACCAAGCTCGTCGACCCGAGGCGGCAGGCGTCGGAGCCGATTCCGGTGGCTCAATTGCAGCCGCCGGCCGGGTACGCGATGCATTACATTCCGGAGTCTCAGTATTCGGGTCCTGCCGCCCCGGTCCAGCACATACCGGTTTACTACGTGCCGGGTCAGGGGAACGTTCCGGTTCAACAGGTTCAGTATCGGCCCCAATACGTCCAGCAGTATTCGGTTCAGCCGGGTCAAATGCAGGGGGTCGGGTACCATCAGGTGCAACCGGGTATGGGTCAGCAGGTACAGGGCGGGATGGGTCAGGTTTATGGGGCAATGCGACCGGCTATGGACCCGTACGAAGGAGCGAGGATGGTCTCGGATGGGATGAACCAGCAGATTTATTACGGGGTTATGGGTGGCAACGCGGTCATGACCGGTCAGGGTCACCCGGGCATGGTGATGGCGGCAACAGGGGAGGAGATGCAAAGAGGCGTGGTCGACCCGAAATCGGGCCGGATCTCTGGGCCGTGACGTCAGGTGATGATTGAAATTCTCTCTTATGTATTTTTGTTTGTCATTTCTGTGGTTGATTTTGATGTTTATTTATGAGCTAATAAGGCCCCAAATTGTAATTAGGTTTTGGTCGGTTTTGGGTTATCTTTGTTTTGATCTTCCTTTTGCATTTTCCTTTTTCTCTTTGTGGTTTGTGACAAATTTGGAAATGTATAAAGATTAAAGAGGCATATATATGTTATATTGTTGCTAATGGTGATGAGACAATTTCTTAAAGGAGATGTGCTTTCGTTACAAAAAAATGTATATAAACTGAATTTGAATTTTGTAATGTTTGGATATAAATTTAGTTTGTATCTATACTTGTACCTTTTTGTACATTTTTTTTTATAGAAAATGAGCATGTATCTTAATATTGTTATGGTGCAAATTTAATATGTAGTTGTAGTTTTTCGTACAAATTTCTTTATAGTACAAATTAAACTTTTACTCTCAATATTATGATGCAAATTCAATTGGTACTTGAAATCGCAGTCAAACGAGATGATACATTGTAATGGTGGGTCCACATCCTTTAGCTTTGGATATAACTTTTCGGTATGGTCGACTAATAAGATACACTAAATTACTTTCACACACACTCACATTACATGTTTTTTCTTAGCTACAATGGTAATGGTATGACTAGGTCACAAGGCTTATTTGAGCAGGAAAGACATTTTGGTCGCTAATTGATTACAACGACTTATGATTTATCCACCGTTGGAACATTGCATAACATTCCACGGGCCTGTTAGTTGGAGCGATATGCGAACCACCCTAAGTATTAAGATACCAAAACATCATGGTTACAAATATGAAATACTATGGATACTATAAATATAATTAGAGATTTAAGATAAGAAATACCCACTTTCACAGTTGCATAGGTCATTCCGTTAGAGTACGTCCTCATATACCTGGAACAATATATTACCCTTTTAGCAGAGCAATTTCAGCGGTTAGATTAGGAAAGAAGGAAATTATAAACGTGTACCAATACATTACCCTGCAACTTGACCTTTCACGTGCCATGATCTCCAATCCTCCACGATGGAGTAATTGAGAGCTCGAATCCATGCTTGTGTTCCGATATACGGTATTACCATATCGTGATCGCCACTGTTCAAAGGATCATAATGTTTACCGCGCCCAGGATTCTTAGTCTTAACAAAGAAACACAAAATTTCCTCATAAAGAAAATCTGTAGATATATGAGAAAATGAAGGACCTGTAGATCAATGAACGATAGCCCTTGATTGAAAGGTTGACATGATACACGAAACTGGTAGAAATATCATGTTCGTAATCCGATCGACGATTACAAACCTCCCACTCCTCTATCTTCCCCTGCACCACACATAATTGTTAGAGGAGAAAGATCACAGAGAAGCATTCCAGAAAAACCTGAATTTTTTTGGGACAATTCTTCCTGCAACTCTTTACCTCTCTTATGTGAAGCGCTTTCTGGACTAGTTTGTCGTTGACCCAATGTTTGTAGACTATTAGATTGGTGTCATCCTGCCGAGCAAACTTGAATACTCAGGAAGAAAAAGAAGGGAAACTGATCACCAGAACACTAGGCACAAGAACAGAACTTTTAACAATGTAATTAGTAATACGTTACAATCGAGCTTAGGCGGATCAACGGTCGATAACAGCTGAGAATCGTCCTGGAACATTCTTCTTCTTAGTGCAGCAATCTCCACTGGCATTTTTGCTGGATCTAAATTGCATTCTGGATACAGTATGCTAAGTGTGTTTATACCTGAGACACACTGCAGAAAAATAGAACATTCTTCTTCACTAAACGAGAAGTGGACAGCGAGATTCTTGATGAGAATCTTGAGTTCTGAGGTGAGTTAAGATGATCAAACTATAGGTTTTACCTCGGAGAAAGCCTTTAGATTGTTCTTACATTCCAAGTTGGTAGGTTCAACTGTGATGTACTCTCCCTTGCAGCTTTTGTGAAGTGACTGCAACAAAGTTCAAGTGGACTGCTCTTAGTGCTAGTACTTAGTTTCGAAAATTCACAGTTAATTCTCTATTTATATAAGTGAGAAATGTTGGGTGAGGATTCCTCATCCCAACCAGATGTTGATTGATAATAAATTCAACCTTGTAGAGTTCATCAGAAATGAGTGCCATTCCATGTGCGTATGGGACTCGGGCGTTCTTATCAAATTCACCACTTGTTGCTGGATTTCCAAGTATGTAGCCCTGGAAGAAAGAAAGAAAAAGAATGATTTCACCAGAGTAAAAATTCCAAGGAGAAGTACAAGGAAGAATGAAATTAGGATCGTTTCGATTGAGAATGTGTCGACGATTTGAATGTTCGAACCTTGATGTTTAACATCGGCTCGATGCCTTTCTCGTTTCCTGCACAAAATCCATATATGAGACACTCTAAAAATCTTGAATTGGGATTGGATTAGTGCCACAATATGTGTATATATATATATCCTGTTCTTACCAATGGACAGTTGTAGGACAATGGGTGGAACAGTCATGCCTGAGTAGGAATCCCCTGCAATATAAAGTGGATTTTGCAGCAACTCCGAGTGTTCTCCCAGCCACTATGAAGCAAAATGGGGGGAAAAAGGTATAGAATGAAAATTTGTATTCCTTCCAAGGATCCTTTCATCAGAAGATGGCTTCTTACCTTTCTGATGAACTCTGCAGCTTGAGAAACTTGAACCTGGTCACTTGGATGATCATCAGGAGATGGGTTTGTTGAGTAAGAGAATCCAGTCCCAACAGGCAAGTCCAGAAATATGATGCTCGAAAACTGCAGCGGATAAGAGCGATCGAAATGAGCGAATCAACGAACTCCGGAGCAGGACGTTAACAACTGTCTCAATGTTTCTGGGTTGCAGCACCTCACCTTAGTCCAGGAAAATGGGTTGAGGTTCAAATTTGGCAAGCTCCCGTTATGTCCCGCTACTGGTACTTGCAACCTGATTGGACCTGAAGAGCAATCGTTGGTGCGATTTGTAGAAAGTCTAGATTGAAAACATGAAAAGAATTCTACAGTAGGAGATGGGTTGTTATTTGGTTAACCAATTTCCATGGTAAGAGCAGAGAAGGCAGAGCAGCCAGGGCCGCCAGTGAGCCAGAGAAGGAGAGGGTCAGCTTCAGGATTCCCTTCTGACTTCACAAAGTAGTAGAACAGCTCTGCAGCTTCCCCAACTCCAATATACCTGAAAACAGCAGGCACAGTACATATAAGACTGTTTCGTGGTGAGTTTTAACATTGCATCGATGCGAGCACGCGTATACTAATTAACCCGGTCTCGAGGTAAAATGGGAGTCGGCCCTGGAATCCAGGAAGGTTTTCGACAGTTGCTTTGGAGGCTGCAACATGGCCATGATGCGACGAACATATGAGTGCAAGTAGAAGAAGAAGTGGCAGCAGGAAGAAGCGGAGGCAGTTCATTAATTTGTCCATTTTTTTCTCTTTCATCTGCTCTGTGTGTACTGAAATGTCTCTCTGGTTTGTGATTTCTAGCAGCAGCTTTGGTTGGTATGGTGGAAGCTGAATCGTGTCTGCAACTTGGAAAAATGGCGATTGAACTAGCTCAATGCTGGAGGAATCAAAGATCAATCGCTATATAGATTGAAAATTGAACCAACCATCACTTTGTTGGTTGATCCATCACTTTAGCCTTTAGGGAATGAACCATACGGCATTTGCTTTCATAAACTACAAACCATCAGATATTAAGATCCCTCTTCCTTTTGCATTTTTCCTTTTCTCTTTGTGGTTTGTGACGAATTGGGAAAGGTATTATAAAGAAGCATATATTGCAGAAAGCAAACCTTCAGAGACGAGGTATCTCTGTCGCCAATATTTTCGTCACAAAATATCTGCTTTTTTTGAGTAACTACGGTGACTACCAAAATCTACACCATTAATTATTGTTATTTCAGGCCTTTTTTAAATTGATGATAGAGATTAGATTAAGGGTAATTTTGGAAATAAAAGAATACAACACCTAATTATTATCTTTTAAAACATAAATTTATATATATTATAACCAAACCCTACTTCGTTCACCCTATTCACTCGTCCCCTCTCTACTCCTCCACCGCCGGATGGGAAAAAGAAAAAAAATTGAGGGAATTCGACTATAGAACATGATGTTTGTTTTTTATTGGTACGTAGTTTTTCGTATTGGTGGTGATTTCTTCTTAGTGGTAGTGTTTTTCATATTGATATTGTTATTTCCGCATTGATATTGATTATCATGTAAGCATATTGTTTTTTATTTTTTGAAATGGTAGTGTTCTTTTTCTATAGTGGTAGTCTTTTTCGCATTGGTATTGTTTTTCTCTTTTTTTTTTTGCATTGGTATTGATTATCATGTAATGATATTGATTTGCAAATATTTGTATTGATTAAATCTGCAATGGTATTGGTTTTTTGTGAAATGCTAGTGTTTTTATTTCTCGAATGGTATGGTGTTTTGTGAAATGGTAGTTTTTTTATTTCTCGAATGGTATTGGTGTTTTGTGCATTGGGAGTGTTGGTTTCTATATTTATTACTATAACTATTATTAGGGTAATTCTTATTATGGTTAGTAGTCTTCTTGTAGAATTAGATTTATTAGTAGGGTTTTCCTATATTTCCTATAAATATGTACTTGGGCTAATCATTCAGAAATCAGGATAAATAAGAAGAATATTAAGAAAATCTCAGAAACCCTAATCTCTCCCTATCCTCTCAATTCTCGATCCCTATCCCTCTAAGGCCTCGGTCGGTTCCCTATCTTTCTCTTCTTTCTCAAATCTTAATCCCTAATTCTGTTCGTATAAATTCTAATCCCCAAATATCAAACTCGTTAGGATATTTGTTTCTAATCGGTTTGTTGGTTGTATTGGTAACAAAGCGGCTCATTTGGTGGCCACTCTTGCTCTGTTTTTGTCGCCTCGAATGTTTGTGCTTCGACTTTGTTGCTTGTTTTGTAGTAGGCAAGTTTATGTTGTAAGCCTACAAATCTTTGTATGTTTCTCTTTTTTAGAGTGATCCAATGACAAAAAAAATATTGTAAAATTCATCCTAAAAATGTACTACAGAATTCCTCCTAAAAATTTACTACATACGAAACGATACATCGATTTATAATGATGGGTTGATATACTTTAGCTTTGCCTATAACTTTTCGGTAAGATCGACTAATAAGATACACAAAATGACTTTCATACACACTCACATTACATGTTTTTTCTTAGCTGCAGTTGTAATAGTATGATTAGGTTACAAGGCTTTTGAAGCACAAAAGACATTTTGGTTGCTAACTATTTACAAAGACTTATGATTTATCCACCTTTGGAACATAGCATAACACTCTATGAGCCTGTTAGTCGGAGGGATATGCGAACCGCCCTAAGAATTAAGACACCAGAAAATGATGGTTACAAATATGAAATATTATGGTTAATAAAAACGACAATTAGAAATCTAAGATAAAAGAAACACCCACTTTCACCGTTGCATAGGTCATCCCATTAGAATAAGTCCTCGTATACCTGAAACAATATAACTACCTCTAGGCTTGAGTAGAGCAATTTCAAAGGTAAGGTTAGCCAGGAAGGAAATTAAAAATAGTATCAATAAATTACCCTGCAACTTGGCCTCCAACGTGCCATGATCTCCAATCCTCCACGATGGAACTATTGAGAGCTCGAATCCAGGCTTGTGTTCCAACAAATGGTATAAAAATATCGTGATCGCCACTGTTCGAAGAAGCCCAGAGTATACAGCCAAAGATTCTTAGTCTTTTTTTTTTTTGACAAATAAAGATTCTTAGTCTTAATGAGAAACAAAAAAAAAAAAATCCCCAAAATCTATAGAGATATGCAAAAATGAAGGACCTATAGATTAATGAACGATAACCCTTGGTTGAAATGTTGACATGGTACTCAAAGCTACTCGGAATATCCTTTTCATAGTTCCACCTGCTATTGCACCTCTCCCATTCCCCTATCGTCCCCTGCACCAAACACTGTTAACTTACAAATGGCTAAAGGAAAAAAGAACCCAACAAAGAAGCATTCTAGAAAGCCATTGAAGTTTTGGGGAAGTTCTTCCTGCAACTGCAACTCTTACCTCTCTTATGTGAAGCGCTTTCTGGACTAGTTCATCGTTGGCCCAATGTTTGCAGAGTAGATTGATGTCATACTAGCAAAAGCAAACTTGAATACTCAGTCAGGAAAAAATAAAGGGAACTCACCAAAACACTTTTTTAACAATGGAAGTAAGTAGCTACCTTGCAGTCGAGCTCAGGCGGATCAATGGTCGATAACAGTCGAGACTCGTCCTGCAACAATCTTCTTCTTCTTAGGGCAGCAATCTCCACTGGCATTTTATGTAAAATGCATTGTGGATCCAGCGGGTTAAACATGTTTATACCTGAGAGACACTGCAGCAAAATGGAACATCCTTCTTCACTAAACAAGAAGTGGGCAGAGAAAATGTTCATGATATATATATATATTTTCATGCATGCTTTATTTTTACCTCATAGAAAGCCTCTAAGTTGTTCTTACATTCCAAGTTGGTAGGATCTACTATGTGGTACTCTCCCTTACAGCTTTTGTGAAGTGACTGCAACAAATTTTTTGGGTGAGGACTACTCTTTAGTGCTAGTAATTAATTTAACTTCGAAATCTCGAAAATTCTCTGTTTATATGGGAGAAGTGCAGCAAGATGATGGTGTGATAGAATTAAAACCTGGTAGAGTTCATCAGAAATGAGCGCCATCCCATGTGCAGATGGGATTCGGGCGTTCTTATCGAATTCACCACTTGTTCCTGGGTTCCCAAGTATGTACCCCTGAAACAACAAAAAAAGAACCTTGAGATTTCGATTGGAATTTCCGAATTCTGATTGAAAACGTTTTGATCTGAATGTCCGAACCTTGAGATTTAACGTTGGCTCGATGCCTCGCTCGTTTCCTGCACAAAAATCCATGTATGATGATGATGATCCTAAGAATAAACGAAACACTCGCGAACAATCTTTCGATGTGATTCGATTTGGTGCCACAATATGTATACATATTATAATCCTGTTATTACCAATGGAAAGTCGTTGGACAATGGGTGGAACAGTAATGCCTGCGTAGGAATCCCCTGCAATATACAATGGATTCTGCAGGAACTCCGAGTGTTCTCCCAGCCACTATGAAGCCAAAAAAAATCTCGAATGAAATATTGTACTCTTCTTCCCAATGATCCTTTTCATCAGAAGGTGGATTCTTACTTTTCTGATGAACTCTGCAGCTTGAGAAACTTGAACATGGTCACTCGGATGATCAGCAAGAGATGGGTTTGTTGTGTAAGAGAATCCAGTCTCAGCAGGCAAGTCCAGAAAAATGATGCTCGAAAACTGCAGCAGATAGCGAAATCATCAGGTTTCGATACGAGCACGAATCACCGAACTTTCGGAGCAGGACGTAACAAATCTATCAATGGTTCTGGGTTGCAGCAAGCACTTCACCTTAGTCCAGGAAAATGGGTTGAGGATCAAAGTTGGCAGGCTCTCGTTGAATTTGATGGGACCTGAAAGAGCAATCGTCTCGAGCGATTGGTTGATGATCAAAGATTGACAAAATCCAAGAAAGAATTCTACATTAAGAGATGGGTTATTGTTGTTAGTTAACCAAGTTCCAAGGCAAGACCGGTGAGGCCAGAGCATCCAGGGCCGCCAGTGAGCCAGAGAAGGAGAGGGTCAGCTTCAGGATTCCCTTCCGATTTCACAAAGTAGTAGAACAGCTCTGCAGCTTCCCCAACTCCAATATACCTGAAAACCGCAGCACGCGCAGTATGTATAAGACCGTTTCGTGGTGAGTTTTAACATTGTATCGATTCGAGCACGTACTAACCCGGTCTCTAGGTAAAATGGGAGTCGACCTTGGAATCCGGGAAGGTATTCGACAGTTGATTTGGAGGCTGCAACATGGGCATGATGCGATATTGAGCATATGAGTGCAGGTAGTAGAAGTAGAAGAAGAGGCAGCAGGAAGAAGTGGAGGAAGTTCACCAATTTGGCCATCTTTCTCTTCATTTGCTTTGTTTGGAGGTGGTGGAAGCTGAATCGGCTCTGCAACTTGGAAAATGGCGATTGTACTAGCTCAATCGCTATATAGATTGAACCAACCATTACTTTGTTGGATGATCTGTCGCTGTAAGGAATGAACCATACGGCATTTGTTTTCATAAACAACTCCTAGCCATCAGGTATTGGTAGGGCTTCTGTTTTGTTGATGTTGTCTGAAATTTTCAGGCTGGCGAATGTCAACCTAATTTTCAGGTTATAGTGTTTTGGTGGGAACTTTAGATGGAAAATTCGCCTAAAAAAAGTTTGGACTAGAAAGTTGGGCTTTGTAACGTTCAACAAGGAGCAGGCACAAGCCCAAATGGAGATCCCTCTTTGTGCTCACCAACCGAATCTGGGCTTCTCCAGTCAAAGCAACTAAGCAAGCTACCACTCCAACCCAAGGATAAACGGTTTTCTAGCTTTATTGATAAATAAATGAAGGGTAAATGCGATATTTGGTCACTGAAATTATTAAATCATGTCATGTTTAGTCGCTAGAAAAAATTAATATCAATTTCGGTCACTCGAATTACTGAAACATGTCACATTCAGTCACTCTTCGTTAGCTTCCGTCCAGCTCCGTTAAACGCAATGTGGTTAACAATGTCGTAGGATATTACTGGCAATTGAGTGGGGAAGTATGGGGAGAGATACTGTTGATCAGTCAAGGTCCTAACTTGTCTAAGTGTGTGAGTGTGTGACACTCAGAGGTTGCAATGTGGTTAACAATAGAGATGGGCTTAACTAGCGCTAACTGAATACAGATAAAAATAAAACTTCCTTTAATTTAGACTTGACGCTCCAACTTTCGTTCAAAATAAAGAGTTATAGTGTCGTTTGACATGGCAATGACACATGGTGGTATCTATGGCATTGTTACTGTGACCGACTTGCATGTCTCGTCGTTAGTTCTTTGTGTTTATCGAGATAAGAGGTTAAGTCGCCCGTTTAAGTTTAGAACATCTTAGTCGTCCGTCAAAGTTCGAGCCATTTGAGATATTTTTCCTTGAACGTTACGTTCGTTCGACCAATAGAGTACTTGACTCTTTGTACAAGCCTTATTGATCATCAATGTCAGGTGAAGTGAGCTCATTGTAGTGAGAGTGGATTGTGTCATGGTCGGTCTACGGTCTAACAGCTTGCCCTGCAGCAGCACCATGCTGAAACTCACGTAACGTACGTCTAACAACTGGGGGCTACTACCTCCATTACCGCAGAAACCAAACACCACTGGCTTTTATTCAGAAACAGGGGAAGCCACAGTTGGGGGAGCTGATGGGTTCAACTTTCATGATTTTGTCCCAAATCTGCACCAACTCAAAAAAAGGAAAAAGACCCATTTGCTGGCCTGGTGACAACAAGGACACCCCACCCCCTCAATTATGCTGTTCTTGATGGTCATTTTGAACCCCCTTTTCTTTCATTCCATATCGTTCCGGTCCATGAACTTTCGAGTTTTGGCCATTGGGATACTTGAAACAGCCGAACATTGTCGTCTTCGTGTTCATATCTATTCTACAATGTCCCCCAATGCGATGACAATTTTTCGTAGACATGTATGTTAGTAATCTTAATTAGAACGTAGAACGATTCTCACCAATCATATCACTTTGTGGTCTTAACATGCTCGTAAGTGAATGATCTATTATTGCCCTCCCGAAGTTCAGAATTCGTGTACCGAAATGTCGGAAATGAGAAAGTATAGGGATCGAATTGAAATTCTAGGCCACTTCTTTTTTTCTTTCACCCTTTTAATCTTCAAAATGATGGGAATAGAGGGAGTGAAAGACAAAGGGATCGACAGAGGCGTGCAATGGTTCCACTACACTCACATTTTCTCATTTCATGTATATGCAGAAAGAAAGACCACAAATTTTAGCCTCTCCCTCCTTTCTATGCTGCTGGGTGTTTGTATATGTAGCTAGGGATGCAGCTTGCCTTAAGAACCCTAGCTAGTGGGACTGGAAAAAGTGACCTAAAAAAAGGAAAGGGAAAGAAAAGCTTATGCAATGGAGAGGGGGTTTTCTTTTGAGCTTTCTCTAGCTTCCATGATAGCAACATGGACAAGGAATTATGAAGAGATATTGCTTGTGTCTAGTGGCACAAGAATGTCTAGTTCCAAATTTAGTTGCACTCTCTACTGCCGTTCACCGTTCGGAATCGAAACTGAACCTCATTTTGATACCACTCGTTGAGATCAAATAACTCCATCAGTACAAATTGTCCGCTTTAACTCAATCCTGCACGAATTTATTTTCGGTTTCCTTTCCCACAAGAAATTAGCTTACATGGACAGTTATATACAAATGTCTATCTCCCCTGTATTTCCAATATAGTAATTGTACTGTCTCCCAAAAATTTTAATAGATTATTAAAAAAATATAGTTATTAGTTTTTTAAAAAGAGTAGAAAGTGTAATCAAGTCGCCTTTCAGTTTCCCCAATCTAATCTAATGTTCATATAGCCCTTTTCTTTTTGCCTTTTCCCTCTTTCTGAAAGCTGCATATTCAGAGTTGCTTGGGGCATATTGAAAAAGAAATTGATCAATGGTCTTTTGCTGTTTCTTTACACTTTCTTTGAAAGTTCCCCCATTTACTAATAAGAACCGTATAAAAAAAAAAAAAATAGAAATGAAGGATTGTTGTCTTAGGTTAGCTTTCGTTGATGAGAAATATTGTATCATCAACTAAAGAAATTGTAGCTACTCAATAAAAATATTAACAATTTAGTAACCCAAATAATTAAGGCATTGAACTCGTTCGAGAGATACTTTGAGATCAAGTCCAAACTCCTCGATCCCACCACCAAGATTCACATCTTTCACTTGTTATAAAAAGAGCACTACATGCTATCAACAATCAGTTGATACGTACATAATAATAATGCGCACATTTGTGAGATCGATTCCACACTCCATATCAAGTGGCAAATACATTTTTGCATGAGTAGTGAAGGTTGGGAAATTAAATACATGTATGTATTTTGATATTTTGTATTGTTTCCTATAGCCAGCCAGCCAGCCAGCCAGCCAGCAGGAGGGCGCACCACTGACATGCACACATGATATAAGTCTGAAAGTACTCTGCAAATTTCTTAATGACTCCATGTCTTATTCTCTCTTCATTCAACACAAACAAAAAACAAGGCCCATCAATCTAGCTAGCATTCACAAACAGATGTGATTAATCTGAAGAAAGATTACCAAAGAAGTTTAAGTTTAAGTTTAAGTTTGCAACCACTTAATATCTCTCTTTCAAACGACATGTACCACCACCATTTTATAAGGGGCCCTTTTGGGTGCTGGATTTAGAAAGGAAAATCAATGAAAAAAGTTTATACTTATAAATCTTGAAATTGTAAAATCACGGTCCAACCAAGCTTCCAATAATCAAATTGTAGGAAGGAATCATATAATAAAAATAGATTTTGTATCAATTCATCCCAATAATTTAATTTATTAGGTGGAGCAAAAAAGAAAATCATCAATATGTTTGGTCATATCATAACTAGCGAGAAGGCGGAGCAAACTTAGTGGAAGCGACGCCGAGAACATCACTCGTAGTAGATGTACCAAAAGCAGAAGAGCCCAACACGCGGTGAAGAAGATAAAGAGAGGAGAAAGGAAGGAAATAATTGATAGAAGATCTATTTTCATATAACTCTCGGTTGTTCCGTAGGGTGTAATACAAGGAAAAAAAAAGAGCCAAACACCTTAGAAGTCCAACGCTCAATCCAACTATCTAATAAAAATATTAGCCGTTAGGTGTGTCACGAAACACGTCTTACATATCATTCAAATGTCTTTGACCGTTTAAGAGGTTATCTCCACTCTCAATTCCCACCACAACATTTTGTGCAGGTCCAAAGAAAGCTTAGAATTAGAATCGATCCTCTCATCCTTCAGTACGATCACTATCTAGCCATACCTGTGGCCACAGATCCTCATCACCCTCTCTAAACCTACCTTAGCCCAGGCAAAAAAAAAAAAACAAAATCAAACAATCATTGAGCAAATCGGTCACATGAAGGAATTCTACACGTAAATGGGAGAAGATCAATCGAATACCAACCAAAAAATTTCATGTTGGTATTATGGTTAGGTCGTGTCATGTCGAGACACCGATTAGCTGTATTTTGCAGCCATGAAAACGAAAGAGTACTGTTGCAGTAAAAGGGTCACAGACGACGACACACTCGGTTGCAGGCTGCTATGTACATGTACGAATGCCAATTTGTATGCTCCCAAACCGCGAAAGATTTCCTTGGAGGTGTCCGAGAAAAAACTTCTTTTTGTGTGGCTGAATGTGAATCCGTCGGGATATTCCCGTTTGTCTTATCCTTTTCAACGAGAAACGCCATTTAGTGTTACAATACATAAGGCCTAGCAAGAATCAGGGGAAAGCCATGGAAATTTATGCTGCTATGGAACAAAACCACACGATGGTGCTAAGAAAAAATTAGGTGGTTGCTAGTAAATGGCTGTTATTGAGATATATATTGGTTTTTGATATGGTATCAGAGTCTTTTTTTTTTTATCTTTAATTTGTTCTAATCCTAGTGACCTCAAGTGCTATAAACACATGGCATTCTTTTTTTTATTTTTATGATTGAGATGTCTTGTGTGTTTGAATTCCGACGACACCCATATTTGAAGCACGCGTGTTACTCGGACTACTTGTGCAAACTTCAAAAACCAAACGACATGGTATAAGATCCATATAAGTGAGTATCTCCCGGGTCTCAACAAAGTCAGGACAAACTAGTTATCCTATCGCGACTGAATAAGAATTACGTGATTCACTAACATAATGCGTACTATAACTAACTAGGAAGATAGATGATGCTCGCCCGTAAAAAAAAACCCTCATAAATTGGCCATTGCCCTCCTCCTCTCATTTTCGGAATCCCCACTTCAATTCCCAATCAATTTTCCTCTTGCCTTATTGAGCTTTGCAAGACGAGGAAAGGAAGAGAGATCGACGAGGCCGTGAATGAGATGAATGAATGAATGGAGTTATACT